TATTTACGGTCGTGAATTCATCGACCTACAGGCAACCAAAAGGCAACCAACGTCAACATAGGAGAGGTCGAATTAAAGAGCGAAGAAGGGGAGATAACGTGACGGACAAATTTGACTGGTTGACAAGCCTCCTAACGTCCAAGCCTATTAAAAACGCGGTAAGCGTGTAATATGTAGTTTATTAACCTATCCGCCCGAAGAACGGCTTACGAGACAGCTCGTTGGACAAGCCACAATATAGGGGACCGTTGTATGACCACATGGCAGACCGGAATCCTAGCAGCCGCATTTCCAGCCACAGAACTCATCGGGTACACGGGTGATATGTACTGCATTAGCAGCCCTATCTGAAGATGGATGCAGGTAAGACTGCCCCCAGGTGGTATATACACCCCTATACACGCCCCTATGTCCCGTCCCTATTTACCTATTTACCTACCTAGGTAAGGAGGTAAGGAGGCAAGGAGGCAAGGAAAAAAAGAGAGAGTCAATGCTGAATGTTACCCCTTTAACCTTCCACGTAGTATGTAAATGATAGGCGATAGACGACATGAAATGCATGGTAGAATGGTTGCCATGTGCTATGCGTTACATGGTAGGGAACTACCGCAATAGTTATTGCTAGCGGGATGGCACCGTCACATTTGGTAACTTTAGACTAGAGATGTATTGATTATGTACATGGCTAATTGCTTGGAAGATCGGGTTCTTCGACTAAGATTTGTGATCTTGTCATCTCTCGAGACGAGACGAGACGAGGCGAGCCGTAGACCGCATCGAAGCATGCCAGGTGCTGGAACCAAGCCCTTCCGGGATTGCGCAAGGCGGAATAGTTTTCAGAAAAACGTGCGAGATTCCACCTCCTATTAGCCAGATATTTAGTCGCGACGGGAGGCAGTGAGACGACCCAAGACGACCCTGCAGAAATCAGATAGACTACTACATCTATCTACCTCCTATGCAAAGTACCTAGTCGCCGATGGAGCCCGTACCCTTTACCATTTCGGGATCATGCGTTAGCACGCTTACCCGGTTCTACCTAGCCCGCACATGCCATCAGGTCTGGGTACTGGTCTGGGTACAGTAGAACTAATCCCAAATTGATGTGACCTTGCACATAACCCCACGCCGATCACCGCTGGTCTTGAATCCTTTTTTCAGGACCGGTGTCTTTAATTTGAATATCTAGCCCTCTCTCTTTTTGATTCTTCACCAAAGTTCCTCTGGGGAAATGAGGCGTTATGTTGACATCCAACGAATAAGGCATTGAAAGCTCAGACGATGTGACTGTCGATCCTCGCATCGCATCGCACCATATGTATCATGATCGATAGTCTTTTCTTATCCTTGTTCTGATGTTCGTCATTGCCGTGCAGGGGGTTTGGAATCTCTCGAGTCTAGACAAGTTGAAAGAAGCAATATCCTTCATGAAGTCCGAGGCTCGAGTAACTGACGATAGGACCAACGATATAACCGGGCGCGGACAACGGACGACAACGCCTACCCAGGTAATCTACCTAGCAGTAGGTAGGCGTAGCTGGAGCTAGCCAGCCAGCCCTGGAGGTGGGCTAAGCAACGCACGGTAGTAGCTAAATACGCATTTAAGACATGCGTAAAAATCAGGACATGTCGTCGTCCTTAGTGGTACTTTTCAAGTTTTATGTTTTATGCCACCTAACAAAAGTAATGGGATACATAATAACCATAATAACCATAATAACACGATCATGCAAGGCTAAGAATATAAATGGATCGGCATGGGATGTTATGTATGTCGTATGTACAAACTTTTCCAATACATATTCGAGTACATATAACCAAATACTGGATGCATGAACTCGGCAGGCTTTCCTTGTCTCCCTCGACCAATCCTTGCCGCAAGCCACGCCCAGCTTGGCTTCCCCGTGCAGAAATGATCGAAATCCATAAGCTGGGTTATGTAGTACCTGCAAGATTTCCCCATGTCGATTGCCAGTTGATTATCTATCAAGATACATTATACGTGCCTACAATACGAGGTGAAATGAAATACAATCAAAGATTCGACTTCATCACATCCCTCAATAAGATTCTCCTACCTTAGATGTGACAATGATCGTTGAGCCGCCGCTAAGGAACTGCCGCCGGGTAGGGATGCGGCCAAGTCTCTTTGAAGTCCGGTTCCGCACAAGCCTCCCCTATTATTCGAACCCATGTTGCCATGCTACAGTACATCCCTCATGGTTTTTTCTCTCTTAATACTTTATTTCTCTACATACGCTATTTTACACCTGCGGCCGTAGATTATCCACCATTGAAGGCTCGATACTCACGATCTCCATGCCGGACGAAAGTATGTTATGTAAATATGTTATGCTGTACAATTTTATGTGCACCGTAAATTTCATTTATACCATTCACGTACTATGTGGTACCTTTCTAGGTAGGGGTGCGCATTCATCTAGTATTATCGAGTATTCAGCAAGCTCCAATGCTATTAACTAGTGGTGGCTGGCGTGAGGTTGGGCTGGACACTATATCTACTAATCTATTTACGAATCTGACTTTTCATCTATTACTTTAGTCAACTCCACGAAGTGTTGTCCTTAGTGACGTACTAAAGGCTCGGGATACTACGTCTTCGCGTTATGGCTTCTTACCGGGGAGTACCACCCAACCTGCCCTGTGGAGGTGTGGAATATGTATGTAGAGCCTCAACAGAGGGTTAGTAATTGGTCTAATCAGGTACTTCTAATACTTCCCATACCTCCCCTGACCGTCTTCTTGGTGTGGTCGTGTGGCCCAAACTTTAACATCCCTGGTGTTTTTCAAGTAGAAAACTGATCTCGAATATTCGGTGATCTTATTGTTCCCTTTTTTACATCATCTTCATATAATGCACGTGTAAGATGCTGCTCCTCAATCTATTTAATTGAGCTGAGGCCTGAAGGTGAGGCCCTCTGGAGCGCTGTTCCTCCAATCAGGGTCTCCCTTTGGCCAATAGTTGACTCGCCATTTGACGCCGGAAGCCGATTTAGTCAGTGTTATTATTATTGTTTTTTTTAATTCCATTATTCTACCTTCCTTCACTAACCGTGCCGTTTCTTCTGCCCCCCCATACGTGGGTCCTCAGTCATCAACACTCACAAGCAAAACATGACTACCTACCTAAAAGCTAGAAAGCTAGGTACTTACAGCGGCGGGTGAAAACATCCACAAAATCCACCTTATTCATGGCGACATCCATAACATAGAACTCCTCAATAGAGCCACTCATCGTTCCTTGCAGTATATTGGGAGTTACGTGCATGCCAGCTCACATACCTACTACGCAAGGACGCATAACCGGGCATTTTCTTAAACTGCTTGTCTTGCATCCCGCTCCCACACCCCTCTCAGGAGTGGTCTACGTACCGTTCGTTTCCTCTTATTAGCTGGACGTACCATGTGAAGTCAGAGACAGTAGCAGCCACCAAGTCGGCCTCAGAGCCTTGGACCGGCAATCAGAACATGCACCCCCCTCTCTCTAAAAGCCGTTGAACAATACACCCCCCTCTACGTAACTGCCCCTTCGTCTCCTGGTCCCTTGAATCTCGATAAACCCTAGCCAATTGAAGAGTCATGTTTTAGGACTCTTGTCTCATTATTTCCGCTGCGCATTTCTTAGCAATCTCAGAGCGCTCAGACATAGTCACATCATGGCACTCACGCGGGGAATTCCCAGATCGCCAGGGGAAAAAATAAAGAAAAAGAAAAAAGGTCCAAGGTCCCATAGCGGGCCAGGGGAGATAAAAAATCGCATATTCAACGACTATCGTATTGCATGGCAAGCAAGGTATAGGTATGCGTTATAGTATTATTGTGGGATATTAAATACACGAAGGCATAGGTGATTTCGTTCATCACTATTGCCAGCTAGGCTGGCGGGCTGGTAGAGCACTACTGCTACTACTACATACATACATACATACTTACTTACTTACTACATACTACCTACTACCTACTACATACTCTCCCCGTTACCCTTGAAAATCCCTGATCAATGATTAGCAGCCAACGCTTCCCCGTCGAGGGCCAGGGTCTACCCTGACAGGTCCGCAGCGCCCATGGGACCCCTGGAAAGAGCTAGGATTCTACCATCATGGCCACCATGTCAAAAAGAGGTCCACTCTCTATCTAGCACTACTACCCATCCTCATCCTTACTCTCAGCACATTTATTAGCCGGCTAGACTAAAACTAGTACTTCCTGTACGTCTAGTGTTCTTTCTGTTGTGTGCTGAGGTGCTGCGCTCGCTCGCTCTCCTTGCCCATTGTTGTGTTGTCCCTTAGACAACATAATCCATAACCCATAATCTTTATTATTAGCCTCTTGCATGCTACGTACACGCTACTCGCCTTGCCGTCACATCGACATCGACCATGCTCCAGGGATCTCTTCAGACTGTATTTCTGCTACCCTCTGCCTTTCCCCATGCCCACTCCCTGTCGTAGTAGTAGACCCCCCCAGTCACTCACTGCCCAGCCCAGCAGCGCTCGTGCCAGCGCATTCTCAGTGCTCATCAACGAAGAACCGCCAAGCAGACCTGGCGCGTGTGCAGCAAGTGGCCTAAGTACTTTCGTATGGGCGCCCCAAAAGAGCTTGTACCCTGGTTCGTACCTAAATTGTCCCAATCTCTAATATTAAAGTCGCACAAAAGCCTCCCGCGACCTTATCCAGACCCAAAAGTTGTCGAGCTTCTCCATCTTGAGTCGACGAGTCGGCATCATCTAGCTCTTGCCCGACGCAGCTACCGCCGCTAGCACGTTGCCCTTCCCAGGCCTCCAAGACCCAAGAGCTATCTGACGGTGCTACAAGGAGAGAGTGTCGTGTGTCTTGTGCTGCAGCTCCCCGTCATCCCATCTCCTAGGTTTCCACCAACTCCGCCGCGCGCCGTATCACCGGATTCCTAACCTTGACTGAGCCAGTATCACAGACGATTTTGCTTGTCCGACCTGTCTTTAAACACTCGCCATCGAAGTCAGGCAGGACTGAGGTCGCCATTCCTAACACCTAGTCTCTTTTCTCTCGATCTGCTTTGGGCCATATAACTTTCTAGCAATAAACAACTTGCGGAACTGGAGAAAAAAAAAGTTTGATAATTACTCTTCTAATTTCCAAAAAAGATATCAAGTCTGGGTTGCGCTCGCGGGCCTGAAGCAAAGCGCTGCTTACCAATCGCTGCGGTCTAAAGTCTTAACCGATTTCCAGCCTAGTTTTCCAACTACCGAATCGGCCAGGGCATGCTATTCCTCCAGGATCGAAAACCCTATCTCTAAACGGTGTTGCCGTACTCCCAACTCGAGTGCCAGGCCGCCGTCTAGAAGGAGCAAAAAAAAAAAAACGTTAGGAGCTTAGGGTCCTATCGTGTATCCTCCTTAGGCTGCATCCATGCAAACCCTTACTTATCGTGCTGAGCAGTTGAATTTTCCACTCGGCCATCGCCGAGGTATATCGAATCTGGCGAACTTCGCTCTAGACCTGTCCTGGGCCAGAGCAGAGACGGATTGTGCTCTCAGTAGCACAAGGGCGTATCCCTCTCCGCCCATGTCAGGGTCTCCACCACCACTCCCGCCCAAGCCAAACCCAGAGGTCGGTGATCGAGGTCAGGGAGGCTACCAGCCTGTTAGTCATGATGCGTATCGCCCAAGCTCGACAGTTCCAGGAGGCGAGTATCGAGCACCACCCCCGCAACCACCACTGTTACCACCAACTACCAGCGCTCATAGAGCCTATCCCCCAGAGGGCTCGGAACGGATGCCATATCCAACCTACCATCGCCCAGACGAAACGATGGGACGACCGATGTCCTACACGCAGCCGCTACCGGGCCCGATGGCTCCCCAGCCTCAGTATCCGCTTCCACCCGTAGTTGGGCCAAGCCTCGGACCATCACCTTACGCAATGCCGGGCAACCCAGCAGGAGCCGAGAATCCGCCATTTACCTCTCCCAAGTCCCAGAGGAAAACCAAAGGCCATGTAGCTTCGGCATGTGTGCCCTGCAAAAGAGCACATCTAAGGTACTACCGCAATTTTGGTTCCCTCCTCCCTAGCAAATTTCCCAGATGCTAACTTTTCTTAGATGTGATGGTACGTATCCTATTCCGATTTCTTGTTATTTTCATTGCAGGTTGCATGCTCTCATGGGTGGTCGTGACGAAGAATCCGCGGCAAAATGAGTCCTCTGCGCCTAGGATTCAATACCAACTAGAGGTCGTCTTCCGGGTGGCGATTACACGAAGATTGTATGGGTTTTCCGCAGCCACGGCCATATTCATGGGCAAACGAGTCCTGGTTTGAAAGGGGACGGATCCCTTCGGAAATCAGGGGTTTCTCAGTTTCCAGTGCAACTGCCGATAGAGATCGGTGGGAGGGTCAAATTACACTCAGGGGCAACCCGGGGTTCCGCAAAAACTCGGAATGAATGGCGAAAATCACCAAAGCGGAAACCGTGGCAAATTCGAGGAAGACAGGCGCAGATGTCCTTGCCATGGAGGGCGTTGGGAGGTGCTATCGGCAAAGATGGAGACAAGACTGAAGTTGCTACGAGGCACACAACTTGAATGTTGAGAAGTTGCGGTCTCTGTCTTTGCTAGGCGCCTTCCGATCGTCTGGACCACGTGCTCCTCATCTGACTCGAAATACGTCATGAACACTCGTTGAGAAACTTTCCATATTCCCAGCCGGAATCGTCAAAAACCCGAGAACCTGAAACCCTTTTTCTTTCTTTCATATATTCTCACGCGTCGTTGAGTCGTGGTATAAAACTGACAATTTGGTGTAAATAGCCCAGCGGCCCTGTTCCCGATGCCTGAGCAACGGCAAGGAAGATTCGTGCGTCGATGTTCAACATAAGAAGCGCGGCCGACCTCGATTGCGCGACGATAACCAGCCCCGATTTGATGCTGGGGCGAGATTCCCTCATCCTGCCGATCCTTCGATACGACGACCAGTCTCCCTCTACTCCCCGATGAGCGCGGTTTCTGCCTCCTCATATGAAGACCCTCTTCGAAGAAGTCATTCTTATCGGGTGTTGAAATCCCAGCCGAGCGACCCCATCGCACCTAGATTTATCGAACGTGGATCGGTTTCAGACGCAAACATCTACCCCACCCCCTTATCCATACCCTCACGTGCACCAGAACCAGTAGCATTCCTAACAACTGATTTGGAGATTTCGAAGGCGTCAAGCACTTTCGTTGAAGCGGTGGGATCCCGGATGATCTTAGGTCGAAGATTGTTGGAGATTGTCAACCCAACTGAGCGGGATAGGGTTGTCGCACTTCAGAGGTCTCTGCAAGATGAGCAAGCTAGGAAGGAACCGAATTATCTTCCGCCGATCTTTGGAAAGCAGGAGGCCGACAGAGTAATACAGGCTTTGCCCTTTAGCCCAGAATCGATATCGAGGTTCCAACTAGATCGCCAGGATTTCTTCACATTCATTTCCGGAGATGGTCAGCTACGACCGTACCCGATTCGCATCGGGCTCGCAAAGGAGGACTCGATATACTTCGTCGTGTTGCTGATACGTCCGGTCCAGGCATTCCCACATCCTTCGCCCTCTCCTCATGCTCGAGAATTTTCATATTCTTTCCAGCCTCAGCCATATACGCAGCTGACCCCTGTTTCCGGCTCGTTCGATCCCGGGCGACCACGATTCGGGGAATCACCTCGGGAGGGGGGCTATACGCCACGACAACCACCAACACCCGCACCCCTAGCCTCGGGCCTTACCCCTGGTGTGAACCCGAACGTCCCCTCTTATTCTGCTGCTGGACCCGTGAGAATAGAACCTCAGCCTGGTCCTTCTCATCATATTCCAAGGAGCGAGCTTTCCATGGCTAGACCGCCTCAGCAAGTGGAATATCAACTGCCTCCCATCCGTGGACCGGGACAGCCCGGTCCCTCAGGAGAAGCGCCCGGTTGGCCGCGGGATGACCGATCAGGACGTGTCGACATCGGTGGATTAATAGAAAAGCCCGACCCTTCAAGACGAGGGCGGTAGCGTTCGGTCGACATTGGAAGAACATGAAGGCCCATGGCTATGGGTAATTCCGGCAGTTCTTTGCGAGCCAGTCGCTTTCGATATCTACTCGCAAGATTAATGTTTTATACCACACATCATTCATACCCGATTTGTAAAATATACCCATATCGCGCATCCGTCGTTTTCAGTCGCGCAGGATACCATGTACAACATAATGCATCTTTCCATCTACATATCATACTCCCGCCATGGCACGGCTTCTGCTTTTCCAGGCCTGTTTTAATATTAGCATGATTCCGTGGACTGTTTTCGCTAGTCTCGATCCAACCGTCCAAACTCGGACTTGGTCCCTATTTTCTTCCCGACATTTTCGTCTTGGTCAGGTCAGGCTGGGCCAAATCATCGTACTACCAGTTGCATTGTCGAGTTTCTTTTTCGGACGCGGCGCTTGCGGCTCTTATTTCGCCACAAACCGGGAACTTGTGCTACGCCGGGAGGCGACAGCACGAGAGGACAAGAAGAGAAGAGAGTGCAAGGCCATAATGGTAGGAGTCGTTCATTCGGAAGGCCTTCTGCGTCTTTCATGTACCATATATTAAGTCGAATTTTTGGGGGTGGTGTTTTTGTGACGTGAAAGGGGGAAGTGGTGGTCCGATGACAAGGCCTGAGAAAGTGCCCAGCTTAGCCGCGCCCAACTATTTGATAGCAAACTCGTTGTACCAGACAACAAACGGGCGGGGTTTTTCGATTTCGGGGTCTCTCGCTGTCATATTTTTTTCAATCTTGTGTATAAATTTTTTTCTTCCACTTTTGATCTCCGTCTACTCTTGAATTTGGCCAACAGTATCGGCCAAGACGAGAGGGGAAACCCTACGAGGGCGAGATCATGTAATAAGATATTAGTCTTAAGGAATGAATCCTGTGTAGTCAGGGAAATAGCGAGGAGGCGAAGAGGATGGCACACAGAACGTGTAGGTCATACGGCCAAACACGAACAAGTGTGGAGGAGAGCAAAGTAAAAAGGTAGAATTCACAGAGTTAAGATGGGTATAGGATATATCAATGAAACGAAACACTTTCTGACAGGGCAGTGAAAAGAAATCTGGGTCCAGAAAATGAAACAAGCGCGAGAAAACAAGAAACAAGATGTTTACCGCGACGCTCAGAAACTTTTAGCTTCGGGACCAGGCTGATCAAATACTATCCCATCCACCAGATCCATCCAGACTTGCCAATACAACCTGGGAAGCGAGCTTATAACCCGCCTCAACTAACCCTAAGGATTCGGCCCGTACTACCATTAGACCCCCGTCCACCTCTCTCTCGACCTTTACTCTGCCGTCTTCCTCTTAAATCTACAATTTTGTTGTCAGGTTAGGCGTAAGCGTCAACCAGTAAGAGGTCAGTGCTGGGCCAGTTGCTAGGTTCCTTCCGGTGGTTTGATATGATATCGAGGTCTATAATATAGTTGTTTTGTACCGGGAAGATTCGCTTCATTTCCGGGAATTACGACAGTACACATCAACAAAGCACCATTCGAATTTCAAGAAGATAGGAATGCTCTTCCATAGTCATACCTTTAAGCTCCTTCTCTCCTCCACACAGACGGAAAATAAAATCCCACGGGACGGAGTTACCGTCTAGATCCATGGATACTACACAGGCACACCGCACACAATATAGGTACCTACACGCAGACTCGTACGCATCCGGGCAAATGGGCAAATGAGCCAATGTCCAGTCCGAGCCGCTGTCGCTCAAGAGGCTCTTCCCCTCTTTTTCTTACCATGCTGACCTGGGTGTTCCTTGCTTGACGTCTCAACCTTCCTGGCTCCGATCTCTTCACATACATAATACATGCCGTTACCGTGACGGCCCTTGCAAGCTTGCATCTTGCATCACACCGCAAGATAAACACAAGGAATAAGAAAACCAAATGCACGTCCCAGGCCTAGCACGTCGTGGGGAGCCCCCAGTCCAGGGCTGTGCAGGGCAAGCTTAACCTTGACGTGCGACTCAGTGCCGTGGTTGGTTCTCCAGGCATATTCTCATTAAACGGCCTACTAGGCGCGAAGCGCTAAGGGTTCTATGTCAATGCATGTGGTGCCTGGGCTTCTGTATTTTCTCTGTGTTTTCTCTGTATTTTAGAGTAAGCCGCAGTTGTGATTGCCTCTACATTAACCTACGGGCCCAGCTAACGTATGTACATACCTACATGCGTACATGAGATTTTCTTATGTGGTGTGTCTGCAGGGGTGGTTCAGTGGGTAAAATTGTCCGAGCCGTTTGCAGCGTGCGCGCAGTGTTACGGGAGCGCTGTACCGTAGGGGCTCCACGGATGCACCATCGAGCACGGGTAGGGTGGTAGCGTCTAATAAGCTAACGCTAACGAAAGAAGGGGGAGACGAAAGAAAAAGCCCCGACTGGTCGACGCTCTTCCCTATTTTCCTTGAAAATCCCCAGTTTTAGAGAGATGATGCTTGTCATTGCGGAAACGATCACTCACACACATACACACACACACGGCAACCATAAGACTACACCGCACACCACCCATCACCCCCATGCTGTTGGCCCGCGAAGCCGGGCACGGGATTTCTGGGTTAGTAATGAATCCTTCCAGCCCAAAAAGTGACACATCGCGCATGCGTCGAGATATCTGTAAGGGAAAAATACATGTCACACCTATCTCGTTGCTTTTATGATTTTCGGCTTGCCTTTTTCGATGGGCCTAGCTCATTAAACGCATGATGCCCAGTCCCACCGGTCTGTTCAACCCACTACGTCAACGACTAAGCAGACAGGCAGACAGGCAGACCAACCGGGAAATGTCGAGTGAGATAAGATGACCTAAGAAAGTGGCTAATGATATAGATAAAGCTTAATACACAAGCATTTGTTTACTTCATGAAGCTCTAAAGAAGCTATCTAGATCTTTCTATTCCAGCTTGGGCAGGTATCCATGAAGCTATACAGAAGTTGGAATGGGTAGCTTCGTCGTTGATATTAGCAATCCGGAATACGAGCTAAAGCTTCACAGCCTTGCCTTGATGCGAGATAAAGCTGTTCCTACCGTCGCAATCTTAGGCGGGACGTGACCCGGTTCTAAGCCAAGCCACTTTACATCGGTCTATGTAACATTATATCACCTTCATCGGCCGAAATGTCTCAAACTGGGCTTGAAGTGTGCCCAGAATATTTGCTTATTCTTCATCACGGACTTAAGTCTTCAACCCCAATACACCAGACTTTCCAGTCTGATTGGACATAAGTTATCTGACCTCATTTCATCGGCCTTCTCAAAGGCCTAGTCTTTCTCGCCATCACAGGACTTCATTGACCAGGTATTCCTTCAGTGACAGCCCAGTTACAGTACGGCTAGAGTCGGACGATGCTGGGCAAAGTCGCATTAACCAGAATGTTCATCTTCCTTGGCAGTCTAACGAAAGATCGGCCAAGTACCAAACTTGGTGAACACACCTTCGCCATAAGACGGAGCCCAAGCCGTGTATTAAATTATCGGGTAGCATTAGACGGCTCAACCATTCCGTTGACGGAGCACCGGCTAGTTCCGGAGATTCTTTCTCTGTCCGGGCATTTGTGTTGTGCAGAGGAAACGAATTATTTTCGTATTCCGATAACAGGATAATCGAGGCCAGTCATCTAGGTATAGACTCGGCTCTATTGGGGACGATTTAACATAAAATTCCTTCAACATTCTAAACATATAGGTATCTATACCGGCATATCCCGAACAAGTGTAATCTGCGAAGTGGAAGACAATTCACAACAAACTGTCAAGTTCATATTGTGTATTCATCCACCTAATTAGCTCTGGCATAATGAAGCTCGGCTCTTTCGACATGGTAGCTAAGAGCAAGGTAACCATAGAAAAATTGGATGTGAGCTCTGCTAAGTGAAGCTAAGAGATATTTTTAGACAACGCCAAAACAAAACATTTTCTAGAAGGGGAAAACAAGTCCTCGCTAACAATTGCAATTTTATTGTTGAGAGTCGAGAGCCACATCTTGTAAGACGTAATCCTTGAAAGCCAATTGGAGCCTTTGAATTTGGCCAATCACCGTTAACCACTAGGGAAATAAAGAGGAGGCCCGAGCGCTTGGGCGAACACAGTCTAGCAGTCACAGTGTAATTTCCCTATTTAAACTCCACCTGAGCTAAAAACAATTTCTGATTGGGTGGAGGATCCCCGCTCTTGCCTTACCTGTCACCTACAGTACAACTGTCACTGCTTCCCAAGTTCTCATGGAGTAACCCAATGAGATAGCAACCATTTTCGTGGCTGCCTTACTAGTCCCTACCTAGCGAATACTTTATTCCTACATCCATTTCCAGGAGCCAACGATTCATCAGACATTTGATCCATTCTATTTGCCTCGAAACCCTTATCCGCCTAGCAACATCGCCTTGACGGGTCTCATGACAGTCATGGTCTGAAAAGGTGAAAAAAGCATGTTTTGCAACGAGACCTAAAAGAGGATCTTCATCTCACCGGTCAAGTATTTGGCACTAGAAGCATCGCGATGCCTGACCCTATGGAACTCGATGAGCCAAGGGGCGTCAAACGGAAAGCCCCATCGTCTTCGGCAGATGAAAATGCTCCACGCCGAATCAAGGCTAGTCTACTCACGTCTTATATTAAAGTAACACATATCTGATCCTTTATTCATGCATTCAGGCACTAGACCCAGACGTCGTAAACAAGATTGCTGCCGGCGAGATCATCGTAGCCCCGGTACATGCTCTGAAAGAATTGATCGAGAATGCTGTCGATGCAGGCTCGACTTCTCTAGAAGTATTAGTGAAAGAAGGTGGCCTTAAACTGTTGCAAATCACCGACAACGGCCATGGAATTAATGTGAGTTTTACTTGAGACGCTATCACCCGACGAACCCGGTTTCTAATGTCTAGGTAGAAAGAGGATTTGCCAATTCTCTGTGAAAGGTTCACTACATCCAAACTCAAGAAGTTTGAAGACTTGAGCAACATTGCAACATACGGCTTCCGCGGTGAAGCCCTTGCTAGCATTAGTCACATTGCTCACTTAACAGTTACCACAAGAACCAAGGATTCCGAGTGCTCATGGCGTGCCCACTACGACGGGGGCAAGTTGTCCCCTGCAAAGCCCGGTCAACCGGCTGACCCTAAACCTATTGCCGGACGAATTGGTACACAGATCTCAGTAGAGGATTTGTTCTACAATGTTCCCACACGACGAAAGGCTTTTAGGTCTCCCTCAGATGAGTACAACAAGATCATTGATATGGTAGGGCGCTATGCAATTCACTGTGATGAAGTTGCCTTCTCTTGTAAAAAGCACGGCGATTCAGGCACGTCAATCACAGTACCGCAGCAAGCTTCAGTAATTGACCGGATCCGTCAAATCCACGGGAATGCCGTCGCGAGTGAACTTATAGAATTCAGCGCATCTGACCATCGTTGGGGTTTCACGGCTTCGGGTTGGGCCACAAATGCGAACTACCATATAAAGAAAACTACTCTCCTCCTTTTCATTAACCACCGCAGCGTCGACTCATCTAATATCAAGAAGGCAGTGGAACAAACGTATTCCGCGTTCCTTCCTAAAAATGGACACCCATTCGTTTATCTCAGTCTCGAAATCGACCCTCAACGGGTTGATGTCAACGTACATCCGACAAAGCGAGAGGTCAATTTTCTCAATGAGGATGAGATTATCCAATCGATATGCGAAAATATCCGCGATAAGTTGGCGGCCGTCGATACAAGCCGCACTTTTATGACGCAAACCCTACTCCCCGGCTCCATGCTTGCCGACAGCTCTGGTAAACAAGATGGCGATAGCTCTGTGCTCAAGACGCCCGCTGGACCGCGAAAAACGCCGGTGCGACCTGATGAAAGCAAGATGGTCAGGACCGATGCTTCACTGCGTAAGATTACTAGCATGTTTCCCGCTATATCGCAATCTCCGACCCCAGGTACGTTGAGTAATACTACGCATGATATCGCTCAAGATCCTGTATACGAAACAACGGACCGCGAACCGATACTATGCCGACTTACTAGTGTGCGTGAACTTCGTTCTGCCGTCAGAGATGACATGCACCACGAACTCACGGAGATCTTTGCTAATCATACCTTCGTCGGTATTGTGGACGAGAAGCGACGACTGGCTGCTATCCAAGGAGGCGTCAAGTTGTTTCTCATCGACTACGGTCGGGCCTGCTTTGAGTACTTCTACCAAGTTGGGCTGACAGATTTCGGCAATTTTGGTATCATAAAATTCCAGCCTGCACTAGACTTGCGCGAAGTGCTCAAAATTGCGGCCGAGCAAGAAAAAGCCATTGCGGAGGATAGTGATACGTTCGACGTGGATGAAGTTGTGGACGCAGTGGCAGAGCAGTTAATCGAGAGAAGGGAAATGCTGCTTGAATACTTCAGCTTTGAAATCTCACCTGCTGGAGAGCTATTGAGTATCCCATTACTCCTCAAGGGGTATACGCCATCCATGGCAAAATTGCCGCAATTCCTCCTTCGCCTTGGCCCTCATGTAAATTGGACAGATGAAAAGCTGTGCTTCGAATCTTTCCTGAAAGAGCTAGCGACGTTCTATGTTCCAGAACAACTCCCAACCCTCCCAGGTAATGACGAGACAGAGGAAGATGTCCCCGATGAGATCAAAGCAAGAAGATCTCAAATCCGCCGCGCGGTAGAACACATATTCTTTCCGGCGTTCAAAGCGAGATTGGTAGCAACCAAATCATTTATGAAAGGCGGCGTACTTGAGTTAGCCAGTCTCAAAGGGCTTTACAGAGTTTTTGAGCGGTGCTAATGTCCCAGCGGAGCATGTGATACCCATTGATGCTATAGATATATATTAGAAAGATTGCTGTCTATAAGAAGATACGGAGTGGCGATATAATTTGCTGTTCGTCATAATTTTCATGAAAGGCTTCTAACGGATCATGGGACCTTGGAACCATGAGACGAGTCCGGTAGAATAGTATCAATCAATACAACTTTCTAGCTTGGACTTTACCTACTTACTACATTGAGATTTGTCAAATAATCATATCACTCACTACTGTGAAATCAAAGATATTTTATTAAGTAGAGGAAACCCAGAAAAAAAGTTCATTTATGTTGCTGCTAGAATAGGCAAGTTTCATCGACGCACTCACGGCTATTCCGTGATTCCTATCTATGTCCAGCAAAAAGAAACTCATCATCTTGACTAATAGCGATGGTGAACGATGCAAGACAACTGCAGTAATCCGCACTGGTAAGTGTGCAGAAATAAGAGATATAGCATAATTTGTGCATAATAACCTCCCATAATGCCATTTTTTTCGGATGACTCAGAAAACCCCATCCGTCGAAAGCCAAGGACTAGTCATTCTCAAAGAGAATGAACTTATGCTTCATCGTTGCGAAGCTTGTTGCTGGACTCACCCGCCGATGACTCAGGCTCTCCCTTAACTTTGCCTGCGTGGAACGTAATGTTAGTACTTGAGGAATTAGGTGACAATTTGAGGGATGCGTATGGACCGGAACACATACCGATTTCATCGTCGGGAGCTCCAGCTGAGATCTTGCTTGAAGTGGAAGAAAAAGACGCCTTCTTGGAGCGAGGCTTGACATCTTCGTCTGTTTCATAGCATATATGTTAGTACTTAGATGACGAGGAGTAGGGAGGTAATAACGAGATACGAACCATCGTCACCAGCGAAGTCCTCGGGCTTCGACTTTCTCTTCCTAGATCCCTTGCCACGGCTGGGACTGGGGGTGACAGCTACGTGTAATGTTAGTCCATGATTCGAGGTGAGGTAACTTAAGATAGGAGGAAAATATTTAGCGAGGTGGATTGACATACCCGGATCGTCGTCGCTCGGGGAGTGCGACATGAAAGTAGCGTGCTGGGCACGGGCGGCTGTCCAAGCATGCATCATACTTCGCTTGGTACGGCCCGGCAGGTTGACGGAGTCATACGGGAAGCCGCTGCTGCCGCTCAAGGCCTGGATTGCTTGGACGAGAAATGAGACCTGGCAGGGATATCTTATTTAGCATCTGCTCATCGTGAATAGCACACCCAGTTATCATAGCAGGTGGTATTCGAATAATAAGGTTACATACCTTCTCATTCTCGGACCACTTGGGAGGTTTGCCGGCCGACATGGTGGTGGTTAGATATGCTGCTTTTTTGAGACGTTAGTTGTGAGAATGTGAAAGTGTGGAAGATAGAAACGAGAGTGTGTAGGTTGTTAATGTACTTTGCGAAGTGAGATGGAAAGTTTGTGATGTATATGGTGGTAGAGGAGAGAGGGAAGGAAAGAAGTGGCTTGGTGAGTGTTGGAAAGATGCCCATGGGTAGTATGGAAACATAAAGTGGTTACCAGATATTCCCCGTATTGTACTAGTAAGTAGTACCGAGGTTGACAGACTGACATTGATGATATGAATAGAGGAAGTATGGAACAGATATTTCGTGAGAGTAACTTGAACATACCTTAGAGATGGATAGCTTGAGTGTCGAAATGCGGAGTTGGGTTAGACGAAGAATGTTGTAGAGGGAAGCGTTGAATCGAGATATGGCAACCGGAACGGCACGAACTTAAAGGACAACCAGACGTAAAGTCCATCTTGGACGGTCTATTGCTGGTCGGCAGCTGTGTATACCATAATGGTCACCACCCATCGGCTATTACTTCACTTCCTTCTCAGTGAATACTAAACCCGCCTACACTTCCGCCTTCCCCGTACACACCCTTGCCACTCAACGTCGAACTTGGCACAACTACTCAGGTAGGCGCCTCCCAGTGTGGACGCACTCGAGGATGAGAGGATGAGATAGGCATCAAGTCCGCCAGACCCACTTGCACGCATTGCAGGACTATCACGGGCTTTGTGATAATCACATTCTCGTACGTAGTTCTTTCGTATCTGCAAGGTTGAATTCGGTCAATGGCTTGAAGGTGCGTCCAAAGATGGCTAAATTCTAGGCCGTCCGTGCACAAAAAGCAAATTCACCAACATGGTTACAGATCCTTACCCAGATGCGTCTGCCTTTCAGCCCTATGATCGGGCCACTGTGACGGAATGTAGTGATAGGTTACCGGTTTACAGGGAAAAGCAGTAATCTATGAGAGGTGATGTATCTATTCACGATTATCTGGCATCCGTGCACTATGCAGGCTACCTACCTAATGTTGAACTGATCGTCTAGTATGAGAGGCAGAGGAATGTCTTAAGTGGTATTCGATATCTGCTTACTTGCCACCATTTCAGGTATATGAACTTAGGGGTCTAATCAGCGAGAACCTGGTCTCATTCTTGGTTTATTTAGATGACGATGTAGCTATGTATGTAGAATCATCATGAGCTTACTTCTGCCCGAAACGACAAAGGGAACATAATACCTATCAATGTTTAAGATTGCAATCTCTATAATGCATGCATACACTCGGTCTCCTTTCAGGACTCGTTGATTCCAGAAATAGTAGAGTAATTATAATATAAATCATACCTCTCACCTACCTCACTTAGGCTTCATCATAACAATAGATAAGGTCGATTCTATTCCCGTTCGTACATAAAAGCCTCTCCTGTTATTCACGTGCAAGTTACTTAAGTAAGCGTGAACATTGAAGTTACGTCAGCCAGGGGTACGGCACGTGAAAGCGACCTACGTACCCGTGTAAAAGTCAGGTCTAACGCAAGCGATCTGTATTTTGATTAGTTAATCGTCCCCTTGGACGTGACCTACCCCGACGCTAAGATAACGATCCCGTTATCGAACCCTTGCTGTCCCTTATTCTAGCAAAACTTAATCTCGTAGGGTGATGCAGTTTGCAGACCTCTTGCCAACAGCCAACAGGTAGACGGGTGGAAGTTGCCCTCAGCTAGGATTTACAAATAGTCTTTTTTCCATTTCAATTCTGTTTCGTCTTTAATCCCCATTCGGTTCAACACTAAGTTTTCTTCTTCGAAAAGCATTTAGAGTATGCGAACCGCTTGAAGGTGCAGATATATAAGCATTCGCATCCTATCCCGTCCTTTAGCAACATCCGTCCACACCCGCGTCATCGTCGTCATTGTTATTCCTACCATCGCCGTCGCGATCGCAATCTCGATATAAAATCTGAATTGTCTAGGGGTCAATTAGATGTGCACATCAAGGCGGGGATAATTGGTGCTATATGAGGCACCTTTTGCCTTTGCGCATTGCTGAGTCAGGCTTCACCCAATTCCTTCGACCGTCGTTAAGATCTTCTCGAATTACGCCGTCACTTCCGCGCTCATCACGGTGCGCGTACAAGCCTTTTCTACAACATAGACTCACCTTTCGTCCTACACGCCAATTCACTGTACAGTCAGAGTCACGCAGTGGCCAGCATCAGCAAGGGACTTCAGCAACCACAGCAGCCAAAGCAGATATGAATGGGACAAGTCAATCCTCGCGCACTAAGCGCAAAGCTTCCTTTTCGCCTCACGACCATGATCGTCCACAAAAACACATCCGACCCATTAATGGCAAGATGTCCCCGAGCGAAAATACACCCGATACCGAATTACCTAGTTTCATGGAAGACGATATGGTCGCCGACGAAGATATCTCCATCCTCTATCCACAGCCTACCACCGACACGACTGAATGGCAAGCTACCATAGAGAAGGTGGTGAAGAATGTTGTTTCCATTCGATTCTGCCAAACTTGTTCCTTCGATACCGACGTAGCTTGCGCTAGCGAGGCGACGGGGTTTGTTGTCGACGCTGAGAAAGGGTAAGGACTCTTCAAAATAAACGAATTGGGATTTTCAACCCGCTGATACACTGGCAGATACATCTTGACGAACAGACATGTCGTCGGCGCTGGTCCTTTCTGGGGATATGTTGTTTTTGACAACCATGAAGAAGTTGACGCGTACCCTGTATACCGAGATCCTGTCCACGATTTCGGCATTCTGCGATTCGATCCTAAGGCGATTAAGTATATGCCTGTCTCCGCTCTACCCATCCGCCCAGACTTAGCAAAAGGTATATTCCGCATTCACATTCTGCCCCTTTCGAAGCTTATCCTAAAATTCCGATTTCTAACCTACTATTGTTCCTCCTTTTTTAGTGGGAGTTGAAATCCGAGTTGTCGGAAATGATGCTGGCGAAAAGCTCAGTATTCTATCTGGCGTTATTAGCCGACTTGACCGTAATGCGCCCGAATATGGCGAAGGCTATAGTGATTTCAATACCAATTATTATCAGGCGAATGCTGCTGCTAGCGGGGGTAGTTCTGGTAGTCCCGTCGTTAATATCGACGGCTTTGCTATAGCTCTCCAAGCTGGCGGGAGATCTGATGGCGCATCCACGGACTATTTCTTACCTCTCGACCGCCCGTTGCGAGCCCTTCGCTGCATACAAGAGGGCAAATCAATCGAACGAGGCACAATTCAGTGCCAGTTTATCATGAAACCCTTTGACGAGTGTCGTCGTCTCGGCCTCACGGCAAGCTGGGAGAAGGCAGTTCGAGAGACATTCCCTAAGGAAACTAATATGCTCGTTGCCGAGATTATTCTTCCCCAGGGGCCATCTCACAACAAGATTGAAGAGGGAGACGTACTTCTGAAAGTGAATGGCGAGATGATCACCCAGTTCATTCGACTTGACGATATACTGGACTCGAACGTTGGCAAGACGATTCAAGTGACTCTTCAACGAGGAGGTAAAGACGTCGATATTGATATCGAAGTTGGCGACCTCCATAGTATTACCCCGGACCGGTTCGTAACGGTGTCTGGAGCTAGTGTACACAACCTATCTTACCAACAAGCACGCCTATATGGAGTAGCTATTCATGGTGGTGGCGTTTTTGTGTGCGAATCAACTGGCTCTTTCCGTTTCGATAGTGCGGACAGCGGGTGGATGATCCAGAGTGTCGATCAGAAGAAGACTCCCGATTTGGAGACCTTCATTGATGTTGTTAAGCAGATCCCGGATAAGAAACGTGTGGTTGTCACCTATAAGCATCTTCGCGATCTTCACACTCTGAACACCACCATCATTAATGTCGACCGACACTGGTCTGCAAAGATGCGACTGGCAGTACGGAATGATGTGACTGGGTTGTGGGACTTCGAGGACATCGCCGATGCCCTACCTCGTCAACCTCCAGTGCGTGTAAAGTGTTCCTTCATCCAGCTAGAGCACACGTCTCACCCTGCTGTTGCCGATTTAGTCCGCAGCTTTGTGCGCGTAGGCTGCACTATGCCTTTGAAGCTAGATGGATTTCCTAGAAATCGGAAATGGGGAATGGGCTTAGTGATCGATGCCGAAAAGGGCCTCGTAATCATCTCGAGAGCTGTCGTCCCTTACGATTTGTGCGATATATGGATTACAATTGCCGATTCGATCGTTGTCGAAGGCAAGGTTGTCTTCATGCACCCACTCCAGAATTATGCAATCATCAAGTACGACCCGGCGTTTGTCGATGCACCAGTCTTGAGCGCTAGGCTTAGCAAGGATAGTATCGCGCAGGGGGCTTCCACTACGTTTATTGGATATAATAGGAGTGGCCGAATCGTACATGCTGCTACTACAGTGACCGAGATGACCACAGTTGCCATTCCTGCTAATTCCAGCGCACCAAGATATCGGGCTACCAACATCGACGCTATAACTGTTGACACAAACCTTAGTGGGCAATGTGGCAGTGGGGTTCTCGTCGATAAGGATGGCACTGTGCAGGCTTTATGGCTCACCTACCTCGGCGAGAGGTCCTCTGGCTCCAGAGATGAAGAGTATCATCTCGGCCTCGCTACGCCGACTTTATTGCCCGTCTTATCGCAGATCCAGGAGGGCCGCGATCCGAAATTGCGGATGCTGCCGATGGAATTCCGGCCTATCGCCATGTCTCAGGCCAGAGTTATGGGCATCTCGGATGACTGGATAGAGAAGGTAACCCTAGCCAACAAGCATAACCACCAACTGTTCATGGTTTCCAAATGCACATTCGAACGCGACAATCGACCCGTTGTCTTACTAGAGGGCGATGTTATTTTGACATTGAACGACAAAATCATCACGCGTGTGTCAGAGCTCGACGTGATGTACTCGCATGAAGTTCTCGACGCAGTGATTGTGCGAGAAAGCAAGGAGATGCGCCTCCAGGTCCCGACATCCCCTGCGGATGATGTAGAGACCAACCATGCCATATCATTCTGTGGAGCTGTGCTTCATGTTCCTCACCTTGCGGTTAGGCAGCAGATTAGCAAGCTACCGAGTGAGGTATATGTTTCTGCTCGGAGCAGAGGTTCGCCAGCTAAGCATTATGGGCTTGCACCGACCAACTTTATCACCCACGTCAACGGCGTATCAACTCCGGATCTAAAGACCTTCTTAGAACACGTAGTCAAGGTCCCAGACAATACTTGTAAGCATCCCGTCCATTCGTCTGTCAGATTAGATGAGATTGACTAATATTTGATCAGATTTCCGATTGAAGGCTATGACGTTCGACAACCAACCATGGGTCATCACGATGAAGAAGAACGAACACTATTTCCCAACGGTAGAGTGGATCAAGGACGGCTCGGAGCCATGCGGCTGGCGACGGGTCACGTACGAGAGCGGTAAGCCTGTCGAGGGCGAGCCAACAGAAGGGATTCTACCTCTGCAAGATGGAGAAGATGTCGAGGCCATTGATGACGATGGTGGCATTTAGGGGGCATTCTTCTCGCGCGCAAATGTTTGAATCGACGTGCTGGCGTGACACAGCATAGGATCAGCCGTACTTTGTCATAGAGCTCTTGTAAATAGACTAATGAAGTAAATACTAACGGGTAGGCTAAGAAGGGGGCTACTTGAATAACTTGGCTATAAGGCCTTTATTCTTGCACTTTTTCCGGTTCCAACTAATAGTGATCTAAGTTCGAGTTGGCAATGTGCTTAGTTGTCCTCCCACCTCTCCTACTTAACGTATAATATTCATTGATGCTGTGGATATTATGACAGATTCACAAATTTTAGTCTGGGATGTCTCTTAAGACTGAAGCCACGCCCGATCCTTGATCTGAGCAGGGGCGATAGCTGTCAACAAATCGCCATAGCCTCTTAAGCCAAAGAGAGTTCAAAGGGGCTGGACAACAGGTACGACCCAGCGAACAGGAGATACGGAAGGTACAACACTCCACAGAGCAAGAACACCCGAACCAACAGCAAGCATGTAAGGTTAAAAAAAGAAAGCTTTTACCATATCTCATCCCAGACCCGGGCAATAGCCACTGCGATTCGTGGTTCGCTGCACCGGGCTTTTGGTCTAGGTTCCTCGCTGCCCGGCTACGAGCAAGATGTCCTCCAAAATCGCGCGAGACGGTTGTAGGCGACCCCGTTCGAGTGGGGTGAGCAGAGGCCTCTTATTTATTTTTATTTTTTTTATAGGAGAGTCATTAAGGGTATTTTCAATTAATTTTATGATATTGGGTTGAAAGTGGTTGATTATGATTATCCTTTTTTAATCCGACCTTTTGCTTCTGCATGTCCCTGTTTTGAGTTACTCGCTCCCCTTTCAATCATGTGACGGGAAGGTTCAGGTACGATATATTGCTTTTACACACTTACTGAGAAGTATTGTTGCCATGATTCTATCACTACTTACCTGTTGCTTATATATAGCGTGGTGTTCTACTGGAAATAAATGCGTGGTTTCTGTATAAGTGAACTACTACCGATATTCGTTGAAGAGTTGCGTAAGCGTCTACCCCTTTCTGTTGTCAACCACTTATCGATTACTATCGCTCATACAACCACGGTCGTTCACTTCACCATTCATTTCATCCTAAGCTTAGGGGAAAAGTTACCAGATACTCAAACTGAGACGTTTTGTATTGTCATATTCTAGGGTTTCTCCGATATTAGAATAATATGCTAAACATGCTTGAGCTTGTAAGTCTAGCATACAGTCTAGTAATAATTAGCCAGGTAATCCAGCCTCTTCAAAGGAAGGAGGCGTCCTTCCGTGTAATCCCCATTTATGTGGTCCAATGGCCTTGCTTGAAATGACTCCCCGAGCCCCAGGCTATTATTTGCAACGCGACCGACGTGCAAAACCCGATTGTTCAACAATAGAGAACGTGAAAACAACCAACTCCCCCAACCCCAAATAGCTCGACCGAGCCGAACCCGTGCCAGCAAACTTCAAGGGCCCAACCCGCATTCTATGATGTATCGAAGGGTATCAATAGTGAAATCAAAGAAACAAATAACAAACGGAGCCCAGTCAATAGGGATCATAGGTCAGTGCAAAATAAAAGGATTTCGATCGTAGCTCGTTCCGTCGTCGTACCGTAGAATCTTGTCGATACGTCGCTTCTAACTATCCCTGTCCGTGGACCCATCGTAAATTGGGTTTACAAAAGAGCGGCGAAGGCGGCCACGGCAAGGAGCATCGCGCCACTCACAGGAACGTGAATGTCGTTGCTACTCGCGGCGACGATACCATTATCAGGGGGCGTTGGCGAAGGCGATGATGATGAGGACGTAGCTTTGGGAACAGCAGTGCTGGTCGCAGAGCTGCTCGGTGGCTCAGTAGCCGTGGACCCATAATCCCCACTGGAGGGAGCGCTTTCAACAATCTTAAGTGAAGTAGCGCTCTTAGTCGCGGATGCATTTGTCGAGGATGTTGGCTTGGGTGTAGGAGTAGGAGTAGGGGTAGGCACTATAAGGGACCCGGGAAGGCTGTAAGCCGCAGCGCACTGCTTAAGAGTCATGCTGTCGGGACAACACCAAGTATTGCCTTTATCATCGGCACTGCAAAAGTAGCCCTGATCACAAGAATCTACATGATAATGAGCCTAGTTCCATGGCTATTTATTTAAGATTTGAGATCTTACCTCCGGTTTGACCGGGACAACAAGTCTGATTGCCGGCTTTGTTGAAGCAATGTACGACACCGTCCTTCGAAGGACATTGATCAAAGCCTTTACCACAGGCCTCGGCGCAAGTATCTCCAGAGCTACAGAATTGCTGCTCGGGAGAATATCCATCGTCGCCGCGGCGGTCGAGACCGAAGATACTTCTTGCTGACATGCGGGCGAGCTTTAACTTATACGGTTGGCGCACGGGTTCGGCAATAGCCTGGCCGGCAAGGGCCAAAATGGCGATGGAGGAGACTGTTTGAAATAACATGGCGATAATTATTAAAATAGACTGTAGGTTGAACGGGATGAAAAATGTAGGAGTTAAGGCTGTTTCGTTAGGTGTCAAAGATGGACTATGGTGAGTATAAGATAAAGCGAATGAGCGCTCGTCAGAGCTATAACGAATGACACGTAGAACGAATGAAATGTTTGATGGAAATGTGTCAAACAACCACACCCGCGTCCTCAGAATGAGTAATGGGAAAATCGGGAAAGCGAAAGAAAGAGAAAAGCCCAAAAGGGAAGCGGTGGGTGAATTGAAAGCTTACCAGAACATATAAAGGGAAAGAGTGCCGTTCGGCATGCTTTCCTCCTATGTTATCGAGGCAACTGTCAGGGCGATCACTCCTCGTTATTTTAAGCTGTATCACCAAATACTTTAACTTCCTTCATCCATGTCGAGCATCTTGATTTGACATGGCCAAGCAGGCGCAGGGCAGTCATCAGGCGCGGGCGCATGAAAGATCAAGGCAGGGATAATTCAGATGACCAGGCTCTCCATCCATACTCCCTATCCGAGGACTGGATAGCCCCGTGGAATAGTTACCTTGATATTTGAGACATGCCGTCTTTTTTTTCTGATTTAGTAGCGTATTCTTGTTCTTACGTGATTATAGGATAATGCCTTCTAAACAGTTGCCGCTGTCAGGTGGCCGGCTTGGGACACACCCAAAACCCTTACTACGGCAACTAATAATAGTCAAGACACGGAGAACCAGTGGATGTCAAATGTTTGGAATAAATTGATGACCGCCAAGCTTTTCGCTAGACTTAGCATTGTAGTAACTTGAGTGGATGATTTGTTTTTAGCGAGCTTCTGATCGATCCTCTGGGCTCTGGGCTCTGGGGAATAGGGGAAGAGGAGGAAAAAGCAAAGTAATGGATAGAGAAACAACTTAAAGAGGGGCGCAAACTGAAGCGAAAGTGTCAAGGAGATGCGCTAAAGCTAAATACGTACTCAATATACCGAATGCACCTTACTTAAAAGAGATAAAGTTGAAGATTATGTAATGAGATCGCCAGGGACAGTTCCTAATTGGAAACAAACCTAGAATATGATTGGTTGGTTGCACCAATTATATACCCCTGCCTGCCCTGTCTCACAGTTTCATCTCAGAACCATATCTAACCATTCAATTCCCTCTTTCCAAAATTGAGAATCGGTTTCTACCAAGATTTGTTGGTAACCTCAAGAAAGTCAATATGCAATTATGTAATCTACTAACGTCGCCTCCGATCTTTAACGTAAGTGTTAACAGTCTCTACCAAGACACACTAAAATACCAGTTGTAGCCATCGATGCTCTGGTCAAAGCGATGGAGTTGGTTCCGTACGAAACGCAATCGATTTCCTTCCAAAATCTGGCTAGTGATCTGTGCGGCATAGCGGATCTTGAGAGGATCGTCTTACTATGATCTACATCTACTTCTGTATGTAACTGATGAGATGCAGCCAAAAAAAACACCCCACCAAACCTACCGTCTCCTAGATCAATACTCTCAGACCTGCTACTATACTTCCGTGTTTGATATATCACCCGTTATCCGACAATTACTACATGATGTAGTGAAGACATTTGTGACATCACACCTTACTGTCCGTGAGCATGTATCTGATCCTGCGCCAGGTCAAAGATCAAACCCCTCCGGTTTGGTCGACATGATATGATAAGGTCACAGGACACTTCTAAATTGTTGCGATCTCGAAGGGTTCGGACTACACGAATTTTCCATGAACCAGCTCTGGTCTTGCTATTTGGAGTTGAAACCCAGCAAATTGCCGTAATACTTGACGTACTTAGGCAATCCCTCGTGATCGTGTCACTGAGCTTTTCGTAAGGAGACCCGACGAGATCAAGCCCCTCTTACTTCAGAGTTAGCGAAAGTGTCCCAGCGCTAGGAGAAATTCCACCTGATCATCGATGCTTGACGCATCGCTCTAATTTACCTAGGCATATCGGCCTTGGGAATATGTAAATAGCGTTATAGCTGTTGAGACCAAGCGGTTAAAGTTTGCGTAAATTGGTACGAACCCGTCGACCTAACAGGTATTTAGAGGACGTTCTGACCTTAATTTATCCTATTTTCTTCTTAGATCGACGGTAACATTTGAATCAATCTGAACTAACTTAAGATTAAATGGTAATCTAACCGCTGCGAGTTCATGCCGTAATATAGTATTATTTGCTGTCGAATACTATACCTCATAAGTAGCAGATTGACCTTGAGAAGGCCCTTTCTAGTCAGGACTATTACGTGCGCTAAAAGAAAACACAGATCATCAGCAATTCATCTCTACTTCCCGAGTGCGTAGTACTCGAGCTTGGATACGGACTAGAATGTGGTCATATTCAAGTAAAGCCTCGCGTATTGTAGTTAAAGCTTTTAATTGCGTCTGAGGCCTGAGTCTTGTTTATATAACTTGCGCCTAGCTTGGCATGGGTTATTGAGACTTTGGACAAGCCAAGAGTGCACTTATAGACATCTCACCATATAAGTTAACTGGCACTTATTTTCGATCTAATAACACGGCAATCACATAGACACTTATATCTTCTTGAACATCATGAAATTGTCTACGTTCTTTCCTGTCCTCGCTGCCTCTGCTGCAGTAACGTCGGCTCTTGGAGATCAAGCCTCCATAGCTGCCTTGAGAAACGCCGACGAGTCACTTCCGGCTAGTGACAAAGGTCAATCCCTAGAGCTCTACGATGCCCAAGGAGAGCCTCTTAAGCCAATCAAAAAGGGGACAGCTGTCGCCAAGGGACTATGCCTATATAGCGTAGAGGAGCTTCAGGTGGGACCCGTCGCCTTTTTCTCCCCTTACTCCTTAGATCAGCTCATCGCCGCTAAGGAGAGACTTGAGAGGGAGGGTGATTGCCAAGTCTTCCATAGTAAGTCTCATCTATTCCTCGCCTTACATAGCAAACTGTCGAGACCTTTTCATACGCGCCATCCGCTAACAGCACCTCATAGCCCCTAATATAAGCGTCCTCAGCACGCGCTCTGGGGGGATCCTCAAGACTGAAGGAAATGCTCCTAGATGCGTCAACGCCATTTTGCCAAATCCAAATCACAATCCGGGAGACGCCGAGGTTACGCCTGGTGGCCCTGACAAGTCCTCCGCTACGATCCAGGGAGTCTCGGCCTTTTCCTTCGTCGTAGCTTTCACCGCCTTGGTCGCTTTGTAGGGGAGTCAGAGACGTAAGGGGTATCAGCCCACAGTCTATCGAATAGTCTCCACCATATTATCGACGAGTACACTCCTGGTACTTTCTAGGGATATCTATGAATATCGATAAAATTCGCCAAGCTAGTATCATATTATTACGTTACCTGTATAATAGTCAGATATTTGACAATCTGTTGCGATAATCGTGGAATAGTTGATCCGTTCAAGGAGGTTATATTGCCACTTCAGAGTAGCCTTGTGGTATTGAAGAGTGACATGGCGTCGTGGTATATGGTACGCCCTTTCGTTGCCTAGTGTTGGCGAACTTGCGTGCGTAGTGCCTAGCTATCGTGACATGTCAACCCCCATGTCTGCCTGTCTAGGTAGCTCAAAGTGCAGACCCCTGAGGCGGGAAACAAGTCGTCTATTCGAAAAATGAGCTGTGCGGCAAGACCTGCTGGAAAAGGAAAGCTCGGCCGATACTCTCGAGGTTCGAGTGGCAATAATACGTCGTTGCATCTTAGTATCCATAATCCACAGGCCATAATCTATCCTCTGTAAGGGCTTGACATCGGTATTAAGTGATTACATGCGTGCTGGTCCCAACATTTTGCGTAGGCACGGTTTGACGACGAGGTCTTGGGACAAGACTAGCTGATGCGGTCAGCAGCGCAGTGGCAAGAAATAATGCATTTCAGTTTAGGGCTGAGATGGTCAGACGCGCATGGATGGGATCAAGGCGTCTCCTGCAGCACGCGTCGCGTGGGGGAGAGATGGCGAAAAAAAATTGAGAGGTCGTCAGCGAAGCACCCGTCGTTGCCGGTTTGCTGCCTGGACAAGCTTCCCAGTTTCCAAGATTTGCCAGACCGAGCTATGTACGTACGTGTGCGATGATACACAAGACGAGTGACTCCCATCAGGCGGTGTGGAACAAAGAGAGGCCACGAGAACAGTTGATTGCATATCCGGAGTTGCATCGTGCACGGGATCCAGTCGAAAACTACGTTAGCAAGAGGGATGTAATAATTGATAATCGAGAAATCTGAAGCTTGCTTTTCGAGTTGTGTGGTCGGGTGGTCTTGTGGCCTTACGGACGGAAACGCCGAGTTGGCCGGACCACACGCCGTCGCAATCGCGAAAGGGCTCGGCAGCTCGCGTTTCGTCGAAGGGTCCGACTCCACATCACTTCATTCTCCGGCCTTGTTCGTGGACTTGTGGCGATATCGGCTGAGCAGTCCGTCTTTCGGCGGTCTGGGTTGGGGTCGTCCGGTCTTGGGAGATTTGGGTGATGGCAGAGGTGAACGTTTGCATGTCGAAAATGATTCGAAATGCTACCTATGTTGCCAAGTCGTATTGAGGATATCGATCCAATATCGATCCAACATCGACCCAACATCGATCCAGCTTATGGCCGATCCCGAATCCTTCCGTCAATAACAGAAAAAGTTATAACTTATGGGCAGACAATTTAGGGTATGGTTGGTATATGGTATAGGTTTCGAAGTCGGCTAAGTTTCGGGGATAGATGGTTTCCCCATCGGCCATCGGCCATCGGGCATCAGGTCATGCAAAGGATCAATCAATCCCGATCCCGCCTGCCCTGCTCATTCAATGTTAGGATTTGATTCATTCTGCAAGCGCGAATTGGGTTATGTAATTACGTAAGCGGATATTTAGCTCGGTCCCAGGGCTACGGTTAGGTTACCATCGGTCGAGCGGGCATGATGTCACACCAATCAGTAGAAGGGTTTGAAAGTTTTTTGATGTTACACCTGCTGACAATTATCAAATATACTACGGGGGAATATTCTCCTGCTGACTTCGATGCATTGCAGAGAAAGGCAAGTAATCCTACATGCGACTAGGGGTTCACGCGCTGCCTGTACATCCACCACACCTCAGCTCGGCACCCATATCCAATGAGAGGGAAAAGGAATGGATTCATCTATCTGCAGCTCTAATGCTATGTAGGTATTTTGCGTTTAGGTACATCATGTAATGTAGTCTAAGCTCGTCGCCAAGTCCCATCCAGCCGGTACCATGCACCTACACACAGCCTCGACCATTGCGCGTCCTGTCGTCCTATCAGAACCCGGCCGGGTTTAACGTCTGATTAACTCTCGCTTCTAAATGAACTTTCTCCAAGCTTCTTCACGGCCGGCATCGCTTCGGTCCTTTCAGGGATCGAAAAGGCTTCTAAGAACATTCTTCCTAGGCTTCCATTGGATCGGTGAAAACGAGTTGTTCTATAATACGTATTTCGGCAGCAAATGTGGAATCTTCGGTCGCCCATCTGCGCAGCTTGCTAAGCAATATGCTCTGGATTGGTTGCATATGAGGGAGGTAGTGATGTAATGCGGGCGTATTATCTGCCATCCATAGCATGATGAGACATGCCAAACAACTCTGAGAGAAGGTCCATAGATACGGGGAGCGCTTGTCTATCATCTCCATTGCGTTGTAGAGGTAAGTGACGCAGGAGTCGATACATGTCTCGCACCTTTCCAAGAAAACTGGTGACTCGCTGTACGGATCGGGGCTGAGAACGGATGTACTCGCTGGAGACTGGCCGTCGCACTGCCGGGAAACAATCTGAAGGAGAAAGGGCCGATGGATTATATGCCTTGCGGCATAATATCGAACTCTGAGAACGCGAGCACGATCGTTCGGCAGTGGCACAGTCCCTTTCGCGGGCCGTAAGTAATCCGGTATTGAAAAGTACCATTCTTCTAGCTGTCTGTTTAGTTCCGCACTGAGAGATTGGAGCTTCTGCGTGTTCAAACTCTGCCAAGCTTGGTTTGGGCCTGTAGGCAAAACCGGGTTGGGGCTCGTTTGCGCTATTTCAGGACCGTAGAGAGAATTATGTATACGATTCAAGAGTCGACGAATTGCATGTTCAGCGATAAAGTAGATGGTACTCTCGTTATCAGAAGGGTCTGTGCTATGTGGGAGTCGCATTCGGTCGCCCAGGGGTTCGATTCCACTTCGAGGGACATCGAGTTCAGCGATTCGATCGCTAAGTGACTGAATTAGTATACGAGCAATATATTCTCATTAGTTTTCATACCATTCAACTGTGAAGCATTGCCAAAATGTTCTTAACTCGGCTTCCTCAAATTCCGCATTAGATAGGTAACGTTGTCGACTTTTATAGATTAGTATAGACCGACAATTGTATGGAGGTTCCGTTACCTCTCAAGGAGACCCAGAAAAGCTCGGGATGAAAATTGCGCCATCTTCCAGCTATGAAGAGGTCTTCCTAGATAAGCGAAGTATGATGCGGCGAGCAATAAAGCTTGACAAAGATTTACACTTGGTCTAAATTCCCACACTAACTTATGCAACATAATCCGGAGTGCTGGTTGGAAAAATTGAAGCCCAAGTGCTTCATCGCTCTCGTGGTCTCCTGCCGCGTTCGAACAAACCGTGCCTAAAGCGTATACGCAAAAACATATCGCAGTACTAATCTCTTCCATAACTTTTTCTTGAACAAGCTTATCCTGCCATGTTTTAAACATGGCTGGAGTAAAGAGTGGGTGGTGAGGATGGACATTTCGAAAATAATTCTCGGTTAGCGCATCTAGACTATCAATGTCGATAGACGGCCAAACTAAGGGACTGTCATATAGCTTCCCCAGGAGGCCAGGAAGTGGCAGTTTCTCTTCGATCTCGAAGAAATAGTCTCTTGGATACTCCCCGATAAGATCACGCACCATGGGTAACGAAAGAAGCGTGATAGGTAGAGTAGCGTGGTTTTTCGGGATCAGAAACTGCGGTGAATCAAGTTGAGGGTCTATTCCGGCGGACGTTGAAGGTAAGTATTCTGATGGCTGTTGGTACGTAGTGAAATAGTCGGCCTGGCTCGTCGGGTACGAAAGGGGACTGGACCGGGTACTAAGATGGTTAATCTGCTGGCTTTGGTGTTCGAGTAGAGTTTCTATTCGGGCAAGTCGATCGATCACAGCAGTCGGACTTGAGTCTTCAACTCTACAACTATCAGTCAGCACACCAATGGGATCTTAAGTTACGAAGGCCGAGGAAAAACACCTATCGAATGGGAGTTCTTTGTATACACAATCGGCATTTGAATCCCTGCATGTAGAACATGGCTTTTTCCCGTCGCATCTTCGTTTTCGATGCCTATTCTATGGTTAGGTTGCTAATGGTTTCATATCGGATCGGAAATATCGTACCTGCAGAAGTCGCAAGCAAGAAGTGCGCCTGGTTTCCAGTAAGTCGATAGTCTGTATAAGGAGTTTTAGGAGGGAGGAAAGGTAACCATACGTTTCCTTGTATAGTTCATGTGGCAAACCCGAGAAAGTAGTTGAGACTACGACCCCCTGACTTAAACTTTTATCGTTCAAGGCGAGAGTAAGCATTAACTAGGGTAATAAAACTTGATAGCTGAGCGCGTAAGTGCGGCTGCTTCCGTTAAAATACCCTGGGCCGAAGAGGCAGTCCACCCTCTCTTGTGGTGTGGTCGACCCAATAACCTGGGACGTAGTATAAGATCCTGGGATCTTACCGGGGGACGGCAGTTAGATATTGGGTAGCTATTATCACAACACTACTCGTCCAATTCCTCATAGCTAAGCAGAAGCAAGCTCTTCTGACCGCCACACACCTGAGCCAATTGTGCTGATTGGCTTAATCGCTGATCCTGACCAACAAGAAACTCTTATAGAACTGAAGCATGGAGTATCAAGTTATTTCGGGTATAACCGTAGGCATTGAAGCCGTATTATAGTTTTCACGTAGAAAGGTACTCGCCCAATCATTTTAAGATATCGAAAAAAGGGGACGCAGCCCCCCTTTATGGGGCAAATGGAACACTACCGCTGTGCCTACAACCTACGTTGCTCTTCCACATATGACTAATATCTGCAGTATTATAAGAGAAGAACCGAAGGCAGACTACGTACCCGATCTGGGTAAGTCAGTAATATTGATGACATCCAGAAGAGGAAATGATATTTGCGTACTTAAGGACTTTAGCGAAGACTCAAAGACTCATACTGAGATATTGGTCAACGAGCTTACCCAAGCACTACGTCATAAATATCGGCTAGCCGTATTATGAATATGTTCGATATACAGCTGATTCCACAAGGGCTTGCAGTCACCCCTGAGATAAGACTTGAAGGGCGTGGAGTCGAGTCACCACCTACATGTACTAGGTAGGTTGTTGGAATCAAATAATCTGTTACATGAAGAGTGAAAGACTAAAAGAACCTTTGCTAAGTTGGCGTAATTCAGCTCCGCGGAGGGGGCGGGTAACAGCGGGGCACGGGTGAATCTAAATACGATTCAAAAGGAGACCCAGTTCCCAGGCACCTAATGCCGCTTATACACAGCCCTATAAACGAAATCTTACCTACTCCGAATTTACAAATAGCGAATGCATCCAGTGATTCGTCAAATATGCCTTTCTATACATATCATCAATACTATTCAAGGGTATTTGCTATAGTGTATACATAGACGGGCTAACTTCGGTATAGACTTCGGTGTCAGAAGGGATAGTACCTAGGTACCTCGGTACCCTAGGTTGTATGTAGGTAACTCTAATTAAGTCAACTTTTGACAACCGGCCCTTCCAATATAAAATGACAAATATCTTAGATGGAAAAAGGGTATGGAGGTACCCCCAATGGAAAGCTCGTAATCACATCATGTGTTTACATGCAGATCGCATTTGATTACCTACTTAGTCTGATTAATACTATTCTCTATACGTCAGTGGATGACGATGTTGGAGGCGCATTTAGGGCTGAACTAGGAGGGCTCGAAAGTTCGGGAAAGGGAGTTTACGTTGATTAAAATGCTGTGTCAGCTCTGGAATATTAGAACATACATACCTACCTACTTACTAGGTACCTACCTGATCAGTGGGGGTCCTCCAGCCGTACCTACCTATTCCGTGACTTCTATAAACGTCTCCAATTCTTGTTGGAAGGTACATCCGTAGGTACACTTTTAGTCCCTGTACCTACTAGCTGTTAACCCTGCACGGGCAGCTAGTAACAAATCCCGAAACCGAAATCCTGGTCACAAAAACTAACCCTCCTACAACATTCAACCCCTATATTGCGCAACCAATTGCCGTGGACCCGGCATCCCTCGGGATTGATACCGCTATCGCCGCAGTCCGGGTTTTTTTGGTGTTTCGGCCTCAAAGGACGTCCATCCGAAGGATCCATGAATATCGGATAAATGTCGAGCCTCACTTCTTTGAAAGCCGACGCTGCCGGCCCATCTCTAATACGGATCTCGATAGAACGACTCCAAGATTCAAACCGGCCCTCGAGGGATGATGCATAGGCGATGACGCCGCTGCTAGATTTTTATTTGTGCCTATTACTCATTTCCTAATATTTGTAATATTTCCAAGCTGCCTATATATCCGTATAAGAGACGTCTAGAACTAGTTGCTGAAGTTATGTCCCTTTAGCCTCGATATAATCTGATCGAATAATCTCCCTTGAAGTGTTACCTAAATTGTCATTCTCGGTATTAATAACTACCTACCTAGCCAAGTAGGTATCGGTTCAAAATGGCCCATCGGAACATAAATACCTACTGATAAATCGAGCATCTTTGTTGGTTCCTAGTTAACCCAGCCCTAAAATATCTCAATATTTCATGGTCGAAGATAATAATGACCTTTTCTAGTTACGATACCGCCGTTTCTGAGAGCTATGGCCCTCGATATTCTGGCAATATCTTGCGAATTCATATCTGAGCCATCCGTCAGCCATGTCTAAGGATCGGCATGTGGACTTCGAACACTTACTAGAAACAACATTGGTTCTTGAAACCAGTTCTTCATTGATTCTCGGAGCCTGTGAGCGACTACCTAAGTAATCAGGTGGAACCCCTGGAGTCAGGCAACAAGATGCCACTGCGGCTGGCACGTTGCAATGGCAAATTGCAAGTTAAGGGGAAAGATGTATCCGGCTGGCCCTAGTGGAAGTTCATCATGTGGATGGCGGAAAAGCCGCTCAGTGTCAGGTCCACAAGGGTTGGGTACGGGTATGGATATGAATACGACCGGTTTTTAGAAGAAGGCTAGACGTGTGCACTTGACTTCATTGGGGCAATAGGCGTGGGATCCTAGGAATACATCACATCGTTCAGCCCAGAGGAGATTGTGTCAGCCAACTATTTGTGGAATAAGGCGCCATTACCATTGTATGATGCTATATAAGGCGATCTCAGCATGTCTTCTGGAGGCACTTGGAACTTGAATGTTACGCCAGCCAACGAGGAAATACGAAAGAAGGGATAGTTTCGAGCTACATTGTCGACTGTAATATCGATTTTTATTTCACTTCACTCGAGGGACGCCGGCAGTGCCTCCTCCCTTCCACTGCCAGGTATCTATTCACGCTGGTCTTACATCGACCCCCTGGAGCAATCCAATAGTATGGCTTGCTTGCCATTACCAAGCGGGAAGTGGCAGCTCGTTTGCTTGACTCTGGTCAACTCTGGTACATCCCCAAATCTCACCGCCATGCCGTGGATATAGCGAATAACCTTTTGTAGTATCTATGGCACACTTTGGCTACGACCAGGTTCTACTACCACCCACTACCCTCCTCGCTTGACGATTAGCTCACACCCAATGCCAGGGAATCTTTGCTGGTGCCCTCATATCGACTAATTTCCTCGAGATATTTCCAGAAACGAAGGATCCAGGTATCTCGGGCATTACGTCCAGCTGTTTCTCTGTAGGTCATAGCGTTCAACATTGCCAATCGCGGATGCTGACCGTTGCATAAGCTCGGTGCTTTCTTCGGCTGTCTTGCATCGTTCTCGCTTGGTGATAGACTTGGGCGGAAGCGATCTATCTACATTGGACTCGTTGTCAATGTTGTTGGTGTTGTCTTGCAGATTACAGCTTACCATTTACCTCAGATGATTATCGGCCGGCTCGTCAACGGATTTGGCAGTAGGTTCTCCCCCTTGAAGCCCATAATCCCTCGTCCTTCTCGAGGTACCCCTAAAGCCTGCCAGAATTGGATACAACTTTACAGGTACATACCTAAGATTTATTACGTACTAATCTTTTACTCGAGTGGGAATTACGTCTTCGACTTGCCCTGTGTTCATGGCGGAGGCCTCCCCATCTCATATAAGGGGCAAACTTGTTGTCCTAGGCTCGCTTTCAAACACGGTGGGATTCTGCATAGCGAACTGGATATCTTATGCCTTATATAACAACAATGGGCCATTCCAGTGGCGGTTTCCTTTAGCTCTCCAGCTGATATTCTCAGCCATCGTAGTAACGTTTCTATCGTTCACCATTGAGTCACCGCGATGGCTTTTGCTACGAGGAAGATTCGAAGAGGCTCGAGCAACACTCGCTAGATTGCGAACAACGGTGCATGATCCCGACGACCAAACCTTGAACGATGATATCAAATCGATCCAGAAGGCACTTGAGATGGAGAAATTAGCTCGTATATCCCTGGTAGACGCTTTACTCTGCAGAGATCCCCTGCACACCACTCGCCGGTTATTGCTTAGGTAGGCCAGTTCTCCTATAGATACTAGTGGGCCGACAATCGCGTTGCTGACACTTATGAAGCTGCGGGACTCAACTGATGCAACAGTTTAGTGGCGTTAATGCACTAGGTTATTACCTTCCCACCCTGTTCCTGTCAGTCGGGGTGTCGAACTCATATGCAAGGTTACTTGCCGGAGCGAATGCCAGCCTCTACTTAGGAGCGGCTTTTCTATGTTTGGTTCTAATCGACATAGTTGGACGACGCAAGTATGGCCACGATACCATATTCCCCACTAGCTCATTAGTGTGGAGGTTCTTACATACCTACAGGCTTATGATGTACGGCTCTGCCGCGATGGGATCTTGTTACCTTATTGCCGCGATCACACTAAAGGAGGCAAAGCTTCATCCGGAACGGAAGACTGTTCTTGGCAAAGTAACAGTCTCCATGTTCTTCGTTTACTACTTCTGCTACGGTACAAGCTTTGCTAAGGTCCCTTGGGTCTATAACTCTGAAATAAACAGCCTTGGGTGGCGTACTAGGGGAGCTGCCCTCGCCACTGCAACGAACTGGATGAGCGGATTTGTCATAGTTCAATTCACCAAGACTGGGGTGGACAACCTCGGATGGGGATTCTACCTTCGTAAGGGCTTCTATCTTTATGAAATAAGCCATCATCGACTGACATTGCGCGTTATATAGTCTTCGCTGGATTCTGCTGGTCATTCTTACCGATCGTCTTCTTATTCTATCCGGAAACCTCACGTCGAACCCTCGAAGATATGGACGAGATGTTTAGGCATCATGACAACCTACTGGTATTTAGGGTTAAGATCCTTACGCAACGAAATCGCCCACGAGCATTCATTGAAGCTGAACAGGGACGCATCGCCGAGTCTTCTACTCCTGAGCAGGAGCCTTAGGGCGTCCATGATATGATATCCAATCGTTATTCTGCATATCTATGCTTGCGGCATACCTACTTAGCTATAGAAAGAACGGTATATTATCCAGATGCATTAATCCGATGTCACGTCTCATTTCTATTGTCTACTTGTCGAAGTACTGCATTCAAGGTTACCGACACCTTCTCACTATACCGGACAGTTGGACATCTTTAGAGAAAAGACACAACATATCCTATGGAAGCTGTACTATAAACCACGTACCCACACTGCTAAACTATGGTTGGATTAGTGCTGCAGAACATCATGGCCTTATGAGGCAGTACCGTGGGTTGAAGCATTCCCATGCATACCAATCAGGTCCAAAAACGTTTCTTTCAGCTCACGTTGTACAGTACTTGGTAGCCACGGAATTCGTTTCCAGTGGCCACAGAGACAGCTTTACTAGAAGGCATATAAAGAATATAAACACCTAGTAATGGAGACTTAAGTGAAAAAAAAAAAAAAAAAACCAGCGTACCCAGTATGGATCTCCGTGGCCTATGTGGATGCTTTGGCAGGCGATCTCGTTCCTCGTCCGTGGCCCCTTCGATAGTCTCACAATATTCGATACTTTGTGGTAGATGTAAGGCTTTAGAGCTAGATGATGCCGCAATTGGGGGATTTGCCTCATCTGGCGAAGATGGGCAGGAGTATCTTAAGCTCGACGATGACGACCATTGGAAAGACATTGAAATTGACTATTATCGGCACGATAGGTATATACCCGGCCTTGCTCAACATAAGGAAATCAGCCTCAGAGGGATGTGAATTCTGCGCGTTGCTTCGAGACTCCATCTTATCTCCTAAATTTAAGGAACTTCTCGCTGCGGACGAGGTCGACACTTCGGCGGCATTTTATATCGAGATAAGACTAAACTATCGCTGGCGATCTGATACTTTGCCCGACGGCTACGAATGCAACCGTGGCCTTGGGTCTTTGGAAGCTGTGGTTGACATAGACTATGAAGAAAGTAACGATGATCTGCCTCTGCTCTTGGTGTAAGACGATGTATTCTAACTTAAACATAGGGTTTCTTTACAGCTATACCTTCAAATTTGCGATCGAGTCAACGCCGATGCCAAACTTTAACGGTGGAGAATCCGATTCTTTCCTAGCAGCCCAGAGGTTATGCGAGAAATGGCTTCGCCTCAGACTTAACAAGACCGGATACATTCTTACGGAAGAGAGAGTTGTGTGGTTGAAGGGCGAGATCGACCGATTCATAGAAAACCACAATCCTCCGTCAGAGCCTAGCTTCATTCCTACGCGGTTAATTCAGGTCGATCGCGACATACCGAGGCTCGTTCGAAAGGATGACATTGCGAGACCGAGCTCTGGGCCTATTAAATACGCGGCGCTCAGTTGCTGTTGGGGTAACAAGGAGGAAGCGATGAGGCAGTATAAGACTACTAAATCGACTCTTGCAGCAAGGCTATCGGGGTTCGAGGCCAGAAAAATGAGCAAAGTCCTATGCGATGCTATTCAGACAGCTCGGGCGTTATCGTTATCGTATATTTGGGTGGACGCGCTGTGTATCATCCAAGACGATGCCGAGGACTGGGAGCAAGAATCGATTCAGATGGGACGTATTTACGAGAACGCACATGTCACGTTCTTCACATTATCTTCCAACTCTTGCACCCAAGGTTTCCTAGAGCGACAGCCGCCGCAGCTCAGAATCCCGTTCCGATCCAAAATCAAACCACAAATTGAAGGAGCATACGGCCTGCGTTTGACTTGGATCGATACGAACTGGACCGTCCGCGAACCCCCCGACAATACATATATAGAGAATGACCTCCAGGTCAGCATCTGGGGCACACGCGGATGGACATACCAGGAGCAGGCTCTGTCGAAAGCGTGTATTTGGTTTGGAAAATCGCGGACGCACTTCCTATGCCCCGATTGGTCTTACACAGAAGGCGATGCCACACAGTCTCGAGCGATACCGCACTTTCAACTACAGCACCTCAAGTTCAATGATAATTCCGAGAGTTTCCGCTGGGACTGGTATACGAGAGTCGTAGAGCAGTTTACCGGACGACTCTTCACAAACCCGACGGACCGTTTCCCAGCCCTATCCGGCCTCGCGCAAAATTTCCATGAATTGCTCGGCGGCGAATACCTAGCCGGGATTTGGACGATAGACTTACACAAAGGCCTCTGGTTCTCGTGTGAGAAAAATCGTACTCCTAGCTTTTCGGCACTGATAAAACAATTGGCGAACCCCAACATTTATGTCGCCCCGACGTGGAGCTGGGCTAGTCGACAGGGCGTAACGTACCATTCTCACTTCCCGCTAGACAGAGTTGATTTGTATGCCCATCCGTGTGTGAAGGACATCCGAAAAGCATACCAAAGAGTTGAAGGAGAACTGCAGCTGATGGGGGCTGACCGATTCGGTAGGCTTAAGAGTGGGTATTTGAAAGTCACTGGTAGAACATACCACCTCCAGCTATCCCCGGACAGGCTTCGAAAGCCCCAAGAATCCGAGCCCCTATTCTCTTACTCTGCCGAGTCTGTCGTGGATAGCGAGGACCGCACTATAGTTCGATGTGAGTGTGACTGGGCTGGAAGTTTGACCGATGTTGGCAGCCATGTCACCCTCTTGTTTCTTGGTCACAAAGCCGAGAAAATGCTCTCGTCCGGTCCAGAACTTGGTGAGCTAAGTGATGACGATGAAGTCCCTGAGGATAGATTAGCATATGGGCTTCTGTTATATAAAGCCCTCAGTTCGGATAAATTTTATAGGATCGGGATTTTCTGGTCCAAGTCCGAGGATGGATATGGTACGGCGTTTTTCAAACGTTGCCAAGAAAGAAAAATAACGTTGATATGAGTTTGTCGTCTGGCGGATGTTTGTCTCATTCAAAGAGGCAAATCCATGGTAGACCGATAGAATACATATCCGAGGCCTGGCACACAAATGCCCCTTTATTTCATATTTACTAGTCAAAAAGTAGCTAGATCGATTCTTTGGATGACTTGCGATAGCGCGGTACGTGGTAAACGTCGGCCTAGCCTACTCGACATTCTAACCATTGCGGAAGGTCGTCCGGGAGGTATCTATTCCAGCAGTCCCTGATGAACTGTGACCGCGCCCAGTTTTTGCCATACATATTAGTACATACAGTAGTTCGCAAGCGGACAAACCATGACTCTCCCCAATTTGAAACCGTCTTTCCGAACGCCAACAATCCTCGGTGGATTGGGAATGCATCTTTTCTTACACTGTATTCCGTTTACACGTCGTCGCGATTAGATTACACCAAAATCGTCTGCCTTGCCGGATACGAGGAGACCAATGATCAAGCCGAAGAGACCGAGGACGGAGCTGAAGATTTCGATGACGAGGATCTTGACGAAGCTAGGATTCTTGTTAGCACGACACACGGCTAGAAAGAGGACGAGTCTGAATATACAGAGAAGGGTCCGCAGCGTCAGCGAGGGCAGCTCCACTGCCGTTGATGCCGACGGCGATACCGCAAACTAAGTTACATCCTCCGACAGTCACACCAGCCCAGAATAAAGCGAAGCCGGTGTAGTAGGCGTTTGCATCGAAGGTTTCGTAGGCGCTAGCGTAGGTAACATGAGAGGAGAATACAATGGCCATGATAACACCGTAGATGGCGACGACCTCGCAGAAGATGATGGAGATCAAGTTTTTCGTTCGAATTCGTGGCGCCTTCACACCACCTCCGAGGATGGACGAGCCCGTGATGAAGATACCCCTGAACAATGTTAATCGCGTCGAGTCCGGTAAGATGGAATGTAGTGGTCGTACCATGCTGCGCCAACAACCGACAATCCAATGCAGAGTGCAATTCCGAGGTCTGCCCATACATAAGGCGATACGGATTCGAGGAAAGCTCCGACCTAGATAATAATCAGGATTGTGATCGAACGGGCTACTATAGTTGTAGTTTAGAGACCAACATTGAAAGCTTCACCGCTTCCGGTAAAAAGCATGTCTATATATGGTCAGCCATTCAGCCATCGACTCAGTGTGTCCTCTTCGAAGCACTCGACATACAAAGACCAACGACTGTTATGAATGAGGTTAGACCTCCAGCGCTATAAATTAAGGCGCCCATCTCGAAAGGCTTGAAGGGTATTCGCTCGATGGTCGTAGGATATATGGCTGCTTCTGATGGGGGATGGGGTGCATCAAAACAGCTCGACGGAGCTTCGAATATGAAAAGTCGCGATTGACAATTGACGTTTATGGTTTACTAGGCTTCTCTCCTTCTGTAAGCTTGTAGAGCTTGGGGTTACACTTAGACCCGTGCACCCGCGTAACCTTCCAGTTCAACCCGGTCCGACATAACTCCGGAATTTGAAGCCTCATATGCAATTATAGGCAGGATATGTAAGTAACATATGAATTCAACTAACCAGGTTATTACATAATCGTCACCCCACCAAGTGGATGAGTCAATTGAATGGAGGGGCATTTCGCAACTCCCAACTTCAAAAATTTCCTTAGCCCCTCTTTGCTCGACACCATAATTAACCTACCTAGCCACTTTTCTCTGCGACACTCTCTGAGTCGCAGTCGGGTAAGTCATCAAGCTGTCACTATCTCGTATTCTCCGCCCTCTTTCACGAGGTATCTCTTTCCGAGCTTTCACCATGGCCGCCCTGGAATCCCAGAAGCTCTCTTCCACCGAGGAGACCGAAGTCCAGCAATGGATCACCACGTCCGAGCGACTCAAGAGCTCCCCATCCGACACCTCGATTCTGGACAAGCTTAACTCTCACCTAACCTCTCGAACCACCCTCCTCGGCACCAAGCCCTCCAAGGCCGACGTCGCCATCTACGAGTCCCTAGCTCCTACCGTCAAGTCGTGGACCCCCGAGCAGCGCACAGGCGAACACGGCCATCCTCATATCTTGCGACACCTCGACTTCGTCCAGAACTCCGGCGTCTTCGGTCTGAACGTCGGCGACGCGGATAAGATCAAGGTCGACCCCGAAGAGATCCTCTACGTTAAGCCGCCCACTGATGCCAAGGCGGAAAAGGAGCGCCTGAAGAAGGAGAAGGCCGCTGCCGCCGCCGCTGCTGCCGGTGGGGCTACTACCACACTTGTCGACCGAACGAAAGCAGCGGCAGAGACGGTTAAGGAGGCGGCAGTTGAGGCGAAGGACAAGGCCGCGGCAGCTGTCGGCGCCGCTACCGACAAGCCCAAGAAAGAAAAGAAAGAGAAGGCTCCCAAACCCCAGAAGGCCCCTGCCGCTCCTAAGACGCTGTCGCCCAATCAGATTGAGATAAGGGTAGGCCATATTCTGAAGGCCATCAAGCACCCGGAAGCCGATAGTTTGTTCGTTTCGACGATCGCCGTCGGCGACCCGGCTGGCTACGAGGATACGACCGAGTATGAGGGCCAGGTCTGCCGAACCATCTGTTCCGGCTTGAACGGCGTGGTGCCCCTAGAGGAGATGCAGAACCGCAGGGTTGTCATCGTCGCCAACTTGAAGCCTGTCAAGATGCGGGGAATCAAGTCGTCTGGTATGGTTCTGTGCGCGTCGCCAAGATTAAAGGAGGGCGAAGTAGACGATCACAAGGGACCGTTCGAACTCCTCGCCCCGCCTCCCGATGCGAAGGTTGGCGAGCGCTTGACCTTCCAGGGTTATGACGGCGAACCCGAGGGCATTCTCAACCCCAAGAAAAAGATTTGGGAGACGTTATCTCCGGGATTCAGTACGACGGAGAACTTGGAAGTTGTGTTTGACGGCCGCATGGTTAAGGAGGCAGGCAAGGAGGAAGTAGGAAAGCTCATTTCGGCTAGCGGAGGCGTATGCACAGTTCAGAGCTTGAAGAATGCCCCAGTACGATAATCAGGTAATCACATAAGACTGGGCGAATTGGCCAATCGATCACGAGATGAAATTAAGCTAGATTCAGAACCACTAACTACGATTCCTTCTCCACCAAGTGTCTAAACTCCTGTCTACGCCAATTTTCTAGTTACCGGGCGTGTTCCATGGCGCCGTCTCAATCGTTGCGGATGTGATAGTAGGTGTGCCCGCGCAGCCGGTGGTATAGGTGATCCATTGAGTGGGGATAGGGCATTCAGCACAGGTTGGGCAGGCCCCATTCGATACATACGACGTCGAAGTCGTCGGGCAACAGTCAGTAGCACACGGGACTGTCACGCTGGAAACCTTGATGATTTCCGGGCAGACCCGATCCGTCGGTTGAGCCGGACATGACAGAGTTGGGCAAGTAGCTATATTCGCGTCAGCAATCGAGCTCCCAATCTCCAATACCTTCAGGGGTGGGCACTCACAAGACTGGACCGTGCGGGTGTAGGTGTAGCATTCATGAGTCTTCACCCAGGCCGTTGTGTGCTCGAAGTCATCCATCGTCGTTGAGCAATGTCCCGGGACCGTAGTAGGGGTAGACACCGGTGAGATCGGACCTCCTTGGGGTACGGCAGTGGCTACATTGCTATGGTATCGTGTTAGTCCAGCGTGCCCGGACCAAGTGGGCAAGACATTGGCTTACCAGAGAGCTAGTAGCGCCGCGGCCGTAGACGCGAAGACGCGGGATGAGAACAACATCTTGAGAATATTTTCTTCTACTGACTAGATCTGCTACCGAATAGATTATACCGCTGATGAGACAATTCGATCGAGGAAGAGGGGATTCGGTTCCCATTATATAATAAGATCGACGTCATCTTTTTTTTTCTCCCCCAATGTTTGTTACTCCTTTGTCCCTGCCATCACTCCACTGCCAAGCCGTAATATTAAGAAAGCACGAGGCAAGCCAAGGGAGGCTTGGGGCTGACTTTGACCAGCAGATCGGTCTTGCTCAAATGAGAATTAAGATTGAAGGACTGCAGGTACATGTACATTTTTTTTCGGCCGCCATATTTGGGTCGTACAGAGATTCCTCTTACCAATGTCGGTTCATCCAGTCCATCTAGCCATTACTATGTACGCACAACCGACTATAATTGATACCTAGACTGTGCAATAGTAAAGAGGCCCGACGTGTCAACGCTGTGTCAACCTATCCCGAGACCAAGCGGAAGCTCATTTCTAACAGGTCGGATGGGCCGGAGACCTGAGCTCCATTGGTTAGGAAAAAGGAAAAAAGAAAGGGGCAAGGAAAAAAAGGAAAAAGATCATCCTTGACCGAACCGAGAAAAAGTTTGCGATTGAGTTCTCGGCCGCGATTCACTTTACGTGCCTAACTTCGCCTAACTTTTCAGCCCTACATACGTACATACTGCGTACATATCTCGTAATGTTGCTGAAGGATCTCACCGCATCTGATGGATGGACAGATGATCTCAGCCTGGTCGTGTCGAGGAGCGAATCGTATACGGAGAAGCTCGCCAGCTCCCCGCAGCTCCCCTCTCGTCTAATTAGGAATTCAAGAGCAGCCAAGCAATCGAGAGGCGTCCCTCTTAGCAAATCTTCCGAACGTTCGCTCGTACTCAGAACCACTTACATACGTCGAGTCCGTGGACAGATTCTACGTGCCAATGGCTTGCTTACTTACCTACCTACCTACCTCCGAATCCTCTCCGCAAACCATTCTCTTAAGCAAGGTGACAGGTCCAAAAATAGCTTTAACCCCAGATGTGCAATTGACTACCGAAACGACCGATAGCCTCAATGACGCCCTGCAACCAGCAAGGTTACATTGCGTCGTCCCCAGTCGATAAATCAGGTAAGAGTCAGCTGACCTAATTGCATTCCGCCGTGGTTTCGTTACATTTATTGCTTACTTTCGTATATGTGATGTGAATACATGTCGAGCTTTTGAAAGTTACAACTTGCGACCTCTAATGAGCGTAATCGTGTTAGTCATGATATTATTTAGAAGTACGTATCCATGATTTACCATCCTCAGAATGATGGGATACTTGGCTAAATATTTTGGTTATCCTGCTTTAGGACCAAGGGAATAGATGTGGTTCGATTTTGACAATTTCCAAAATCTTCGAATTCTCATCTGAATTTATACATCACTGGAGTGGATGGTCCTTGTTATCCCCATCTGGCCCGATTCCTACCCTGGTCTTCTCCCCTAGACCACCTCGTAAGTAGTGCTATACAGATTTATACATGTGCCACGCATGCAGTACAATGCCTTTATATTTTCCATCCCCCTCCCCCACTATACGCCGTCCTGGCATTTTTCACCTTAAGACGCCTCATGATGCATTCGCTAATAATGGAGTAAACACGTGATAAAACCCACCGACATTACCATCGCCCGCGAGAGACTGAAATTGCCGAGGAAGCTTACGAGAAGAAATATTGGCTTTCCCTTAGTCTTTCGACATTATAGTCGCCCTAGAAATATCAGTTAATATTTGGTGCTAACCACACGTATTATCCAAACACTGACCTTTTTGGGAACCTCAGGGAAAGTAAGAGGAAGCCATATATTGAATCCTGCACCCTTTGCCTTCGATTTGGCCCTTGATTTCTCTTCGAATTTCTTAGCATCACCCGAAAGCTCCGTTTCGAAACGGCTGGCCTCGATCATAGTCTTATAGCGTTGCATTTCATCTTCGTCCGGGCCTTCATCGCTTGCTTTGATCTTGTCAGAATCCTGAACTGTGGAAATTCCGTCCTCACATTCCTGGTCTTCTTCGAGAGCAGCTTCGATCGTTTCTTCGCTAGGAATGTTGCCTAACCCCACCGCCTCCATATCATCGGCACTTGATAGAGGCTGAGAGGCTGACATTTCTTGGAAAATGCTGCTGGGCGTCACCATTTTCTTGCCTTCTTCGACTTTCTCCGGGTCTGGAGAATTCAACAGCTGAATTCTCTTGTATTCCTCAAGAAGTTCGGCTTTCATATTTAGCTTTTTTACTTTGCGAAGTGCACTGACTTTGGCTTCGATGGGGTGACCCTTTTCTAGCTTAGCTAGATAGAGAGCGCCTTTATACCGGGCCTCGAACTCGGATGCGAGGCGTCCAACGACATCTTCGCTGTGTATCCTGATGAAGCAATCGCGTAGAACACGGTTCATAACATTGACGTCGGACGCATGCGTCCAAAAAGAATCGTGCACGGCCGCGAATGAGAGGCCCAGTTCATCGCATTCCAACGCAGAAAGCAACATATGGCTGGCGTCTAAAGAATGGATGAAGTTGGGAGGGAATGCCTGCAATTGTTTCCGTCGGTTGACTGGATCAGACCGTTCGGGCACCTGCAAGGTAAGGTCTTGAATAGAAGTGGCAATGACACGAGTCCCAGACTTGCGATATGGCTGGACAATGGGCATCCGGAGGGGAGTCGTCCAGACAACAGTTGATCTGAAATGGCTTAGGAGCTCATCAGATGCCGACTTTGCTTTCTTAGCGGCGGTGGTGGCGGCGGTGTCAGAGCGCGTTTTTGAGACCTTCTTCTTCTTCTTGGCAGGCGCCACTTCTCCATTGGCAATTCGTTCAATCTGTTCTGGAGTGATTGCACGGCACACCCTTCCAGCACACTCTCCAAACCAGTACTGGATATCATGTGCTCCACGAAACATAGTAGAGAGAGCCTTGAAGATCTTAGTGGCGACATAGGAAGCGAGTATCGGCGCTGGTACTTCCGTTTCCTTGAATATGTTTGGGTAAAGCGCGTCGATCTGTTTCAATACCTGAGCCTTTGCTCCAGAGAAGGTGACACCGTAGACGTTCGTCATTACAGTCTGCTTCACAACCTTTCTTGTTATCTTGCCGTCGATAGCTTTTGCGAGGAAATTGTCCTCTTTCAAATCTTTTGCGATGCTTTCCTTCACCAGCTCGGCCACTGCAGAATATACGTCTGCAGGCGAATCACCGGGTTCCAGGTTCACCTGTTGAGCGCCCCACATGTCACCGCCGAGAGCCGCATAGTGCTGTAATCCATTGCATGTGCCGTCCTGGTGAACAGGAAGATGGGATACGTATTTAGAGGGGTCAGGAGACTGCAACGCTGCCTTGAGTTCGAAGCATGTTGCCAGGCATTGCCATGAATCCTCAGCCTGAAGCCACCAACGCTTTCCTCCGAGAGGGTTGGCAGCAGAGTCGTAGACGTCTTCGAGATGGTCCATCACAAATGATTCCCGGTCCTTCAAGCTCGCCTTGTCGTAGCCGAACACGTTTGCCAGGTGGATTTTTAGCCATCGCAGCCCTTCCTCGCCAAGCTCCTTCCCCTTCGCAAAGCGAAGTAGGCCGCGGGTATGGTCTGCGCCCATATGATTCAGGTAAGTTGGGATTGGATACGCGCGTCCTCGGAAGTCCATGTTATGCGGGAAATAGAAGGTCTGGTCTTTAAAGGACCTGGCAATCTCGAGTTGAAGATTCATGAAACAGCGCTCAGAATGGAGACCTGATTTCTCATTCTCCACGGCCCTCACGGCCTTCAACCATTGTCGTCTTTGCAATGGATTGTCTGATGACTCTGGTTCTTCGGGTATGGGAATTTGGGGATTTAGCGGGGGGATATTGGCTATTTCTTCACCGCTATTCCATGCCTCGAGCATCACTTTGAAAACAGGCTCGTTGATCCTCCACCCTGTTCGACCAAGAACATCGAGGCCTTTGCTAACTTGTTCCATGTCGCCTCTCTGCAAGGCTGCTTCAGCATATATCCTCTGGTCCTTCTCGCCATGTTTAACTCGTACAAGTTGAGCAGGGTATTCAAGAAAGCCGCCTTTGTCGAACTTACTCCAAGGCTCTGGTTCAACAAGCATCGGTAGATGTCTCGCAAGGAAATCTGCTGGGGGCTCCCTCTTCAATATCTCCACAAGGAATTTATTAGGCATAACTAGGCCGACTTTCTTTCCTTTGCGGTGCACCATAGTATGGGCCATGGCAGGCTGTCTCTGTCTGACGAGTGCCTTGGTTTCGGGATGTTCCTGAACAACATCCACTTTCGCGCTGTCCATCAGGGCAGAGAGCAAAGCGACGCCAACCTTCGTTTTGATCAATAGAGGCCATGACCTGATGTCATAGGCGGAGGCCTCCACCACATTGGACTCCATGTTAGCATCAGCGGGTGGCTGAACTGGCACTGAGCTTGGTGAGCTCTCTTGTTCTTTATTGACGTCCGGTTTGTAAACCCGTCTTTTAGTTTTGGGTTTTCGCAATTCTAGTTGTTGCTGTCGTTTTAGGAATCTAACATCGTCCTCCACAGCCTTGGAGAGCTGGCTAAGTAAAGAGGACAATTGAATTCCGCTGTCGACACCTGCTGACGACAACGCATTCAGAACGCTTATAATCGTAACCGCGGCTAGCCTTGACGGATTCGACTGCCTCATGAAGGGTGCGTATAAGCATCGATCATAATCCGCCTGTACTTTATATTCGCGGGTCTCCGACTCTTCGAACAGCGCAAACTCATTTTCTAACTTGCTTTCTAGAGCACATTGCCAGTCGTATAACTGCGAATTTAAAGCAGTTGTCGACATGGATGTGTTTAAACCCATCTTTTTCAGAGCTTCATTTTCTTCCCTCCATCGGGCGATAGCGGCATCGACACAATCCTTTTCCAACTGTGCCTGGATTTCTCGGCGCTCAGCTCGGGGAAGCAGGGAGATATCCCGACCTTTTATTGTACTGAAAAAGGATAAGACAGTACGTAATGACTGGAGACCCAAGCCTTTTTGTGGTACAGCCATAATTTCAGGTATTTCGTCAGACGCCGGCTTCGCTTCGGATGGATCTGTCGATTGCGTTGTGTTGGTCTCTGCAGCTGACGATTGTGGCTCTTCCTCTCCTTGCGTAAACCCAAATTCATCTAAAAGATAGGAAGCGGGTTTATAAATGCTGGTGATGGTGCCGAAATCCTGCTGCGTAAGTATGTCGACTTCAGATAGAACCTGGTATATGGCATCGCCTGGCATCATATCCATATACCGTGTCACAAGCCTTGCCAGCCTTACGCCTCTAGCGGATAAAAGCGAAACCTTCAGCATGCAAGCTATGGTCTCGGGTGTCTGAGGGAGCTCCTTAGCATTGATATGTAATTCGTACCACTTGTGACAAGATTGTGCCCATTTAGGTTCTGGGTTATCGAAGGCTTTAGCAATGACGGCACGGAGGTATTGGTTATGAAGCAAAATCAGCTCATTGGCCGGCAAGTCATCAGAGTCGCTGAATCTTGTGAGGACAAGAGCTGCTCTATCCAATTTTCCTACTTGCAAACATGCGTCGAACACGGATATCATTTCGTCAGCGGCACCAGGAATTCCACTGGTATTCATCCTTGAGCGTGGGAAAGTGTCGTCATCATTAGACCGAATGAGTAATGGAAAAGAAGGATCGAATGGTCGTATGTCATATAACCGAGGAGGTATTGGTGGTAAGAAATTGTTGGGAATATGTGATTGCAAGTGCTCGTAAGGAATTTTATCTTGTCGCAAAGGGTCGCTGATGGCCGTCGCTAAAGACCGTTGAAAAACTGGCCCGTGAATATCTTGTGAGCGTGAAATCTTTCTCCTCCTTGGCGGCAGTTCAATTCGGGCTGTCAAGAGCCTGTGGTCTGACGTGTGAAAGGAACGGAGAGAGGGACTTCTAGCGACTGATTGAGGTCGTCTTATTGAGCTCAGTCGAGGGAGTGATAGGCTCTGACGAGCCGGAGGTGGTCGCAAGAACATCGTGGTGGCGGCTTAGGATGTCTTGGAGGGGTGATAAAAAAATATAAAAAGGAAAGATTGGTCTCAACAGGCTTTTAAAGCTGCCGAGGACTTTGCTTTATTATTGTAACATGAAGCCGAGCGATTATGCTGACGACGCAAGATTTAAAGGTACAAAACCGCCAACTTATTTACGAGGGAAGACTTTGGTCAAAGTCGGGAATAAATTCTATATTTTGTAGATATTCGATAACGACAAGCTTTTAGTGAGGGTCGAGGTCCGAATTTTTTTTCTTGCCTTTGCAAAAAGGTTTTTTTAGATTAGATAGACCCCCAATTTACAAGCTTCTGATTGGCCTTATATGACATATTACCCCACTCTTCTCTCGACTGCCCACCGTCTCCGTTGGAGCTAAGCTCTAAAGATGCTAGTGTGCATAGGTAGCTTACGGATTTATCGATTATTCCGTTCGCAATTGCCAAAGTGGTGGTGGCAAAGTAGGATCTATGATATTATGTAAAGACGGACCCAGTCTTCATTAAGTAACTTCGCATATACATAAATGTGATCTCATTGATCTCATCGATGAGTGAGGAGATTTGAGTCTCTCTACACCATTGAACAGACGAGATGGCAGCTCGACATGTTATGAATATAACCTCGACGGGTTGTCCTCATTGTCGTTTAGCTATATTGAAGCTTTTTGCCAGCCCCCCGAATGTCAATGCATTGTCCAGCGCGCGAGCCCGTCCCCTTCAATCCCGGCCACGGTGGATTCCTGCAGCACCAATTCGATCTTTCTCGTCTCCGCCGACCCAGAATGGGCCTTTGAATGGCACAGAACCGGCCGATGAGCGCTCGGAAGAGGCCGATGAGCTAGATAGTCAAGGGCGGGACGATGCCGCGAAAGGCTCAGGTTTAGCTAACATCCCTTGGTATCTTCAAGTTGAACCTCCGAGGCACGTGGCTACCATTGAACCGCCACCTTTGCCTGAGGTCCCCGACGGCTCCCCGAAGGTTGTCGGTTCATTGCTTGAGTACACGTCTGAGGAATTGGGTCTTGAGGAGCTCTCGCTCTTGGACCTTAGAGAGCTAGATCCCCCCGCAGCGTTAGGGCCGAATCTTTTCATGCTGTTTGGCACAGCACGGAGTGAGCGCCATCTTAATGTGTCCGCCGGACGCTTGCTACGATGGTTAAGAGCCGAACATCGAATCTACGCCCATGCTGATGGCCTACTCGGGCCAAATGAGCGTAAGACTAAACTGCGTCGAAAAGCTAAGCGGGCAAAGCTCATAGGAAGAACTGAGGATTCAGATGACGGTATCAGAACCGGCTGGATATGTGTCAATCTCGGCACGATCGGCCGCAGCAATGATGAGTCTGCCATAGTTACAGATGATGGGCGCGTCGCCGGTTTTGGCGTTTCTCAAACTGGCTACACAATCATCATTCAGATAATGACTGAGTCACGAAGAGCCGAAATGGGCCTCGAAGCTTTGTGGGAGAAAGCCCTGGGCAAGCCGCTTGGTGATTCCTCAAAATCAGAAGGAGTGAATACGAAAAAACTACATCCCTTAGAAGAGGCCATCCTATCCAGCTCACGCCCACCAGCAGTAACCAAAGGCAGTCAATTTAACGACACTTCTAGAAAGATACCGTTCGAACAAAAACGGGCTTATTCAACGCAACAAGCGATTACTCATGATGCGCCTGAAGCTAGTGCTCTATTTGCTATTGATTCAAAGGAGGCTCTTGAGCAGGCTCTAAAGTTTGACGCTCGCCAAAAATATCGCATTCTGGACTTACTGCGACTCCGCCTTGGTAAGATGTCGACGGCGGACCAGAGAGATGCTCTCGGAAATTTAGGAGAGGACGTAACACCATTCGTCCGGATTTCAAAATCTGCATGCCAATCTCTCCCTCCACACAAAACTTGGGGGTTTCGTCTGGCTGTTGAAGCTACAGCATACAAGTCTAACCCAGGCCACCATTTCAGGTCTCTTGAAAATGTACAGGGTCTTATTGATGAACTAAATCTCTACGCTATTAATGCCACACGAGAGCAGTATCTCCAGCTTTTGACTTGCATATACGGCTCAGCTGTAGGTGTGGAAAAGCAACACGAACTCGCTCAGCAGCTTCTACGAACGATGCAGCAACGTGGAGAACCCATCATTGCTCATGATATCATTGTCACCATCATCGAAACAGTATGTCAATACCGTCATCAAGATTCATGGGACGATTATCTAGCACTTATACGACAGCTAACAACGACCTTACCTCGATTAAATTTGCCTTGTATGGACGAGCCGTTGCTCATGAGACTCATGAGCGCATATCGTCGAATAGAGGACTGGAAAAGGCTTTGGTCCGTCTGGCTGATGCGGCCCAAATACGCACTTCCACGGTCAGCAGCTATGTATGTACACTTTTACCAGCTGATAAAATCTCGGGGTTCGCTGCCGTTTTGTGCTATGGCAGTATCGCAGACTTTTCAAGGGCTGCTTGCAGAATCTCCGCGTGTGCTACCTAACAGAGCGGTTTCGGAGGCTCTTATGGACTGCATTCGTATCGCAAAACCTGAGGCTGAAAACATGGTAATGCGCGGAGCAGACTCCAAGAACGAATTTGTCAGAATCATCAGACTTCTCAGACTCATGGAAAACTAAATCAATTGGCCGCGCTGCATGCGAGCTCTCTACCTATTTGCCTGGCCTTGTCAGATACCTTTCGCAATCTACTTGTGATATTCTCTACAAAACAAAAAGCATATTCAAGGTGGATTAGTCCAACGGATTTTCTAAACCTCTCGATCCCCTCAACTGTAGCACGAGGTGATAGAATTAGCTTCCGCTCTTTGATATGCTCGATCTGTTCTCGTGAGACCTAGAGACCTTCCCCTTCGGGCAATAACCCGTCTCTGTTATAAGGTACCTATTCATTTACCGCTTGAGCATGTGGGCGAGGAGGCATGTCAAAATCGGACTAAATAACATATCAATTCAGGTATGTTACTTCCACCTATCTTCAAATATATCTACGATAAGTCGGAGAATGTAAAACGATCGTTTACACGTTACCAACGTTGTCTAGATACCCATCGAAGTATCACAATAAGCTAGAACGATTATCAACAATTCGAGTTCCTATGCCAAGACTTGGCTGCCGAGGCGTTCTGAAGTCGTACCTTGTGAAATCAACAACGATCTCTCCCCAAGATCAACAGGGCGGATTTGCCCGATTTGCACTTACACCGAAGTCCAATCAAGGCAGGTAGTCAGCAGCGGACCTAGACTGAAAAGGCAAGCTCTTTCACTTGAACCAACCACCGTCCCGAAATCCATCCCCGGCATAAGTCTCATCTCGAGTAGAGCCTTAGAGCCTGCTTCCGAACCAACGTGCCTCGCTTGATTGGACAAGTTCCAAGATAAGGTATGCAGCGGCAGGCCGACCTCATTCCGGCGATGATCCCGGCTGCTAGTACTCGAATGCTACCTTGAATCTCCCCCAAGGCGCAGCTGAGTGGTGATCGAAAAAAGCACCTTCTATAAACTCACACGTTCGACGCTATCTCGATTTGCTTCCCGATGCTAAGTCCACACTCTATCCCCGGGATTTTGCGTGGATCAGGTTCGGAATGCGCCTACGGAGCCAATAGACTCGCTCAGCATGGGCTCCAACGAATCAGATTACCGAACATCTCTACCTGTTCCTGCTTATCATGATTCTGCAAGCGTGTAAGCAGGTGAAGCCTTACAAGTAGATATATAACGTGTGTCCGCCTCATCTCTTGGCGTACCGAGATATCTCCTCTCGTCGTCACCACTCCTCTCTGCTCCGGCATCCAGTGACCATCGACCAAGGCCAATAAGCTTGTACTTTCTCGGTGAATAACTAGTAAAAGTAAATAGTACCTAACAACGATCAAGATGGCCCGCTTTACCATCTTAGCCCTCTTGTCGACGGCCGCCCTTCCCGGTGCCATGGCCTGGGGAGCGATGGGCCACGAGACTATCGCTTACATCGCTAGCAACTATGTCGGCTCGGCGACCAAGAGCTACTTCCAGGGCCTCCTAGGCGACACCTCCGCCGACTACCTCGCCAGCGTCGTCGCCTGGGCCGACAGCTACCGGTACACGACCGCCGGCACGTTCTCGGCGCCGTTCCACTACATCGACGCCAACGACAACCCGCCGTCGACCTGCGGCGTCGACTTGGACCGGGACTGCGGTTCCGAGGGCTGCGTCGTCCGCGCGCTCCAGAACTACACGACCATTCTCCTGGACCAGAAGGCTAGCAACGCTAACTTACAGATCGCCGCCAAGGTAAGTCTAGATCCGCAAAAAAAAAAAAAAAAAAAAAAAAAACCTTTAGAAATAGACATGCTGACATATTCTAGATGGTTATCCACGTAAGCATGATCTATGGTAAAAGCATATCGAACAAGGGAAATTAACGCGATAGGACAGTTTGCCGGCGACATAGGCCAGCCCCTGCACTGCGAAGCTCTAGAAGTAGGTGGTAACGACATCGACGTCGAGTACGACGGCGACGACACGAACTTGCACGCCATCTGGGACAGCAACATCCCCGAATCCATCTCAGGCGGCTCCTCTCTAACATCTGCCAAGTCGTGGGCCACGACTCTGATCAAGGGTAACTTTTCCCCTTTTCCCCTCTCTCATCCCCTCTTTCACCCTCTCTTCCTTCCCTTCTCCCCTTAATCTAGACACCTATAAATCCACTCCGTTCCTAACAATTTCCCAGAAATCGACTCCGGCGACTACAAGTCCCAGGCCGCGGGCTGGGTCAGCGGGCTCAGCGTAGGCTCCTCCTCCGCCCAGGTATCGACGGCGCTGAAGTGGGCGACGGAGAGCAACGCGTACGTGTGCTCGACCGTCCTCAAGGGCGGCGTCAGCGCCGTCGAGAACAAGGACCTCAGCGGCGCCTACACGACGACCGCGCAGCCCGTCGTCGAGCTGCAGATCGCGAAGCAGGGATACCGGCTCGCGAAGTGGCTCGACGCTATCGTTGCCGCTATGTAAGAGAAAAATGAAGATTACCTGAAAAAAGTGATGGGAGTTGGGGTGTCGTATGCCTATGTTAGGATGATTAGTTAATTGCGTAGATTTATGAGAGATGAATGAACTCTATGTCTATTGAACGTCCGCTGATATAGTTTGATGAGGTGACGCGTTTATTGAACGATGATTTCTCCTTAAAGGCCCGCCATCACAGCCCATTACACCTTTTTCAACGCATCCCTCAACATAGGCGCGATCTTCTTCCTACTAAATTCCACCCTCTCTTGTCTCCAGCACCTCCTCCAATTCCCCTCCCCATCCTCCATATCCAGCTTCCCCTCTCCCCAAGCTTGCAGTCCCAGTTCCGCCTTCCCCTCGTCTTCTATAAACCCCTTCACCGCGCTCACGACATGCGGCAAACCCCTGGTCCAGACCATCAATTCCCTAGTAAACTTTCCCTCGTCATCCTTGGACGTCGTCAACACGACCATAACATCCAACCCGTTCTCGTCAATCCACCGATCTAACTCCGCCAACAGCGCGCTCTCGCCGCCAGCCTGCTTGATCAGAGTCGCAAAGGACTGCGGCACGGACGAGGTGCCCAGCTTCAGGGCTCCCTCGGTCCACGCCTTATAGTCCTTGCGCAGGACGTCGCGGGCCGACATCTGCGAAATGTCCTCCTTAAGGGCAGATACTTCGGCGAAGAACTTGGCACGGTCGTAAACGTCGGCGGAACTCGTAGTGGCGGCGTTGGAAGTAGATGGTACAATGTAGCCCTCGGCGATCTCGACCGCGCGCTCGTCGTGCGCCGTCGTCTTGTCCTTGTTCCCCAGATTCGCCGTATCGATTAGGATCGGCGCGAGAGCCAGGTACGCCAGCTGTCGATTAATCTCCGCCTTCTTCGTCAGATCTCCCTTGCCTTCCCCTTTCCCATCTCCCTTTCCCTTCGTCAACGCATCCCACGTCTCGCGACACTGCTCGACGACCAAACTCATACAACTCCCCGCTTTCTCAATAACCCTCGGATCCGCATCTTTCGGCACGACCCCCTCATCGTCATGATGGTCCACGCACCCAACCACCCTATCGCCGAACTCCTTCCCAAGCCTTCCCGTCAACACATTGTGGTCTACGAGCAACCACCTCGTGTCCTCGGGCCTTATACCCTTCGGCAGCTCACTCAACGTAAGCACATCCTCCCCACCAACCCCAGCGCGCCCAAGCACAGCGTCGAACTCAGGCCTCAGCGCGAGATCCGCGCGCGGGAGATGGCACAGCGGCACATGCGTCACGTGCGGCGGCGCGCAGCTGCGGAAGTACGCGAGGAGGAGCGTCGAGCACAAAGAATCAAGGTCTACGGGTTTTACGGTTCTCCGTTAGTACATCATCGCACACCCATACCCACACCCACACCTCTCTAGCCCCTCGAACCGGCAACTCCAAAACCGCACTTCTAAAAAGCGCCCCAGCGTTTTGGTATTACGTACGAGCACAGATAAATGTAAAAGATGAGATTGTATATATAAGGGGCGATGTGAGTGTGAGTGTGAAGCAAAGTGAAGTAAGAGACGTAAGACGTACCGGCAGCCTCATTCCCAACAACAAAATGCAGCGGCGCGGGACGCTTCGACGGCGGAGCCGTGAGCGCCGCGCGGGCTGTCGATAGAAAAGCCCGCAGCGATTTCTGCGGCGGCATTTCCTGCGGTTGGCTAGACGTGCCGTCCGTCATCTTTTCATGTTCCGGGTGTCGGCAGTTGAGTTGTTGTGTAGGATTAGCATGCGGACGTTAACGTCATCGCGTTTGCTGTTTTCTGGGTCCCCCGCAATTCCCCTTGAATTTTAGTGGTGTACCTGCTATGTTATAGCTCTAATATCAGGGGACATGCACCTACCCGTAGCTAAACCAACCCTAGGTTAATCTCTTGCGCGATTGGTTGAGAGCAAGCACCATCTTCTAATACGCCTACCCCTTAGATAGTATATAGGTAGGTAGGTACTACCCAGGCAAATATTCCGCACATGTATTACTCTCACATGCAAATACAGAGAATCTTAGACAATCTTCGAACATAAGTGTACAAGACATTGAATTAGAACCTCTACATAACGATACTACTCCGAACAACGTCATTCAATCCATGAGCGAACCTTCTAACCCTTGACAACGCCTCGTCCTAGCCATGGTATCCTATTTGCCTATTGTGTACGTAACTAAACTAAACACCCAGTCAAAAGAAAAACGCCAAGTCGTGCAGTATCCCTCATTCTTTCTATCGTCTAGTACTCATCTATTCCCTATTGGAACACAAATATGACGCCTGACCGGTCCACGCTAACCGTCATCGTGTACGGCATCTCCAGGACCGCCACGTCTAGGATCGAATCCAGGTGGCTTCTAAGCAGCTGTCCCTGCTCTGCCGAGATGACCGTATGCCTAGGAGGCTTCTCTCTGCTGCTCGTAGTCTTGCCGCCCTTGGTGTTCTTCTGGTCCGAACCCGCTGCACTGCCTTTAGATGTTCTCTCAACGTTGAGGGTTAGGCCGGGTTGGTTTGGTGTGTTGACTACAGAAAAGGCGGGCCTAGCGTCCTCTCCTTGGAGTCCACTGAACACGCACGAATTCTCAATGCGGATCAGATCCCAGAAGCGCAATTTCTTGTCCGAACCACCCGTCAGGATGTACCCATACCGCACATCACGCTGTTCTTCCATAGCACCCGAACCGACGACCATAGCTCGGACGCCTCGATCCGAACTGCCGCTGGCCGTAGGTTCGATATTAGTCGCGAAGCGGCCGAGCATGCCCTCGGGTTTGTCCTCATCAACGTCCCATGCTTTATATTCCTTTGGCCCCTCCTTAGATCCACCCACACGATAGATCTCCCTGCATTGGGTCTTCTCCAGGTCCCAGACGGTGACTTCTCCAAGGCCAGTACCGCCTGCCACACATACCCATTTCCCGCGTCCCTTGGCGGGATGGAGGCTGAGGCGATAGATGGCTGACTTGCCGGGTAAGCCCCAGCTCTTAACTCGCATTTTGAATCGAAGGTCCCAAAGATCCAATACTCCATGCGATGTGCCAAGCAATAGCCAGTTACGCTTTCGATCAATACAAAAACACGTCGGTGTTCCGTGATGGACCGGATTTTCAAGAGAGTAGAGGAGCGACCTCGTACGAAGGTCAACACCTACAACTCGAGACCGGTTAGTCGCCAAGACGAGTACGGAGTTGAGCTCTTGCTTAAAATGCTCACACCATACGGCATACTCGTCTGGCGGAAGTTGATACTCTCGGACAGGTCGTAAACGGATATACTTAGTCGCGCCGCTCGTCGCTGCGGTATCAACTTTGACGGCGTTGACGGTACCGTCGGTAGCACAACTAATAAAGGTATGGGTATTCTCTACAAAACAGAGAGCGGTAACTTTCGCACCTGATTCGTGTTTGTAGGTCTGTCGTGAACGATGCGTGACATTGCGTTCGAGTCGTGATGAATCCCACACTTTCACTGTGCCGTCATCGCTGCCTGTAATAAAAAATAGATGATCCGGCGATGGTAGAACACGATTGATTGCACCCGTATGTTCCGCAAACGTAGCAACAAGACTGCCGTGCGGCTTCCACGCTTCTTCACCCGTCTGCCCAGCCGCTTTGCTAGCCTTTCTCCGCGTAATCGGCTGGACAAGTGGTCCGAATAGAGCTATGTCATGAGGATAATTATCGAAATACATATTGTCGAGCATTTTTAGAATGCTAGGATCATTGCCCTCATATGTATGTGTAGCACGCGGTCGGTTGCTAGGATTTCCATCCTCCGTGACAATATCCGGAATGGTAATTTGGGGTGGAGGGTTCTGTGCAAAAGGGCCCTCAACTTGACCGAATGCGTTTGCCTCAGTCGTTCCCGTCTCGGCGACAGATCTGCCGCTATCCTTCCTATTCAAAAGATCCAATGCACTTGATTGATGCCGAATAGCTCTCCTAGTGGAATAGGGAGTATCGGAAACGGAGGCATTATCGTCAAGGGAAATCCGCCCATGTGTCGCGGATGATGTCCGTCGTGATTGATCGAAGCCTGCACCGTCAACTGGTGACGACGACAGAGTTTGAGCTGGCGATAAAGCTCTATTATCCTTCGTTCTTGGCGAGATTGCCCCTCCTCGGCTACTTAGACGCGAGCGATGGTTGTTCATAGCAGCGCGTCGCCTCTTTCCGACCGGCTCGTCTATTGTCATTGATGCGTCCATCAGAGCATCAGCAATAGTGTATGGACCTTTATCCGAGTCAGATGCGATCTGCTCTTGCCACAGTGGTTCCTCTTTGGCAGTAGTCTCATCAAACATGATGGTTTGTAACTGGACATTTAGACCCCTCAGAGCAATGATGTTATTCAAGGACGTAGCAATGTTATCCTGTGTGATCAGGTCCCTATTTCTCATCTGACTCAGACGCCAGATGAACTCTCTAAGAACAAGCAATTTGAATTCGTCTTCAGATGTCATTCCCATGTTTCGTAGTCGGCCGAGCCACTGTTCATCTTCATCGTTGCGCTGGACTTTGTTAAGGGTCTGAGGTTGCACTTCCCGGGACGACCGGATTGCTAACGCCGTAGACGCAATTGTGAAAGTCGACTGCTTCTGTTGTCTGACGGCTTTCCAGAACAAGCCTCTATCAGTCTTCTGCGCCCAGGATAAAGCTAGATCGAAGACAGTTCTCGATAGAGGTTTCTTCAATGTGTCCAGTAAGTTAAGCTCGGTGAAATCAGGGATAATATGTGGTTTTATGAATGGCTTGATAAGAGGGTAGACGATACATCTTTTATCCGCAGGAGACAGTAGTTTCGCAGCACTGGCTATGTACTCTGCTGCAGATTCGCGAATCCATAGGTTTGGATGCATAGTAAAGCGGCCAACCACGTCGATTAACTCCCAAATTTTTGCCTTGGATAGGAGACCTAGATTTGCCAGCTCCGCTAAAGAGTGTAATGCTGCTTGGACGACATGCTCTTCCGGGTCGGTTACGGCCTGTACCATCAGGGGGAGACTGAATTCCTCCAGACTTGTGCTGCCTAGGAAAGCAGCAATACCGACAATGGTATCGAAGAAAGCGCATTTCAGCATCCAGTCTCGGTCATTAAGATATGTATTCAGGTGAGTAAGAATAATATCATTGGATTCTGCACTGCCAAAAAACATGCAGAGTTCCGGGACGGAGCTGAGAAAAGCCCGCCGTACTGAAGCGTCTGAGTCTTCAACTAGAGCTTTAGCATGTGCTTCGAATAATTCGACGAGTTCGCCCTGCGCATTGTCGAACAGGCCGTCAAATGCGGCATCGGGGTCACTTCCGGCTTCTACCTCTGGATCAGCCGTGCTAATAGCCCCTTCTGCTCTTAGAATGGCTGTCAACTCTAGGAATTTCGAAGCAGTCGTCGCAAGGCTTCCCAGACAAGACGCGTACGTAGCTCGAACCAGAGCACTTGGTTCTCTGCGCTCTTTTCCCATGATAGGTTGTCTAGAAGCGCCTGACAAGAAGACTTGCATCCTTGGCATAATGTACTCGGGAAACACGTGGGCATTAACCGGGGTAACCACAGATACAAGAGCCAAAAGCTGAGTTACAGACCTGAGAGCCGCAATAGCAACGAGATCGACATCGTCGTTTAGTAAAGTCATTAGGTACGGCAAAACTCGGTCTAGCTTTGCTTCGTCGGATAACCTCTCCGAGAAAGCCAACAATACGTCACAAGCCCTGATTTTAGACGCCGCTCGAGCGGTATTTCTAAGGGACGAGGCGACAAGTGTAAGGAAGATTAGGGTTCCGTCATCCGTAGGAGGCTGCTTTCCCGCAGACGTGAAATGTTCATTATTGGGTATATTTAGTCGTACAGGGAAAAGACCCAGGCCGAGTCGAGGAGTGAAGTGAGCGAGCTGAGATGATTCTTTTCCATCGTGATAACCCAAGAAATACGATATCTTGTCAAAGTCGTAGAAAACTCGATCTATCCGCTCATCTGCTTCACCTAGATTTCTCATGGATCCCGTGATAGGAGTTCTTCCAGAACTTGAATCGGTGATGAGTTCCATATACTGATGGAGGAAGCTATAGAAGTACTCGGGGAAGACTTTGGTTTTGTAAAAGTCCAAATACTGCTCTGCCGAATACCGTTTCTCGGGATCAAGCTGAATCATACTCGACAACATCTCTCTTAGGCCCTGATCTGGAATTCTGCTAAGATGCGATATCACAGGATCATACTCGCCACGACGGTACTTAAACATCTGGCTGAGGCTGAAAATAGGTGTCTCCAAGAAAAGTTCGGCAATGACGCATCCAGCACTGAAGATATCCATCGACCACGTGAGCTTGTGCCCTTGAAGTTGTGTTTGCGGGTTCTCTATATGTTCGATGAACCTCTCGGGCGCGATGTAACATGTACGTCGACCCGACAGATCGAAGAAGTATGAGTAAAGCATAGGATTATCATCAGGTAGCTTCGTGGGCTTGAAGGAGCCAGTAAAGTCGGTGAGATAAAGCCAGTTCCAAGATGTCACCATGATATTCTCCGTCTTTATATCGCCATGGTATATGTCCCGAGAGTGGCAATCTCGCAGTGCGCACAACAGCTGGAAGGCCAACCATTTCTTCTCTATATCTTCGAGGAACGGTCGAGTCGACATGCGATCGTAGAGGGAGCTGTATATGTATTGTCGCACAAGGTAAGCGTTCCCATCAGTTTCAAAGGCGCGCTCGAAGCCCAAGGCGTTGGGGACATCTCTTAGTTTATTTCTCTCCTCTTCGGACTAGTCAGCGCAAGTTCCGTGCTAGAAAAGGGTGGTGTGATGGCCACGTACGTAGGATCTTCTCGCCATATTCGCGTAGCGATAGTGGGGTATAGGGCTTCACGGTGACCTTTGCCAGAACAACTCCATCGTGATGACGGGCGCGGATACTTTTCATGAAACGGGCGCTTCCGATCGATCTCTCGTGTACTAGGTCGGCTAGTTCTGGGATGTCGATGCCAGCAGAGCCGGCGTACGGCGTGGTAAGGGAGTAGCTGTTACCCATCTTGCAAACATGCGATGGTGCTACCTAGCCAAATATGTGAGGCAAAACAGATTGATCATCTTCGAGGTTCTCCACAAGCCTTGTCAACAGATGTATTATCTTTTCTATCTTCGAACGAACGCAACACAGCGCATTATTGATCTATTGGTGAATGGTAGTAAGCACGCCAACTGCTCACGAGGCAGCAAGCAAGGCTATGTGATCTTGATGACGGAGTTGGATGAATAGAAGAGCTTCCAGGAATTTAGTGGGTTGCATGTGCCTGGAATCTTAGCTTGGGTGGGGTCAGACCTTCCAATAGAGAGGTAGTCGCTGCTAATTAGTAAACTTAGCATCAGATCAGTCAATCATTGAATAATTGGGTACGTCTCCAATGTACCTAGCATGGATCTTTGTACACCCCGTTCAAGATTCTTTGTCATAATCATACCCCTATTCACCCAAATAGTCACAGTTGAATGATTCACATGTAAACAGTAGGTATCGTATTGCGTGATTAAAGGATGTGTTATAGTTTGCAATATGTAGTCGATACTGACAGAGAAGAACTACTGGTACAGTACTTCACTCAGCTAACTCAAGTGTTTAGGTAGCATAGATGCTAAAAAGCCATTTGATATTTACAAGACATATTTTCTCAACTCACTTGATAGAAGATAGCTACCTCATATGTATGTTACTAATACTCTTTCGTGAGAAACCCTAAGCTAATTGATAATTGAGATGACAGGGCTCTATCCTCATTTAGGAGCAGCCCTAGAAACATCCCTATGCCATATATCTAACCTAAAGCTCTCCCGACGGCACCACTGAAGATATGAAGGAGTCTTCAACCGTATTGTCCCTTGCTCGTCTGTTAGGCATATAGGTAGGTAGTGTCATGCACGTTTTCCAGTCACGCCCCAGTCTCCACCCGCCTCTCCCTCAAAGAAACGAATCACATAACAGTGGCCCTCCCCGACAACCCGCACCAAACACCTTTGCTAACACACCGGGTATATAGAATCAATAATCGAAGAGAAAGGAGAGGGCGCAACTGCATGTAGTCGTCATATTAATTATGATCGCGTCTCTTCATATCAAAAATCCCGAGGACCAGCTGGTAAACACCACCACCAGCCGTCCTGCGGTTCAAGTCGTGATCCGAGGCGATGTGTCATCCGAATAGAATTAAATAGGTACTGTAGAATTGGAGGCATTAAGCGTATCAATCGCAAGAATGCGAATCGTCGTGTCTATGTGCAAGGCGAGGACAAGAAGGCGGGCGTTAAATTGAGGACGATGGACATGGAAGTCGATCAGGTATAGACCGAAACTATACCTGAAAGGGGATTTTGACGAATCGATATCGCGCTGCGGTCGGACCGAGGGTTAGGTTGGAAGTTATAAGTCCCTAAACGCCGGTGCAATGCAAACACTAGTGTCTTCGTCAACCCATCAGATATAAATAAACAGCGTGAAGATCTCGTTATTAGGCTCAAGTTCCGTGCTGAGCACTAGACCCGGTCTCTGTAGATCCATCGCCCTCAATTGTCTTCCTCCAATGTTCGGGTAGGCAGACGCAGACCAACGGGAAAGCCTTGATCTCTCCACTAACCGGAGGTGATGTGTCTCGTAAGCGACCTGAGGTATGTGAAACTCCGCTATCCCTCTGTGCTTGTCTGCGTGCTTCCCACTCATCTGCTCTTTCGTCCAACATAACACCGGTTGCCCATCCGTCATCCCAGATACCTACCACCTTCAACATATCACCGCGTTCCAAGGCGAATTCGTCGGCTGCGCGGGGCTGGTACGCCCAAAGGACCGAGACGCGCTCGCCAGGGTGGATATCGTCCTGCGAGTAATAGTCCTTGAAGAATGGGAGTTGCTCAGATTGCTGACTGTTGACACCAGGGGGCGATGACATCCCCCCTGCACTACCGGGAGATTGAGGATCTTCACCTGCGAGCACCGAACTGCTAGACAACGAACCGTTCCTGCGGATGTTCATGGGAGGTGGTCGTAATATAGCTGCACGTGGTTCTGATCCGGGACTCTCCCCGAACGAGTCAGAAGACGAATGATCACCTCCTCCTCTCCGTCTTCCTGTGATGTACCCAGCGGCCGCACCGGCTGCTGCTGCACCCGCCGAAGCCCCGCGTCTGGAGTCTCCGTGTCTCGAGCCAGGCTCTCCCGTATGGCCTTCTAATGCCGACATACGGGCTATCCTTCCTCCGGGGAGGACTTCATACCCTTGAGGTGCTACAGGAGCCGCGGGAACCTGGTTTGTCTGTGGCCCTTTCCTAGAGGGTGATGGTTGGTTAAATATGCTTCCCTTCTGACTACCACGTCTTCTTCGTGCCAGTCTAATGCACATCAGTATGAGGAAGACTAAAAGAGCCAGACCAGCCACGGATCCAATGACAACACCAGCTATCGCACCGCCAGAAAGACCTTTGCTGCCGGATGAGCCCCCCGCAACGGGTGTTGCTGTGCTGCTGGCGGTGGCGCTCGCGGTAGGTGTACTGAAGGATATGGTTGACGTAATTGAGGGCAAGACGACGTTGGCGCACTTTGACTCGATATTGGAATTGTAGCAGCAGGTATCAGTCGAGTTAATACCGCCTGATGCGCAATATGAGCACAATCCAACGGTGCTACCGCCGTATCCACAGTTATCTGGTTCATTAGCGATGCCTTGGATACAACTGCTACTAGATAGCGAGTCCGCCGGCAAAGCACAATTAACGAAGTCAGCTCTTATCTGGTCTTGACGGCCACTGCTTGAGCTGGGACACAGGCTAGTATCGGCCGCGAGATAGGCTTCACTCTCGGCATAATGAGCGCAAGAGTCGGCACACAAGGGCCGCGAATCCTGGTCCGACAGACTACAGTCCTTGATGGAATTTTGGATAATAGCATTACAGATTACTGAGGTAGTGAAACGCGCATATAAATCAGTAGTGTTGACGAGGTCGATATTGCCGCAACCCAACAATGTTTGGTACCTAAGATACAGAATAAGCTTTAAGTTAGGGATCATATTGGCGTCAATTTACTTACTGTTTCTGAACAAAATCGGTCTGAACATATTGGCTTAACTGCTTATCGAAAGAAGCCCTGTCTGAGACGTACTGGAGAAAAGGACTAAATGGTAGGAATTATAGATTAGAATCCGAGACAGATTCTTATGACAACGCGATATCGCATTTGGAGAATGAGATGGGAAAGGGATGTGAGAACTTACAATAGCCCTATTAAATAACTACTCGTGGACACCGAGGCGGACGCAAACGCTGGACAAGTTGTTGAGCCTGTTAACGGAATGCAGTCTGCCATGGAGCCAGGAGTTGCTGCGAGGATCGACACAAGGGCTGATTTTACAGTCCACCCTAACCGGCCAGCCGTCTTTCCACCACTCCCTGATCGAGACGATTCCATCGCGACGTCGCGCTTAAAGGGTTTGGGGGACTTCGGAGTGACAGATCGATCGCCGTTCCTCCTAGAGTTCGTATGGGAAGTAGGGATCACTGGCGCCGAGAAGGCATGACGTTCGGATCCTATCATTGCTCAAACCACATGCTATTTAACTCGACTCGGTTGATGATGGTATTCGTAGTTGCTCGGTGCTAAGAAGTGGCTGAATGACTGATATGCTGGCGAGGATAGTCTGTGTTTCCGTTTCTTTCCTTCTGAGGCAGGTAAATCTTATGTGCAAGGTTGGTCGCAAGTAATAGTCGTAACCGTAACCAAAATCAAAGTGAAGAGGTATCTTGAGGGGTCAATTACTCTGTAAGAGAAATACGAGGGAATGATTATTTTCTTTCGAGTGTTATTTTTTTTTCGTGTTGAGGGATGTATGTAGGTAGGTAGTGTGCCGATGGGATCGGGTGTGTTGGTGTTTCCGGTGACGAACGAGTGTCTACAGTTGGAGAAGGTGAGACCTTGAGTGAAAGGAACCAAACCAGAAATCGTGTAGTGGGAGGATTTCAGGTTGCGCTTGACATGCCACAAGTCCACCTATCTTGCAGTCTTAGACGCACGTCGAATAGAATACGACTGTGGATGCTATCTACTACTGAATGGGTTATCGAGATGGCTGGACATTAGGCGAATTTACTGGTAGAAGGCTCCTTTGACTCTTTTGGCTTAAACGAATGGATGGTGTGAATGTCAAATAAAAAATTCGAAGAATAACACAACGAAAGCAAGAAAAGAAAACTACTAGGCCACGACGGTAAAGTCGTGAAACCGTAGATCCGGGCGAGTAGGATGAGGATCGGAGGATGGGGAGAAAAGAAGTCCAAGTTTGGGTATATGCGACTTCGACAGAACCGATGAGAGAAAGAGAGAGGATTGGGGGAGGATTGGAAGAGGAACTCGCGTAGCCAGCCCGAGACTGCCTGGCCAGGACTGCCAGATTGTGCACCGAACTACTGGGCCTTAGTTTTACTTGCTGGCAGGCATAATTCATCAACGATCAAGGAGCATCGTAACAAGCAACACCTGCCGCGTCCTGCCCTACCTTGCAGCTACGTACATACATTGATGCACCTTGTTCCTACCTAGTATCTGACGTTGTACTTTGTACTTCGTGTACCTGGGCTAACTATAGTAGTGCCACCGTTCACCCTGCCTTCTCTTGATGTAGCAGGTACACTAGCGAGCGGGAGACGTTTCCAGGTCGATAGTAGGGGAGCTCTATCCTTCTATGGGGGGCTTGGCTTAGACTTTGCCCAATGAGAAGTACCAGCAGCCTAAGGTTGTGATCCACAGTAAAAACTTACTTGCTTCCAGTCCGCAACAGGCAAGTAGAGCGGCCACGGCCTTCAAATTAGAGGTTTCCCTAACCGTGCGTGCTTTTCATCCCGATATTAGGTATATACGGCTCCCGTCAGAACTTACAACCTTTTTTTACACGTGCTTATTCTGATGTTTACTCTTCACTCCTCACTCTTCATTATTCCACTTATCCCGATGAATCTCAAATACATACATCATATGAAACAATATATCAGCACATTGTTCGAGATCCCTAAACGATCCAGTTGTACAATGCCATATACGTCTTATGAAATTTGATGCGCACAGACTAGTACTCTGTACATCATAGTCGAGCTAGGGTCCCTGTCAAGCCACGGGCTCTCAGACAAGGTCTTCGTCCAAATAGGCAAAGTCCCAGAAGCACCTTAAAATTAACTGACATGGATTTGCTTATCCAATCGTGATAGCCAAAAGACAGCCAAGAACTTTGCAGAAAAGCAAACCGTTGATTTTCCAACAGTTCATGAAAGAATCATCGATAAGCTTTTCGAAGTCGACATCTTCCCTGGCCTCATCGTGATATCGGATGGCATCTCATTACCTATCTAGGAAAACAATGGTAATTATGTATTGCCTAGTGGGATGGCTGTCACCTTCACGTTATTCGTCTGGTGTTACTCAGAGCGGAAACCTTGAATGACAAGCCAACGTGGACACCACATGTTAATGCCTTCAACGACAAACACCGACAAGTACCTATGAATCAAATAAGCTTCATTCCCCATTCCACGTCTACATACGATTTCAACCTCCAAACTCTATCGAACACAACCCTCTTGTTCGGATGATGGTTTATAGTTCATGTCTATTCAACGAATGACGATGATTTACTACCTTAAATCTTCAGTGTGTGGGATATGTACATACGAGTCACTGAAATCGAAGGAACGAAAACACTTTGCAGAATCCCAGAGCCTATCAGGGTTCATCTTCGTCGTTTCTGATTTAACTGCCGATCAGATTAGCTGAAACTTCTACTTTATTTCCCTGGGAGTCAGGGAATGAGGGTTTTTTTTTCTTTGAATTCTTCTGTCTCATATGCCGCGCTCCCGCGGTTATTGGCCAAGCACCTTTGTTATGCCCTACTGCTTCAGATTCTGATGATTTTCATACTACTTCACTTACCCGGTCCGCCATTCAAGGGATCCCGGCCAATTCCCAGCTACGTCTGAAAATAGCTTCTCTGGCCCTGTCGAGAGGCGTCGATGCGAAATGACGATGGCCTCATTTACTCGATTGAATAAGGGGCGGCCTAACGCGTCGTGTTTTCGACCCACCATTTCTCTTGGAATTTTTTTATGGTCTTTTTTTGGTTTATTTATGTTTTTATTAGTGTTTGTTTCATCATCTCAGCCCTAACAGGCCTTATTCTTACGGTTCCCACATTGATCAGAATCGACAAAAAACACGAGGCGCACGTTCGTCAACCTGCTTCTTATTATGTGTAGTATGCCCGGGCGTGTCTTCGACACGTAGGTATTTGTTCACCGCCATGGACTGAAGGACGGGCAGGCATCTCGGGCATGCTTCTTGACCTCGGAATGTTTCGAGAAAAGGGGCAGACAATATAACACAATTTAAGAAGCAAACAAAATCACATAAGCACAGGAACAGCAGATCTAATCACACAGATACTCCGAGATTGTCGTCCCTACCGTTGGGTAAGACTAGCATAGCCCCGGGCTAGAGTCGTGTTACCGGATCCTCTTATGCAAGCCATTGCCGAAGGCGTTCTGCCGCGTCAACGGCTTCACAGAATTAGATTATTAGTACTGGCTACGCAAAGCTCGCCTTCGTACCCTAACGGGTACTGCGCTTTAACTAGCCAAAGTGTAAGTAATTAGCCAAATACTTTAAAAGATAAGGAGTTTCTATATAAAATCCATGTACTCTGCTTGTCTTAGCAAGAATCCTTGTTTGTATATCTTTAAGAAAGATATATGTAAAGATACTTGGCTAATTACCTGCACTTTGGCTAGTTAAAGCGCAGTACCCGTTAGGGTACGAAGGCGAGCTTTGCGTAGCCAGTACTAATATCTGCCATACATCGGTTTCCAAATACTACCACACAGAGGTATGGCATACATATCTCTTCTCGGTCTGTAATATGTACCATCACCCCCCTGAGATTTCGCGTCCAGCCAGGATGAGTTCATCGAATAAAACTACTCGGCGTAGCGACAGGGCCAAAGGTACATCAATGCAACCGTCGGGGCGGCTACTAGCCTCGGCGGACGGCAGTGGTTAACATTATGCATATCGACGCCATGCATGAAATATATATGTAAGATCGGGGTGTTTCTCAGTCACTCCTATCAATTCGGTTCTAATTTACCTCCTATCATATCCGCCTTTTGAACTTTCCCATAATCAACGGTAACCGAGTGAACAATGTGCTCGAATGCTGGCACCTACGCCTTACTGGTATCAAATAATGCCATCGGCGCTAGGAAATGATACATGGAAGACAAAAAGATACAGTCGTGTCTCAGCTAAGGAGCAAGCATGAATGAGCCCTCCGATGGCTAATTTGCCCCGCGTTACAGATCTTACAGACTAATCCAACATTCCAGCCGAAGTTTATATCGACGTCGATTAGACATAATACATTTAAATTATTGGGTTCTATCAATGACCAGTCATGCTTTGGTAAGATTCCTATGAGCATTATCATCTGTCCTGTGACTCGGAGTATAAGCCCAGTACTTGACAAGATCTCATTTAGTCATCTACCCAAAGCTTTATCGATGTGTTTATGACATCGTAGTAAGTAAAAACATAATAGCACCTAACAACATCAATCACCATCTTGGCCTATCTACATATTCCGGAAGGAACTGTGATATTCTAGGCGATGACCTCTGCTGGTCTGTCTTGACTTTTCTTCACGGACCCTTCTCCTAGCTCGTCTCCTAGTGTATGATGCAGAATTCTTCGTATGATACTTCCTTGCCATGCTTCGATTCCAGAAACGACTAATGACCCTACTTTGTTTCTAACTGGCCTGCGAAGCAAAGACCAAATTCCAAACTATCACACCAGTGTCTCGTGGCTCTACTATAATAGATATCATATAGATGTTTCTCAAGACTTGGTAGATCTTGAAAGCCTAGTGTGGTTTAGTCTTGTCAATCGCTAAAGTGTATGTAGTTACATGAAGCATAATTGACATACGTAAATAGTTTAGAAACTTGAGATTCAAGCGCGTTAGTAGATGAGACATGCATAGAGGACTAGAAAGTACGCATAGCGAATTCTTTGGTTATTGGTTGGTTCGTTAGTAGGAGGTAGGTATGGTTTAGTACGTTTGACTCGTGCAATAAGCCTTGAGGGAGTGAAAAACATTCAAGACTCAATGCACCTTTTGATACCTACCTACTTACAAGATAAGATGAGTCATGATATAAAATGGAAATTTGAATATAGTAGCGTGGATGCCGACGTTGTAACAACTGCCGAAAGTTCCAGTATGTAAACTGATACACCACTCTTACTATCGAGATCCGTCTTTAAAACAACTCTGAACCTCCCTATGCCGTTAAATATCAAGGTAGAATACCTCAATGAAAATATGTAAAGGCTAAACTTTGAAACGTTTCTGAACCGGTAGTGGGTTTAAACTTCTTATACAACGAGCAGATGACATCCAAAACAAGTTATTGTTCTCAAAAGAACTCTCATCGAACGCGGAATCTTGTGAACCACCACTTTAAGTGAAACATGCGGTAACGTCAGCCTGGAAATTATATAACAATTCAGAGCCAAAACTGGTCTATCTCGCACCCTGTCTCACTCCCCTTTTGGGTGTAAAACTCACATAATTCATGCATATGGTATTTAAACACAGTCAGGTATGACGCCCTGAGAATATGTGATGCAAATTCTTGATGAACTCAGTATACCTTGAAGGTGACGAAGGACTTTGAATAGTTTACCAGGGCCACGCAATCACTTTTAAGCTTGAATAAATGAGTACCTATAAAACGGCGGAGTGATTTGTGATGGAGATTAACTACCTAGGTATCTGCTCCAACGGGATAGCAGGCCAATCGAATCGGCCTTGCCGATTACGAATCATTCCTGGTGTGTGTGAGTATACCATCATTGGCCAATGCTGGATCTACGAAACTCCCAAGGTTGCTGAAACCTTCCAGTCCGGGTCGTCCGGAAAGTACTGCCTGGAGGATTCACGACTCAACGGGGAATTGAAAGTTGTGGGTATTCTATCAGAGAATTTGACCGAACGCCTCCAGCTTGTATTGCCCTGTCTTACGACAAGATATGTACACCTGATTAGAGCATGGGCTCTATGATTCTTCGGGTTTGTTCGCCTTTTTCGCTGCCTCGTGCTCCTTTATTTGTTTACTCCAGCTATAGCAGGTATTAGCCTCGAATATTCCGATAGAGAAGATGCATGGTCAAACATACTACCGACTAGGGAAGAATCGTCCCTCCTCTGGCATCTTGTGTCGGACTTCGCGCTCGGCGCTTAGCTTCCATAGCGCAGCTGTTAAGGCGACGACGACGCCTGCAAAGACAGCTGTGTTCGCCTTCCAGTTGCTCGGCTGTGTGTACCAACCACCGGACGGAGACCAGACGTGCTTGGGGTAGCTAATAGAAGGTCAGGTTCATCATTCTGTCGAGGTTTAAAGGCCGGTAGGAGATTCAACTTACGAAACGCGAGGACCGCCACCCTATTAATTGTTAGTTATGTATGCTAGTAATTTTTTCAAGGCGACATACCATCTTGTCTGAATGTGTGGTGAACGAATAGTCAATTGAGGTGAATTGAAATGATGAAGAGCTTCAAAGTTGGAGTTTCAACGTCAGACGTTCAGCCACAGATCTACAGAGATACGAAGTTACATCTGGATTTGATGGTACAATGGTACAAGCAAGTAATCTATTAGCACACACTTAATTGCAGTGATGTAATTGGACCCAATAAGGGTAATGGTTAATCCGGCGGCACTTAACGATGTGGCACGTGCACGACCACCATCAATGGCCCTTGCACTTTGGCGTAGCTTCAATTCTCAGAAACTTTTTTTCGAAAGCGCAGACAGACACGAGACCCAACTGCAGCAATTGACCTAATCCCCCACAACCGCGTCGTGTCTCAACCCGCCCAGTGCGTTGGGGTGAGGTGATCTGGGTTTATCAAAAATGAAGAGAATACGGCTGGACAGATTATCGAGTCAATTGCTCTCTTCGACCCCGGCAAGACCTGCGTCCACATCCCACTCTACCAGAATATGTCCAACGGCCCGCACATCTAGATTACAAGCCCCTCTATTCTGCCCAAGCCAAAGGAGGTGGCAGTCCACAACGCCTGAGCTGTATACCGACGAAATAGACTATGTCGGATCTCCAGACCCAGACCCAGCCGAAGAAGCGCGCAACTCGCCGCTCCCATCGCCACCACCCGAACGAGCCTTATACTCGGCAAAACTTGCGGCCCTGCATGCGCGACTCTCGCTCTCCTCCAAAATCCCCCTCCAGATTCTCGCCCGCACCCTAATAGACCCCTCGGCCGACGCCCACCCGCATTACAACAATGCGAACCTCGCATTCCTGGGCGCTGCCCTGCTCCAGTACCACACTTCAGAGTTCCTTATCATGCGGTATCCGCGCCTGCCCATGGCGATCCTGTTCTCCGCCATGAAGGGCTACTCCGGCGTGCCTGCGCTGCACCAGGTCGCACGAGCGTGGGGTGTGGAGCCGTGCGCCGCGCCCGGCGAGGAAGTGGACCCGGGCGTGCTGCAATTTTCGACCGACAAGCCGACGGTCATGATGAATAAGTGGGGTTACGTGCGCGCCGAGTCGAAGGAGCTTCTGAAGTACAAGTGGCGCCGTGGTGTTAGTAGTAGAGTGGTTTACGACGACGCCTTTGGAGAGATGGTGGCCAAGGAAAAGAAGCCGAAGGAAGGCGCCGAGCAAGAGCAGGGCCAGGGCCAGGAAGAGGGGGAGGCTAAGCCTGAAGTCAGCGACAAGCGGAATACCAAAGACCTGGTCGTGCAAGACCCGACCCAGAACGCGCACGCGAACTTCGTGCGCGCCATCATCGGCGCCATCTACCGGTACTGCGGGCGCGAGACCGCCAAGATATTCGTGCAGTCGCACATCCTCTCCCGGAAACTCGATCTCGAGAACCTGTTCGAGTTCAAGCTACCGATAAGGGAGTTAGCACGACTGTGCGCTCGAGAAGACTTCGACCCCCCCGTGGCGAGGTTGCTGAGCGAGACGGGACGGCTGAGCAGGACGCCGGTCTTCGTGGTGGGAATCTATAGTGGCCGGGACAAGCTCGGTGAGGGCACCGGACCTAGTCTTGATGCCGCGAGGACGGCGGCGGCGATTAACTCACTAAAGGCGTGGTACCTGTACAGCCCCGGCGAAGTCGGTGTACCTAGCGACACTTTCGTGGAGGATGCCGCCCACTGGGAGCCGGCCTACGTCGACATTGGCGAGGTCATATCGTGATGCGTCATCATAAGGATCTATACGAGGTGCTCTACAATAGAACAGAACGTGAGAGGTTTAGAACCACGAGAATTTCTCCTCTCCTCTGCCAGAGCAAGGCGTACCAGCACGACCCATTGGATAAAATGGGAGACGGCCGAAAATGAAAGCAAGACTATTGGCATCCCTTCAAAATAAGAGATGATTGATGATTTGACGTCTTGGCTGTCGGCGGGACTGGTGTGTTATGAGGGGCGGATTCCAAGGGGCCGGATCTGCCAACGTTGTATCATTGTACCATATTCAAAGAACGTCCAAAAGGCTGGATGGCCCTATGTAGAAACATACAAGGACAGCACCACCCATAAAACCACTCTTCAGCCGAGTGTAAATATCTAAAAGTACTTGCATGATCCATGTTTGAGTGTATTGTCCCTGGTCTTTTCTAGAGTAGTCATCATGTGCCTTAACTCGTCTATCTAATTGGTAGTCTAGTGTATATATGTACATGGAGCATTGGTGAGGTATATAGTATGAGGTAGAAGCTGGCTGGGGAGGGGAATGTAGTGATGGTATTGCCAAAGGGAGTTTATCCAGAGCGGTCCATTTCCAACAATGGACCTTTAACGACCGCAATGTCAACTAAAATGGTCGCCCTCGCCTAACTTATCTGCTATACCTAACCTAACCAACCGCCTATACAACTCCTTCTTAACAGCCGCCTCATGATCTTCGCGCATTTTCTTTTTGCGCTCGTACACGGCCCTCACGCAACGGCGGACCTGGTCCTTACCTTCCTCGTAATTAGCTCGCGCGAGCGCTACCACCTTGTCGATTTGCTCGGGGGTGTATACGAAGTTCCATGTGCTCATGTAGTCGGATTCGGCCGGGTTGACGCCCTCGACTTTCGGGTTCGCCAGAAACGGCAGATATACGATCGTCATGCCGGCGTTGGGCTCCTTAAGCTGCCACGCTAGCGTGTCGTCCGTGAGCGCCTTTGCCTTTGGCGTCGAGGGCGGCTCTGACGACCTCTCCTCGATTGAGCCGACCCAGATCGTGCAGTAGCCTAGATCCGAGTCTTCAGGGTGCGATATATCATGTTTAGCCTTCGTGCTCGGCTCTGTGGTCGGCTTTGGCGGTCTGCTGCGGGCTTCAGCCGGGTCATTTCCTTGCCCTTTCTGTGCTTGATGTACTTTCGTCTCGGCGTCGGCTGTCGATTTGGCTTGTGCTGACTCTAGTTGTTGCTCGATTGTCTGTGCCGAATCTGTTGCCTTGGGCCAACCAACACCCACTGGCCACCCCTTAACGCCGCGTTGGCGCGCATAACCGTCTGCTACGGACAGCCAATTATCCGTCTTGACGTCAGCGGAGGCGTCAAATGCTACGATAATGTCAATATCTCGACCCGATCGAAATAAAGGGTAAAGAGGTAAATTGTTTGACATTCCAGCATCCATCAACTGAATATACTCATTATTATATATCGTAGTGGGTGTCGTAAATCGTAGTTTTCCTTCCATGTTATATGTAAAATTGGGGATTTTAGCCGGGTCGATAGGATGAACTTTTTCTAGGTCCGTATTGTACCCATATATCATTTCGTCGATTGCGGCGAAACCAGTGAGGCTCTTTACAAGAGGTCGAATTTCACGGTAATAATGGCTAAGGGTTGCACAGAAGGCGCTTCCGAAGAGGCCCATCATGATGGGCATACGAATCTCTGGTAAATGAAAGCCATTTCTCTCCGGAGGCACGTCTTCTCCGTCGTTGAACCGACGACCAAGTGCCCAGGTCGGAATCCCGGCATTGAACTCTTCGCAGAAAAATTCGTAGGGGGTTAACTCAAACCACTGAAACCACGCCTCATTCTTTGCAACCTCCTCCGCTCGCGCTGGGCTAGTGACGCCGGGTTTTGCTAATTCGTTGGCTATATCAGGGATCTCATGGCGGACGGCGGTATATATTGGCATTGGGTTTTCTCCGTATTTGATATATTCTCTCTGGTTGGAAAGTTTAAAATCCTTGTCATTAATACCAAGCTCGCCTTTGGGAACCAGGAGCCTTGCGGCCAATAAAATCCCGTAAACATCGACGAGTCCAAAGTCGGCTTTCGGGTCCCCTCTGAGCTTCTCGACCATACTACTGAGGAGTAATTTGTTGGTTGGCGCGGTAGTCACCGATGAAAACGCTGCTGGTGGGTATGCGAAATGAACACCTATCCTAGCTTTTAGGTGATCAACGATACCTTCAAATTGGTGGTTTGTAACTGATGAATTGTATAGAGTTTGAAGCCAGCATGAACCACTAACACCAGCCGTGTACGTGATGCAATCGAATAGTCCATCTTCCTGGGTAGCAAGGAGCGAGCCTGTGCCAGCAACCAAGGCACGTAATCCGCCACCAGAGCCACATACTGCTATAGTGGGAACATCATCAGGATGGATATCCTTCTCATCGAGGCTAAGATACCTAGCCAAAGCTGCCGTGGCGACTTTCTTCCGGCGAGCCAGGAATTCCTTCTCCTCGTCGCAGAGATCCTCTGATACGCGCACTTTAGCAGAATACTGAATTTCGGGATGAATAAAAGGGTCGTGAGCTTCCCGCCATATCTCGTTTGCAAGTGAGCCGTCCTGCGTAGAAAGCTCGCGCTGGAGTTTGCGGATTTGATTAGGAAGAGTTTTAGACCAATCAGGAAGGATCATGTCAACGAGTCGATCAGACAGCGTTGACCACTCAATATCGGTGACGTTGGAGAAACGCTCAAAACGGCTGGCAAAGGCCGACCAGGCGGTCTCCTCGGCTTGAAGTTGCTGGTCATCTTCTGTACGCTTCAGACCTTGCTTGGTCTGTCTGGCAATGCGGGATCGCCGTAGTTCATCGCCTGGATATAGCGAGTATATAAGCAAGCCGCCTAAAACACCTGAAATGGCCACAGACACGACAGTAGGGGGTCTTTTACTAGAACCTGTCTCTCCCTGCTGTTGGTTGGGCGAGGTGAAAAAGCCACGTGGGAATTGGTTTTGCTGTAAGCACGATGATCGACCAGAAATCTTAGATGCACCAGCACGGATCGGCACCAGGGTTAATCGAGATGTTCCATGGATCAATCTGCTTAACCGTCTCACATAGCAAGATGCTATTAATTGTTGAGATCTTCCGAAGCATCCCATAGCTGTAAGCTGGTACGAGCCTCGTTAGTATGATGAGATGGAATTTGCAACATACTTCGCCGTTGGTAATAAATGTCAAGATTCGAATTAGGATGTCTCAAGTGAAAGTTTATGAGAGTTAAAGCTGCATCAATGTGCTTAATTTCGACGTAAGGCTCGTTGGTACCTGCCTGTTGATATGGTACGATATCGTGACATCATTTTATCAAAACCATATTCATACCTACATATACGCGTATCTGCAAGCACATTTCGAGTTCTTATATGCACTTAGGCATATTTTACCTCAGTATTTATAGTGCCTTAGGCGATAGCCGTAAGATCCGCCATTCCACCAAATCATTTTATGCAAATAGTAGGTATTTGGTAACCTGTAGATTCGCCAAGTCCACTAATCTTGTATTACTACAGGGCGTTTTGCCCCTCAAATTCGTTATATTTGCAGCACAGTGGATGCCTTGAATAGACCTGGAGGTGGCACGAGTGCACTAAATCTCCCTCCCCATTCAAACAAACATGCCAAATACATATAGTATGAGCCACACACCGAAAATTCTGCAAGATTGCAACAAGAACTTCGTCGTAGATAATGGGTCGCAAAAGCAACAGCATGAAAGGAGAGGGAGAAATGATATCTCTACTGCTTCTTCCGACCGTGTAGCACTCCTCCTAGCCGTATCGCGATTCATTTCTGGACCACCATAATTAATCGTCCTCTCCAATAGCAGAGGCGATCTTCTCTACCGCGGTAGCAATGTCCTTCATATTAGCAGTGATGTTCCCCTATAACGCAGTTAGCTCTATGGATGAGTTAGCACAAGCATATACACCAGCTTACTATTGATGTAGCTAGTGCTTTGAGGACGTCAAGCACATCAGCTCTTTCTGAACCAACGGCGCAACCTGACTGAACAGGCTCGACTAGCCTTTTATTACTCCTGGATGCTCCAACAATTTGGCGTACCTTGTTCGAAGCAAGAATCCATTCAATCTAAGTATCATAACTCTCAAAAATGGCGTGTTCTTCAACCGCCCAGACCAAACGACGAATAGCAGAAACTGTTTCCGTGTTCATATCAAGAGGTTCGCAGCGTAGATCCTCATACTCGCAGTACTCGCATATACTTCTGCCTTCTGCACCTACTAGGTACTTAGAATAAAACACTTACAAAGGATATAAAGGACTTACCGGCACAGTAACATCGTGCACCATAATTGTCGCAGACCCGCAATGCGCATTCACGGCAAGGAGGCCAATCAACCTTGCCGTAGCTATGTGTAGGTATGTGCATCGGATTGGTTTTTAGGTGTTTCGAAGGTGGCTCTGGCCCTTTGTCCCCGTTGGAACGCTTCTTTGGATTTTTAAATTGTTTAGGCACTTCGATGTTAGCTTTAAGTATCGAGAGTGAGGGCATGGAACGCACTGATGACTTCTGATATACACTTCGCAAATTGTGGTTGTAGAAGAGAAACAAGAAGCTTAGCTAGGAGGATAGGTTTGGAGTTTTGTGATTTATAAATTGGGGGCTCAATCATGGGCTGTTAGAAGTAGTGAAGTTATCGAGGTTATGTGTCGCGATCACACGCATTTTCACTATTTAAAAGAGACGCCGACGCCGAACCTGTTAACGATAGAAGCGTCACACTTTCACGGCCAATCGAACCACATAACAACAAGCATATCTTAAGAGACTGCATAACTAAGGTATTTTGTGATGTAATAACACATAATTGGTATGTGATGAGCAATACTATAACCCACCTGAGTTATAGGTTTACAAGCCACCTACCCCTTTTACCAAAGGTCGTTCAACACAGCATGTACAACGATCTATACGGCCTATCAGATATCACACTTGAATAGTACATACAAATATGATATATGGCTCAATAATGTGCGTATCCAGGTTGAACGTTCCTTCCCCTGTCTATAGACAGGATCCCAAAGTTAGAAGGGGCATACATACTAGATGGTAGGTACCTACCTAGGTAGTCATCTTCTTAGTAGAGGTTTTGATACAATTCCATAATACTGTAGTTTCCTAATAATACTTCACATCAGGAGGGTAAGCACAACTTAACCATCTAAACATACCTACCTACTTAATGTGTTCTTGAGGCAAGATAAATAGGAACCCCTTTCTTCAAATTACTCCCCTATTCATCTGTTCTCAACCCATTGCTTATTCCTCGAAACTTGCAAAGTAATAACAGCATACGTTGAACTAATGTAACCCGTCTAAGGTGTATTGCTAAAGATTTTAGCTAAGTACACTTATATTCTCCTATTTCCATGTCTCTCAATAGGTGGTCTTTGCCCAGCAGGGCCTTCAATCGAGAGAAATCACAAGACAGCAGCTCAAGTCAACGCCGAAAATTCCCAACAATTCATATCGGTAATCCTGGCACTCGTCGCAGAGCGAATCTCTCCTCCGCTTTCGCAAGTCTTTTCGACAGGGACGAGAATCGTCAAAATCCCATAATTCCTGACGACGAGAATAATACGAAGGAATTGTTACCTCTTTCAACCCGCATCGAAAACATACCATCGCCTCCTAGACTTAAAGATGCAAAACATGACTCAGGGCTTCACCAATCCGACACACCCATCTACTCAGCCTCCAGAGACCGAGTTGCTGGTCTTTTCACCAAACAAGATGAAGTTACCAAACGATCTCATCCGGCCATATTGTTAGACGAATGTGGACCACATGCACGGGCTTCAAGGACAAATACAATGGGGGCTATTAAACCTCCAACAACCATAACGAGTGTACGTAGCGCTTCGTCATCCTATCCATCAGAAGGTCTCCGCTCTCCGCCCGAACATTCGGTCTCACCACAGTTGAATACTTGGTCTGAAAGTTTCATGTCTGAAATGACTCCCTACGGAATGTATCCATCAGAGGAGAGCTTGAGCAGATCCACTTTCTCGACAAACGAGATTTCGGTTCCTAGCGATAGAGGTGGACAATGTCTCATGGAAGAACTGGCTGCAGTCGGCGGGATTTCCGATACAGAAACGAGGACAACTAGTAGGGATTATACCAGCAAGCCTCCTCTTTCAGATATCACAACAATTGGTTCCTCAAGAGGACAAGGAGATAACTTATCCGAAACCTGCCACGATGGAGATCCCACTAGCCTACCAACCCAGGAGGTCCAGGGCCCCTTTACCCAGATGAATGGGATACATCTTTTAGATGGCCAATTCTCAAGTACATCAGCTGTTTATGGGAGCTTTATTGAGCTAGAATCATCTTTTCGTCCCGATTCGTCTGAGGAAGAATTTCCATTCCGACCAAGCAATACGGGCTCTTTGGACCGTCTGCGCCAGAGCACGGAAACACATGAGACGCGCCCTACTAAGATTCAATGGGTCAAGTGCAACACTATGCCTGCATCTATATCACAAAAGCCTCCCTTACGGGATCGTCTTGCCATAACAGCAGCCCATTTCGAGAATCAGAATTTACCAGGGTTACACTTCCGGGGTTCCAGTGACTCTTCGAATAACTTGGTCCAACGAATCCATAAGTTCAAGTTCAGAAAATGGATCAAGAAGGTGTGCCTCCGAACTAAAGTGCGCTTCGGTAGCGTCGTCAGGATAGAGGCATCATCGCCGAAGGCATTGAGCAAGAGAAAGTTGAAACCTCAGAAGTTACAGCGAGCGAAGAAGAGCAAAGGCGCCCACAAAGCTAAGCCGAAGCCGAAGAGGGTCCATTGGAAGAAATTCGAAAAGAAGGCCAAGAGTCAGGATGGGAAAAGGCGCCGACTTGTACGTTCACTCCAAAAGAAAAAAAGCATCCAGCTACCCGTCCAGGGAACCGAACAGGAAATATCGAGTCTCGGCCACAGGAGAATACAGTCTTGCCCAGCCTAGTAATTGAGATGGAATAAGAGGATGGGTGCACTATGCAGTGTATATGAGATAATTGGAATTGATTGAAGCCCTTGAGCAACCTATTGGGTTAAGTATGTACCCATTGGCGGGTGGTTATTCTCTATGAGGGACGTCGATGGATGAAAAGGGGTATTAGGTACAGGCTTTCTCAGCCGGAGTTAGTCGGAGTTAGCATAAGATAGTACTGTAGGCCGACCTAATCGTAACATTGTATCTTGAGGGCGAATCCATGATGATTTAAATTGTGATCTTCAATAATTCATATCTATTAAGATCTGTAAAGATTGTAGGAATGATATAAGTAAGCACAGTAGAATACAATGTTCGTGGAAGGGATGCTCTGGGAGCCTATTCAGGGGCTAAAGGAAGGTCAAGGACAAAATCATTGGGGGTAAATTGGTGTTGGGCAAGATATAAGTACCACTGTATATTCAATACCATCATCTAACCAATATATATACCTAGACATTCAAGGTATGTAGGAAGCTCGAGAAAGGTGGTCCATCTGATCAACCATCGGCGGAAGCCCCCTAATTCCTCCTATGTCTGTGAGTCCTCGTCATACCGAACCCCCAACCATCTGTGCGGCACAAATACTTATCAGCAACAGCCCTAGATCGGCTTCGCAAACATTGCATATAAAAGAAGTGGTAAACTCACATTGGCTCGGCACATGGATATCCAACTCCAGCTCGTCCGCCCAGTGCCACACCAGGTCCGGGTCCTTCAAGAACGCGCGGCCGACGATGATAGCGTCCGCGCTCTTCGCGTCCAGGATCGCCTGCGCCTGCTTGCCGGACGTGATCTCGCCTACGGTCCCGACCAGCGTCCCGGTTCCGGCGACGGCTTTCCTGATCGCTTCCGCGTACGGCACCTGGTACCCGGGCCGCGCGCTGATCTTCTGCCGCGCGTCGGTGCCGCCGCCCGTCACGTCGAGGAAGTGCACGCCGCGCGCCGCGAGGACCTTGCAGAGCGCGACGGCGTCGTCGAGGGTCCACTGCGGAAGGCTCGGGTCGTGCTCCAGGTAGTCGGTTGCCGGGACGCGGGCGAGGATGGGGAAGCCGCTGGGCACTTCGGCCTTGAGAAGGTCCACGGCTTCGAGGTACAGCCGGATGCGGTTCTCGAAGGAGCCGCCGTACTCGTCGGTGCGCTTGTTGGAGGAGGGCGAGAGGAACTCGTTTAGGAGGTATCCATCTGTGGGCTTGGTGTTAGTGGTTATCTTTTCTGGACCCCTTTTGAGAGTTAAGTCCATCATGAAGCATATTCTCAATCGTATAAAAGAGGCAATGATCAAGAGGAGTCTTGAATCTTGGACTTGATATATACGTACGGGCTCCGTGGACTTCAATAGTCTATTCTACATATTAGCATTTATGATAATTCACTCGCTGAGTAGGAGATAAGTAACTCACGTCCACACCAGCTTTCAACGCACGCCGAATCGCGGCAACCCAATCCTTTTTGAACTTTTCGATGTCCTCTTTAGTTGCCTCTCTGGGAACGAGAGTTTGCGCGCTATAAGCTTCAGGAGACGGGGCAATAACATCATCTGGCCATCCTTCGGACTGTATCACGCATTAACTCGAATGAAGGACCAAGCATCATAGAAACACGACCCTCTACTTACTTGTTCACGAGCCGCGGCTTTGCGGTCGACCCACGGGGCCACCGTGCTTGCTTTACGCCCGGCGTGGGCCAGTTGCACGCCGAACTTCACGCCTTGGCTGTGCGCGAAGTCGATGATCTTCTTCAGCGGCTCTATCTGCCCGTCCTCCCACAGGCCGAGGTCCTGCGGCGAGATCCGCCCTTCGGGAGCAACAGCAGTAGCCTCACTTAGGATTAAGCCTGGCCCTCGAGCCGCGAAACTCCCAAGGTGGACTGAGACCATAAAATGTCAACCATGGTTCCATCTGAATAGATGCTCAAAAAGGGGTAAGAGGGGAGTAAGTTGGAGTAATTTACCATGGTGCCACATGGTCATATACCCGTCTTTCGCGGAATATCTAGAGAAGACAGTCAAATCTCCCAGCCTTGTGATAATAGAAATAGGAAGATGCTTCTCACTGGCACATAGGTGAGACGATAATTCGGTTATGAAGCACCATCTCATTGATCTTCAGGGGAGAGAATAGGGAGCCTTCCGGTTGAACATCCCAGGTGGTTCCCGCAGGAGGATCTTGGATAGGCGTGTAGAATGGAACCTGTTATATTTATGAGCGAATGTCTCTAGGATATTATTTTGATATTCCCTGCTACTAGAGCCTTACATTCGGGGCGCCATAGTTTATCAAGTTTTGCTCCGTCGAACAAGGTTCGCCGGCTACGGGAGCTTGATCAGCTTGAACTACTACTTTAGCCATGACTTCAGATGAGAGGACGAGGGGATTCCTTTGATGAATGATATGTTTGGGTAGTCAAAACCGAAAGCAGAGACTAGAATTGATTAATCCACGCTTGGAATATATACCTTTACGCCTACCTAGGTGTTTCTGACAGAGTACCTTTGGACTAACAGCCTTTGAATATTTTCCCGCCTTTCGCGTCACACACAATACCAAATCGAATTTCTGGAGACCTTGGCAAATGTCTATAATCCAATGACCATGCGTCGAGCGTTAATCGTTGTAACTTTAAACAGACTGTCCCTTAGTAATACCCTTACATGAGCCCCTCTTGTGACATGACTTGAGCATTGCATATTCTCCCCCAAATACTAGGTTCAAGGAAATCTGCTAAACTTACTTAGGAGTCATTTCACGAGAAGTCAACATGATATTCGAAGAAACAGCTTCTTAGCATACATCATAGTGCATAATACGATGCCGTTGATGTAGATATCCTCAACTGAGAATTGGCGATACTACGATATTCCACAAAAGATGACATGCTTTTATGGGTTGGCAACGCTACGGCTATCTAACCAATTAGATCTAAGTCTTAATAGGCTATCCTTCCCATAGGACCGAATAGATTGTATAGTTGACTATTTTAGTCTTGGTTGTTGCATAACATCTACACCTAGCATATAGCATTCTAAATCGCGAAGGAAACAGCCGCAGGATAGACATATAACAAAAACTTTGTCAATGTGTATGTTGAGAGACAAGACACTCTTATATGAACGCATGCTTATTTTTCCATATAACCATTGTTACACAATTTACCCCTTTTTAAGACCACCTACTCATTGTGAAAACCCGATCGCTATTCAAAAGGTGTACATAGTAACCTATGTAAGCTATATTGTATGAAGCCATACATTGTTCCAACTTTCCTACCACCATTGACTGAGTCATGATTGTATTGAACGATATGAATTAATTAAGTGGGTAGGTAGAAACGAAGGTGCTAAAGAACGGTCACTTAGATTCTAGAACTATTACCAACAATAATTCTTCAAAGAATAGATAAATTAAACATTCGTGTCACTAAATACCTAATCATATAGAAAATTAATTTGGTTGAATTAATCATTGTCGAGGCCAAGCGCTAAGTTGTAGATTGCTGGACCCCATATGCCCCCTCCCTGAAAATTGATAATATGCTAGTTATACATACACAATTACATATGGCCCTTGCCTAAGTTGATACGAATTGAAGAACCGAATGCAATGATTGGAACTGGGCAAGGTGAGTCTTAATGTCCCTAGAGCGCCATCCCCTTGACTGGCAGTTGTTTACAGCTAGAGATCAGGGGGCACAATACAGCCTCATATGACCCGATGGACCAGGTCCAGAATAGAGCATGAACGGTACGATATTTGATATCTATTTTGCCTTGTACCATTTATACTGGCAATACCCTGAACCGAGCTTTTGTGGGTGCTTATGCGTATCCTGCCTCCTAACCCCTGGCTGACAACAACTGCCAGTTAAGGGGATGGTAAAATCGCGATGAGTTGACTCTGGACGGATGAACTTTTGCAAGGACGTATATAGAATAGTCAAGATCTACGATGCGGAATAACACGGCTTACATACCACTGCCAATTTCTACCCTTCTCTAAATAAAGAACACTTAGTTGTAGAATTTGTAAGTGTGAACGCTAGGTAAGTAATATGACTCAGAGCTCGCACCCGAAGAGTCCCGAACGTCACTCGTGACCCAGCCACAAGGATTCCACTACCACATTAGACAGGATGAGGCTTCGAATTTCTCAATCGTTTACAGGTGACGAACTAGGTACATAGTAGTTTCCCAAGTCGAGATCTCTCCGTTCCTGATGTCCCCTTTTCCCCGACCGCTAATTCGCTAGTCTATCTCTCTATCCCGGGGCGAGCTGCAAGTTGTGTCCGTAATAGGCAAGCTGAGTTGAGGCTTTTTCTAGGATGTCATTTCTCACCTATGATCTATCAGACCATTTGCATGGACTGCATTAGACCCGATGAATAGCTTCAATAGTCGGTCCATGTGCGAGTAGCACTGTCTGGCACTATGCAAATCTCATCCCTGAACTACCTGGTTAGGTAGCTTACACGTGTTTTGGCCGGTGGAAAATGCTGATTATGTACCGAGGGGATAGCTAGAAAATTTGTTTGTTATAGTAGTGTTAACACTACTTCGCACATGGGCTATTTATTGTGACGCTATTCTGATGTAGGTTGTTCTAATAACTATACGCATAAATACAACCGTTCTTGCTTCACCTTAAGTAGAATTATCCTACCTATTGATTCACAGAAACGAAAGCATATGCTATTTGGAAACTAAACATGACATCTCAAAAGCCCGTCGTCGTCATAATTCATGGCGCCTTCTTTTCGCCGATGCACTATCGGAGGCTAATTGAGCCCCTACGCGCCCAAGGATATGTCGTTATAAGTCCGCCGATGCCGACGACGGGCCTTGACGATAGCGTAGCGGGTAAGACTTACGTCGACGATGTGAAGCGCATCCTCGAGCTCCTTACCCCCTACCTAGACGAGGGCAGGGAAGCCGTAGTGCTTGGACATAGCCAAGGCGGCATCGCAGCTAGTGCCTTGACTGAGGGACAGACCATCCAAGATCGCAAAGTCAAGGGGCTGAAAGGAGGCATCAAAGCAGTCATATATCTCACTGCCCTCGCTATTCCTGTAAAAGGGGCCACTTTGCTGGGCCTTCTGGGAGGCACGCTACCGCCAATCTATCGAGTTGAGGTACGTCATATAATCTCACCATTCTGACCTTGGAACCCTTGAACTTGCTGGTTTTGTATTGACACAATTGTGGCATGGATAGGGACCCTTCTATGTTCTCACAGAGCTGGCCCTTTCTCCAGAGGGCGGTGACATGAGGGTACCCGAAGAAGAACAACAAGGCCTGGCGAAGAGCTTGGTGCACCAGAGCAAGGCGAGTCTGGAAGCGCCGGTACAGTATACCGCGGTTGACGTCACTGTTCCCAAGACATACATCGTCTGTTCCGAGGACCCGTCGTTACCTGCTACCCTCCAGGAAAGTATGGCTCAAGCGGCTGGGTGCAAGGTTGTGAAGATTGAAGCTGGTCACTTTCCATTTTTAGAGAGCGCTGAGAAAGCCAAAGAAGTCGTCGATGTCATTGTCGAGATTGCCGGACAATAATATGAATAATGACCATATATAGATCACCTCTCAGCTTACCCTTTTGTATAGTATCTGTATATTAGACGTCAGCCATCTTATGCCATCAATAAGGCTAATCAGCTTTGAGCATGGCGATATCTCTAAATGCTTCTTTATAAACATTATAAAGATCATGTAGGCTCAGATGTTCTTCTCTTCGCTTTTACTCTCGGTTGGACATGTCCTTTTGTCACTTTGTCAGCAATGCAACTTATTTCATCAACTGCCAAACTCTAGGAGTCTTGTTAGGGTGTCGCAAAAATACCGTATTGTGTAGCATGATTTCACTGTCAGCAAAGGTACAAATAGTACTGCGCAAGAGTGCTTGTGAAGCAGCTTAATTTTTACAATGTCCATGTCGAACCTTAGTAACTAGGAAAAGAATTGAAGGGAAACCAACAAGTAGAGAAGATGGCAATAGCCCGTTCTGTACTTATGCAATGCAGCGATCTGTACCTAGTAACAACTGAATCCTATTTTACAACCATTTTCCCTAAAGACGTAACTCCTCGAACGCCTGTCGCTGCAAATATGTTACAGCAATCATGCTTATTCATCATCGGCAAGCTCCTCGACTCTGGGGGCTACATAAGCTCGCTGCTGCGGAGCGGTCTGAACTTGAGTGGTCGTCGCGGTGGTAGTAGCTGTTGCCGGAGGAGGATGACCTGTGTGACTAGCAAGTTGAGCGGCAGATTCAGCATTGACCGAGGCGGATCTCTTCTTCTTCTTCTTGGGCTTCGTGGTCTAGTGGTTGTTAGTAAGTTCATTTGAACATGTGACATAAATAACTTACCTCATGCCAAGCCCACACTGGACGGAAACTATCCATAAAAGAGACATCTTCCCAGAGGTTGGGGTATAGCCACAGACCTGGGGGCACGACGAAGTATGTAATACAGAATAGAATGACACGGAAGATGGCCATGAGAAAGAATAGACCAAGAAGCATCAAGAATCCCCAGCTAAGGTAATAGACACCCTGTCGCAAAACAAGTGGCCACAGCGGATATAGGACGACGATGAAGATGAGAACCAATGCAAGAGCGGCGTAGACTTTGCGCATAATCTGGCTACCTTCGTACAACCAGACATAGTACATGTCATCAGCAGCGTCTTGTTGCTGTTCGATCTTGACAGTCCAAAGTCCCTTGATTCGCTTCCCTTTCTTGGGAGGATGGTCGTGTCCTGCGTGAGGGTCTATCTTACTGACACGTAAAGCTAACATGGACATAGGTAGCAGCTTAAAGGTGTTCTCAAGCGACGCACGGTCAGTAATCTCGGGGAGTCCTGGATTCTTAGCTCGGAGCTTCGCATAGGCGGGTGATTGGAGAGCTCGAAGTGCTCGCTTGACTAGTGAAGAGTCGTATGAGTTAAACAGCCTTGCGTTTTAGTATACGACTATAATCAACTTACCTCTGAACATATCCTTACGCTCTCCATTGATAATACAAGTGCGTGGCTTCAAAGGCTGACCTCTCAGGAAATTGGCGAGTGTGACTGCTAGAGGATTGGGAGGTCCGGGACGGATAGGCTGAGGTTGGCCTTGGGGTCCTGGAGGAGGACCTGGGCGTGGCGGTCCTTGAGGTCCTTGTTGTCCTCCTTGCTGGCCTTGGCCACCTTGTCCTTGCCCTTGCTGCTGCGCTTGTCTTTGGGCTTGCTGCAACTGTGCTAGACGCTGTGCCTTGATGTGCTCAATGAATTGAGGAACGGTCATGCCATGTTTCTGAGCTTCGGCTGCGATCTGTTGTTGCATCGCGGCAATCTGCTGGGGCGACGGCATCTGGCCTCCAGGTCCCACTGGTATGGGGATAGCTCCCGGAGGAGGAGTGGGAGCTTGCATGGTGATGGTTTTTCACGCGTCTTTCTGATTGATTATCTTGGTAACAGCGACGTGAAGGGAAAAAAGAAAAATAGTAAAAGTAATTAAAGGTGAGAAAGTGGAAAGGGTCGATGGAGTTTAGTCAAGTCCCTTCCGAATGGATAATTTTGGACTGACGCAAATCGAACAATCTGTCATTCTCAGCCTTACCTAAGGAAATTTTAGCGCTAAACCATCCTAATGTCCTTCTGTTCCTTCCATTATTCCATAAAACTTCCATGGATTAGCCGGCAGTTTGTGAACGGACCACATATAGTCCATGTCAAATACCTAGCTACATATGGACCTTACAGCCAATTGGTTCTCGTATCGATAACGGCTAACAGTTAAACCGGAACCCTGGAAGATTTAAGATTCAAGATTCACTCAACTATTCGTGAACGATGGAAGGTGAGAGGTGAACGGCTTTAATAATTGGGCTTTACCTTGAACTTATTTCAGCCCTACCTTCTAGGACTAACTTACCGAGCAAGATCTTTGTCAGATTGATCAACTCATCTTCCGAGAACTCAAGGTGCTGAGAATTCCCTTGACCGACGACGTTGCCACACCTTTTTATAATCAATCAATGAAGTTAGATGATGGTGTTCTTATGTTCTTATGTTCTTACGCCTCCTTACGTCGTCTCCAACCACATGATGGTTCATTTCCAAAACAAACCAGTGCGCTTACGACGGCCATGTTACCTAGACGCGTGAAGCAGACACCTGAAAAAAAAATAACAACATCTAGGTAATAATAGAAACTCGATGTGAAACAGATGGCACAATCAACAAACAACACGTTCAACCTTGCGCATGGCGGTTCAGAGCTAACAGAGCCACTTCGAGCCACTTGCTTCGCTCCATCTGCGGATATCCGTCCAACCCTATCCATCTTTGACACTTCTGACTTCTGCAGCGTAAAACAAGACTGAACGCGGTCTCCCGAACATGCTACCGTGTGGAGACATCTTCTTCACGCAGAAATACTATGTACGCACTTGGTACCGTTTTTATTGTCTGACGAACCATAAGGCAGACGCCCATCGTCATCCATTGAAACTCACTCCGTCGGGGATGACGAGAGACATGCGCTTGCAGGCTTCCCACGCTTCCCGACTCCAAAAGGCCTTAGCTGGTTACACCCAAGGCCAATCTTCGAAGCCCACGAGACACCCCCTCTCGGGATTCTGTGGCGATGTTCCTCCAAAACATTTCTGAGGGTGGGCGGAAGGGTGGACTCCCTTAAGCTCCCTTCTGTTACTTCTGGTACTTCCAGTACTTCTACTCCTTCTAGATTGATCACGAAGCAGGGAAAACTAAGACAAAAGACTGGCTGTGCAGACTCGTCCATAATACAACAGAGTGGGGTCCTGCAATCTTGGTGTGTGCCGCCAACCATCCGACTCTACTCCAGCACCCTGGTTCGTAAGCGCCGACTGGACCACGACCTTTACACTACAGCCTATCAACGTCACGGAACATCTGCATCCAAACCGTCAACGCTTCCCATCCAAACCCGTCTAAACCTATCCAAAAATGTGTAGCCCGCAAGGCCCAAATAGTCAGCACCCGCTCTCAGCTGCTTAATTGCTTGAGCCTAAAAGGTAGGCCTAGAAGCTAATTTCCTTTCATGTCTATTTTTCCATAAACATAAAGGTGTTATGGATCTTATAACCCGACGGTGCTCCCCTTGCTCTCCTAGCTCTCTTATCTCTCTCCAACCGCTGGCCGTCTTTCTTTCCGCCCAGTGCGATATGAAGTCACCATGAAAGCTCTAGGTGGGATACTCGCTGAAGCTTATGCATCGTGGTCCTATTCTATCTCTCATTGCTGTCAATCTTTAGCTTCTCATCCCGATGAAAAGACTCATCAGCCTGGTAAGTATTGGACGACATATAGATAGTTGTTTCATTCTTCTAACTAAATTAGTCGACCACAAGTCGATAGATGTTATCTATGATGAACCTTCATTTATTCCACCTCCTTCTGCGGCACCGTCTTGGCCAAGTAAAGGACCATCCGGCTTGGAGCGTGCTTCTAGGAAGAGGCATGGTTCCGGATGGAGTAGCTTCTCTGCGAGAAAGCTATTAGTACGACCGAACTCATCGTCATCGCGCAGGCCGCATATATCTGCTCCTACCGAGTTTCGTCATCTTTATTCGGAGTCTTTTCGTTTTCCGGATTCTAGCTCAGCGCACGTAGGACAGCAAGCAGCTTCTTTTCGTCCTCTCGAACTCAGCATATATATGACCGATAATCGACTTTCCCCTATCTTACCTCATATTGACTATTCTGCACCTGCGCCTCCGCCTCCTGTCACACCTCCTCAGCGTGCCTTCACTCTCTCGAGCCGCGATGAAGACAGTCCCCGCATGACACATTCACGTAGCTACTCATCTATGTCGTTCCACATTCCCCGGAGGCCAGTCAATGGTGGGTCTGTCTTCGACTCTCCGCGGTCAGATGATAGCATGCCGCAGCGACCTCAACCGGCCAAAGTTAGGGATCGCGCGTCACCAGACACATCAAGTCCGTTGATGAAGGATCTCGTCGAGAGAGTTGCGACCGCGATGATGGAACGGGATATGCTACAGGAGCGGATCGAAGACGTTATTGAGAGGCAGAGCATTTACGTTAGCAGCCGGCCGTCAACTGCACACGGAGAGCCGGGTAGGCACCTTGGCGCAATTTAGCTGTATTAGAACAAACGCTGACAGAATTGCAGAAATGGGGCCTATGCCAGATATTCCGGCGCTGCCTCCTAACGCTCCGTCATTCAGCGAGCGCCTCAGCTCCGACCGCCCGCAAACTGCACCATCTCAGACTCCAGTTCGCACGGCATACAAAGCTAACTCATCACGCAAAGTGGAGGGGCGAATCCCTCCCCCGCCATTGCCTCTCCGACTGCGACCACCATTGCGCAAAAAGAAATCCTTTTCCCGGGTTTCTACCTGGGTGTTATCTGGAGGAGAGCACAGACGAGACATCAGTCTCGACTCCCTTACCAATGTTCCTATGCCAGTGACTAACTGTGACGGCTTTTACCAAATTGCGAGTCCCGAAGGGGACCAGAGATGCAGCCTCGATACGCTTTCTACCAGCTCGGACTGGACCGTGGAAGAAGAGCAGACATTGCCGACGAGCCTGTCACCTAGCAGTACAGCGACCCTAAAGGCGAGGCTGGAGCCTCCCATCTCAATTGCATCCGGACTACAACAGTCGATCGTGCTGCCACAACGGCGGAGCGTTGGCGTTGCTGTCTGATTTCTATTCTTGTGTATGATACCATTCTATGATACCATCCGGTACTAAGGGACCGTGTATATATTTACGTTATGTCAAACGGAGGCATGGCATTGGGTGGCATATATAGATGTGGGCTGGAAAAGGAGCATCTGAAGCTGGATCTAATCATGATGCTGGTTTATGATAGAGCTGGGGGTGCTGGAGCCGTTAACCAATGGGCTTTCCAACCCGTGTTGCTGGCAAAGCAGAGATGATACCCGACAGGTTAGGTAATGAAAATGAAGCCGGCTCATGTTTTGAGACCGTGAGCGGCTTGATTGTCAGGTTAAATTTAATATGGTGTTACCTTTGCGCTTACTGAAACGTCAAATTTCGAGGTACCTGTCTTAACATGAGTGACACTAAATATAGTCGCAGTCGCCTTAGATCGTACTACCTTGTGTATTTTCTTTGATTAAAGTAATATATCGATAATCAAACAACGAGACATATATTCATGTCGTATAGTTATTTACGACCGAGGTATTATCGTTTTGGGCTCCATTGTTTTATTTGTATAGTGGGGGATATTCAAATATAGGACTTTGGGGGAGGTTTAGTTGGGGTCAGTTGCAGGTGTTCCCAAGCCGGCAACAGCTGGCCCCACTTCAGCGACGTTTCACGATTGGGTGCAAATTGGGGGGTGATTGGTTGGCAACTTCGGTACAGCGATACAGCGATACAGCGGCAGTGCGGGACCTTGGGTTTCGATAATCGAAAATCGAAAATCGGCTACAATTCGAATTTCACTTAGGTACTCACATCTTCACTTTACATTCGACGATAAACATACCGCCCACATCCACCTTTCAATCGTTTTTCGAAAGTCTTTCGCATTAAACCAGGCATACGGCGATGAAGAAAAGTAGGCGATTTCACCTTTCGCCATGGTCTTCACCGACTTGAGACACCAGCTGAAGGCCCTCGTTGCCGGACGCTGGTGGCACAGATACACTCTCCTTCCCGGAAATGTCACTCACGATTTTGCCAAGAAGCGCACTATTAGTTTGATTGATACCCGCACTCGCATCTACAGGCTCGTTATCATGGCCATAGCTTGTGTCGCGTTGATCGCATTCTCCGTCATGTTCATGTATGTCAAGTAGGTCGTCGGGGGTGCAACATAAATAGCTCATCTCGTACTAACCGCCATATTCCATTTAGGGGTGACCTCTCAGCACAAAAATGCAATGGTTCCACTCTTGACCGTCACTGCAGACTCCTTCTTTCTCGGCTGTGGGGTCAATACACGTCTTCATTCCCTGTTCCCTCTGAAATCTCACCAGACACCCCCAAGAGTTGCGAGGTCACTTTTGTGCAACTGCTCTCGCGACACGGTGCTCGTTACCCCACGGAGCACAAATCCTCGGCCTATGGTACTCTCATTGACCATATCCATAATAGCGTAACAGATTATGGAAAAGGCTTTGAGTTTATCAAGGACTACAAATACACCCTTGGTGCAGACCAGTTGACAAGCAGCGGCGAACAGCAGATGGTGATGTCCGGTGAGGTCTTCTATGAGCGATACAAGCATTTAACCAGAATCCACACACCTTTTGTGCGTTCCTCTGGCCAGGAACGCGTAGTTGATTCGGCAAAGAGATGGACAGAGGGCTTTCACGAGGCACGATTGGATGACGAGACCTCACACGCCCCGGATACATATCCGTACAAGATCCTGATCATCCCTGAGACAAAAGGATTCAACAACTCACTTAGTCCTGATCTCTGCCCTGCATTTGAGGATAGTAAAAGCGATAGTGATAACGAGAAGGAAATGTGGATGGAGAAAGTCGTGTCGCCCTTAACTGATAGATTGAACCAAAATCTTCCAGGTGCTAATCTCACCAACGAAGAGACTATCGATATGATGGACCTATGCCCTTTCGAGACCGTGGCTGATAAGAAAACCAGACTCTCGAGGTTTTGTCAGTTATTCACGATGGATGATTGGCGCAACTACGACTACTATCAGTCGCTGGGCAAGTGGTACGGATATGGCAACGGAAGTCCTCTCGGACCAACCCAAGGGGTTGGCTTTGTCAATGAACTGCTCTCAAGGCTTACCGGCAAACCCGTTGATGACCATACAACCACCAATTCGACTCTCGACGGATTTGAGGATACGTTCCCACATGGCCGTGCCCTGTACGCCGACTTTAGCCATGACAATGATATGATGGACATTTATGGTGCACTTGGTCTCTACAACCTCACGGCCCCACTTCCGGGCAATCGCAGAGTCGGTCCACAGAAGGCTAAAGGATTCTCTGCTAGCTGGGCCGTTCCATTCGCAGCCAGACTATACGTGGAAAAGATGACATGCGAAGGCGACGACGAGGAGTTGGTGAGAATTCTGGTCAACGATCGAGTAATACCATTGCAGAATTGCGGTGCTGATGTGTTCGGACGCTGCAAACTTAGCAAATTCGTTGAAAGCCAGAGCTTTGCGAGAAGTGGTGGACATTGGGATCAGTGCTTCGTCTGAATGCCTTTCAGCATTCGGCCAATATTCCCCGTGAGAAGATCGCCTGAAGTTCCACATCGTGGCCAAGCCTTACTTGCTTGGTTTGATGTGCATCCCATAGTCATGAATCGTGATTCTTACTGGATATGGGGTCCTGCAAAGAACCTGGACTGCGTATAGCATGCTCCTTCAAGAGAATGTACACGAACGTCCGACTTCGCTGGCCCCTTATCCAGTCATGACAACGCAGGATACTAATAATAACTTTGATCAACGACCATGTCGTTCATTTTCACATGGCCCGAATAATGATTTCAAAAAGAGTAAGAATTACTATCGTTAGGCAGAATTTCTGCAACCGTCGTAAGAGAACTGAGACACCAAGGCTGAGAAGCGGTGCAGTAATGTGATTGCGATTATTGATAGGCTTGAGTAGGGCCTTAAAGGTAAGACAGTTCTAACAGTCTTTGAGGCTTGAATGTACATATAGGTACCATCTATGGTCAGTGAGCACAGGCCACATCCCGTTAGACTTAACCTGGACTTAACGTCATTTTTAAGTGGAACTCTTGTGATACCCCAAGTGCCCTAATAGCCTAAAAGCCCCACAAGATCCACTGATTAAAGCAAGGGCCTACACCTAAATTAGGTAACTCCATACCTTAGCGTGGCCCCATCGAAAACGACGCAAAGGTTGCAGCAGCCGATAACAGTAACAGGCATCGTTTCCAGGGAAGGAACACGCCGGAACCTAGAAAGAATGTACCTTTGGACCTTTGGAATTGTCGGGATTAGGTATCATGTCATCAGCCTCAACTCCAACTTCGTAAACTTCGCATTCTAAGACACACTGATGACAAGCTACCACTTCTTTCTTCACCAACGTCCTCTGTCGTCCTATCGTCTACCAACCCCACAGACAACGTCCCCTCCCCTCCATCCTTCGGTTCTCCCTTAGCTTCGCCACACTTTCTTCGATCTGATTTACCTGACCATTCAGTTCCCTTCATCTGACGATCCCCCCCAAACGAGTGAAAAAAAAGAGATCCGAACAGAAACATATCCCAAGCCTTGTCGTGACGGACGGACCGTTGTCCGCATTCGCGACCGAAAATGGTCTCCCCCATAGGAACGTTCTTCATAGTAGTGCTCGTCCTTGCGGTCGTTGGCCTTATCGGCTGGGTCTTCTTCACCCAGTTTCGCGCAAGGCGATTAGGCGTAAGTGCCCGATTTTCCCCTTCCATTCCCTTTCCTCTCTCCTGCATTTTGTCGCCGAGCCAACCAGTACACTCTATCCCCTCCCCCCCTCATAGCCACATCATGTCTGTCTTACTGCTACGGGCTTGGCCGGTCCGAATCTCCATCCCTTCGCTTCCCTTTCCCTTCCCTTCCATCCCATACCCATATCCATATCCACACCTATACCCATATCCGTAACCGTACCGTACTAGCATCGCATCCGTCACCGACGCAGCTAGGCTAACCAAACCCTCAACAGCTCCCCGCCCCACCCATCTCATCCTACAACCCCTTCTCGCGCTCGGAGCCTTCCTCCTACGCGGGCCCGCAACCCGCACCCGGCGGCATCCGCGGCTGGATCAGCGACAAATGGCGCGCGCTCCGCGGTAGCGGCGGAGGCGGAGGCGGTGGCAGCCGCTCCGCGACGGGGGCCGGTTATGAGCGCGCCTCGCGGCGCGGCTATGCCCTCGACCCCGACGAGGCGTGGGATACGCGCGTGGGACACGAGGCCGATGCGTACTACGGGTACGGCGCGTACGAGGAGCAGGAACTGGGTCTGCGCGGCCAGGGCCGCCAACCGCAACCACAGCAACAACAGTACCAACACCAGCAGCAGCAACAGCAGCAGAACCCGTTCCAATCGCACGGCGACATAGGCGCGAGCGGCGCGTACAGCGGCACCGGATACAGCAACGTGGCCCTAGGCGCCGACGAGCAGCGCGGCCGCACCCTGAGCCGTAGCCCTGGCGTCGGCGGCATCGGTTTGGGTGTCGAGGGAGGTCGAAACCCGTTTGACGATGATGCGGCGGAGCCGAGCAATATTAGTTTGCGCGGCGTGAGCCCCCGACCTATCGATACGGGCGTCGCGAACGCGGGGAAGCCGAAGGGAGGCGTGGCGCATCATCATCACGACAGCCCGACTTCGGAGCGTCGCTCGATATTTAGGGAGGAGGTTTAAGATCGCGGTTCGATGGCGGTGATCATGGTGGTGGCGGTAATGATATTTGAGGTTGCGTTCGTGGGTTCTTGCTTGGGTTTAGGGCCGAGGCATACTCTGAGATGCGATGGCGACATCATAGGCATGGGAGGTTGGTCGGCATGGAAGTTGGTGCGCGGCGCAGGGTCGAGATAATATCTACGCTTCTCACATCCTCCCTCACTCTACCCCTTGCCTTTGCGCCTCTCTAAGGCGCTGGGGTTCTTAATATATTTGCTTCCCCGAGAGAACGGATCACGAACTGGAAACGGACCGGAATTCTATGGGAGGACGGACATCTTGACCTAATTTTTGCAGGAGAGGAGTTTCACGGCGTTTCTCTCTTTTCCCTTCCTTTTCTTCGCGGCACGCCGTACGGCGAAAAAAAAAAAGGAAGGAAGGAAGGACGGAGGGAGGAAGGAAATGTATGCTAACTTGCTTGTACTTCTTGCTTTGGCTGCTCCCGGAGCTGGAGGGGAACTGTGGCGTTCTGGGTCCCGGGGAGGCTTGGCTGCTTTTCAATACGAAATTCGCATCTGCATCGCGATCTTTTCCACACACTATTAACTACCTACCTATTCTTGACTTACTTGGGTGTGACCGGGTGATTATTATGCGTGTCTTGATTCTCGTAGGCTCTGTGGTGTCGTGGTGGCTGTATGTTGGAGATCGTGGGTGGGTGGAGAGGATGGTTATTGGTCTCTATCTAGTACTCAAAACTTCTTCGCAGTTGTCTGATTTGGGCATATTTGCTGTCTACGTCTTGCTGTTGATGGGAGGAGCTGCGAGATCGGGGGTCCGCGAGTACAAATTATCAGCTGTGTTCTGTGGCCGCAGCTTCGACCTTGGTGACGCAGATATCGGGGCGATGAAGGTAGGACGTAGAACAAGTTATTTACTTTCTTGCTATCTAGGGATATGTATGCTCCGTAACCATAACGCAAAATCTAGGTGATATTCTATAGCCTTCATCAGTCTGGATCACATATATGAGAGGTCCTGTAATTAGTCATTTCATCTAGTAAACGAAAATGATACATAGACTCTTATACTGAGTTTAAAGTCCTATTGGCATGTAGAGATAGGTTAATTGAGACAATATGGGTACAATAAAAACGAGTCGTCAAACGGTTAAATAAACATTCTATTATCCACGCCCCTATTTCCTATGTATGTCTTCAATCGTACCCGTCTACTATGTATATACCTATGCTGCTGTATACGCTCCTAGTGACGAAATATATGATACGAACCAGTGTATGAAATTCTTATACCCAAGATCTAAATCAGATTGAAATCCTGCATTTCTTTATCAGCCCAAAAATCGTCGTCAAATTTCTGCCCCTTTAGTGGACCGCCCTTCGCCACACAGCGACCCAAGAAAATATAGTTGTCTCCAGTGGCTCTCACCAAACTCGGCTCCCATGCCCCTTTAAATATGCATACCATGTCACCGTCCTTCACATCAGCATCATCTCTTGCTACGCGGAGAATAGTGCCGTCGGCAAGGTATATGAAAGGAGAAGTAAACTGCCCGGCGATGGCTTCTTCTTTCCACCGCACGTTAGTTGTCCTTTTCTTGCCGGCGGACCGTGATCTCTTCTCTCGAGTTGATTCCTTTAGATGTTGAAAGACATGGTAGAATGAAACAGTGCCCTCTGAGATGATTCTGGTCGCGCTTTTCATCATTTCGTCGACGACATCCTCGACAGTCATTTTTCTTATGGTTGCCGATGGTGTGAGAATGCGCTTTTCAAATTCCTCGAGGTGGTTTGAAAGTTGGCGTGGTATCTTCTTGGCGTTCGGCATGATATCCGTCAGCGCTCGCCCAGGGATAGCACTATGGAAGGTTCCTAGCACGCAACCTCGTAGCTGCAAAGTCTTCCGGTCAGATGATACGCGTACAGTTGGCTCGGTCCTAAACTCAGGCCCTAGGGAGAAGTGTCGGAAGTCAGGGACCCAAGATGGCACGTTTTGGAGTTCGTTCCGCCGGCAGTCAAGCAATTTTAGGTCTCCAAGAGATTCGAACAGGAAAGCAGCGTAATTCCAGTAGACGATATCATGGGGCAGATGGTAATCCGGAGCCAACTCTTTCGGCAACTCGTCTCCATCGAGATGTTTGAGTAGACCTAACAGGCCATAGAGTTGATCCCTAGGATCCGAGGAGATTTTCTGCCCAGTGACCCTGAGGAGCATGGCAAGGACATTGGCTGTACCCAGTTTCTTTGGGTTCTCGTCCCCATCAAAGATAGTTTGTTGGTATAATTGATTAATCTTATCCAGGTAAATGATTCTCGCGCTCCCTGGGGGAATATAAAGGAACTTCTGTTGAGTAGCAAGAATCTTGAAGAGTTTCACGAAGTTCTCCAAGCGCACGCTGTGTCGCCCAACATACACATTCGGGTAGGTATTTAGACAAGCCTCCTGGATCGTCCAAACCCTTTGGAACCAAGGTCGTTGTAGGATATCCACGGCCGCGTAAACTACAGCATCGTATGAATCGCCAAATTCATCCTCTATAATTATATTATCATCATCGTCTACCGGGTCCCATTCCGTCCACATTGAGTTGGCCTTCTTAAAAAGAGTTTTTATCGCTTGGTCTGATGATATTTCAGACTGAGATGAGCGAACCTTCCGGATGGTTTTTCTGAAAAGACTGCCTGGTGGTGAATCTTGAACAGGTCCAAGCCAGACGACCACGTGGCCAACGTGATATATTTCCACCATACGTGATACCTGCTTTGATCTTTCATCTATGTCTTGCTGGTTGATACAGATGGCGTCGATCCAGAAGTAGTCCTCAGGGTACCCGAGATCATGGGGTCGCTCTCTAAATTGATGGAGTGCTTCGTATAAATTCTTCGTGACTTGGAATGGTTTCCCTTCGAGTATGATGGTCTTTTTGTCCATCATATCACCCCATACATAAGATAGAGCATAGAAGAATCTGACCTCGGCGAGAGGCATCTGATGGAGAAGACACTCAACATCACCAGTCCCTGGTACAATTCGAAGTAGTCGAATATCGGTTTCACCAAGTGGTTGATACGGATATGCTGGTTCCCTCATGGGTTCATCAAGTGGTTCATAGTCTTCATCTTCCTCGATTTCCTCATCTTCCTCAAGGTCTTGCCCCTTGGATGGCAGGATAAGTTTGGACTTGGCATGTTGAACCACCGAATCTACCAACATTGCGATTAATTAGATGAATGATGCCAGCATTTTCTGATCACCATGATAGATGAAAGCTTACGCCTACATTTTATACATGGTGTTAAAGTCAAGTTTCCTGTCTGTTCATATAGTGCTTCAGGCTGCGGGACTGATTTCGTTGGCAGTGCATTGTCGGTAACCAATGGTTTCCCATGGCGTAGCCAGCATCCCCTGGGCTAGCGTTCCACATCTCTCCTCACATGTCTGAATCCTGCCCGGCTTCCAATCAACACTTAATAAGACTTAGCTTCAGCGTTCTCTTATCCTTTATTGTAGTTGCTGCGTGGATTCTGCTCGAGGATTGGGCATTTGGGAATATGTTAGCCTAAACTATCTATCAAAGACATAGATGGGCACTTACTGGAACTTTAGGGCTTACAATATACGAAAAGTATGAAAATGCCCCGTACAATGTAAGTACTTAAATTACGTCAGAAGCCGATAAAATTCACCATGTAGAGTCCCTCCAAAATAGTGAGGTGAGATACAAGGTTCTTACGCAGCCAGGATACCCAGCTCCCATCTTTGCTATATCAGGAAAACGCCCGTAGAATATCCAACCAACCCCGCCAGTCCTGCCCCGCTTTCCCGCCGCTCTACCGTAGTTAGTGAAATTTGTTGGTTTCCCATCGTCCCGACTCGGTGGTTAGACTTGTGTTGCAGCAGCAAACGTCTATTGCTAGTATACTATACATCCCATATCTATTTTTTTTTTGGGATAAACCCGACATCATGGCGAAGAAGGGCGGCGAGAACAGCAAGAAAGCTGCTGGTCAGGCCCGAAAAGCCCAGACCGCTGCTGATAAGGCTGCAGCGGAAGACGCAAAAAAGGCCGCTGCAGAAGAAGCCGAATGGGAAAAGGGTGCAAAAAGCAATGCTAGAAAGTGAGCCACCGACCTGTTTAGTTTGTGAGACATGGTTCTTTTAGGAAATTCCTGGTCCCGACAGTTTGGGACGGAACAATCAACTTGTGACCAACAAAGCAAGAACCCCGCCTCTTAAGCCCCCTGCTAACTAGGTATTGTTAAGGGAAGCACAAGCCGCAAAGAAAGCAGAGCAAGCCAAGAAAAAGGCCGAGAGAGAGGCAGCTCTTGCTGAAGAAGAGAAGAGTCTGCCGAACCGTGCCGGCCCGAAAAAATCCAAAACTGCGGTTAAGAAAACGAACCGAGGCCTCGACCAAGCCATATCAGATCTCAAAATCGAGGATGAGGATAGTGATAAGGAATACTCGGCCTCGGGACCCAAGGCTACTTTGGAACTTCTAGATAGTCTTCTGGGTAGTTCGAACGAAGTCAAGGTTGATAGGAATGCTAAGAGAAGGGTGAAAGCTGCATTTGCCGCATTCCTGGAGAGAAGACTAAATGAGATGACCGAGGATGGAAGTGGGAAAGGATTGCGCCTAAGCCAGAAAAGAGAGCGGATTTGGGCAGAGTTCGTAAAGAGCGACGAGAATCCGCTCAACAACGCTCTGAATGTTGACCATAACGCGACGAAGGAAGAGATCGCGGCTGTTAAGGCCAACGAGAAGGCAAGGGCTAAGGCTGTCTACACCTCTAAGGCCTCCAACTAGGAGCTGGAGTGCTTGTTGGTGAAGAAAGCCAAAGCACGGTCTAAGATATCTACTATAGGGATATCTACAGCAAGGAGACTCAAGGAGAGTGAGATCTCTAGTTCTTGCTCTATTGAACTGAGCAGATATGGCGGGGGAGATGATGAGTGGGACTTGGTAGAAGCTCTTTTCTGGCTTGTCCGAACGAGTATAACGGTAAATATCGCATCCTGGCTGTTTCTAGACGTTTTGGTAGACGGATCATTATTTCCTTATCACTTAGTCATTTCGTTGTACAATTTCAAGCTACTTTGGTCTCAAGAGCGTTACGCTCTGGTCTACCGGGCCAGATTATATATGGAGGGCATATGATAGTGCATCAATATACCTGGCATAAATGGGTCACAAACTGATAGATTGCATTCATAGATCGAATACATACATAGGTAGCTATGATACCTGCATAGTAGAGGTATGAGAGTCCCTGCTGATTAAGCGGACGAAGTTTATCGTGTTCGAGATCTTTCGTAATTATTGCGGACATTCAATCTTTGAGTCTCGGAGATTATACGTCGATCTACTTCGTACGCCAGCTTCTAACTTATTCTAAATCATCAACAGCTGACCTCTCAATTTCTGTAGTTTCGAGAATTTTATGTTGAGAAGAGTCTCGTGATTGTCTATTGCTATTCAGGGATTGGACGAGGAGGGCGGGTAGAGGGGCCAAGTCTCGGCAAGCCTCGGCTCACGGACTCGGGGATACCTCTGTAGGGGTGGAGATAATAAAATGGTAGTGACGTTCGCGGCTGTTTATAGGTACAGGTAGGTACGGATTGGCAATCGCTTTGCCAGCGTAAAATCCGCAATCTCCAATCTCCAATTTGTTTTCAACTTTCTGGTCCTAGTCTTGTTCTTTACCTGGGGTAATCTAACCCTTAGCCAACACCCCTCATCGTCATCCGCGCGACCGAAACCTGCCAAAAAATTACCGGTCATGTACTACTAATGATTTTTCTTCTTTCTTCCAAGTCTGTTGTATTCTGCCGGGACATCCAGTCGATGGCGCAGTGATGCCATCGGCTCCCTCGAATTATGTCTCGATGTCCGAGTTGCCACCCGAAAGAGAAGGAAACGCGAGCGCTATTCTCGACAAGATGGACGGAGTAGTCAGAAAGGCTGGCAACGTTGTCGCGGGCAAAGGCGCAACGACGCACAATGCAAATCCGGACTCAATCGGCGATGACGCATCACCGGTAGCAGCAAAGGGAAAGCAGCCGGACAAGCATAGCATGGATTACGTGCTTCGTTCTGGTATTGCGGGCGGTCTTGCAGGGTGTGCTGTATGTATTATTTCTCATAAAAAAACGGACTGCGCGAATTGATCTCTTATTGACAACGTCTCAAGGCTAAAACCACCGTCGCGCCTCTCGACCGAGTCAAAATCCTTTTCCAAACCAGAAATCCGCAGTTCGTAAAATACCAGGGTTCGTGGACCGGCTTCGGGTTGGCGATTCGTGATATCTATGCAAATGATGGAGTATTGGGTTTATTCCGCGGGCATTCGGCGACTCTTTTAAAGATTTACCCCTACGCCGCCATAAAATTTGTCGCATATGAACAATATCGTGCTATGATCATTGGGTCAAATCGGCAGAACGAAACGTGGTTCCGACGGTTCTCGTCCGGTGCACTTGCCGGTGTATCGTCCGTCTTTCTTACCTATCCGCTAGAAATCATCCGTGTACGATTAGCCTTCGAGACGAAGCACAGACGTATCTCCCTCGCCGGTATTTGCAAACAGATCTACCGAGAACAACCACTTCCGAAACAAAATGTCCCGAAACCCGTTGCCGAAGCTACGATATCTCCCGTAGAGGTAGTAGCACCTCGTTCTGGCCTTATCAATTTCTACAGAGGCTTCTCGACGACTATGTTGGGTATGGTGCCATACGCTGGCGTATCCTTCTTGACACATGACACCGCGGGCGATTTCTTCCGGTTACCATCCATTCGAAAATACACCACCCTACCTAAACCCGCCAATGCCCCCGCCGACAAGCCAGCGCCGCTTCAAGCTTGGGCCGAGCTAATAGCCGGAGGAGTCTCGGGCGTAGTATCACAGACAGTAGCTTACCCACTCGAAGTCATAAGGCGGCGAATGCAAGTAAGCGGTGCTGTTGGAGACGGTCACCGTCTTCGGATAGGGGAGACGGCGAGCCTTATCTTCAAAGAACGCGGACTTCCGGGTTTCTTTGTGGGATTGTCGATTGGTTACTTAAAAGTGATGCCTTTGGCGGCTGTAAGTTTCTATACTTATGAGCGATTAAAGATACTGTTCAACATATAGGAATTGCGACGGCAACATGGGAGTGTAGGCGTTTACGGTATTATACCTCCTAGGGGTTATCTAGGTAGTAAAGGCATAGCATGAGTACTAGGTAGAAGCTTGACTCGCGGTTATCAGAGGATTAGAATCTACAGGATTGGATACATGGGCTATGAAGCATGACATAGAGAGAGAAGTACATATCATTTACACTGACCATTGGCGACTCCATCTTTGCGTTTACAAATTCGAACTGGACATCGATCATATGACACTTAGCATGACAATTCTGATATAATATGATATTTACTCCATTTCACATAGCCCTGCATATATTGCTGCCATGGTACACGATAATGTCTTGAAGACAAATAATTTCAATTTCCTATGCATTTGTCTCACCTCAAACGAGCGCCACTCGCCACTTATAATTCGTATTTACGTTATCTCCTATAAAACAGTTTCACATGATAAGCGCCAACGATTAATATCCTAATTTACCATGTCTCGACGTTACAATAAACTGCTCATGCTAGGTAATAAGAAACCGTCGTACACAGATTGGGGGCTTGAGATGAGGTAGCTAAATGCCCGTGTAGAAAAGCTCTAAATTTCCGAGGATGTCAGCCCTGCTTGCTGCATCTAAACGCAGCGTACCAATGTACGTGGCTAAGCGCCTCCTAATCTCACCAAACGCCACTATTCGCTGCACCTAGCACGAACACGCAGGCGAGCTAAACCACGACCATCGACCACGTCTCTCATCCGAACCGCAAATGGCAGTCTTTGCATCTAGAGCAAGCCACTCGTTACGCAAAACCCCTTATTAACGTTCTCCATGTCTCTCTTATATCCGGCACTTTTGAAGCTATTAGGTCGGGGTGGCTGATGTCATCCGCTCTGCCGACGAACTCCGTCCCATCGAGCTGAAAAAAAAAAGTTGGGTAATAGATCTCGAATGTGACTTGTCAATGCTTTTTAGGAAAGGGGGGTGGGTTAGATAAGTGTAAGGTAGTATTTCTACCTCTCTTTTGCTTTTTGGAGGAGATCTGCTGTTTCTTCCCCAGATCTCCCGTTTCTTATTAATTACCTAGATTCATGAAGCTGATGTTTAAATACGCGACCATCGAATAGAGCAGAGTATATACCCGCATGCTATAGACTGTGATTTACCGAGCGCATCGTCGATTAGACAATTACACTCTCTCCCTATAAGCAACCTGAAATTCCACTCGTTTAACTGTTTTCAAGTACAGTAACAACCTTTCACATTGCTCTTGACCTCTTAACCTGAAGCCCTCAACAACTCATTCACACTCACTCATTCAAACTAACCTCCTTCGCTAATATGTCGACCACTCCAACCGCAGTCCTAAAACCGTACTCGGCGTCCATGAACTACCACCAGCCCGTGCCGGACCCGCTCGCGCACTTCAACGCGATACCGTGGTGCGCGGCCCTCCTCTCGGACCCAAGCAACGTCAAGGTCGCCGTGCCGGACCGGCGCCCGCTGCCCAATGGCGAGGCCAGCTTCGTCCACAAGGTCATGACCAGTCCGACCACCGTCCGCGCCTGCGTGACCTTCATCCGGATGGTCAAGCCCCCTAAGTCGAAGTCCCCTCCTACCTCGGCTCCCCCTTCTCCGCACAGTAGCAGCAGCAGCAGCAAGGATGCCTTGGAAGCGGGGGCGGCAAAAGAGGAAAAGCCCTCCGCGCCCCCGTTCGTGCTCAGCGGCGGCGGCAGGGAAAACGGCGAGGACCCGCGGAACCCGTTCCTGCTGCTGCACGCGCTCGCCGAGCTGGGCGTCGACTGCCAGAGCTTCCCGGGGATCATGCACGGCGGGCTATACGGGGTATTATTAGACGAGGTGATGGGGACGGCGGCGAACTCGCAGACCGGTAAATACTATACCATACTTCTCCCATTTCCCCCATCCCCCTTTTACGCCTGTTCAAACATTGGTACAGTACTATAAAAAAGAAAAGAAAAAAAAATAATAAAAAATAAAAGAAAGAAGAAATGTCGAGGGCAATCTACTAACTCCCCCGCGATCCCTAGCGAACGGAGCCTACACGGTACGCTTCACGACAAACTTCCGGCGCGCCGTCCGGACGCCGCAGATCGTCCTGATCAGGGGCCGCGTCGTGCGGAAGGAAGGGCGCAAGATCCACGTCCGGGGCACGATCGAGGATAAGGACGGTGAGTCTACGCCGCTCTTCCCCCCCCACCCTCCCTTTTACCTGAGCCTAACCCCCCCAAACCCCACTATCTTCCGAGATTCCCTATAATGCTGACGCGCCGCGTAGGAAACGTAATGGCCGAGGGTGATGGCCTCTGGCTGGACCGGACTATCGGCAGTAGCAAACTATGAGCCGAGGAAATCACCACCTTGAGACTCGAGTCGAGCGTAGCATCATGCCAAATGAACGGCGAGTGGAGGCGAGAGTGGCGTATATATACACATACACTTTTAATACGGAGTTGAGGCTTAGTCGACGAGTTAGTTACATATACCTGAGTCTTCGGTCAAGCATGCGAAAGGTTTATCTGTTGATAGGAGTTGGTTTCATCCTTGATATATTCATAGCTCAAATATAAAGTATATACAAGACATATATAAAACATAAAAAAGCCCTTGTAAATCGATACAACACCCACGCAACCGTACCTAGCTGCTAATCAGGGTGGCCCGTAGCAACGCACCGCCCCAAGCATCAGATAACAACGTGTGTAATATCGACGTAGCCAGAAAGCAGCGAGGTCGAGTCGGGCCACAAGGCTCCGTTTCGACAGACGCGTACTCCAACCTCACTCATCCCCGACCACCAGAATTATGGGCTCCGAATTATGCGTATTAGCCACGAACGCCAAAAGAAAAATATATAGTTTACTATATCCTACTCATTATTACGTTATCGCGTTCGTTCGTAGATTGACTGATTAATTAGTTCGAATATTTAGTCCGCTTTAATAGCACTGTCGTAATTCAAGTCAGCGATATGTTGAAAGCGAGTTGGAAAATGTTGGGCTTACCCATATATCCTCCTGACAAAAGCGTAAGCCGTCAGGAACCCCACGGTACCGGTCAGAAGCCCGTACACGCAGCAAGCCATGAAGCTGTAGACGAAGAATAGCAAGGAGCTTACAAAGCCCGATATGTGTAGGTTGGCGAAGTAGTACCAGACGCAATATAGGAACACCCATATAGCGCTCCCGCCACCCACGAGGAAAGACTGCCACCACCAGTGGTAGTTTTCGGAGCATAGCTGTACATAGATGGTCACGACCGTCACCTCGGCGATAGTGAGGATTAGGATCATAGACACCACCGCCAAGAAGCCGAAGACGTAGTAATAGCCGCTCTTATCCTGCCACAGCGACTGGAAAACGAAAAGAAGCTCGATGAAGATGACAGCGAATGGAACCAAACCAGCAAGGAAAACCGACTGCAATTTCTTGGAATACCATGCTTGATTTGGAACCTGCCGAGGGATGCTGGCCGTCTTTGTAGGATGTTCCCAAGCGCCCGTACGGACAAACCCATACCAAGACCCCAGATAGACCAATGGAACCTGGATGCAAAGCCATAGAAGAACAATTGCTATCAATGTTCCAAACGGTATGGCAGTGCTAGAGGCTTGAGCCCAGACAAAAAGGTTCAAGATGAAGATCAGTCCAAAGAGAAGACCGGGGAAGAGGCATGCCGTAACCAGCGCGTTCTTGACATAGTTCTTACCGTCGAATGTCTTGTATACCCTAGCGGAGAAATAGCCGGAGAAGACGCCCGCGAAGACGAACAGACCGATGCCAGCGCTGATGAAACCTCCTCGGAAGCTGGGGTTCAGGACACCGATGGCACTCAGCAGAATCAAACCGACGGCCATGAATAGAAGCTGCATGCCGGATCCAACGAGAGGGGCGAGTAGATATCCGTATTCAGGTTTCCTGAAAACATCTGCATGCAGCAGCTTCCATCCCGTGACATCTTCCAGAGCCTCATCCTCGGATGAAATGTCAATTTCCTTCTCAGGTTCTCCTTCTTTCTCAAGAAGGCCGAACCCGGCCTTCTCTGACTTGGGAGTACGGTTCCCCTTGCGCTTGACTCGCAGTTTACCGTCCTCAATGGAGCCTTCCTTATATCCTTTGATATCGGATCTAATCGTCTTAGCCAAGATCATGAGGACAATACCGGTAAGAAGGCCACAAATGATCAAGGAGTTGATAATGGCTAGCCAGTGGATTCTGGAGCCCTCCTCCGAGTTGACGAAGTACAGATCCCAACGGCGGTTCCACTCGATCGACTCATCTTCACGGAAATACACCGAGTAAGAGTATGGGACGGTGATAGTGTCGTCATCATCGCCTTCCTCAATAGCCTCGGGGTAGTAGGATGAGTGCGCATACTGCGATTGGAACTCAGTGGTCTTGTTCGGAGCCATATACAGCTCGAAGTGATCCTCAACATCGTGTAGGTCCGCAGGACATCCGTTTTCTCGCTTGACATTCGCACCAACGCTCTTGGTATAGACTTCAAAGCCAACTACTACTTTACCACCTTTCTCGCCGGCTCGACCCGGCGCTGTTCTGTACCGGATAACGATGGTATGATGATTGTTCAAGAAGTACCGAGGCTTGCCCGTGCTCGATGAATAATCCGTGAAACCAAGCTTGAAGCCAGCTGCGTAATACTTGCGCGACTTGTCGACTGTGACGAAACTGGTGGCTCCCGGTAGATTGTCCACGATCCACTCGACTACGTATCCCTCTTTGACTAGCTCCTTAGCTCTTCTTAGATCTTTCCTGGTAACTTCCCGATTACAGAGAAAACTACATTCATTGTCTTGCCCCATGGTGAGATCGATATCGGAAGTCATGATTCTGTCACCACGGAGGACTTCTCCAAGGTTCAGAGAGATGCTTTGCCCGCTCAATAAACCAGGACCGTGGCTTTTACCCGTGGGCGGGCATACGAACGGAAGGTCGTAATAAGCATACTGTAGCTGTGTATTATCGGAATACACTTTGTTGACGAGTAAGGGGATATGCTCGTTTTCTTTATAGCTTCTCACTGACCAGCCTATTGTTGGCACGAATGCGTTAGATGTCGTGGACTTCGAATGAACAGGCCGATTTAAATCAGACGCTTGGGCTGATCTTACCAGGAATATAGAAAGCCTGAGCCTGCGAGATTACTAGAGAAGAGAGTAGCCATTTCAGACTATTACTGAGTGTCTTCCCCATTTTTGCGTGTATTCCCCCTTATTCCTATTATGTATTATTGCGTGTCGAAATACATTAACTCGGTCGGTATTGATTAGATTATCGGAATGTCCAGATGCCGCTTATTTCACTGTTTTGCGGAGAGCAGAGAAATTTCCCCAGCCGAGTCTTCGCCTTATAGGATCAGTGGAGTCGGCAAATCGAGTTGCTATTTGCGTCGCGATGAGGTTATCGTAAATCCTACTACTAAGACCGTTTCGTGGCTGTAAGAGAAACGCCACGAGGGAGGAAGATCGGAGGATTGGGCCGAGCGATTGGTAAAACGGCTGGTTAAACGAATGTAATTGGTACCAAGTACCCGGTGGACGGAGGACTACCCAGACTACCTTAGGTCTAAGCTCAACAGCGAAGGTTGCCGCTGACGCTGATCTTGGTGCCGCTGATCTCACGGTACGTGTACAATTGTGCTTACACGCGCGTATCTGCCAGTCGTGTTGTTATCTGGTGGTCTGGTTGTCTGGTTGTTGAAACGAAGAGGCGGAGGATGAGGATGAGGAAGAGGAAGAAAAGGGAGTTGTCGCTTAAGATACCCGGCGCCAGAACCAGCAGGAAAAGAGGAAAACGGTAGAATGGGAAGAGGCACGGACAGCTGACAGGTAATGGATATACCCCTTGTTGTTATGCGCTACATGCGCTACAGGCCTTGTATGATTTTACGAGGTTCACAGACGTTCTAGTCCACCCGATCGCGCTAGAATTCCTTCTTGGCAGATTCCTAATCCCTGTCACGTCTTTTAAAGTTGACTTCTCCGCTTCTCATTACCCGACGTGTAATAGGAAAGCACTGCTGGGAAAGCTGTTTATCGCCGGTCACGGGAAAGGTCGCAAGGATTCATACAGTACACACAGTATTATATAAATGCCCGGGAAATAAACCTACGTTACAGTATGTACACGTATTACCTGCCTCGGTACATCAATCGATATTTACGGGGTACGGAGGTTGAGAAGTTGGCCTATAAAATGTCTAAATATAGGCACATGCCTGACCCAATGCCGAACTCTGAACACTCGAGGTCTGGACTGTATTAAGGTTACGAGTACGTACGTAGTATGTCTCGGACTTCAAGTGATGTTACTTGTCATATGACTCTCCCGTTTTAATGCATTTGGGCACGCGTGTTAAAGGATGCTTTTGTGCTTTCTAAGAGCTGATAATACCTGAAGCGCTGTCCGAGTCTTTACAAAAATGATTACAATTAGGCACATACTACGTAGGTATATAGTATACAAAACCCATGTTCTCACCCATCCACCCAATTTTCAAGACCTCAACCTCCCAAACGCCCTTAGAGATGTTTAGTCAGTCACGTTCACGCTGACTCTTGACAGACACAAGCTTAGGTAAAATCCAATTCCGAAACCCAATGCCTCTTGATCCGGGTTCTATTTGCAAATGATAATAATGCTAATGCAACATTGGGGTATAGTTCTCCGCATGCTATGCAACAAGCCCAGACTGGTCATTCCATCGTATGTTTCTATATACAATCCAGTTCACCTGTCTCTTACTTCTCTTTAGAGACTGATAATATCCAGTTCTGAGAAGTCTGGGGGCGCCCGCCCGTACACGACTCGTACCTTGCTATCGAGCGCGGTGCCTTCGTTGGAGATCCATATATGTTCGCTAAACTCTTTTGTTCTTCTAATTTCGTCGTCACTGACTCCGATATCGTCACGTGGAATCCAGACCGTTGGTCGTCTTGCACGGAGGGCCGAGTGCATGAATGCGCGCCTCACAAGCACATCTCGTTCTTCGGGCGTGAGATCCTCGATCTCATCGTGAAAATCGCCGTATAGAGCATCGCCAATAGCTCTCTGCGCTTCTAGATCCCTCTTTCGACGCTCCTCGCGATACTTGATGACACTCTGGTTGATATTCATCAGTCCCCTTCCTGCCTTGCCAAGAGTACGGTCATAAGTGGTCTTTCCGCCGCGAGTAGCCCACGTGCCAGCACGGACAATGCCTTTAACAGGTTTGAAGTTAGTAAACTTGTTACCTCGTCCGGTCTTGTCGTCGCTGCCGTCCATAGAAGTGACCTGAGATCCATCTTCATTGTGCCTCGGCGCCTCCTCTTTATGATCGTCTTCGTCGTCATCCCGGACAAGACCAAACCGACGGTCCTGAGCGCGTTGGAATGCTTCATCACGAAGTACCGCTTCATCTTCGAAAGTAATAGGCAGGTATCGGAATAGTGGTCCGAATGACCTGTTGAGAAGGAACTGATATATGACCGTGAGGAAGATCGATACAATCATGATGATCGCTTGAGGAACACATGCAACTTCGCCGTCTTGGTCCCGAACAAGGAAAAATAGGCCGACGAGACATAACTCCATTACGTAGAGCCCCGTAAAGGTCTGATTAATTGCCTGCGGATAAAGCACGCCGCCGGTATCGATGGTGAACCGGTTCACGTAAAGCATGGCATATCTATTCGCCATCCAGAGGAGACTGAAGGTAATGATGGCGAAGATAGAAATAATCGGAGCAACGACGGAATAAATCAATGCGATGCAGGCGAAGTTCGTGTATACAGGGAAGTATGTTCCCCAGTTCACCTCAGGTAGCTTGGTATTGGTAGACCACTTATTTCGAGCCGTTTTGTTCATCATTCTCGCGATGACGTACCAGTTGATGAGGGCGCCAATTTGCAATAATGTACCTGAGCTCACACTGAGAGCTTGTAGAATCATGTAAGAGAAGAAGTAATTAGCAGCCTTCGGCAAATTCTCTGCTAACAGATCCGGGATCATCGTCGGGTGGTTTGCCAGATCCTCCAGTGTCTGGAGTACACCAGTAGCAAGAGAAACAACCAAAAACACTTGAACGAAGAGGAATGCGAAATAGAATTTTTGGACCGTCTCTGATTTCTGGGCTCCTGTCTTGGCTCCTTTAAAGCCAGCAAGGAAGCCCATCAGAATCGGCACCAACCAAAGAAGGAGCGCAAGAATAACGGCGGGCAGGACACCGGCAACACCTGAGACGATATTGTGAATCGTCTTATTGTCATCAATAAATGACAACCACGGGAACTCGTCTGTCAACGTGCTGACTTGTGAGATCGAAGATGTGAAGGCGACCGGGAAAGCCCATAGTATGATCATGCCAACCACAACGGCCACGGCAACACCAGTCCGGAGCCACTCAGACCACCAGCTAAGAGCCATATTTTCCCAGAGTACATCGTCGGGAGAAATTTCGACAGTACGAGGGGCCATGTGTCTCGGAACGTGATGGATAACGCTCTGACAAGCCATATGGGCGGCAACTTGGTGGTTGAATTGGATGAATGCCGACTTCATGAGCGGATAGCGTTCCGGATTTTTCTGGTCGATTTCGATCTCCATGTTCAACCGCGCCAATTCTTGTCTGCACCAGTAGATAGTGTCAACCTTTTTGTTAAGCAGGGGAAACCCAGGTAGCCAGGAGGGTGTCCAGTCGAAGATAGCAAGACGATGGGTCGGTCGCTTGGACTTCTTAACCCACTTCTCCCATTCTGCCTCAGCGTCTTGCTCTTCCTTCCATTCCTCGTTGTAAGCTTTGGGGTACTCTACCGGCGCCAACTCCTCGCCGCCCATGAATGGAATGCATGATTTAACCTTCTCCCAGAATGTTTTTTCCTTCTTTTTGAATGGAAAATCGTCGCCTTCGTATCCTTGAGGGACCGGGGACGCGTATCCGCCTTGTGGAGGTTTCCAGAACTGATACCATTTCTTAGGTTCGTTGTCTTGCATATCCTCGAGGTTAGTAAGCTTGCGGGTTGTATTTCCTAACTGTCGCAGCTCGACGCTGTCCTTCTTGAGAATGGAATCTTGAGATATGGTAGAGCCGGCATGCGAGTGACCCTGTGCTGTTTGTGCTCCCATGACACGATCCTCAGGTTTTACGCCTTGTGGATGATTTGAGCTCTGGAATGACGGTCTTGGTAGATCTCTTTCATCCGGCAGCTGTACGTGACGGCGATCCGATCCACGGCTAATGGGAGCGGGCGAAGGGCTTCGCGGCGGTCTTATCGCCACAAAGCCGCTCGTCGTTTCGATTTGATTATCGAGGCCGCGCGTGAGCCTCTTAGCGCCTCCGAAAACCTCTTGACCCACAGCACCGACTCCCTTTCCAATTCCTCCGGTCACTTTCGAAAATCCGGTTGTCACACCATGACCGGTAGATGGCCTAGCTTCATGTTTAAGTTCAGCTTCGGCCACTGCTTCCGCCTCATCTAAATCGTGCGGTACTTCGTGTCGATCACCACTGCTTAGACCCTGGCCACCTTCAGCTTGCCTTTTAGCTGCATCGTCCTCCCTCTTCTGACGTTGAAGCTTTTCTGCTTTTGTAGGACGATGAGACTTAGACGCTCTGCGCGCCTGGTTCTCGTCTTGCTCCCTCTTCTTAAGTTGGGCTTTCTTAGCTGTTATAATGAGATCTGTTAAGGCATCTTCTAACTGCTGGTGAATCTGGTCACGTTTGGCGATCTTGTCCAAAAGGTGTGTCAGGTCCCGTGTAAGGTAGACGTTTCGAAGTCCTCCTGGGAACACATCGAAGAGGCCTCTCAGAGCATCCTCAGTCAGCCACTTATCAGGAATACCGCTCACCAGAACAGTCGTGGCTGATGCCCGCAGGCGGTGCTCTGCAGTTGTTAACCAATCCTGGCGGATCTTAATATAAACTCTCAGCTCGGAAAAAAAGACTCCGCAAACCCATATGATAACTAATACAGCGAGAATAAGATGTGCCCAATACCTGTTTGTCTGGTCCTTCCTCACATTTCCCCAGGCCAAAGTATCTAAGCCAGTGATATTAGATTTCGGCTCACTAGGGTCACTATAATCGACGCCTTGGGGATCGGTAGAGTTTACACCATCGTTGTCATCGGTACTGTTCGATGAAAAGTTGCGACTGATTCCACCAACATAATTGACTGGTACAAGGATCGGAATGATGACTAAGGCCATAGGTATGAATATGACCAGCAGCGTCTGGAGGTATCGGAGGAAGAAGTAGGCGTCTAGACCGCATTTTTTAATGATTTCGCGATCTCGAAATCGGAGTAGTGTGTTAACTAATCCCCATGGACTACTAGGCGGAGGTTCAGTTCGTTCGCGTTCGGGCACGAGATATGTTTTGGGCTTGCTGCGGTATCAAAAGCGTTAAAATTAAGCTTGGCTGAAAGAAAGATGTGGTAGATTGGAAGGGTCTCATACAATATTCTAGATAATTTATTCCTCAATAATAAGAATAATCCCGTCTGGATACCAAAGACTACCAACGAGACATTGAGGGCAGTAACGAAGGCAATCAGGGTGATACCCTGATTTTTCTGAGCGCTGCCACTGTCTGTACCAAACTCATTAACACTACGCGCAAATAATAAGCGATTTAGTATGATGATATCACGACTTACCACTCATATTTTACCGTGGTCGACACTCGACCTAGATCCCTACTCGAAAATTCCGCGCTGTAATACCGACCTCATAAGTAGGCTTAACGAGCGAATAGTTGATATAGGAAAGATCGAGTGACTGTCGGGGTGGTGAAGGATTGGGTGTCTATCGCCTCAGTGATGACGATTGTATTCTGCTGGAGGTTACGTATTTGCGAAGATTGTAGTTACTACGAAAGGTTTCGCATAAATCCAGGGGATAAATAGATCAAAGACAAACGTGTAGGAGAAGTTGGTTCAAGGAAAGAAAGAAGAGGCATGGTCGAATTCGGGGTCGTCCGTCCCAAATACCAAATACCTGAAAGTAACAGGCAAAGAGGAGAACGGGCGGCTAGATTGGAATTTTTAGAGAGAAGCTATATTGGATTGGTGGGAGGTCTTGGCCGAATAATTGATGTGCACGACGTCTGGGTGCGTCACGTCTAGGAGGAAACAACGAAGTACAGAATTATACCCTGAATACATGATGGGTACATGCATAATGGAGGTGCGAACAGGCCGATAAGAGGTACCGTCCCTAATAAGTGGTACACGATCTACAGCACAAGATTCAAACTCCATGTCATCAACAGCCATTGACATCCTCCCAAATCATTAAGCTCGTTTAATTGGCCCATAAAAAGCTGCAAGTCCGACGTCACAAACGCCCGCTTTAACCCATCTTGTCAAACGCAACCCCTGAGAGGCCCCACTTGACTATCCTAATTAAGCTGCCGCAATGCCGACTTCTGCTTCATATCTTCACCAAGACGTCGGAATATCGGCTATGATTGGACTACATTCACGCGCGGCTGTTCCATTTTCCGTCCTTGTCGGACAGAATGTTGGCGGTAACCGCTACATTTGTACAGCGTTGTTTTCGATGCTTTAAATCCTATTTTCCCAAACAAGAGGCGAGAGCCAATGGTCTAGACCTCAGAGTGTTCGCTAAAATGGCTTAAGTAATCCGAAAACCGCAAGACATCGACTTGGTCTTGAACTCTTAGCGGGGAATAGTCTTAGAGGCAGCCTACAAGGTTTAGCGTGAGCTAGATCCATTCTTAATCCGAACCAAGAGGATCTTGGCTGACAAGAATCTGATGCGATTAGCCAATGCGAACATACACAAGTCGAACAGCACATCATCGGCAGAGTTTGGCCGTGGAAATTGTCAATTCATCGCAAGATAGGGAGACCCGTGTATCGTCGACCTCCTATTCTCCCCAAATTTTACATACATGGGTACACGGGTGTATCGGTTCAATAGGTGTATGATATCTGCCTGTTGTAGGTAGAATATGTCGCAAAGATGTATGTATGTACATATCTTACAAACATGTGCAACTTCCAACTTATGAAGGTCTTTCTCACATTCCACAAATAGTAAATAAACATTAGTTTGGAAAGCCATGTCTTCGGAAGTAGATGCGCAGCATCAAGCTACATATTGCGTGCTGTTTGAGAGCCCAGACAAATCTACCGTTCTAATAGATATTCCTCGCTCTATCGAAGAAGCGCAGCAATTACCGGGGGAGTCGATCAAAAGACATATCATTTCGTCTAATCCTATCGAGACGCCATGGAGTACCCCTGAGCCGAAAAAGAAAGTCTTGGGCCAATCAGTATCGCCGTCCGCAGCCATAGCTGAATTAATGATTCTAGAAAGCGTTAAGGCCGCGACGCAAGATGTCAAACACAATTACAGAGGACCGTGGTGTCTACCACGTGTGTTGAGAGATGCAAGCAATGCTAGTCACGACGGGTTAAACACCGAAGAGTCGCACAAGAGGAAGCAAGCTTGTGACAGTAAGGAGGCTGACATGGCCCCGGAGCCATATATTCCTCATCAGTCAAATTATCTTCTTGGGACTATAGAATCTCAGCGGGAGACTTTCCTCGCAAACGCTCCCATGTTCGATCTTATAGTTCTCGACCCACCATGGCCTAGTCGGTCTGTGAAGCGAAAACGGAACAGCTACAAGATAGCAAATGATATGAGAGAAACCAAAGACCTCTTAACTAAGATACCAGTTGCATCACACTTGAAACCTGATGGACTTGTGGCTATATGGGTTACTAACAAGACGGCAGTTTCCGACGTGCTGTTATCACCCTCGGGAATATTCTCGGAATGGGGTATAGAATTTATCGGTGAATGGGTCTGGCTGAAGATCACGAGCTCCGGCAATCCTGTCGTCGACGTAGAAGCACAATGGAGGAAACCATGGGAACGCTTGTTACTCGGTAGAAAGAGAGGTAGCACGTGGCAAGCGCCAATTCCGACGAAAGTGATCTTGGGAGTTCCAGATGTCCACTCCAGAAAGCCAAATTTAAAACCTCTATTTCAGAGCATGATGCCAGAGAACTATAGCGGACTTGAAGTATTCGCAAGGAATCTCACTGCAGGTTGGTGGAGCTGGGGTGATGAGGTGCTTTATTTTCAACAAAGGCACCATTGGGTAGAGACGATGACCGATGAATAGCGATACAAATACACTCAACTCCCTATTCGGCGTCTCCGCCACACGCGTATACGCACGTGAAGTCTCCCATAATCATACACCCATTGTCCACTAACGTCGTATATTCTCGACGGCGGTCAAGCTCTTTCTTTTCTTTTCTTTTCTTCTTCCCCTACAATGCGTCCTAGATGTCCTTCCCTGGTCTGTACTTCGGGTTCGAAAACTTGGGATCTAGTCCCTCGCCATTTTTCCATGACCCGGTCTTCAACAGTTGTGCTGCAGCCTCTCTGAGTGCTATTTTTTCTTTATCCGGGCCCCTCTCGTCCCTCAGGGAGAGCGTGCCTGTCTTCTTGAGTTCCCGCTGCGGGTTCCATTTCTGCGTGATCGCCTTCCGTCGCGCTTTATCACTCTCTGAAACCCACGGGGTAATGTCTGTGGGTCTCGCAGGCCACACGAACGGCTGTCGCATCTCCACCGTCATTATCTTCGCTGGTAAAGGCCGGACCATGTGGCCGTTCTTCTTGCGATGTGTCGGCCTTGGCTTTAGTTGCGATCGCACATTCAACACGGCGATATTGTACGCATGTAGCAAGTAGTCTCGCAGATCGAACTTGTTAAATCGTAAGGGGACCTTAAAGGTAGCAAAATTCGGTCGTTGACCACCCTTCCGTAACAAGGCGATGGCGAATTTCGGTCTATGTTGGGGTTTGACGTTAGCTTAGAAGGTCATTGATGATAGTTAGATAGGTCAACAATACATACAGATAGATCTGGTTTGTTCCCGTTCGAAACGGTTGTAATTTCAACGCCATTGTGTCTTAGCAGCGGCTCCTGAGATGCTCTGCAAGGCCGTTCAACGAAATAAATTTATTCAAAATTCAGCAACAATGCATCAGTTTCGTTATGTCGTTAGTCCCCACCAGTCGGCGGGTGAAAATTCCGTTACAGGGTACCCAGTCGCTCAAGTGGGGCATAATATACCTTGTATGATTGGTCAATATGCCTTAACCTTGACAGGTAGCTGCGTAAAATGTTTAGGTTTCTAGACCACAAAATGCAGTAAGGATAACCACACGACACTTTTACGTTAAAAAAACGACACCTTCCTAATTGAGATTAGTCTGTGGCTGCAACGCCACACCAACTAATTTAGTAATACTTTTGTTGCACACCCTTAAATTACCTAGTATACACTTACTTACTTAGTAATCACTTTATTACCTAATATCCTCAATTGACTTTGAGCCGCAATTTTAAGGTTGTACCTATTATGCCACCTGCCACCAGTTTTGTATGGCCATTGCCATTGCAGGTACATACTACCACTGTTTGACCCCTGCAAGACCTACCTACACCAGTATAAACGGTATACAAAGGTATCAACAGCCTCAACAGTAGCAGCAACCGCCAGTGCTACGGTCGCAAGGTCCTTTAGATCTGTTGTATGTGCTAGATTAATTAGTAGGGTGGGTGCTGGTAAGTTGATTACGTAAGGTCGTCACGTGAGTGGATTGGCCCCAAAAGAACAACAAAAATTGTCGCGAACCCTACTGTCCCTGCTACTAATACAGCACCAGCACCACCCATGTCATACCAGCAATAGTGAGTTTTGAAAGGACTAATATAATCAACGTTTTACTCCTTGATATAATTTAATCAAGTGGTATCGGACCCTTAATAATAATCTATTCAATTAACAAGAGTCGATTAAGCCTGATTATATAATCGTGTGCATTAGGTAATTACTAGTATTAGGTAGTCAACTAGGTGTACACTTCGTAAAATTACGTTTAGATAGGGTGTGCGATAAGAGCATGTGCTCAATTAGGTATGGCGCTGTAGCCACAGACTAGTCCCAATTAAGAAGGTGTCGTTTTTTTAACGTAAAAGTGTCGTGTGGTTATCCTTACTGCACAAAATGCACACTTGGTTGAATTAAAAGATCCACATGACCAGCTCTGAGCCTGAGAACTCATCGAGAGACTTCCCCAAAAACACCATTTTACTTTAACTATTTGTTCATTCGTAGCTAGGTTAGGTATTTAATTGTCTAGGACTTTTCAATCCCTCTTTTTGAACTTGAATACATGAGCAAGATCCTATCACATCCACACACTAAAGCCTTTAGTTCCCTTTCTAGCAAATCTAGATATGTAGCTTCTAGACGTCAAGACCGTCAACGACGGTACCTTTAACCCATTCGTGCTGAACGAACCGGGCCACCTCATTTGCGGTTTCTTCATCGACGAGGATGCTGACCAGATACAGAGCTGCATCTAGGCCAGCAGATATTCCCCCCGCCGTAATGACCCGAAGCCCACCTAGACGCATCGCGGCGCGGCGAGCCATAGACTCACGACGTCCGTTCGAGCCCTTGAATGAGACACTTCCCTTTCTAGATGGCCATAGTTAGTAATTGTGATTATATAGATATCAAAGAAGAGTTAAACATACCGCGCCGCAGAGGGGCGTCTTCCAGCATCTGACTTGCGACGAATGTAGGGATTCTCATCCTCATCTCCGAGGTCGAAGCGAAGGTTGTTCACAACATATCGAGCATCTTCCACTACATCTGTTCTTTCTTGAAGATCACGCTGAGCTGCATTGCTGCAGACAATCTCGAACTTGGTGAAGTAGTCTGGGTGGGTTGTAGCGGACAAGCCTGCCAGGATACCCGCCTCGGCCAATAAGATGGAACCGGTGCAGACAGACATCAACGTGCGTTCTCGTGTGTAATCATTTCTCTGGAGTTCTGCGAAGGCTTCGATGATAGGGAGGGGCTCGGATTTCTCCTTTAGGATAGCATCATGGTTGCCACCTACGACGATGAGGACGTCAAAGTCGTTGAGCCGCTCATGAGCTTCCTTGTACGTGATCTGGGCACCAATGACAACTCCCTGTTCTGAGATGACCTTTGGTTCGGCCGCAGCAATTGTGCACTCGAAAGCTTTGGTGCCTACAACATAGAACCTCCCTTAGTAATCTGATCTATGGGGCAAAGAGGCAGTTTGTAGGAGAGATATCTAGGTAAATGACATACTTTCGTCGTTCTTGTCGTGGCGTGCCCATTCGAGGATCTCGAGAGGTCCGGCGAAATCCAGCAAGTCGAACTTGGGATGAAGGGCGAAAAGCACTTCAATGGGCTCGTCGGTTACCGCAGAAGTCTTGTGTGCCATGATTGAGGTTAATTGGTTACGTGTTTGAAAGAGATAGTGACTACTGATGAATGTCTAGATGTGTAGAGTGTGATGGCTAATAAAGACTATTAGGTCTCTAGGGCTCGAAGAGCATATATTGGATGTTGAATACAGGAAATGGATGGGTTCACTCGCTTTGTGGTCGAGGTCAACTGACTTGTTACTAAGTAGATGGTCCTTTGAAAAGTGAAGAGGAGAGATTGAATTGGGAAATGGCCAGACAAATCAAGCGAGGAATTTTGCACCTATGGGCCGATGGACTGATAGATGGAGTGATTGAGGGGCCTGAGTCTTCGATACCTGCCCACGCCGGAGAGTTACGTAGAAGGTATGCGGCTTGAGGAGGGGCAGGGTTAGGTTTGTAGGTACCGGGATGGTACTACCCCACAAGAGCATGTATATCATTCCCCTCCCCCAGATTTACAGGTCGTTAGCTTGTGGAGTCAAAAGGGATCGGCCTTCTTTAGTGGACCCGATGGTCACGCTCTCACCGTAAGAAATACAGTATTTGGATTTTACGAGAGACTGTAGGTTGCGATCAGCCTTTTTGCAAAACTGCCTGAAGTTTGAAGAAACTTAATGTTGACAAATTGATCAGATTGTAACTCAAAATGTAAGGCAGGTACACATGTGGGTATTGAGCATAATACATATATACTATAGCAAGGCGTAACTTCCAAAACATCTGATGCTTATCCTAATAAAAGTTAGTTCAGTTATTGAAGCAGGTGTCGATGGGCTGATATATGTACATTTTACAGGCAAATTCGTAAGTACATAGTATGAATGAAATATGGCTTGATTGAATTACACTGTATAGATGGCACGTTTAAAAGCGGGCTAACGAATGAGTCGGGACGAGACTAGCTGACGACCCCACCACGGAGGTAGGAAAACTAACTGCGACAGCCTGGACAGCTTACCTGCCCTACCTCTAAATTTCCAAACGTCATCGCACCTTGATTCAAAGCTCCTGTGGGACTATGTTTGTAGCCCTGTAAGCTTGCAGCTTTACTATGCGCATCCTCAGGCTGGCAGTTTGTTTTGTGACAGCCTGTTATTATCGTTGAGTTGCTCCATTTGGAGCTTCGGTCCGCAATGTCGTCAGCGCCGTATGTTTATTTTGCCCTCTTCAATCTCATTTCAAAGAACGACCAACGTAGTTTCGGTGCTCTCCGGCTACTCCTTTGTCGCAAAGCCATATCATCATCCATGTGCTAACTTGTTATCTACAACTCTAGGACCATCAAGGACCTGACAAAAGCCATAACCGGGTTTGTACCAACAGCAAGTTTCCCGTTACCTGACGATCTTGTCGAAATCATCGATGCGTATCTCTGCAAACATGAGAAGTTCGACGAGAGCGTTGCCGACAAATTAAATGACGAACTACTCTCTCTATTCCACAAAGATGTATCTCAAGTGCCTTCTCGCTATACAGCTTTCGTTGCTCTCCTTCGCCGCTTGCGCCCTATCATTGGACAGCCGGACAAGATATTTCAGTGGTTCGACTTGCTGTTACTAGTACTCAACCACCTTAATCAGGAGAAAGACCTTGCTGTGGAGGTTGAGGGTATACTTTTGGATATTCTTACGGCCGACGATGGCGACGATCCTAGTTCCCCGACCGGAGGTGCTGCCCCTCAACTCGCAGAGCGGATCCTTCTACTGTGGCTCGATGAGTACGACACTGTAGGGAAAAGCCCTGATGCAATATCGGAATTTAAAGAGAAACAGATGCAAAGGACATTGTTGCACTACGGGAAGAGACGCCCAAAGGTAAATACCATACTCTTTACCTACGCTTTAGACGCTTTGCTAAGTAGACTTAGGATCTTCTGACTGTCCTCGACCAATATGTGGTCAAGAAAGCCTATCGCGCTCGTGCTTTATCATTCCTGGCCTTTTTTGTGCAAAGCCAGCCACCACATCTACATCTCATACTGCAGACACCCCTATTTAACAATTTAATCAACTGTCTCCAGATAGACACATCCACAACTATCGTGTCTCTCGCCTTGACCGCGTTGACAATGATTCTTCCGCATATGCCGAGCTCTCTCGTCCCTTACCTCCCCACGCTGTTTAACATATACGCGCGGCTACTCTTTTGGGAACGAGAGCTATCTCCTCAAGGGACGGATGAGATAGACAAAGAACGAAGGTTATCTCCTAATGCCTTTGCCTGGGAAAAACTCGCCTATTCTCCCGATTTCGATGATACGGCTATCCCACAACTCCTTCATTATTTCACGATTCTCTATGGTCTGTATCCGATCAATTTCATGGACTACATTCGTAAGCCACAAAGATATCTCCGGCATGCTGAGGTGCCCGATGCCGACGACATTGAGGTTCAACCCACTGAAATTCGCGATGCGTCAGAGCGTTTCCGGCGATGCCATCTCCTTCATGAGAACTTCTACACTCTCACTATAGAGTCAGAGAAGGATAATTTCGGAAGATGGATCAAAAGTGAACCATCTGAAGTGGTAGCCGACTGCGTAGCTCTCTGTCAGGCCAATGAGGCATTGCCTAGTCAGGGTATGGCAGACGCTATAAACATAGGAGCGTCCGAAAAAGATGAACCCGAAAAGGATGGCCACGAGTCCGCGCTGCTCAGTGGTTCCTATCCGTTCGGCGTGTCCTTCAGTCCCTTTCAGGGGGATGACAGACGAAACACGGGATCAATGTTCGCCGAATCTATCACAAGCAGTCGAAAGCAGTCCGTAATAGTTCGCCAGTCATCCATAAGCAGCTATCACTCCAATCGAGATGTATCAAGTCCAAGGCCGTCTGGACTCGGTAACGAGAGCCCAACTCTTTCTCGTCAACTTGTTCAGTCCGGATCTCAGACACAGCTTCAAGACTTAATTAACTCTAATAAGGTTATTAAATCCGGGCTGCACCAATCGATGGCGAATGACAGCGTTCCATCTCTTGCCTTAAGCCACCACGATTCTATTTCAGACCGCCAGGGATCACAGCTTCAACCAGGTTCACAACTAGGCAACACTTCATCCCCGACAGATAGTAATAGCGCTCAGATTGCCCACCTACAGCGCCAAATCTTGCTTTTGTACAACGACCTAACGTTCGAACGATTCATGAAGCAGCAGCACCTTACCCATATGGGTGAACTGCGAAGGCGGCATGTACGAGAAGCCGCAACTGAAGCAGAAACACAAAATCTGATTATACAGAATCGCCAGCTTAAACAAAGGCTGAAGGATGCAAAGGATTCAGAAACGCAAGCCAAAAAAGAGTCGGAGAAGAGTCGTACATTGTCGAAGAAGTGGGAAGCAGACCTCACTACTAAGCTAAGAGGGCTTCGAGAAGAACAGAAGAAGTGGAACGCTGAAGGAGACACATTACGGACTGAACTAGAAGCAGCAAAGTGCGAGTCGGAGAGGTTGCGCCTGTTGCTCTGCGAGGCCGAGGTCAGGGAAATAGACTTAAAGCAAGTTATGCAGTCCGTTGAGATCAATGTTGATGAGCTGGTAAGGCTGAGAAAAGAGGTTCAACGGCTAGCAGAATGCGAACGGAACTATCAGGCCAAAGAGACGGAACACGAAAACATGAAAATACGCGCAGCGGAGGCAGAAGGTCGGGTCGAGATGCTGGAGTTGAAGCTCAAAGCGCACGACTCCGATATCCAGAAAACACATGAACTGTACAAGTCGCAGATCGCGGAACTGAATGCGAAGTTACAGAATGCGCTCAAAAACGGCACAGGTCGCAAGTCCGAGAGTTTGAAGACACAGCTAGAAAGCACTCTAGCAGCAAGCCGAGCACAGCAAACGGAGTTGAAGAACCGCATCGCAGAAGTGACGAGGAAGAATTCAACATTACAAGCTACTATACTGGACTTACAATCCACGATATCCAGCTTGTCGAAGCCGGATCCTCATCCTCCTGCCGATCCCGAATTCGACTTGTCCTCCGATTCGGGTAGTCCTTTGAGCTACCGTAACCGCCAGCATCGTAGATTGTCCGAGCCGGATCTGTTCGAGGCGACATCGTACAACCCCACCCCGCCGCTTGAGCCTTACAGCAGTGTAGGATCAGCGGGAAGCCAGGGACGACGGCCTTCCACGCCGCTGCCGAACGATCCGCTTTCCACGGGTAAAGGTAGTCCGACGACGGAGCGATATTTTGGACGAGGTAAGTCCCGTTCAGATTTAGCATCTAAGATTGCGCCCTATACTAATTTCCAACAGGTGGTGTACAGAATCTCCGCAAGGACAAGGAGAAAAAGAAAGAGGAAAAGGAGAGGAAGAAATCAACTGGATTGCGCGGTATTAGGGGGTTCGTGTAGCCAGGTGTTAAGGTCGCCAATAAGTCGCTATGAAGCACTCACGTCAAGTTTGCATTTGTCAGATCTAGGCAATGAGCGTGCAATTCCAGAACTAATTGGTACCTTGCGGGTTAGGCATTTCATAGTTTGATACCCGAACGTCTAGTAACAAGCATGAATTGTACAAAATGAAACCGGCTATATACTTGAGTTGAAAGTGTACTCGAAATGTTAGTACTCGCGAACGACGTGGTCTCGAAGAGTCTTCTGAGATGCTTGTTCGCTATGACATTGGTTCCCTGGCCAGTTTTGAACTCGCTCTGTCGTGTTGCAAAATAAGCAAGATATTTCAGCTCCACTTCCCCTGGTTCTACCCCATAGTTCCCTAGGGAGTTCGTTGGATGCCATGTTTTCTTTACCCAAGCGAACCGGTTCGAATCTCCAAAGACCCCAAGAACTATGTTCTCTTCGGTTAGTTTCGTCCGCAAGCACTGATTCAAGCTGCACTTCAAAGTCAGTGAAGACTTGGGGGTTCACTACATGCATCTTCTAAGGTAATGCTTAACATTTAAATACCTAGGTTGCTCAGGTAGCGACAAATATGTTCAATATTCGCTCCTGTCTGGGCACTATTGCTACACAGGCACTATTGCACCATGCCTAGTATATTGCTAGCTCAGCAGATGTGACCTGAAGACCCGGCATAATGGATCTCTCTAGTTACGAGTCACCCACCAACAGGCTGGCCAAGTAGCCAAGAAAGAGTAAATGCTCTAAGATGTCTACAAATTTATACAGACTATGATTATGTTCGGCGTGTTTAGGCAGCTAAAGTTATACAAGCCCATGTGTAAGACAAAAATGAGCACATATTTTACATCCGGATGACTCGGAAGTATCCGATAGTGCTTCGTGTTCTCCTAATACTTGGAGCGTAGTATCTTTGAAAACGACGGCAACTAAGCTATCCTACTACATGACACGTACTGTAGGTAGCTAAGGGTTATTCTTCTACTTATAAAATTTGAATTATTATTTGAAAATTTTTGAACGCGTTCCAAATAATGTATGAAGGTATTGATTTCTACCTCCTTTTCGCTAGGTACCTAGACCTGGCTTCACGTGAATTTGCCCCAATCTGTGAATGGTGGCTGAGTTAGCACGGTCGTGCCAGCCAGTCATTAATCGAGATCAATAAGACGGTTTAATGCAGGAACAACATGCAGCCCCAATGCACGAGTAAGGGGCCCCGGCAAACTGGCACTTTGGCCTGATTGAAGGAATTAGAGAGGAATTCGCTCCCCTTAACCCCCTGAGGCGCAATGGAGATTCCATGCTACGCAGTAGAGGGTTCTGTCTTGATCAATGTTTTCCTTCCAAGCAGTAACATGCCCTTGGAATGCTTGGATAGATCTGGACTGATGTGGATGAAGATCATGTACTAAACCTGAAGCTATGTACAATATACAGTGAATATAATACTGTCTGGACTGTACGATCTCGTGAAGATCATAGGTGCTATCGATGTTTATGGGTCCAATACGAGATTTATGCACGTCATTGCCAAGTTATTGATTTTCTTTGACTGGATTTTTCTCATGTAGCCGAGTCTGGCAGCTGGACTTTCTGTTGGTACGTGCAATAACGACGTATGAAACTGAAGATTCGCTCAGATAAATAAACATGTTTCACAGCCGACAGCGAAAGGCTTTTTAATACGTATTTAGAGTTGCACAAGTGAGGCAGAGATAGAGTTGTTCAATGTTCTTTCTTTCGTTGTTCTTGTTACCATTTCCATTCAATTGATCAAGGGAAGTCTTGAGCCCCCCAAAAAGTGTGTTCTAGGTGTTCCGTAAAGAAGGGGCGACTGGGGGCGAGTGGTCCCTTCGGAGCTTGTTTCCTGACTTGCGCAGGGGTAAATCGGGTAGCTGCACCTGATTGGGTCGATCGATGGCCACTCACAGACTCCGCTGCGTCGGGACCAAGATGGGAAAGCAGGGCACGCAAGGATCCACCAAGGCCTGCAAGGATAATATTCTGGGACGGTGGGGCCGTGGCGGTTTAGGCCCACTTAAGTCGAACAAATCAGAATACAGAAAGACGGAAACTGGCGCGTCGTCTTTGCCAGGAATAAGCTTACTGGTAGGCTAAGAATGTAAGGAACGGAAGAAAGAAATATTAAGTATTTTGTAGTGTGCTATTTTTATTATTGTTGTGTGCGTTGGTACAAGTATCATGCCATCTGCTGCCATGTCACCACACGGCTTTCTAGTCTTTTCTTTCATCCCGTATTCTCGTTTTCTAGTTGCTTGAGTCTTGAGTTGCTGTATTTCTTAGGGGATCGTCCTACACCACGTGAATCACTTTCATTAACCCTAACCCCCTTCTTAAGTAGTCTTTCTTTTGGAATACATATCATCACTGTCTCTTCCTTCTTGTTATAATCACACTCGCTTTGGTTGTTTTGGGCCGACGTTCTTTCTCAGCCTGAATCACTTGAAACTGACTTGGCTACACTGCGCCTACCTGACTCCTACTCTTCAGCCTCTCGACGATACAGTCACTCGGAAGAACAGAAAAAAAGTCTAGAAAGCTTTGCTGCTTTTCTACTTAATCCTGCTTTTTGTACAAAAGCAACACCCTCATCGATATAACTTCCTAGGAGCATCCTATCCTAGAAACCACATATCCTTCGCCAATAGACTCTTGTGTATATCATTCACCATGCATAGTCTCACATCTCTTCTTGCCTTGGCCTCTACGGCCGCGGCTATCCAAGGTTTCAACTACGGTTCTACCTTCACCAACGGTGCTGCCAAGACGCAGTCCGACTTCGAGAATGAATTCACCACAGCACAGAACCTTGTGGGAACTTCCGGTTGGACCAGTGCCCGTCTCTACACCATGGTGGTAAGTCCAGACTGAAACCAAGCTTATAAAAGTAAATAAATAAGTTATCATTTCTCTAACTCGTACGCGTTTAGCAAGGTGGAACTGCCAGTGATCCTATCTCCGCCATCCCTGCCGCCATTAAGACGAAGACCACCCTTCTTCTCGGTCTCTGGGCCTCAGGAGGTGACACTTCGTTCGCCAACGAGATCCTTGCGTTGAAGGCCGCCATCAAGCAATATGGAGATGATTTCGCCAAGCTAGTTGACGGTATTTCCGTTGGTAGCGAAGACCTGTACCGAGACTCGCCTCAGGGAATCGCGGCCGGCTCTAACGTTGGTGTTGGGCCCGATGTTATCGCTCGTTACATCAAGGAAACGAAGGATGCTATCGCAGGCACTGGCTTAGAAAAGGCCCCCATTGGTCACGTTGACACTTGGACTGCTTGGTACAATGGAACCAACCAGCCCGTCATCGATGCCTGTGACTGGATCGGCATGGACGCCTACCCTTACTTCCAGGACTCGATGCCAAACGACATCTCCCAGTCCAAGTCTCTCTTCCAGGACGCTCTTAGCAAGACTCAGCAGGCTGCTGGCGGAAAGTCGGTCTGGATTACTGAGACTGGCCAGCCCGTCAGTGGTAAGACTGTTGGACAGTCCATAGCATCTACTTCCAACGCCGAGACTTACTGGAAGGACGTCGTGTGCCCTCTGCTCGAGAGCAACACGAACCTCTGGTACTACACCCTGCAGGATGCCGCCCCCGACACCCCGAACCCCAGCTTCGGCATTGTCGGAAACAAGCTGCAGACCACCCCCCTCTTCGACCTAGGTTGTAACAACACCAAGTCCGCATCCTCCTCGTCCGCGGGTGCCTCCGCCACCGCTTCCGGCTCTTCTGGCTCCGGCTCCGGATCTAGCGCATTTGCTACCGCCTCGGGCAGCAGCTCCACTGGTATTTCCGGCGGAAGCCCCGGTGGCGTGGCCAGCGGTCAGATCTCCAGCCAGGAATCCGCCACCGTGACCCCCACCGCCATCGCCCCCGGCGCGACTGGCACCGGTTCTGGATCCTCTGGATCCTCTGGCTCTGGTTCGGGTTCTAACGGAACCTTTACCTCGCCACCGCCTTCCAGCTCATCCATTCCCGCTAGCAGCGGCACCGGTCTGCAGTCTGGAGCCTTCGCAGCTGCGTTCGCGGCTATCATGGGTGCTATCTACGCCTTGTAAACGGCCCGTCTCGGTACATAACCCTTCGACTTTTATTTCTCTTTTTAAGGACAGGTTGTAATGATCGGCGTTACGAGGCGGCCGTTACCGGGTCTCCGCAAAGGTTCTAAGATGGCGAGAAAAGTCGCGTCTAGGCCACGGGAGAATATTCGGGATATAGACAAGGTCTTCTTTTCATGAATAAATAAAAATCCCTCCGACGTGGAAAGGAAAAAGGGATGGGTTTGGAATGGGACTGGACAAAGTGTTGCCGGATTGAGGATATGCACACATTAGATCTTGTAATGCTCTCGAGGCAAAAGCAGAAAAAGCTTGCCTGCCGTTGAATTCATGAGACATATTTTCCACCCTATCATTGGGATTTGCTAGTTACCTGTGACTTGATGATTATAGTCTCGAAGTTGAATGTTAAGTCAGTGTGAGGGAATTCTCCATTCCGGACGATGAGTATTAACTGAGTACCTAGTTATAGAGGCTTTGTGGTAGCATGTGCGCCTACCAATTGTTCATCCAATATGTTTAAGAATAGATACAATAGATTATAATTGGCACCCATACTAACCTAGACATATATCCATAATGAACATGAAATCATGCTCTTATACTTTTGGTTATTTCGGTTTGATCATTTGACTAGCACCTCTTTACACTACCATGCCTACCTACCTATGACTTGGATACGACGTCCTTAGCTACGAGCTTTTCATCCTATATATATGAAGAAAGAACTAAGAGAAGCGGCAAGCCTATCGAATCGACTTAAATCATCGATGATGAGATAAAGGTATAAATGAACAAGGGAATAGCTATGTTATATATAGTATCTGTTGTTTCTTATCCTGTGTCACCAAAGAGGTCATACATAACTTGGAGAACCATCTAGTGTAGTTGATTTGAGAAAAACCTTGACGGGTTGAAGAAGCATCGGTATATACTGAGGGCACTTAACACCAATTAGTTGAAGACAAGTACGGCACACTCTAAGATTTATTAGAAATATCCGTGCATTATCAGAAGACATGCGGATGTTGTGATATGCCTGCCCGGTACCTAGTATACTATGTAGACCTGTTGAACTTCTATTGAACCAAGTACCTAACTCGCAGAAAGACAGGGCTACACCATATGCCCAAAATTAAGACATATTTAACATTAACATCAAATAAGACTCACTAGAATCATCGTTTGGTCAACTTATCAACTAATCAGCTTCTAACAACCATCCATATAAGTGGTAACCCAAAGGGGAACTAGAAGGAGAAAGGGTGGAGACCAGACCTAGGTTGAAAATGGGTCTCGTGAAGCACGTCAACTTATACTCATCTAACGCCATCATTCTAAGCCAGCTTTCAGGTTCCCGAGACACGAGCACCCAATCGGCCATTTTATGTATTCCTCTTTCTTAGATCCATCGGGTACCTACATGCATTTAACTCCTAGAATAAAGTTATGGTTATGGGGCTCTCCACACTTGAGGCTCAACAACAATTACTACATATGTAAACGGCATCAGACGAATATTCAGTATAAGCATTTACCGAGCGGGATTTAACTTGATAACTAGGTAGTGACCACATAAGAAACAGAAATGTTTATTCTACAAACAAATGGAGAGTTTAAGTTTCCAAGTTTAACACCATTATATTATTATCTAGTTTAACGATTGTTCCGATATGCTAACTAACTCAACCATATAGACACGCTACTTCGCTGAACACCCGACATGCAGCAAATATGATATATAACGTAAACCATATTCTATCCGTGAGCTCGTCGGAGGATATCGTTGCATACCAAGCCCAACCCCGATTTGTTTTCCCAGACCTTTCCTTAAAACGCCGAGCCAATACGCATATAACGCCGAACTTGCAATGATCCATTTCCGCACTCATAAACAAGCGCATGAATGGGCCATAATTCATCGACTTTTCATGTGGGCGACCAACAAGCAAACAATTTATTGCTTGTAGGCGAATACCCAGCAGTACCATCGTCCATGGCTCCGCCTATTCGTTATCGTGTTCGTCATCGTTTACCTCCACAACTGTCACCAACCCACGCTGTCCCTTGGGGTCGAGTCCTGCCTCCTCCGGGGCGGCTTCATTCCGGTTTCGCTTGACGGAAAAGCACTGAAATGCGCCTATAATGGCAACAAGAGCACTTCCATACCAAGCAAGGCCAGTGCAATCAATTTGTGATCCGATCGAATAGAGATAGCCAGCGACAGGTGGAGCGATCATACGGCAAGCCGCACCAGCGCTGGCTGCAAGGCCGTTCACCTTCCCGAGAATAGACGAGCTAGGAGTAGCTTCCTTGATAAGTATAAGAAGGAGAGGATATATGATAATTGAGAAGATGTTCCGGATAGTCAAGCAAAAGTAGATCCCGGGGTATAGAAGGGAGTCCGGTAAGTGTACCAACGTTGGAACAATAACGTAGGCAATTGGGTGTAGGACAGCAACAAGGATGAAGAGTTTATAAACGCCAATCCTCTCGGCAGCTAGAGGGAATACAACGACCTGGATGAAGAGTGCAATGGCCCCGTTTATAGCCATGACAAACCCCACGGACTGCATCGAAAGACCTAAGCCACCAGGTGAGTATAAGGGGTTAAATTTTGACAGAAAACCCTCTTCCGGGAGGTGGTCTACTGGAACTCTCTCATCTTCAAAAAAGATTGGTAAAAGATGGTCATAAGTCATCGAATGATAAGTGAAAATCGAAAGCGCGATAACTAGGGCCATAATGCGCTTAGTGAAGATGTTGAAATTTCCCTTCTTCTCCGGCTCTTTTACACAGACCGAATCACGGTTCAATTCAATACTACCTCGGAAAGTTCCGTAGGTTTCGGAGCGCAGATCAACAGCTGGTTGCTTAATAGCGTCAGACGTTTCGATAAGAGGTGTTTCGTCGGAGACGTAAGTGTCATCGGGAAGCATAACTCGCGGTATCATGTCAGGATGCGTCTCTTCGAGCAGGAAGTACCCAAGGCCAATGCTAATCAGTAGAAGAGCAGCACAGCAAAGATTGGGAAGAAGATAGGGGTAATTAGCGAGTAGGGTGCCTTCTGGAAACGTGCTTGGCCAAGTCTCATGGGGATCTGCCAGCATTCCGCCAATTGCTGGACCAATTATGGTTCCGATGGACCAGACGAACGGCATCACGGAATAAGCGCGAGCTGCGACATTAGCATTGTGTTGTAATTCATGGGCGACACTTATGACTTTGACTTACGCTCATGCTCGGGTTTGCTGACCAATTCTCCAACCATTGTTTGGATCACACCGATATTTCCATTGAGAAGTCCGCCGAGTGCTCGGCCGATCAAGGCAACCCAGAGGTTAGTGGCAAAGCCGACCATAACCATGCTGAACATCGTGCCAATACATCCTACTAGAAGGACAGGTTTCCGACCAACTCTGTCAGACAGGCCACCCCAAAACATGCCCATCAAGGCCTCGGCGAGCGAGAATGAGGAAATCTAGATGATCAAGAATTAATATTCACTATCTTTTTTTGAAACTGTGACTGCTTGGACTGCGTTAAATCGATTATAAAAATTTGACATGTACGTACAAGGAGACCGGCGTAAAACGAGGCATCTTGCTCGTTGCCGATTTTGAAGCGTTTAACAAGGGCCCAGGCATAGGGGAAAATGGAAGTTAGAGCGATAGGCTCAGCAAGGCGGACGATAGCTAATAGAAAAAGCTGAACAGTTGGGAAGTCATCCGGGTTTCGGGGTAATCTCTGCTTTGTTAGGACCATTGCTTCACAACTTAGTATCGACCTTACGACTAGCTGACACAACACTTGGCGCTCGGTCTTAAGCTGATGATATGCTGGAGCGAGAGAGCAAGCGTCAAGTGTTATGACGGCAGGCAGCGCCTTTCCTTTCCTCCTGATATTTTTCTTCTTCTTCTTCTCTTCCCTCAAGAAGTTTGCTTCGCAGATTTTTTTTTCTTTTCTTTGTCTACGCCACTAGACGTACAGTAGACCGGTTATAAGTAGGCAGGGAGGGTTGTATTGGCGTAATAAGCGTATTGAGGAGTCTCGAATTCTCGTCTGGAGGCCGGTTCAGATATAATGAGCTGATGGGAGCAGAATATTATATGAAGGGAATCTGCATGTGCATCGACTGCATGAGGAAAAAGTGGTAGGGTAGGGATGGAAGAAGTTGAACAAGGAGGACCGCATCAGAGAATTATACCATGAATCGGAGGTGCTAGAGGAAAATGTGGAGATACGCTAGGAATGCTTGGGAGGACCTTCGGGTGTGGATCTACGTAACCTTATTCAGTTACTTAAGTCGTACCAACTTTGGTTGAGCAGTTGGTCGTGCTTGACCTACATACATGTCAAAGACTATGTAGTATGAGTATCAAGGGCAAGGGCAATGAGCTCCGAGCGCGAGTCTGAACTTTAGTCCTACCTGTACTACGCAGATATCACCATTGTCGGTTTCACCCACAACTCTAGGTACCAATTCGACTCCATCATCTGCTACCTAACTTTTGCGATCTCGATGTCCATTGAAAGTTTCACAACGATTATCCAGTATATATATGTAGTTCACCAATAATACGCAAATATTGAAATATACACCTTTACACGTTTCTTCTCATTTCTCACCTTCCACAATTCATCTCCACATGTCCAACAAAAATTTTGGTTTACGTCTTCCGTCTTCGCATGTGTCGGCAAGATGTCGATCTCACAGTCCATTATACAGTGAAAAATCAAGTGGTCCTTCCGAGTGATGGCCGAAGTGGTCAACATTCGGTAAATACATAACAGCGAGAGACAATTCTGGCGGTCTGAAGTGACAAGCTTTGCAGTGGCTTGCTTGCCCACCTAATTAGAGGTACCCAGCACTGCATGCATACAAGATTCAATCATTTTTGGTTATCACTTTCATGGACCGTTACTCCAGCCGCCTATGCACGGCCGTCACCATTTTGGTCCCCGCAGGCGTTGCTCTTACTATGTACTATGTACCTAGGTATATGCATACATCCTAGTGGATTCATTGGATTGAGCCCAGAACCTTACGATCTACAGCCAACAAGTGTGACCAATCGTTTAACACGGATCTTGGGCGACAGTGTGGGGTTGGTCGCTGTGCTATGTTGTACTTGCGGCATCGCTTTGAACTTTACTCAAGGTATACGACGTATCAACTTTCTCAATTTTTTCAGCCACTCCCTAATCGAGGCACTGGATAGACGCTAGTGGAGGGGCACGAACTAAATCTCTGTTAACCTCTGTTAGCCTATTAGTAGTTGTGGATCATCTCACTTTCTCCTGCAGCTATCTTTCTAGATTCTTCTTGAAAACCAAGTCTTAACTCTCTTAGTCTTCAACCTCTAATAACTCTTTTAATATCTCAGATAACGAGGACAGGAAGATTATGCAAAGTCACCAGGTCGGGTGGGCAGTTAGATCATCGGTTTCAAATCAAGATAATATTTCATAATTCTAAGCTAACTAAGAACTAATACGGCGATAGGTCATACAATAGACGTCCAGACTCATATGGTCATCCGGATGAACAAGGTCAGACAGACGTGGAGAAAGCGAAATGTTCATCTCCCTACACATCCGGCATGTCAGAAGGTCTCTGAAGCTACGACTAGCGAAAATAGCGAAAAACTCCCGCTGTGACGGGCCAATGCATGACACATATAAATCCTTCTCTCGCGTTGGGCGTTGGAACTTATGGGAATTACGTACGCTTTGTACGCTTTCACTAGCGCATGCCAGTATTATGCCAATCTCGGTCCAAATCCGCCACGACCGACACCGGAAATTCCTCACCTCTTCGGATCCGTACCTACACACTTTCTGCTAGATTGCCATAACTGTTCGCTTGATCAACAAACTCCATTTGCCGGATCACAACAGCACTGCCGATTCACCCTGAACACCGCATAATTGGGCCTAGTCCCCATCGCATTCAGCAACCATGAGATCCTGTCTGGCAGACCGTGCGGATTAGGTTAGCTTGGTAATTGTTCGATGCTTGATATCAAGCCGAAATATTACCAGTTCGTTTTATCCAGCTATCTCGCTGCAATGTTGGTAGGATTTTTACGAAGTAATTCCTTATCGTATACAGGTATCCACGCTCGCACCCTTGTACACAGGTATGGGTACTACGTACCTAATGCAATGCGATGCGATGCAGTTCCACCTTCCTGCCGAACCCCACAATACTATCGCATGGGGTTTCTTGCATGCGGCTAGCCCCATCAAGTTCCAGCGAACCTCCTTCAGTGGCCGTCCCGGGCCGGCTCTCCAGCTTAACTAGCGCGGTATAACGCGGTATGGCGCTTTTTGGGCGCTCTTTTCCCTATCGGATGTTAATGGTCAGAACGATAAGACGAAGCACCCTTACTTCGTCATAATGTAGCGCCTCAGCCCTGTTTCGCATACTCAAGTCTTTAGTGGGTGGTTGGCGTTACGCTGAGGAAAGAAATCTACCTCTTCCCGTTTGCGGGCAATACCTGCGGGATCATATAAAGCCATCCAAGCCATTCCCAGTCTCCCTTCCGACGTTTTCCATGTGTGATGCTAAATTTGATACAAATATGCAGATAACGCGTTTTGTATACACAATCAAGCAAGCAATCGGTATTCCTTACCATGGTAAGCCACTTGAGTATCTTCTTTCTGAAGATATAAAGCATGCATATTAAGGGTCCGGACAATATCCTATGATGCCTTGTGGAGGGACCACGACACGCCTCACTGTTCCTTGGCCGGTCACATCCAATTCTTATGACTACCCCCCGATAGCACGACGCAACCCTCCTCATTGCTGCATGTTTAGAGAACCGCCAATCGGTATGCAACCACGGTCCTTATCCGCGGACACAACATAGAATAAACCGCCGAATAAAAATCGGTATATCTTTCATACATATTACAGAACATTCTGTTCTGTGATAGAATAATGGATGGCTACCTTACACATCGAAAGCAAAGCCTAACGGTGGATAAAACGTTACCTCGATTACAAGGACATAATTAGGAAACTTTTTGCGAGTCATATCTTCTCTGATGTCATGTCTCGTCTGCTTTAGGCTGCTAGTTGCCTTGACGATTCTCAGTATCCCTGCCTTATCTATTCGTCGATGATACTCAGCCATCATAGGCACCTCCTCAGCCGCATGTAAATCCCGCATGGGTGTTACCTCGACGAGTGGACAGCTAGCGTGGTAGTAGCTGCGACTGGACTTGCCAAGAACAAGGCTTTAATATATCACATTGTATACCTAATTGGTGTCCAACCAATATCAGTCAATTCTATGAAGGAATGCTCATCATGGCAGACGTGAGCACGAAACCATACTCTTGACCCCTTTGTTGCCGCAATAAGCTATTGTAAGGGAGCATACTAATAGAGCCAAATTCCGTCTTCATGAGAACTATACCAGGTGTAGTGACATGTCTTACATCTGCTATGGGTGCAAACCAAAGAGGAATTGTGAAGTGGTTATCACTGTGGTCTACTCTCTTTGAGGAGCCTATATGTTCAAGATTCATCCTAAGAATCGACAGACCCAGCATTACATTCATAAATAAGATGTGTGTGATTACGAACTCATATGAACCAAGACGACATTTACCTATTTCTTAGGCGAATAAGCCTATGTCACTGCGGCATCTTGTGCGTATCTGGGCTCTCATATCGTACTCCATACATGTCAAAGTGAAATCGGGGATTATGCCGCCAGCCCCAGACTACAGCGTCTATACATCTTCCAAACGGCGCGTATTCGCGCCATTCGCCGATCGAAAAAGAAGTTCGCTTAAATAGCTTCTTAGTATAGTGTCTAGAAAGAGATGCTTAGATAAATGTCGCCATATTTAAACCCTAGTAGACATGTCCTGATATTTCTCAATTTCCACCTAAGGGCTCATCTAAGCTTATATACAATAGGTACCTAGTCTAGCTGTACGTAATAATATAGTAGTACCATCCCATTTTCTACTCTACTACCTCCCATTACACATTATCCTACCCCGGCATAATCCACTTCCTTTAGCTGATACTCTTAGGTATACTCGAGTTCAAAAGCTAGACACCCACCTCACGCACACCGCGAAGCCTCGAAGAACCTCTCCAGCTCGTCGAACGAGACGCCCAGGAGCTGCGACAGCCGGTTCCGCAGCTCGTCGACCGAGATCTCGGAGCGGTCCGGGCTCCGCGGCGTCTGCTCGTCCTTGGCCAGGCGGACGAAACTCGGTGCTACTGCTTTCTTCTTATAATAGTAGTCCTCCTTTTTCTCCCTAGTAATCTGCTTAGTACCGCCTTTACCCTTCTCCGTACTATATTCCCGTCTGACGACCGGTTTTTTCTTATTCCTGATGCTCATTTTGATGTTTACGTTGATGTTGGGTTTCCGCCGCGGCGGTTTGGGAAACATCTCTATTCGGGGAGAATCGGGGAAAGGAGAATCGGGTAGCACAGTCTCGTCTAATGTTGGCGTCACTGTTGTCACTGCTGTTCCGGTGTTAGTTATCTTAGTTGTGCTGGCCGCCGTTATAACGGGAGATGGTTGAAGCGGGGGCAGTGGCTTGGGCTCCTCGATCACGTCGTCGGTGGCTATGGGAAGGTCGAGGTCGGGACAGAGGTAGCCGTCGTACTGTGGTATGCGGAACCGTGCTCCGAGTGCCCTATTCCACATCCAGCCCTGGCCGGAGCAGTGGAAGTCCGGTATGGCGGCCGTTGCATGATGCCCATCAGCAGTGACCTGTGCGCACATCCCGAGGCCTTTGGCAGCTGGCTCAAGTGTCCGAGGTTGTATCAGATTCCCTAGCGTATCGCTTTGCGCCTCTAGCCAGCATTTGTCAGAGAACAGACGGGCTATGCTGTAAGCTGTTAATCCTTGCCCTTTAAAGAGGAAGATGAGACGTAGGGTCAGAACTTACTAGTTGACGGGTATCGAGTAGTGAGCGCGATGCTTAGGCCGTAAACGGTGCAAGTCCCAAGTAAGCATCTGTCTCCACGCCAGGCCTTCACGAAATTTTAACTTATTTTGAAGTTGGGCGAAGTCTTTGATAGGAACCGGTATCCAACCGCCGAAGATGGATGCGACGAAACTGTCGCCTAATTCCATTTGTAGATCGGCACCGTAGTACGGCTCATGTAAGTCAAATGTGAGAGCTCGACTGTCTTTCCAATAAACGGCGTGGCCGAGTCTGAAGCAGTTCTTAGCTTCAAATCCACTTTGAGGAATGAAAGGACGAAGAGAGAATACTTGCTTACTCATGTAACAACGTAATTGCCGCCATAAAAGACGTCAGCAGGTACTCCTCAGTATCTTCCTTTCCTAGACGTCTCAACTCCGCTAATTGCTTAGGGAACTCCGCCGTCACCAAAACCGTCTGATTTCGCCACCCATCCTCGCACCTGTTATCCCATTCTTGTATAGTCCCATACCTGTCGATCTCGTCAAGCGCCAGCCCGTCTCGCGGGTGACGGCACGTGTATCCGACCCATCCCTTTTCGCGGAACATATCATTGTCGAGCTGCCACGTCAGAGACCTTGCCATCGGACCTCTGAGCTGGTCTTCGGCGCTCTGTATCCACTCTCCCTTTACTTCCTCCTCAGCCCACGTCGCGCGGTGGTGCCGCAAGATAGACCGGGGCACGACTTCGCCGTCCCACCTGGGACCAGCGGCGGAGTGCGTGAAGCTACACCGGCAGCTCGGTCTCCGGCCGGGGTAATCCTCCGCGAAGACGTCGTGAGCGAGGAAGTCAGAGATCCAAGGTAGACCCGCAGCATCCAGCATCCGGCTCGCCAGCAATAGTGGTTGTTCCAACTCCTTGCGTAGCTCCGGGTCCACGTCTACCCAATTCGCAAAAACGGGGTGGATTTTCCCTTGCAGATTGAGATTGAGCGGCTCCGTAGTTCCTATAGCACCGCATTTTCGAAGTTCCTCTTTATCCCACCTCTTCGATGTCGAGCCCGGCTGTGACGACATGTAACCGTGCTGAGAGCCGCCGGTACTCTGGGGCGTCAACATTGTCGTCGTCTTCTATATGCGCGAGAGCATATATCAATCAAGCACCTAAATCCTAAACCCACCAATTTTTCTTAAAGAAAAGGAGAAAACATCCCACACTGAATTAAATAAATCCCCCATTTTGAAAACGTCTTTGAAAGAAGATCTGTCGTCAGTGAGTTCTCCTAAAAGAGCCCAACATTCCAGCCGAGGCAGTGAGGGAAGGGGGGGTGTTCTGGAATGGATGGCATGCTATGCCCCTTGATCTATTCAATCAATTGTCTATCCCTTCTTCTTTGTCTAACGCGACAAGAAGAACTACCTAACCTACATACCTCGAATGTAAAAATGCCCTTTCAATAAGCCATGACCGTCGGTGCATAGCCCTGGATAGCTCGACTCTCGCATACCTCGTATCTTGTGTCTCAACTCTCGTACTCCATCCTCCCATCCCCAACGACCTTCCAAAACTCTTCCACAACCTCCCTCTGCCCGCTCGGCGCGCCGCGCACCGCGAGGTACTTGCGCGAGTCGATCTTAGGCTCCCAATCGCCGGGGTTACCATTCACCATGATACCCCCGGCCTCATTCAGCACCGCCCACCCGGCGCACACGTCCCAAGCCCAGCAGCCGCCCTCCCAGTAAACATCGAGTTGGCCGGCCGCGACCGCGCACAGGTTCAGCGCGGCGCTGCCCAGGCTGCGAATAGAATGCACCATCGCGCCGCCGGTCTCCTTGCTCGCGCACAGCTTCTTAAAAACCCGCGTCTTGACCTCGTAATTGACGCCGTCCCTGCTGTTCCCCCACTCCGACGCGACGAGACACGTGTCCAGCGCGCCCAGCGGCGCCGGGTTCCTCGCCAGCGGCAGCTTGCTGACGCGACCCTTGCCCGCCTCGAGCCCCCACGCGGCGCCGAGCGTCAGGAACGCGCCGCGCCCGCGGATCGCCGTGTACAGCTTGTCCTGGTACGGGTTGTAGACGACGCCGACGGCGGGGACGCGGTCGACGGCGAGGCCGAGAGAGATGCACGCCTCGGGCAGGCCGTGCACGAAGTTGGTCGTGCCGTCGATCGGGTCCACGATGAAGGTCGGCGCCGCCGTCACCTGCATGCCCGGCTTGTACGTCTCCTCGCCGATGAAGGAGAAGGAGGGGTAGGCTTTGGTCAGCCGCGTTGACACGAGCGCTTCGACTGCTTTGTCGGTTTCGGTTACGATGTCCGCGGCTATACGCAGGTGGGTTCCCTCATTAGTTTGTGATGCGACGCGAGTGAAATGACTTCTATTTTCTCTCAAGGAGGCTATGGGCTATAGAGGGGCAATGGCGGGGCAATCGATCGTACAATTCAGCTTCGTTCCTGTAGCGATGTCCGTAGGGTTCGCGGACAGGATCATGCGGCCAGCCTCGCGGGCTACCGATATCAGGGTGTCTTGAATCTCTTGGAGGTTGAGGTCTGCCATTGTTCCGGTCTTATAACCTTTAGAGGGAGAACACTTGGTTGAAGTAAGGGAAGAGACATTTTGAAGCTTTGCAAACAGCTGTTAAGGTAAGGTGTAAGGGTTATTTAGGTGGGGTAACAATGGTCGATGGCGGGGATTGACGACATTCGATTTTGACTGCATGTGGGCGAGCAGGGGTATGTGATTGGCCAATGATACCTTCTCTATACTTTGATTGCACCTGCCTATACATGTGAACCTACTCAGATAACTCTTGAAACTTAAGTTTAAATAGTCATATACTCTTCGCTTATAGGAATATTAGAATTAGAGTGATATTAGTCTAAGAAATTTAGATATTTCTGAATAAGACTAGACCCCGGCACCCTACTAACTGCTGTGGGGCCCGACCGGCTCCGCTATTCTGACGTTTAGCGGTCGATTCGATTGCCGAGCTGAAGGAACATCCGTCCTCCGTCCAACTATTTTGAGATATATCATTATTTCAGGGGCAGTTGTACTATACCAAACAGACTACCATAGGGATAGATAGAAGCATAAGGGCAGTGACCTTCTCGTCTTCGTAAACACAGTCACATTCTCCGCCCGTACAGGCAGTACCCAAACCATGGCGACCACCAAACCACTTATCACCGTCCTCGGCTCCCTGAACATGGACCTAGTCTCCTACGTCCCGCACCACCCACTCCCGGGAGAAACCTTAACATCGACGCGCTTCAACGTATCCCCCGGCGGCAAAGGTGCCAACCAAGCCGTAGCCTGCGCCAAGCTATCCCGCTCGCAACCACCCTCCACCACCACAACCACTTCTTCATCCTCCACCCCTTCCTCCGCCGCCACCACGGACCCAACATCCACAGCCCAGATCCGCATGATCGGCGCCGTAGGCCAGGACACCTACGGCACGCAACTCCTCAGCAATCTCTCCTCACACGGCGTCGACGTATCCGGCGTTCTCGCCCCATCCGGCACCAAGACCGGGTTGGCCATAATCCTCGTCGACGAGCCGACGGGACAGAACCGGATCGTGCTCTCGCCGGAAGCCAACCACTCGCTCGAGGCCACGCAATTCAGCTCCCGCGCCTCCCTAGGCGCGCCCCTGCCCTCCCTTCTAATCATGCAGCTAGAGATCCCGCTGCCCACCGTCCTAGCCTCCCTGCGCTCCGCGCGCGAGGCTTCCGTCCCGGTACTCCTGAACCCGGCGCCCGCGCAGGAGCTGCCCGCTTCCGCGTACGAGGGTTTGGCGCACCTCGTCGTCAACGAGACCGAGGCCGCCATCCTAGGCGGGGTCTCCGAAGCCGACCTGGACGCGTCTCCCGGTCTCGAGGCCGTCGGGAAGACGTTCCTTGGGCGAGGCGTGCAGAACGTGATTATCACGCTCGGGGGCCGTGGCGTGTTCTACATGAGCGCTTCGGGCGCTAAGGGGCTCGTCCCGGCCGAGAAGGCCAAGGTAGTTGATACCACGGCGGCGGGGGACACGTTTGTAGGCATGTACGCGTTAGATGTCGTTTCTGGGAATTTCAACATAGAAGAAGCGGTGAAGAAGGCGAATCGCGCGGCGGCGAAGACGGTAGAGAGGTTGGGAGCGCAAGACTCGATACCTTGGCGGGATGAGTTATAATAAATTATATGTTGATGGGTTATTGGATATTGGGATCAAGAGCTAAATAAACAGGAGTAGGGAAAACAAGAGGGACTTCGGTTACTATAGAAGCGAAGCCCATCGAATACCCTTGTTAGATTATCTTAAGAAAAGTTCTGCCATTACTCCTGCTGTCTAAACCGGATTTTATGAATCTAGTTTCACTTCACTTAGCCATTTTACCTGACCTATTACCACCAACTCCCCAAACTCCAACGTCCTTCTCGCTTTCGTCCATCAAGATGCAATCCCCAACCCCCAGATGGGCTTGAAGAACTAGAAACGCTGTTCTCTTTACCTTCTGGCGTTGATCCGGCGACCGATGGCACTAAACTCTTCAAACTATCTGCACCTATAGACCTCCTATTACGCACCGCTGTCTCCCGTATCAGCTCCCGTTGCCGTTGGACCTCCGACTTGGACTCTGGCCGCGTTGATCCCGGCCGAGAGGTTGGGCCGGGATTTGGTGCATCGACGAACGTCGTAGCGGCAGGAAGTCGGTTGGCTTTGCTCACATGAAAAGCTGGGCGGTTACCTGAAGACGTCCTGCGTAGTTCCGTCCAGATTTTCCTGGCCGGGTCCGAGATTTTCTCCGGGGGCAACTGCCTGAGACTAGCCTGCCGTTGGGGTATAGGAGGAGCTCTTCCTGTTCGATCGGGCAATTTGATAGTGTCATCATTTCCGTCAATCTGGGAGACACCTGCGCCTGCCCATTTTGGTATCCTACAGGGATGAACCCGACTTGACACGATTCTGTGCATGACTTCGCTAGCCCGAGCCGGACCCCAATGGGAGGCAATTATAGCAAACAAGGGGTTAGACATGCGGGTCTGTCTGGGAGACCACGCAGAACATGGGTTATATCGCTTTATAGTCCCCGTAGCCGTCGTCTCTAGTCGAGTCTGGTAATTGGCAATCCCATCTTCAATGAGAGTGTTTCTGAACGCCGGGAAACCTGAGTGACAATAGTTAACTCGGATATGGATGTATTTTGTTTGGATATCCCCCAATTCAAGTTCAAGGTCAGCGATGAGATTGTCCGGATCACACTGGGATGTTCCAGGCTTTTGTGATTTTGAAGTTCCTGGCTCAATGCAAGCTAGTATAAGGTGGCTAGAACCAGGACTAATTGTCCTACATAAGTACTATCATAAGCATAAACCTTTTAGTATGATAAAGTAACATACCTTATTACAGTATCACCTATAAGGTCTATAACACTGCCTTCGGTCGCCGGTAGAATATCTACCTTTATGTTATATAGATATCCATACCTCGACAATCCGGTATCACTACGGTGAGTAGGTAGAAAAGGGGCTTGACCGGCGGTAGAATATGCGGAATCGTAAGTTGGGTTGCTAACACGGGGATGAAATAATTGACCAGAGATCTCAACAGCGGTCCAAATGCTCGACTGCCCATCATCTAGGGTTTTCAATTCAGGTGTGATTGAAACATGCGGAATAAGCATGTATGGATCAGGGGCGAGATCCGGTGTCCGGACATCTACTAAAGTGTTACCGCTACTGAAACGGTGCGTCGGGAACTCGTCAAAGGAAGGTGGTTCTATATATCCGGAATTTGACGATTGTTCCCATGAGGCGATTGTCATAGGCTCACTGGACAATTTAAATACCGAGTCGTCTGAAGAACCACTTAAAACTCGCGAGTCACTGCGATGAGTGGGCTTTGAAGTTCCCATACGAGTAGATAACGAACGTAGCTTCGTGAGAAATGTAGGGGAAAGCGAACGCCCAATCTGTAAGCTCGATGAGCGGCGACATACTGGAAGCTTTCTGGGTTTAGGGGTCACAGGATCCCAAGTATCGCTCGAGACTGTGAGTCTTTGGTCAATGGAAGTTAGGAACCCCTAATTAGAACCTGAGTAATTCACCTGAATTTCTAGTAACGTTTCGTGATTGTTCCTTGAAGCCATGACCAGAAACCGAGGTACCAACACTACTCTGACTCTTCTTTATATTTGCTCTTCTCTGTGATTTCCGGTTCTTCACGACCGTCAATGGCTGGTCAGGGCCACTTTCAACACTTTCGTTGCTGAATATCCTTGGACTCCTGAGTACCTGCATTGACTTTCCCTTCTTGATTACGCGCAACGGCGAAGGGATATCCGTGCTTGACGATTGGCGTTCTCGCATGGTGAACAGGTGGTGGAGGAGTAAGGGTTACACTCGACTCGTTCCTAACTTGGCCGATAAAAGTGCTCTCGATTGTTGTGAAGCTACCTCCTGCAGGATCTATGAGACTGACCTGAGTCTGTTGTAGTTTCCGGCGTCGTAATTTCGTACAAGCGCAGAGATTCGGAAGAAGATCAAACCCTTTCAGAATTGTCCCAGCGACAATCACAACTAAAGCAGTAGGAATAAAAGCAATGGCGCAGATAATACCGGGATGTAGAGGTTGTTCGGTCATATCCGATGCTCAAAGTCGATTCCGAGAATAAGGCGGGTATGGAAGTGGAAATCAAGTGAAAAGCATTGAACGGAAGAATGCAGATAAAACAAGATAACTCGTGTCTTGAAGCTGTATTATCAAAAGTAGTTGAGTGTGGTTAGGAGTAAGATTGAATTGTATATAGTATGGGTATCAAAAATCCATGATTAGAAAACTTCTTAAACTTCTTTTCGTGAGCGCATAAAAAGATGCACTTTCCTCCCTTTCCACCAGATATATATGTATACCTCCTATATGTGGGAAGGCTCAATCAAGATTCGTTGTCTAGGGTTCGTAGAAGGTTATCCTTGACAGCATCCACGTCATTGTCCTCCATACTTAGAAAGCGGATCTGTGTCAAAGTTAGTTGGCGTGTACCTGCTTGTTTAACCTGAGCTTCAGATGGTATAGACCCAAACTTACCACATCATCGGCTGCACCTACTCCACCAAACAAAACAGGCTCGGATAAACTAGCAGACACGGCCTTCTTAACTCTCTCCTCCCATACACCTTCCCAGTTCCACTCACCCGGCTTTCTTGCCGGATCGGGGGTCTTCTTCACTTCGGGGCTGGCGTCTATCGCATCAGCATCGCCGGAAGCTCCAGAAAACACTTTCCCATTGTCGATGCGATGTTGCCGCCAAGCATGCCAGGCACCGGGATTTCCAGCGGCCTCAATGGGGATAGAGTCCAAGACGTCCTCGTCATTAAAGGTGCTACGTATGTACCGCAGGACCTCGTATGTAGATATATCATTTCTCTTGGTTTCTGCGAATCCGGGTGACGCCCCGACGGCGGACCCTTTCGAGCCGGGAGTACCCGCACTGCTCATCGACGGAGGAGGGGGTCGGTGAGGCGTTTGTATACCATCTTGTGGCCCGCTCGATGGTCTACCACTACCGACAATTTGGCCCCGGCTTGACCGCCTAAACCAGCCGGGAAATCCATGCCTCAAGCTAAATCCTCCGGGTGGTAAGCGTTCGGCATCGGTGGCGCTCACTGTGCCGTTGTCTTGGACGTCGGTCGAGTACATATACGTGCTTAGAGGAGTAATTAGGGGGTGGAACATGTCGGTCGAGAAGGTGACTAATGGTGGTAGCCTTGGGTACGAATCGGGAAATGAGATCTGGAATCGCAGTACGGCGGGAGCATAAGGACCTTCACCAATCAATTAGAACATCCTTGAGCGCAACTATGCAGGCACCCGAGCTCTCACCATCCCGAACGAACAATACTCCGGACCAAAGACTAGGATCGCCGGGTGTAAGGCTTACAAAAACGCCTTCAGGACAAGCCTGCTTAAGTCCTGCGCTTCAAGTACAAGTTAGCTATCGCTGTAGATAGGTAGAGACAGTAGTTCTACACCGTAGCACGCACAACTCAACCAAAAGATGTTGTCTTCTCAACGCTGGTAGCGAACTCAATTTGGAGGCCATCTTGCCTCCTCGTACAAAATGGAAAAAGGAAAGGGGAGTTTCTTAAAGTAGAAGTGTAGCCAACGGTAGTTGAGACATTGGGTCCCTAGTCATTTCATGCGTTCCAAGGTTATCACCAGGGCAATTGGCAATTGGTTCAATGAGAATGCCATTAGCTTTTATCGATAAGATGCACATTCACGGCAACTTCCTTTACGTACTACTACTCCCAAGGTTGACCCAGTCAATGCCCCACCTACCGAGATAAGGACGGTGGGACGGTGGGGTAGATAGTCACTCTTAACATCGAAGCTGTAGTTTGCTGTGAGTTCATCTTGACATCCAGTTTACACTCACAGAACAATAAGGCATTAGAATGAGCATGTCAATTCCACACCCAACTATGTTCATCTTATAAAGCTTCTTCGAAAATGTAGACTTACTTTTGACTATACATAGTTAAAATCAATACAGATACTAGAAAGTTTATAACACTGATACTGCCTATTAGCCAGCTCAACTTCAGGCTTTAAAGGCTTCAGGTTCTTAAATTGACCATCCTCAGGTTAAGCAACAAGGAAAGCGACAATAACTCTTGGAATTTCTTGAGCTCGGCAAATCGGAAAATATTTAGGAAGATGTAGGTAGCCATCAAATATAAGACATACATTCATTTTGTATTCGAGATGTGTTAGTTATTTCTGTTACCATCAATCCATCTTGTAATTGGTACAACATGCTTCTATTTATTGCTATTACAAAGAAATCAATGATTATCACAACACTCAACACTGAAACAAACTTAAACTAGGTAGACTCGTATAGCAACCGCCATCTGACTTCGCTTACTCTGATAGAAAAGGTTAACATGTGATATGGATTGAAAAGAGGCTTCTGGAGCAAGGAGTCAAAGCAGTGTGATTTTGGGCCTTTAAAGTCGGTATTCGTGTATCTTAAACCTTTATCCATCTTACCTAAAGGGATTATAAAGCATCGTATATCCGGTGAAGGAGGATATGCGTCCCACACGTCTAACAGTTCAGTGACTATAGGCCCGATAAGATGTATAACAATATCTAGTTAGTAGTAGACCTAACTCCCATGTTTAGAGAGGAAATTTCTAGACACAGGCTCGGGCGATACCTAGGGAATAGGAAGTAGTCCTATAGCCCATAAAGATGACCTAAAAACAACTGTAACAACTTCGTAATAGCAAATAATAGGTAGGCGACTAAACTGGATATCTGTTACTCTAGAAACCAATCATTCGACAAGGCAAAAAAGGCAAAGGAGTGTATTCAAAAGTATCCCAAAGCCTCGGAACCGGTCCATCTCAATAGGGCTGCAAGAATGAAAAACCCCCTTCGTCGTCGGCTCAAGAACCTATGCCCTCCCTTCTACTAAGAGCCTCTTTTTCTCTTCCCCTCCCCGACTTTTGTCTTCTCCGTACATACATAGGTCGACGTAATTCATCATCAAAATAGGGGTATTTGAACTTTATCATACAAAATCAAGCTCTTGATAAACCATAGATAAAAGAACAAAAATAACTGCCTCGCGCATCCCGCAACTTGGGGTCTCGCCTAGGAAACAGATATTAGTCCATTCCTCATGGCCTCGTTTAAATATAAATCTGAGATAGTGGGTAGGAATAATCGTCCTAGATAACACCCTATACTCTCAAATTCGTCGTAGATCAAACCCGAGTCTGATGCTCTGTTTTGGTTTGCGTTTTTCTTTTTCGTTCCCATTATCCGCCACCTTGCTGTCCTCCAAAGAAGAATCCGTCAAAAAGGTCGACTTGCTGTCCGTCGCTAAAATCGTGATGCATCCCCTCCCAACCTAAACCGAAACCCATGTCCATCTGAAGGTCATTGTTAATAATACCATCGCCGTTCGGTTGTTCCTGAATACCCTGCAGGAAGTCCATGCCCTGTAAATCCGAATAGTTTATCCCACTAGGTGTGAAATTGCTCGCCGGTGACCTGATCAGATTGTAATTCGAGTTTCCGGTATTTTGGGAATACTGTTGCCCCTGGTTGGATTGTGGCGTCATACTATTGACAGATACAGGAGAGTTGGTGTGTGCCCCCGGAGAAGGAAGGAGAACGGGATCTATGGCTGAGTTATCCGGAAGCGATGCTGCATCAGATATGCTACCAGCGCTAAGGTTCGACTGTGGCATAGAGCGTAGCATCGAGTACCCATCTTGTTCTGTCTTAACGTTAGGCATAGAAAGGCGGAAACCGCCGGATTGCGCCCCTCCTTGTATAGAACCCATCTGCGACGGGGTCTCCATTGAATTGTAACTTTCCTGCCCCGGAGTAGTATACGACGACACAGTCCGAGACCCAGAGTGATGAGCCTTATGTCTGTTGGCCGTCGCATCTCTAGCATTGATATAATCGCCCCTTTCATTGTTTCTTGAAGAACGTTTGTTTCGGTGTAACACTTGTCCAAACCCGCCTGTAGAATTCGCCATCTTAATAGTTGCTTTCGCTGTTCGATCGAAAGCATCACGGCAGGCTTCTGCTGGTGGACACTTCTCAATGAGGTCCGTGAAAACCGAAGTAGCTGCTAGGATCGTGAAATCGACTTCGTCCATTGTCTGTAGCCGTATTAACCACACAGTTCAAATCTATGGATAAAAACTTACCAGTCGACTCCGAACTACGTGAGAATGCCAAATCGCATAAAGGTAGGATATTCCTGCCATGAAAAGATGGTGTGTGGCTAAATATGTGTAGTTGACGAGGCCAACTAGATGCAATTGCCTGTATAGACGTAAAATCTTCTGACCAGCTTCAGCAACTTTGACATATACCCTCTCTTCGTCTTCTCGAGACTCGGCGGCGTAAATAGACGGGCTATTAACTTCTTTCGAAGTATTATATTCGCCTTCAAACATGGCCGGTACGCTTAAGCTTTGTCGATAGAGCATAATAATAGCCTGCCAATAGTTCAGCTCCAGGAATTCAGGTGAAAATGCGACTCCCGAGTCCTGCTTCGTTGGCGCTGAGTTCTTCCACTCGTATAGTCGTTGGTCGATATTTCTCCGCCAGTTCCTAAAGGAATCAAATTTTTGCAAGAAAGGTGATGGAAGCTGAGTATGCATATACTCGTTCCTAGTATTCTGTCCATTGAACCTAGCCATCTGCGTTTGTTGATACTGCAAAACTTGCAAAATCTCAGATTGTAGCAGCCGCAGTCGAAAGTAATGCTTGGCTACAATCTTATACGTGGGCTCGCCCTCGGCTGGGCGACCCATAAAGCCGGCATGGGTGATATAACGGTCGTCTAACATGGAGGGAAATTCAGTCGTGATTACTTGATCTGACACGCCAAACGGTCGTCCAACACAAGTGCTAACAAGCCGATCAAACGAATAAGTGCACCACCAAAGTCGTCGTCTAAGGTCGCGAGTAAACTCCCGCCTCCCTCTTTCACGTAAGTAAGCTTCTCGTTTGTCACCTGTCTCGTCAACTTTAGACTTAGCCGTAAGATCAAACTCGACATCCTTCCCGTCTTCATAGTGAAGGCCCAAGTCGACTGCCAATCTCACGGCAACGCCGACAATATACCTGGTTTTGACGTTAATGTTTGGTAACTTGATACAGGAGCTCGTGGAGACGTTGACACGTACCATAGCCCCGGTGGGACTGGGCGAAGTAGAGCAAAATTTGCTAGGAGTAACACGGCCTGGAGCTCCTCTAATCCCCCGCCACTGTTGCTCAGGCAGGCTTCCAGATGAACGACGGCACTAGCGTGATACTCCTCGGGTTGAGCCTGCTTTCTCTCCTCGCCACCGGCTTTGGCAGAAGTCGTCTGTGCGTCCATAATAATACCACCTCCGATTGCATATACCATATTTAACACATAAAGTTCTTTTGGGCCTCGTACCCTACCTTCATCCGCATACGCACGATCGAACATCTGCATGAAGTCATCTCGATGGAGGACAGGTATTTGAGGATTGGCGTGTTCGAAATACAATTCTACCAATTTGATGGCCAGGTCCTTAGGAGGAAATTCGGCCGGTCTGATAGTGGGTCGCGTATGGAGGCCGAAGAATGAATCACGCATTGACGTGCTTGAGACGGCTGCGGCTCCGTTCCCGGCAATTGGTCTATACGGCCGGATACCGGTCTTATCAGAGCTCGACTTCTGGTCCCCGACAGAAGACTGGACAGCAGCGAATACCACGCGCGCAAATGATATTCCGTTAGCAGATCCGAGATGTCTCTGTCCGCCACCATGTCTCGCTATCTTAGCCGGCTTCTCCATCTCGTCACTGTTCTTTTGTGTTTTTGTGCCACCTGAAGTTTCCGCGATTCCAGTAGCGGTCGAGGGCGCGCCATCTGTGGTTGACCTTCCAAGCCCTCCATCAGCCCCAGGGCGCGAACAATATTCAAGGTTATCAGCAGGCGGGAATTGGATGTTGTTGCGACGAAGCAGGGCTTCCAATTGGTCGACACGGGTTTCCAGATAGTAAACATAACTAAGGTATGTATCAGCCACGCGACTACGTAGATCAACGATATTGGGTATACTTGATGGCAAACTGACCTGCGCGGTATCTCTCTTTTAGTTATAGGGTCGTAGCCAACGCAGGCTACCCTAGCCTTCTCACAGCTGGCACAACTGGGTAGCTTCTGGTCACATCTATTCTTGCGCAACCGACAGCGGTTACAAGCGCTGACATTGCGGAAGCTGCTAGACTGGCCGATTTTGGAGCCATGACCGGCGCCATCATGCGACGAGTGTTCGGTAGTGGGAGAGGCAGGGCCTCCATTCCCGGTTGACGAAGGCGAATCCTTATCCGGAGAGGAAGCACGTTGGCGTTTCGAAGGATGCGGGTCCGGAGACGGCGGTGAGCGCGGTGGCATGGCGCCGAGGTCCAGGTCCATCTGTAAGAAAAAATTGCCAGTCGCGGAAGCTGCCTGAATACCGACCGACTACGCACGACTACCCACAAGAGGCACAAATGGTTGGTGTTGGGTTGCGCCAACCAGGAGTAGTCTGCGGTGGTTCTGCGGCTGAGGTAAGCTGGATTCGGGCGGCTACTCGAAAGGACCAAACATTCCCCGCTCCATTTCTGAGCTCAACTGAGTGAAATGGGTAGCTAGCTAACAAGGCAATCAATGGAAAAACGCGAATGCAAGGGCGCCAAGGTATAGAGAGGACTAGGGTGTAAATGGTATGCAAATGTGGTAACTGCAGTATATTGAAGCTATGACGATGCGGATGTTGTCATTTCAACCAAGGCGTAAGCGTCAAGGGTTGCGAGGCTCGAGGAGGCTGAAATCTGAGATGGAAAAGTTGTAAAAAGGCAGATGGGAATTTCTAAAAAGCGCGGACTTCGGCGGCGGGAGGGACGGCGGAGACAGACAGGGTCGCTCCTCCTGCATGCAACTCTAGTAAGCTGTAACCGGATCTTTTGCTCCTGCTACTTAGGTAGATTATGGAGATTATGTAGATAGATGAGATTGCTCTAGCTGACGGGGTTATTCGGCGATTTAGACATCCACGGATATAGCCTACGACGTCACTACCAGTTTCCACGGTTGCAAGCTGATTTGCGCATAACTTGAACAAATACTTTCGAGCAATTGGAGTTCTATTGTTGGGGGTTATCTTTTATCTCTTGAGGTTTTACTGATAAGCCACCTGCGCTGCCTGGGCTAGCTGCGGCGGATACACTAGATTCAAGGTTCCGAGACACTAACGAACTAACGAAATCCCATTTCACTTTCCAACTGTTAGGATGCAGAGATCCGTGGAGAATTAGCAAGTCGAGCTTGCCCTTATTTAGGGGACCTCTACAACATCGAAGGTAACAATGTAACAAACCCCCACAGAACCCACTTCTGTTCCACACGCCCGCCTCGTTACAACTTCCAGAAGCGAGCTAGGTTAATCCTTCGTCCAATCAATTACCCCGAAAGACTTGCTAAATCATTTTTTAAACCGAGCTCCTAACGTCCGCTGTTGTCCGGGTACTTGGCGTATAGCTTTAGTACATAAAGGTGGGTCTGATGCACTCGGCAGCTTAAATCTCAGTATCGGATATTCATTTAATAGAGGTTGAGATCTACGTCAAAAGCCACGTCCATCCCCGCATTCGACTTATGCATGTTAGTACCTGGAAGTTAAACTATTATTGATGTTACGTCTCTTTTCTATTGCTATGGCCGATGCTAATTTGTGCTCTCAATACGAAAGCTCGGCATGGTCGGGATGAGTCGACTTGCCTAGGTAGACTTTGACATTCTTACCTACCTAGGTGGGTAGTGAACTTCTTTATTCTCTGATGTATTAATAGAAGTTGACGACAGCGATGTCTCAGTTGAGATACTATGTACTAGGTACAGTCCAAATTTGACGTACCTAACTTAGTACGTACATAGTACGTACATAGTACGTACAGATATCTACGGATATATAACATCATTCCTCACATTAGGGGATATAACAGGTCTCATCAGGGTATGAGTACCGTTTATGTGATATGTTTCACGGCATGAACTCTCGAAAGTGTAGGTAGCACTATGGAATGACTATCAGCCCATCTCTTGATATCCATATTCAATTGCGGTAATAGACACGAATTTTTCGTCGCGGCTTCGTTCCATTTTAATGATCGGGAACTACCAAATTTTTACTTAGAGATGCTCGATTTCCTCCAATCACGAGAATTGGATATATTGAGTGTGGTTACTTACCTACATATACGAGCAGTCTTCTTGCCTCCGTCAGTTAACCTAGGTACCTACACGTAGCAGGCAGGTATAACCTTGTTCATATGTCTACATAGTAAGTACCTAGTGAGTTATAGTTGGTCTTTCCCTGTATACCTAGTCACTGACCTATAACCTGGTATAACTTAGCTATAGGTTCTTTCCATATAATATCCCCGGTTATTTAAGAGAAGGGGATACAGAGACCGCCTTTTGAAATATAAAGTATCCTAAATGTTTAATTGCAAAGTGGAGAATCAAGCCATCAAGGATCTTCAACCTTTCAACTTGTCAAAAGAATACTTCATACCTCCATCTTATCTGTGCCTAGGACTCTTCATGAACTATACGTACGCTCTCCGAAAACCACCACGGCACTCTTGGGAAGATAACGGACCGGAGTAATGCCATATACCTATAGTAGCGCTCATGTTCCGATTGTACAGTTCCCACCGATATGTCATATGATTTCTGCATCTAATTCAATTCGTAGACGCCGGCCTCCTCAATCCCAAAATCGCAACCAATCATGCGGACATTCTACCCATCAAAAACGCACGATTCGACGGGCTTTGACCGATGAGCAGAGACAGTATCTAATAGATTCCTAGAACGACCTTGTCGATAATGTCCCGGACGAAGATGCTACAGCTGATGACGTTCGAACGTGGCTGTTCATGGTCCTTCATCGCCGGTCTCATCCGGATCCCGAACGTATCAGTATGTGGCATCAAGAGTTCCATCTCTCGAAGAAATGAGAACTTCATAGTCGAGCTGAATTAGTTCGATGTTGTTTCTCCCAAGGCATAACCGAAACTCAAGGATTTCCCTCTAAGAAAGCGTCTATTCATTTATTTACTAACTCATATTATTGAAGTGGACAAACTCAACTGGTCGGGGCGAGACCTACATCATGCCTCGCATTTCGCCACAAAACGGCGACTCCGGGATGAAGCTGATGGGTCAAACATTGCTCATGACGTACACGACGCTGCCAAGGTGAGTCCGGTTGGGTATGAATTGGAAGCCCCCGACTAACTTCGAACTTCAGCAATGGCGTCGAAAGGAGAAATTACGACGAAAGGCTCTCAAATCCCGGAGGCTACGTTAGTAAACGAGGGTTAGGGCTTCACGGTCGAGTAAGGGACATATCCGAGCATCAAGACCCCAAAGTACGAGGCGGGATATCGTTCCGGTTGACCGCTAGGTCGGGCACGCTTGCCTAGGAGCCAAGTCTAGACATCGAATTCACAAATCCCTACTTCAGATTGGCCTGAATAGCATTCCCCTATTTGCACGCTTATACACTCATTCTTCATCGACTACAGGGTTCAATTGCCACAGCCAGGAATAAAAACGCCTCGTGATTCCTGAATCCACATACTAGATAAACAACCTAGCAAGTTTTCATCCCACTTTCACCGCAATTTATTCTCCGCATAGGCCAGTTTTATAGACCGCCAAAGAGGTCTGGCCCTTTCTCCAAGGATGTCCACGTAATCCGTCTGGCTATTCACTGCCTGCGAGAAGGTAACGTATGGCTTCTGAGTGTGTGTACGCTAGGTAGCATCATGGATCTTAAATATGCAGGGAGGTCGATCAACTGTTGTTACGTTGGGGGAGGGTCTAAGCCTTACAAGGCCTGCAAGGCTCAACTGGTTGATATACCTGGATCTCCTTACATACCTTGCCAGTTAGTCGCGGTAGTCGCTCTAGGTAGATGAGCTATTGGATATCGTGTCACCTAGGTATGCGACTTCCTGCGAATTAACTGCCGATGCTACGTCATATAAGGCTCCGTCGGATGGCTGGTGTTTGAAATGATACCTATCTAGGTAAAAGTGAAGCTGTTGGGCTCCTATAGAGATATAGGGCGTGATAGCTATCCCATAATCCGAGCCTATTCATGTGGCCGTCGGTCCTCGTATAGCTTCATTATGAGCTTTTACGATATTCGGTCTACATATACTACACAACTTCTTGGTATATGGATGGTTTGATGGCTGATCTATACGATATGCTCTTGTAATATTGATCGACCGTCGCTCTAGACAACAGTAGTACCAACTGCTACGATTATACGAGACGGCAAGATCCCTAGTTGTGTGAACATGTGTTGGGGAAGCACAACAGACGAGAACCTTAAGTATAAATATGTGCCAGAGATATTGAATTTGATTAAGTTGAATGACCGGTTTCGTCTGTTCGACTCCTCTTCTCCAAAACCCATCTATCCTAAACGCCTTCGTGTATCGTTTGACCCTTAAAATGACAGATCCGTGAAGTACCCAACGTAATGATAACAGTGCTCGCTAAATAGATAATACTAATACTAATAATAGTGACAAAAAACATCTTGCTAATAACGCCTTGATCCCCCGTGTTGAAAATGATGCCGGACAAGGTATAACAATAACTGTTCCAGCTACTTTTTCCGAGCCTGTCCGCCCCCTTTTCCATGCCCAAATTCAACTTTGTCTTTCCTAGTACACGATGTTGTTTCTTCGTCTTGGAAAAAGAAAGATGGTGACTCCTAGCCCAAGTGTGATTCCCGAAAACCGTTTTTCGTTTTGGTGCCATTGTACATTGGTATCGCAGTAATTCCCTTCCTCGGAAACAGAGATGAAATCTAGTTGCCCAACCCAGTCTATGTTAAATAGTAAGTAGTAGAAATTATCCTTTTCCCCAACCAGAGATGTAGACGACCAGGCTAAGACAGTTCGAAATATGAGATGAGAGACGAGAAAGATCGGTCGCCAAGAAAAGGAACAAGTCATTAAACGTCGTAACCCAAATGTTCCAAGCTCCCTGTTATACCTGGAATCCCACCGAGAATGAAATGATAGCCTTGGAATAGGCCAAGAATTGGCTCCAATTCCAGTCCATGATCATGATCCAGATGAAACTGCTCGCTCAGCGACCTGGGTATCTTCGGGTTGACCATTTTCTGTGTTGCTAGCGGGTGTCGGTTTGTCGGCACGACTTGGTAATTCTTGAATTTGGAGTCCCACGATTGCTCCACCAATGGCTACGAAAGCACTGCACCACCACGCCAATCCCGAGTAGCCTGTCTTTAAACCAATAGCGTAGAGAATCCCGGAAATCGTTGGGCCGAACGCACGGCATAAGCTCGCTGTCGATGCTGCCACGCCGTTGATGGTGCCGAGGGCTAAGTGGCTGGGTGCTGAATCTGCGGTTAAGATAGCGTTGCTCGGATATGCCATGCTCGCAAATGTGCATTTCCAAACCAACACCATTCCAACTCCTATCATGCGGTATTTCTCGGGCAAGAGCACCAGATATGGCGTAATTAGGTAGAGTGAAAAGTAGGCGAGAACTAGAAAGCGGAATAGACGGCGGGCCCCAAAGTGTTTCAAAACTGGCGGGATGATGAACATGTTGACAACCAACTGATAAGCTCCTTGGGCGCTTAGAACGATACCGACTGTTTTACTGTCGAGACCGAAGCCATCAACAAACTTGAAAGGTAGCTTAACGGGCATGGGATGATCTGGCGGAGCAGTGCTCAAGAATACCGGGAATAGTTGATCAAAAGTCATCGTGTGACTTTGAGGTCAGGTTAGTCGGGTTTGAGTTCTTGGCTCAGTAGCGGGGAAACCTACAAGGCTAAGATTCCGAACGAGATAATGTTCAGGACTACTGGTCGAGTGAAAATTTTGGACATTCCAAGGTTCAAGTCTCCACGTCCACTTTCGAGTTCGAGCGAGTCCCATGAAATTGAAGGAACAGAGGCGGACCTAAGGCGTGGTGAGTTTTCAGGCGAGTTTTCGTTCGTCTGATAACCGGGCAACTGCTCATCGTGATCCAGGAGCGGCTGGGCTTCCATCTCGGCCATCTTCGACTTCTCATCTCTCGGCTCGGCGCAATTCCGAAATACCGGTAAGCACGAAATAATCCAATTTCCAAGCGCTAGTCCGCGATCCGGCTTTAATTTCTTCTCGGCGTGGGTTTCCTCGAGAAATAAGATTCCGTTGATAACTCCAATGAGTACGATGAAAGCGCTGAAGAGATTGGGAAGCAGATAAGGATATCTATCCCAAATAGTTCCAGGCGGGAACAGACTCGGATAACTGATACATGGCCTAGCGAGCGCGCCGCCGATCATTGGACCGATGATCGATCCAAGGCACCACACGACGGGCATTATGGTATAAGCTCGAGCTGTTAAAATTAGCTATCCGGCTCGGAGCACCCAATGGCCATGACCAACTCACGCTGATGCTCCTTGGAGGTCACCAATTCGGCCACGGTTGTCTGAAGTACGCCCATATTTCTGGCTTGGCGTTAGTAGATAGCTTCAAAAGTGATCAGAATTGGTGCCGTACCCGTTCAGAAGTCCTCCAACGGCTCGAGCAATGAGAGCAACTGTCAGGTTAGGGGCGAAACCGAATATCAAGACGCTAATCGCGGTACCGATGAGACCCGTGAGTAAGACCGGCTTCCTTCCAATTTTGTCACTTAGACGTCCCCATAAAAGACCCGTCGAGAATTCAGCAAAGGTGAAGGCTGATGTGACCATGCCGGCGTAAAATGAGATTCTACTCTTATCTTCGGTGATGTGAAAGTCCTCGATCATAAAGTAGATGTACGGAAATATGCCCATGAAAGCAATTGGCTCGCATATTCGACAGATTGCTAGTTGGCGGCGTATCAGCGTGAGCTCCACCGTGAAATATCCTTACCTAACTACGAGGATGGCCGTTATTCTTGTCATACCTAGGACTAGCATTTGCCGTCTCGGGAACGGCGGTACGGTGCTATTACGCTCACTCGTCGAAGGACGGTTGTCCCTCGAAAATAAGATACTCCTCATGGTTGTGGTAGTGAGTTCCGCCGAGCCCCGCGCTACATGAAAGGCCCGATGGAGCGGGAAGCGGGAAGAGAGTACGATGGCGGAGGCTTAGATAGTTGCGATCCAGGGATCTCTGATTTGGGACTAAGCAATGACTTGGAAGATTCCCTTGAAGTCTTAAGTTGGAGGAACTTTTCAGGTATCTGGGGCCTGGGTGTAGAGGGACCCTCGATGGCTTTTATGAATCAGGTAATGTCAGGGTCTGGGTCAGGGTTAAGGGCGAGAGTCAGGGTGACTAGCAGGAGTGACTTGTCAACCTGGTACGGTTGAGTTGTTATGGTCGACAAAGGCTGTGTGTAAGATAAGCTGCAGAAGGAAAGCAAAGGTGAATAATCAGCTTGGCATGCCGGGAGGAGAGGAAAGACAGCTGATAGAAGTAGACTAGAAACAATGCAACGACTGGTGGACGTATCCATGGCGGAAGACGGATATTAAGTCATTTAATATTGGAACCAGCGGTGACAGATGTTAGGGCGAAAAGCAAAGTGCCAGTGCAAGTGCGAGTGCAAGTACAAGTGCAATAGATGATCCTTCCAGCGGTGCCAGGTGTAACGCGGCGATGGTCTCACAAGGTATGGAGTCCCAACTTCGTGGAAACAGCTCTCGTAGAAGCCCAGAAGTGGACTGCCCCCCCGGTGGATCCCTCATCCCATGCTCGAGAGCGGTACGGGGTATACGATGACATGTACCTGCGAATGAGAAAAGTCGGGACTTGGCTCCAGCGCAGGAGCCTTACGAGTTGCATACATGATGTAGAGAGGAAAGTGGAAGTGCAGCCCGCTGCCCGACTCGAATGACCACGCGGGTAGCGGGAAACGTATATTTTTTTTGAGACTAGGATGACAAGGAAGAGGGAAGCACCAAGCATCCATAACCATACCTGCCTACCCAGCAATACCAGCATACCCAGCATAGCACATCGCACTTGCACATTACGCATCGAAGGGTTGATGACAAGTACCAAGTACACGACGGATCCCTACTAGCTCCTTTTACTACCCTACTCCGGCACATTGCTCTCTGACAGGTGCATACAAGGGTTAAAAAAGTAGGTAGGGTACTATGTAAGGTTAGGGTAAGGTTAGGGAAGGTACATTGGCAGTAGAAAGCCGCTCCAGAGCTCCCGGTATCCGCCAACTTTGCTACATAGTAGCAGGTACTATGTATGGTGTCTGTAGAAGCAAAGAATAAAAGGGCTGTGAACCTTTCCTTCTTGGGTTTAAGCCGTTCAATAATAAGCTAATAAGCTAATAAAGCTAATAAAGCTGGCCGGTTATGAGCGTCGACCTCATTGGCAATTTCACCACACACCAAAAAAAACTGAACGGTGGAGCCTGCCGAGGATCTGAGCGAATGGGCCTGACACGACACTTTTTAGTTTTAGGAGAGATGGAATGTAGTGATGTTGCTTAAGCACCTGGCAGTCTGCGTCCAAGCAGCGGTGAAGGATAAGTTGGAACCCACAGCCTTTTTTTATTATTATTTTATTTTTCCCCTGGGCTGGTTCGTGAGCGAGGCTAAAGAAGGTAATCGGAGAGTAAAAAAATAGACGACCCCCAACAATGGGTGACCAGAAGTAAGTGGGATTGGACAACGGAAATAGCATACAACTGGGGTATTTTGAGATGAACCGAATGGCCGGTACGGGGGACTTGACAGAAAAGCGTTTACCATCCAAGGAATGACGCAGATTGTGCAGAGAGCCTTCAGCCCAGCTCGCCAAGCCTCGTTTTTTTAATGTAGGTAGGTTATGTAGGTATGTATGGACCTTGGTTCTTGGAACCGACGATAACCCGTCTGCCCGTTTTGCCCGTCCCGCAGCCACGAGAGCCACGAGAGCCACGAGATTTTTTAAAGATTTCATTTCTATATGTGCGGGCGTGTGACATGCGGACGCAACAGAGCTGCAACCCACGAAGTCGGAATGCAGTCCCCGTCTCTTTCATATCATGCGCAATGCTGTGTCACGACGGTAGTCAGCGCAGCGGAATTGCCGCGCTTGGTACGTTTCGTCGGTGCTGCTGCCCGTTTTGAAACTTTGCTTCAATCAACATCATCACGTCGGCTCTGCATATCCGTCACCGTTGTAGATTGTATGTGACCCGTCCAGCTTAACGGCGGGGAGCGAGGTTATGCCGCCATGTAGGTAGAATATTATGTTTGTGACCGCTTCAAACGTCATAGAACCCGAAAAATCTATCTCACCCGCGCTGGAGCCGGCCTCTTTATGATATGGGCTGTCTATCTCGGGATGAGAATGAGGCGAGTTTGGTTAGTAGAAACTGCTTTGGGGTAACGATGTCGTTATCTGACGATGGCAATTCTTACCGTAGGTAGGCAATGCAACACAGTGTACGACGCTTTATCCTTGTTGCAATAACCTTGTATCTGGGTACGTGCGGTAATCGTTTTTTCTTCTTCGAAATCTAATATCAAAGATCAGCAACTTTGGTACCGGGCTCTGCCGCCGATCAAATTGATGTACAGGTGTATCTGGTATATGCAACTTCTTCACCTTGGGCGGTGGCTTCGATCTTGGCTGCTCCCCCTTTCCAACTGGTCGGATTTCCGTCCCACATCCTACCGGTACTCGATATCAAATCTATCAGTTTGTTTACGACTTGAAGCTAGCTACGGAAAAAAAAGTCACATGTATATTCCCGATCCCCGATACCTTCCGGGCTAGCTATAGAATTGCCGTTCAATACAGAGGTGGGGATTGTTGTCTTGTCAGCTGAGCGCATCGTACACGTAGCTTGACGATCCGAAAAGAGCCTTTGCAAGTTTCGTACAATCTCACCGTCGAAGACCCCACAGTTGACTTCTTTCCGATGGGGGTTAGCCAAGTTTTTTTTTTTCTTTCCTTCTTTTCTTCCCCCAAAGCCTAGAGCAGGCTATGGAACATATCCGTAACGTTCTAGAAGAGCGGTGTTAGGCCGGTCCCTGTCAGACCATGTGGCAAATGAAATTTCATAATATTGTGTGCGTGCTCATATAAGGGGGTCCCTATGATTCCGGGTGGGATGAGGGGTACATTGGTGCAGTGGTGCAATACAAAGCGAGATGAAGATGACATCTTTTTCTTTTTCTTTCCTCCCTTTTTCGAACTTAGGGTAAGGGAAGCCTAGGCATCTTGTCTGATAGTAGGGGTCTAAGAGTTCCGCGGCGTATGAAGCCGGCGTACCGGATGAGATCCGGTGAGCCACCACCTGAGCACGAAACATGCGCGGCTGCGGAGAAGCCGAGAATATTCGAGGAATATCTATTACCTAGCAGCCTACTAGGTAGCCAGCTAATAGCCGTTTTGGTTTTTTAGCCTTAGCGAGAGGTATTCGCAATAAATGCGAGATCGCCTGTTTTGAAATTAGATAGGACGCGTCCTTTTCGTGTGTTGAGACAGCGCACATGGCAATGGGCTGTAATATTTCTAGGCTCTAGCTGGGTTCAAGCTAGGTACCTGCTGCATAGTAGGTAGGCTCTGCAAGGCTCTGCGCAGGGATATTCAATCGCTCACAAATAACAGAGATTCGGGTTTTCGCCCTGTTAAAAAGCGCACGGCTATCATGATCATCCAATATCGGGGATACCATATGGCGTAGTTTCATGTGCAAGGATAACCCTTGCTTGACAAGCCCGACCCAACCATTTGGCGCCTTGATATTGAGTACCGGAAGCTTGCCGTTTAGGAAAAGTGCAATTCCTGTTCGCCCTGAACGCCAAGCCACAAGTGTATTATAGTATATACTTCGCTAGTAACTCCTTATAATATTCTTTCCCCCCCTATCCTTCGCTATTTCTCTTAGGGTCCAGGTAGATCTGATTTTATCGTTCCAGGAATTGTTCTCGTCTGGAAAAGGGGGGGATAGACGCGCATGCAGAAACGATCATATGATCTAGTTATATGTCCCGAAACAAGATCGATATCGATGTTGTATTGTTAGGATCATCGACCCAGCATAACTTTAATCAAATTCAAGAAGGAGGCTGAAAAAAAAGTTCCTAAGTCTGAACAAATCGAGAGTAGCTAAATCATGCATGAATCAGTGGACACCCGCGATCAGACTGATAACGGAAGGCTAGATTTAGATATTCTGCATACATGTGGAACATGCAATGTCGTGCAGCGGAGGTCCACGTTTGATGAGGCACGTCAACATCGTACACAACCTACTTGTTCCGGTCATCTGGATGCGTGTGAAAGGATGGGAATCTTTCTGTTCAGTTTATCTTTCCCATGACATCCGTATTGTGGCAGAGCCTGCTGCGTTGTCTCCAGTGGCCAAAGGGCTGTCGGGTCCCGGGGACCGCATTACGTCAATAGCTCACCGCCCCTTTTGGTTCGACATTGGACTTGATGATAAAATTCTGCGGCGGTGCCCGATCAGAAACTTGCACGTATCAGCTGGTTGGATCAGAAGATGTCGAGTGCCGTGAAACTTCGCTGATCATTATCGATTCCGTGCTCTCTCCCTTGGCAAGCTGGCCCTCGAATTGTTTGTCGGCATAGGCGGCGCTTAACGCGAAGTCTTGCAAATGAGTTGGTCGTTAGGCCAGGGGCAAGATAATTAGGGCAGGAGGAGCAATTTTGACCACTTGCGAGTACAACAAGTGTACATGCGCGGTTCGGTCGGGGAAGGCCTTCGCTAAGTTCGACTGGAAGCTGCTTCAATCTCCTCCGGAACAGGCAGAGTCCCGAATGGCCGCAGCTTTCTCCACTACCCACCTTTCCCCCTTCTTTAGCGCCTTGCAGCAGCAGCCTCGTGGGACAAGGGGTAACCTAGGCAAGCTGCTTGGTAACTTAGCTGGTGTTTAGCTAGTGTGATTGTGATTTGATAGAGCTAGGTTTTAGCTGCCAGACCGTTTTATGCCAGAACGATATCCCGTGTTCTATATAATAGTAGTATCCTTTTGCTTCTTAGCCGTGATAGGCTGGCGAAGGTGTAACCGAGTCTGCATAATACCACATACATAGGCTTTTGGCCAGGATGTCTCAGGGTCTATTATTGGAAAAAAAACAGGGACATATACCTAAGGTAGCTAAGTATCATGTATGTATGTATGAATAGCAAGAGGAGTTCGCTGTCGGCGGTGAGACATTGCTTCGGTAGTAGAGTTGACGACAGCCGGGTCTCGACTCGGCTCCACAGCCTAAACCCGCATGCACTGTCTAATGCAGTTGAAGTCACTAGAGAAAAAAAGGAAAAGAGAAAAAAGGGAAGAAAAAAGAGAGGGACCGTTTCTAGGAATCCAGACAGTCCGGAATATGCGGGCAATGCGGGATAATCGGGAATCCAGATCATAGGGCAACTATGCAGCAAATGTACGGGGTCGAATATAAACGCCAAATCGGCCAACGATGAATCGGATGTTGAGCCTATAGACCTGACGAGATACGGACTGCGCCGGTGGTGGAACCGATTGGAGCCCACTAACGGGGGATAGGGCGGAAGATAACAAGGTGGCCTGTCGGAACCCTCGTTATGATGTGATGTCGACTTCAAAGTTGCAGAGCCTTATTCCCCGACTTCGTTGTTCTAGCCAGCTTGGCGCGCGGTCGTCGATATCCGGCATTACCATCGTACATATATGATATTAATGGGGTCTCTAAGAATGACATCAGAGCCTTGGAACCATGGTAAGTCTGAAACAAGAGTCAAATATGATTCGGTAATTATTACAGGCACATAGTTGAAGAGCGTACGTCGTATGTTGTGTAGGTTAAATTAGGGGTGCCGGATGTAAAAAGACAATTGAAGAATTAACAATGCGCCAAAAGTCGATAAAGTTCAAAAGTTAAAGTATGTAGTAAGTACTTCCTACATACAATTCGAAACTTGACAGCCGATTGATACGGCGTGCAGATCGACCAAAATGCCACGTGGGGAAGTACCGATTGTGTGCACCCTCATGTAGGATACTTTAACTTAAACCTGTTCGAGCCTGGATGCGGGTGTAGGTAATTAAGTGCAGTTGCTGACCTAAGGATTGGCCGCATAGGGTCGCTTCCTCAATCTTCGTGGTTATGTAAGTGGCAACTTTAAAATCTAAAGTTTATGGGTATATCAAGACGTTCGACGTAACTTCCTTCCTGTTGAGATATATTGGATGCGACGTTGCCTATCTGTAAAATGTAAATCCAAAAGTCCTCCAGTATCTCCAATTGCTAATCGGAAGATGTCTAAAAACAAAACCTAACTTGAACAACCTACCTAGTCAACATCTCTAATGCTATCACCAACCAAGCCAACTTCTCAGCATCATCCGTTTGCCTACATGTACATATGTATATATCTCCTAGCTCCGTGACCTACTAGCTAAGTACGGCACGAAACATCATGACAGAAAAAAGCAAAATCAACCACTATTGTCCAAATTTGGTTGTAGTGCTGATTCGAGGTGTTCCCCACAAGGAATGCTATCGTCATATCATTCAGCCACAGCAAGCGTACATGGCATAGGTATATGCAGCAACCCGGCATACCAGGTTACAGGTTAGTTACCTGTTCACGCAGCGATTAATCGTATGTGTTTCCTTCAGGGTTTTACAGAATAGATCCAGATCCGGCATGTCTAATTGGTACGGAGCACAAGCCCGCGGCTACCACGGGATCGCTGGTCGCCAATCATGAGACTTAACTCCGGAAGAGCACTACTCACCGAAGTTGGGAGAGATGGCGGCCTCTATCTTTAGGGACACCAATGCGTATTGATGCAGCTTGCGTCAAAGTGTCGACCACAGATGGACAGGGAGTTTCATTTGCCCAACCTGTTTAGGCCTCGATTGCATGTAATCTGGCTTAACTACGTCAACCAGGTCGACCAAGCCCGCCCAGATCTTCGCTGAAATTCACCGCGTCTGATCGGCTTGCCATTTGAGAGATTGCATTCAAGGCATCTTGCTTGCTATACGCCATAGTTAGACAAATATGCGCGGTGCCTGGCCGCGATGCCCAGTTTGGCCCACGTATTGATGCTCTCCTTGGTTTATTCCGTTCCCGACATCCGGCTTATGTTGTGAATTCCGGGCGCTCCCGCTCGCTAGCTCCCGCTGCCGGGCGAGTCTCGAGCCTGAGAGGTACCTACCTACCTTAGCTACGAGGCTCTGTTTACAAGCTAGGTATGCCACTCCATTTAATTGTAATCCGCTAATTATCTACCTACCAAGGTATTTAGACACGAATACCTACAATAATAGGCAGCTTCGGCGAATGGCCTCGAATTGGATAACGCATCGTAGTCGACCGCTTTGTTGCGTACCCCTTTCGAATTGCATATCACCAAGGTCCTGTGGCACCCTGGCTTCATTATTCCCGGCAGGTTAATGTGTCGTTGTAAAGCCAAGGATATTGCTATTATTGTATGACTGACTCACCGGAATTGCTCTATGAATCATCCTACATCGGAGGCATGACGTGCGGTTGGGTATCTACGTTTCTTTTTTTCGATACCTGTCCTTCCCCGATTGTTCTGGTGAGGCACGGCGATCCAGGTGGTCAACCATCTAGTCAGCTTACCGCATACGACTCAATATTCCAACTATTCCAACTTCAACAATGACGCCCGGCTGTAACTAGCATGGTCACATGCCGCCTCTACTCGACAGCCATCGGATCGTAACCTTCCACAACACGGTTGGCACTGTCCGGTAGCCGCAATTTTAGCTTGAGCAGTCTAGCCTCGATCTTCAGATCGCCGACGACAACACGCTGCTTATTCCGTTGACCGGTCAAGTTATCCCAATGCTGGCGCTTATATTAATTGTGTTTTCTTTTCGACTGCAGGCCAAGATCCATTTAGAGGGCTGTATTACGCGACTAAAGAGACGGACGGCGTCGATGTCTTTGCATCATTCGCGCATCCTTGCAAGTGTTATCTACCTGCAGGCTGTTCAACTCTAGAGCCCGTCACGGTTGAGATTAGGGGAAGCGGTTGTGTCAACGAATATATCGCCTTGATGCCGCGACCCGAGGAAAGATTATTGGGCAACGGTGTATCGGGCCGGGACTTGAATCCGATCTACACACGTCCCGCCGTGCAGCTGCAGTGTGCGATATGCGAGGTCCATACTTGGTGACCAACCTCTTGTCCTATCCCAACTACCTACCTAGGTACACAAGGTTACACACGAAATTTGCGAACCATAATCGGCATCGACTATGATTTACTGATGGCGCAAATGGCATGTTCGTTTATCGGCACATACCATTTCATTATAATCCTTATTGAATTCTTTTTTGGGGGGTTAAGTTTGGTCAGGTAGTCAGACTACCTATTACAGCGAGTGACCTTTTTGGCTTAGAGATCCATATGCGCACCAGCATTCTCTTATCGAAATCTGCGCCTTCGAATTACACTACATGGTCCCCTTTCCCCGCAAGTCGCGCGCCGTATGTACCTGCGACATTTTTAGTTAGGCGCATGGTATCGGAGACCTCAGCGACAAGGCGCCGGGCTTCCGGGATTCGCACCCGCGTTACACGAGCGCCCCAATGTCTTGCCTTGGTTATCTTGTTGTCTTCAGTATATGGAAGATTTCCGCAGGGCATTGGAGAGGCGTCGGTTGTGCTTCGGCTGCATTGTTGATGTGATATGCTCCAAGCATCATGTGAGCAGTTCAAAGGATGGCGAAGAGGCTCTTAACAAGACTAAACAACTTGATTCCCGAGACAGGCTCAGCAATCCCGCTTAATCCGGGCTGTCTCCATTGTGGACATCGGCGAGGTGCCAAGGTAGATGGTAGATCCTTGGGCTTTGCCATAGCAGGTTGACCGCTTATAGCGATTTCGTCGAATCATCTCCCCTTCGTAACAGTCTGTTGGAAATAATTCAAAGATATGACGATTTGTTCTAGACCTTATTTGGATAGTACTAAAATAAGCGGTGCTGATGAACCAAATATACAGAGCTTTCGGGCATAGGCTGAACAGCCGAGGTCAAATATTGACTACTCTACTATCCGTAAAGGGAAAGCGAGGTACTCGAAAAGCGCCTAGTCGTCGCTAGATTAGTAATATTGGTCATCTTTTCGAGCAATTCAAAGCTCACCAAGCTTGGAGCCGTGCGTCGTTCACCGATTCACCGAAAAACTCGAAACGTGTTGAATTTGGACGATCCGAGAGCGAGGCACGGGCCGCCTTCTCCAACCCCCAAGGGTAAGTAAGCACCTTAACCAAGACTTGGGGCCACTACAACGTGAGTGAAAATTGCTACCAATGGATAGTGACTTTTTCGATCCGCCGATAAACGGCAAGGTGATTACGAGGTCTCCTTTTTCTCCCAGTCACAGTCACGGTCACGTTCTGATGAAAGTATAAAGCAATAGTTTTCGACCAAAGCAATCACCAAGCTTCAATGGGAAACCGGATAGAAGATCTTTATCAACAGCCTCGTCTTCCCGGTGACACTGCTCTTACTGGGTTACACAAAGAATTAGGTCTGCCAGTGCCGCCTGAGACCCCCTTGCAGCTGGGCAGCCACGCGCACCTCGTAACGAGAAAGCTAAGGTAATGCAGCAAGCCGCGACCAACGAGAGAGTCCGGTCACATATCATAATGTGAAACCACAATGCAAACTGAACCGGCCTGAGTTACATGAACCGAAGGGTCGGCAGAAACCCATAATATCATATTACCTAGCATCAGTGTAAAATCAGCTGAATGTCCTGTTGACGTTCGGCATCGTCTTGTCATAAATGACAGAAGCATGTCTTGCCGGTCTCCAGGAGGCCTCTTAGCCGTTCCCAACAAAAAGCCCGCGAACTGTCTGCATTAGCAAAGCTTGTCTTCCCGCGCCCACGCCCAATAACCCGAAGTCGCATGACCGGGGAAATAACGTGGGGCACTAGTGGGAGCCTTCACGACGTTGCGAATTGCTTTTTAAGCCTCTTAAGTAAGGGGGGTTGTTAGCCTCGAATCTGAGAATGTTAAGAGGGGAGACTAATTGCACGTCATCGGCCGGATAAGACGATTGTAGGCAGGGGTTCTCCTCAGACGATCGCCCAACAGCTGTTGAAGACATGCTCCATCACCTCGCGAATATCCTGTCTGGCATTCAATGTGTCCTGGCGCTTCTGCACCTCCTCGAGCACCTGGCTCGTAATCCTGGCATTTGTTGCAACTTTCTCCATGCGAAGAATCTGCGATTTGATCCACGCTCGCTCGTCTCCATCCTTCTCCTCGGATCCCCACATCAATAGCGGCCAGAGCATATTGACCGGTAACATGTCCTGGGAATCCCTATCGACGAGCAAGTTTGCCAGGTTGCGAATGGTATCGATCGACTCGATCGTCTCTTTTGTAAGAGGAAGCGATTTGTATGCAACCCTATGTAAATGAATCTTACTTGCATGGTAGTTGGACAAAAAGGTCCGAAACGCCCTGGAGATTGTGAGGGCAAGATTTGACGAGACGTGCGGTGCCACTAGGAGCCCGGCTGCTGCATAATCCATAAGCGGAGGTCGGGCTTCATATAATTGGCGGAGATCTTTTGAAATTTCAGCCGCAATACTCATCACCTCAGTCTCATCTTCCACCGTACCTCGGCGCCTGTGGAAGGGATCTAGATGTGCAATTCTTCCGCTAAAGCTCTGCACTTTCTGGAAGAACACGATGCCTGGTTGGTACAGGATATCGAACAGCACTTCTTCGATGTCCGTCTCAGGTTGGTCACCGACTCCTAGCTCTCCTCCTTCGAGACTGCCGGGTGAAGCGTATGTCAAAAGCTTCTCATCGATTTCAGATAGGAAAAGCCCCTCTCCACCGGCAGATACTGCCCTGGCATCTATCATCCGGATCCACGAGAGGAGCCGGACCTCGACGGCCCGAAAATGTGCCTTATCCGATGATTGGTAGATGTCAAAGGCTCTTTTGAGATTTGCGTGCAGAAGCTCATTTCTTCCTTCGAGGAGGTCCGTGTAACTAAGAAAGAAAAGAGTCGCAAGCATGGAGGCCCGACTGTGAGCTTCGTCTCTTTGTTGGGGTGTATGCCCAGCCTCATCATACCTGGTTAGCTCAGCGACGGTTTTTGCATAATGCTTCTGTGTAGTATCTGCTAATCCTTCACCTTGTCTAGATAAGAGAAGCGAGGAAAAGGTCAGGATGGCATGGCGTAGTATTGACGACGATCGGGACATGGATATGAGCGTCTGCCGCATAGACGCCCACTTGCCCTGGGTCTCGACTTGGGCGATGATCGGAGGTACTACCGACTGAACAAAATAATCCAGCAGCGCCCGGTCACCTGACGGGATACTAGATGAAATAACATTGTCCTCCAGAATGGGATATCCATCCGAGTTACTTGATATGGAAACATCAAAAGTATTCCCCATAGGAGGCGAAAGGTTTGCAGAGAACGACGGAGTCTACTTGAGTTAGTGTTATCCATCCCTCCTCATTTCCCCCAAGTTGAGGGAGGAGGGCTTCGAAAGACGCCGACGTACCATGGTTGCATTTGGTAGAGCCTGATCTATCACGGAGACGTCTTGGTTTCCCCAAGTTGGGGGTTTCCAAATCTCTGATCCATCCCACATGAAACTCGCATAATTGAAAACATCATCAAACGATTCCTGGGCAGAAGAAGTTGAGAGCTGTGCTGAAATCTCGAGAGTTCTTGGGTTATTATTGCCATCAGACCTCACTCGATTAGTAGGTAGGGTGCCACGAGGGCTATTCGCCAAGAGGGTTGAATTAGATGGCCTCCATCTACATTCCAAGTTCAAGCGGGAACAATGGCCACAGATGGGACGAATTTCATTACAGCGCACTTTGCGACGCCTATACAACCAAGTTTTATTTAGCAGGGGATCATCAGTTGATAAGCTACCGCTGACAGCGATTAACAGACGACAAGCTGCGAAGATAATACGCGTGTGACACCTACCTGCAGGTCATACAGCCGTTCTTGGATCTGGCTGGCCTCTTGACAGGAGAAGTCGGCTGCTGCGGCGTTTGTGAGCCCGTCTGCTGCATCTTTCAGGTTGCAATTCATAGCGTGAGGATTTCAAAGCCAGGCCATCCTTACACGAGTCCGACATTTGATAATATTGCATTTGATGAAAAGAGGTCGGGCAAGTCGGGGTAGTGTTCCACATTTTCGTCTCTTTCCCCTGCCTTTAATATGTATACAAATCCCCACAACCTCTTCTCTTTCTCCACATGTGCTTTAGAGCTGGGGAGTCTGGGAGCCTGGCAGCCTGGGAGTCTGGAGACCCCAGCAGCCCAGGTAGGAGGTGCATTGATTAAGTCTTGGCGCCACTGATCGTACCACTTCCAGGCCAAATTCCAGAGCCGCGGTTCGATACCCCCTGGCCAGCCGTAGCGAGGTTCTTGGCTGGCTTTACATGATACATACCTAATCTAGCCTAACATACAGAATACTTGCAGCGCCAGACAACCTAGCATTCATTAAACGAGCGGTGGCGCTACAGAAAGTTATAATCTACGTTCAGAAGTGTTCGACGGTTGACTTTATTTACAGACCACTATATATATACCTACCTATGGATTCACCAAACTCGCCTCGACGCTTTCCAAAGGCCTTACTATCTCAGTGATCCAGCTTTGTTTTTTGGGGTCGTCAAATTCGGGGTAAGGCCGCCGGCAGTGGCAACTAGCTTCCGGATATCCCAGATATTTAGCGACGACCCATTTAGTCCCGTTGATCCCGCCCTTTCCGAAACCCCATTCAACCCCAGCCAGCTTGATCTGAGCTTCAGCAGCTTCACCGAGTTTTCCTTGGTTGTATAGATCGAATAGTTGCACGCAAGCCTAACGCTGCTTAGTAACGTTTCGAACTTCAAGTAAAGAAATACTTGTTGTCGCGTTGGGGACTCACTTTAGGGTATAGATTGGCAACTCCAGTCACGGAGCCAATTGAACCCACCGTCATTGCGGGGATGAGCCAATCGCTCTGACCCGCTATGGCGGCAAACTCGCTAGGTTCGTATTGGGCCTTGATCCTGGCTACCTTTGCGATACCTCCACAAGTCAGCTTGACCCCTACGATGTTGGGGTGAGCCCCGAGTTTGGCCAGCATCTCCGAATTTACGTCTATACCGGCGGCAACCCCGGGAAAGTTGTAAATGAGGATCGGTATTGGACTCGCATCGGCAAGCTGTTTCCCCTCGTCAGCATATCGAACGTCCAACCGGTGTAATATCGAGGGGTCTTGCTACCTCTGTAAAGAAGCCGGTGATTGCGTCTTCGTTCATCGCGAAGTGAAAGTAACTCGGGCATAGCACCAATGTGAAATCGGCTCCGACTTTATGGGCTGCTTCTACGTCGGCTATAACGTCTTTCGTGCTCTGCCCGGTACTTCCGACCGTAATCGGTAGGTCTGGCCGGCCGGCCTCTGCTGCTACCTCTTTCGCCAAACTTATGAGTTGGATCTTCTCGTCTCTCGTCATGGTGACGGCCTCGCCATTAGTACCTGCTAGGACGACTGCCGTCTTCATATCAACAGACTTGCTCTCAAAAACTGTTTGCCGTCGAGACACCTACTTCCATGGACCCCGGATTTGACGAGAAAAGAAACATGTTTCCTCTGCAAATCCCAATCGATTTCTTGACGCGCATCGTTTTTAAACCACGTCAGGCTGGGCGGATGAATACCCGGAGGAAATGGGCGTGACGCCGGCATGATCTTACGATTCCACAACTTTTGTTCGATATTGCAAAGAAAGAGAAAATACACGCGATAATTGCGGGAAAGTGCAGAGTCTACTGTTTTTTCGAGTCACGAGAAAGCTAGGAACAAAGGTATTTTGTACCCAGCCGCTTCGCGACGGCTGGGACGCCAGATCCACCGTATCTGCGGGGAGGCGACATCACACAAGCCTCATCTCGTTAATCTATGACCCGGAATCGTGTTTTAATGCACATCGTGGCGTGTTTTCTACGAGATCTATCGGTTTTGTGGGGGTTTGAGGGTGAAGGCGACGACCTTGGCGAGTGGCACCCCCGTTAGCGTTACCGACACACTGGGGAAGCGAGGCAGGATGCCGATTTGCTAAGAGATGGGTCCTTGTCGCCTAATAACCATAGTGTTCATTCTCAATCCGATTTCACATTTCGCATCATACTAAACTTTTCATAGGGTTTTTTTTTTTTTTTTTTTTTTTGGAATAATAGTATCGTTGGGGGTTCAGGATATCATTTTTAGCAGTTTAAGGGGCGGAGATGATCGAGAGAAATTCGACCCTCCTCACCCTACCTAGGTAGGTAGATTAGGTAGGGTCCTGGTAATATCTCGGCATCGTCTCTACTTACCTGCTACAGTGCGTGTCAGCAATCCACTTACAACGAGAACCGGGTAACCGGTAACACCATGTCCAAACAGTGGTATGTTTTTGAAAAATCTGGAAACATTTCATCAGTATTATTCCCCATCATACATAAGTTAACTACCTATCTAACGAAGGAAATAGTTACCGATTCACGAATTCATGAAAACACTATATCTGCCAAATTCGGACCTATAGCAAATATCATGATATAGCAGCAATATTCGTCTCAATAACTTAGACTTTCCCGTTTAGGCCAATGTGCTTACGGGGCATGATATGATCTCTTCTAATATTGTACGGGCTCTATGTTCATGATACTTTGTATCTACATAGGCTCTACTTAAGGCCGAGAACGAGTGAGAATGCAGCCTCCTCACATGTCAGCAACTTCATGATTTCAAAGTGTCTTGAAGCAGTCATCTACTTATTCCCGAATGGGGACCTCATACGTGCAGCCGGCAGCGCTAGCACCGCATTGCATTCCCGCAGCGGATAGGGCAAGCCTTACGTACATTAACTAACTTGCTGGTGGTGTGGAGCGAATGCGGTTGGTCGACGTCGAGACGCACACCTTATATAAGCTGACTAAATTGGTCGTCCCTCATGGTGGGCGTGGGAGCTACGCCATAGGGCGGAAGAGTACGGATTGGTCAACCGCCATGTGAGTAAGAAATACCAAAGCGCGATTAATGATCACAGGGCTGTACACAATTCGTGCCGGATGCATGCTTGGGAACACGGACTTGTAGCACTAGTAAGCTACATACGGGAAGATATTCCGGTCTATTGGATGACGTCCATCTATCCGACTCCTATAGGACGACGGGCTAAGGGAGGGCCCGAGCCATAGTGTGTACCTGACTTAGATATAGATTATAAGTCATATTTCTTACTGACCTATTATTTTATACCAAGGACAATTATCTTGGTGGAAGACCAATTTTCGATCACCGCGATGTCCTATCACTATACCTAGGTATCCAATGCACTTCATCACATCCCAATTCGGTATAGATTTGACCTCGTATCTTGGGAAGTTCTAGACTGAATGATCGTCATGGGGATAGGTTCACTGGGTAGCAATGGGAAGAGGTATACAACGACATGTATACTTTTCGTCAGTTTTTTTTCTTATTTCTCTCGACTCACTTTTCTGTCGTTTTCCCCCGTCGATCCAATATCCGAGCGATTAAGGATCGGACCGCGGGTCTTAACTGGATATCGAAATGCCAATGTTACACTCGAAAAGCGACCTTACTAAGATATGCAAAACCGACAGTCTGGATCCCGTCCGAAGGGTCGCCCTCTTTCTTTTTCCACTCGCTCCCACCCCTTCCACGCACCGCAGACTAGCAATCCCGCGGTGAGAGGGCGACAGCTCCCGAGCCTGACGAGTCTGATCTGCATGGGTTGAGAAGGATGGGATGAGCGCTAGCGCACGTCCTCCGACGCAGGCGAAAGCCTGCTGCTGCTCGCTGCTCGCTGCTATTGCTGCGCGACCCCGTTTACTGGACCGGGCCGAAAAAAAGATGTTCAAAGCCCAGATTCCAGATTTACCCAGTCCCCAGTTCCCAGTGTCGTCCCGCAAAACAATAGCCCAATGCGCGTTGACCCCTCGCGAATCTTCTTTATGCGACCCCCCTTACCCTACGACGTCGCATTTTTGCCCATTGCTTTCACCTATCCCGTCCTACCTAGGTAATCGGAGAGGGCACGCGCCCCCCTTTTTTCCTGTTTTCCCAGAAGGCAATATCTCATCCTCATTTCTCCCCCCATGCCCGCGCGAGATTGCGTAAGTGACGGGGCGGCGTTGATCATACGACCGTGCTACGCGGTTGCTGCTGCGTGCCTTTTTGCCCTGCCTGCCTAGCATCTCATATACCTAGTCTGGATAGGTAAGGTCATGTACTTAGGTATGTATTTACGTATGTATGTACGTATATACGTGCGCAGATTTCTCCCGTTTTCTGGAACGGGGGCGTATACCTTCGTCGAAGGATGCAGCATCAGCAGCTAGCAGCCAGCAGTGGGCGTCGGTTGTGCGGTCTTGCCCCCCTTGTCACGAATCCGTTCGCCGGCGGGGTGGGTTCTGGACCCTGCATCACCTGCGGTCGATTTATCTTCTTTCCTTCCTTCGTACTCGCAAGATTTGCTTCGCTTAGGTTTCTTGGGTACGAGGCACATGTGCCGACTTTGTTCCCCCTTGTCCTCCCTTCCCTCCCCAAAGGACGGTACGGGAGGCCTCAGACCCATAAGGCTGATAGTGAAAGGGAACGCCAGGGGGACCTCCTGGTCCGCTGCTACTTTCCTATATGCAATGGCGGAGCCAATGGCGATGCTTGATAGGGCGTCGATACCTGCGGCTCGACCGTTGCGCGCAGGTAGCTCAGTGGTTGCCGGTGGGGTTTGGGGGGAGGGCTCCGTTCCCTTACCGCCCTAAGTTGTCCGATTTTGGGGATCGAGAGGAGCCCAGAGGAAGGACGCGGGTGGACGCTTTGGGACGTCATGATTCACGGCTGACAGGACGCACGCAGCTCGAACCAACGATAGATGGCATAGTACTGTATACTCGAGCTATAATGCCTACCTTGTCTATAATCGAATAACCGAGAGCGCGTATCGCGGAGTGATCAGGAGAGCTTGCAAGGTACCCTCGGAATCAGCCGTGGGCGACGGCTTGACTCACTGAAGATATCCCGGCGTTAATCATGACGTTAGGATCGGCGACGTGCTTCAGTAAGTTCATGATCGTCGGTTGGCCTTCGGCGCCATCCATTGATGTGTGCCCATGCTGTATGACATTGGGCTTACAGACATCATGAGGAAATTGGTGATCAGTAATTAATTACAGAATTTTACAAATCCTCTAAAGGAGAGTGAGCATCAGGCTCTCAGTCTTATTCGTTAGTATTAGGGGGATACGGAAAATAGGAGGTTGAGGGGGCTAGGTTGTGTATCTAGGTGGCAGGTATATACCTCCCTAGTACCTAGAGTACTTATGTTATTCACATAGAGATGCCAATTCTATTAACCCTACTAGGTTCAGATAGTTTTAGGAGCGATCTAGCTTCTAAGTGATTAACTGTAGTTTCTCTTACTCGACTAATATTTTCGTAACCTCTACTGTAGACTCCATACGTAGACTAATTCTATAGCCTTGGGAAGTATGATAGTGGCTTCAAGATGAATCATTGAGTCTTCAGAAAGGTAAAGATATACTAGAAGATATACCAGGCTATTTCATTCTCTCTGCCACAGAATCTCGTTTTCGGGGAGTTTATAATATCGTAGAATGAATGGATGCCGAGCTTTCAATTGCAATAGGGGTTATCAAATTCCGCTGAATCGACTTCTATGTCAAGAAACAATACCCGCATAGCCTCTTTGAGGTCTCTAGCTATCCAGTTCTTGTTATACAGTAACAGCCATCGTCTAGATTAGAAAGGATAAACACTCGGTTATTTCGCTAGTCTTCTAGCTGTCTGCCTGTGATCATGTCGTTCTCGGCGAGTCTATATCATGCCTAAGCATCAATTTCATATCCCTATTAGACTAGGGACTATTCTAAGCCAGAGGCTACCGTACCTACCTAGGTAGGTAAGCGACTCTGTGCCAACCCTATGAATCTTGTAAGAGACCATACGAGATAATCCGGTAAAACACAATGTTAAAAGACGTAATCATACAACACGTATAGTTGGACATTCGGTATAGCTAAGCGAACCCCTCCAAACTGTACGAACACAGTTTGACTTGTCTCACAGATTTCCGCTGATGGGCTCGTTGATTGTAGGGCAGTTATATGATAATATATCGTTATGATGGGTTGAGAAGTGGCGTTCAATTTAGTAAAGAGAAGGAATAATAGCATGGAAAGCGTCGAACCATAGGAAGTTTATGGCACCTCAAGTAGATATTCGAAGTGTTGACCTTTGCCATAGGTCTGGTCTGTTAGAGGAGTAGTAGCTAGGATTGAATTTGGCCTAGGAGAGATAGTGGAAGACCTGTTGGCAGCCAGCCACCGAGCGGAATAGATGAAAGGTTCTGACTATATGTTTACCGCGTTCTCTAGGTGAGGAGTTTAGATCGCCTTCCGCAACGTCGTTCTTCCCTCGCTCGTCGGTTCCACCTCATGTCAACCTTGACATACCAAGAAGTCAAAACCGAATCAAATTCGCCTCTCCTTAGTTCTATATGGGATGATACCAGGAAGTAAATGGACCATGTATGTCTTAGTACTATAGACGTTTCTCTAGCAGGTCTGACCGAGACAGTGTGTCATATGAATAGAACTTGGAGATAAGGCTGATAGATATAGAATACGAAGCGTAATCCGATTTTGGGCATACAACCTGTCATTACGACGTTGGTAGATTTCCTCGATGGTAGTATTGCGCATTATATTGATGTGCTGGTGAGTGGGTAGTGGTATTTGGGTTCTCGACTCGCTAGGCTTGGATGAGAGTTCATTGCCGCTGGCTGATAAGTATCCGCGTCGTTTCTATGGTGCCACGACGTGTGGTATATCAACTACGCCGCTGAATATATGGAATTGCCAATTTGGAACTGTAGAGGGCTTGCGTGTATAGAGAAAGGGAAGTGTTGGGTATCAACACGGGCGAAGCGAAATGATAGTTCCTGAAGTGTCACGGTAAACCGCTAGTAATTTGAATAGATAGCATGGTATTCATGCCCCCATAAAGCACCCATTAACTGCATTCCTGTATCTTCCACTTCATCATTGCTGACAATACCGTGGTCTAGATGGGTGATAGGTGAATTTCGAAATAGATGAGACACTGGGCTAGTTATTATTCGAGAATCTTAATTAGAAAAGCAAATCCCGCCGTTCATAGAGATGTGCCCAATTATTGCCAAGGGAAATTTCGTTGTCCCGTTGACTAATAGTTGCCCATAGGCGATGTTAAATACCTAAGGTATACGCCCAAGTGTAGGTAACAGCCCACTGACATCCACAATAGCTAGAGTCTAATTAGCTGAGCAACTCCGAGTCCGGCGAGCAATATTGAATTATTAAAGATCGTTTGAGAAAACTGTTAGTTAGGTGGATCATCCTATGATGTGTTTATCATGGAGGCTAATTCGTGGCTCAAGGGCTTATTCTTGAGGTAAAAGTTTTCCGCATAGTACTACATCTTCTCCAAGAGGCATCCAGACTGTGCTGGTAAGCCGAGCTACAGCGCTCAACTTACCGTCCGGGCTAGTCTTTCGGAGAGGGGAAACGAAGACGCTTCCCTGGCCAAGCCAGGTCGGTGCAAGCGTTATGATAACCGAGTCAACTAGGTGCGAATTTCCGTGTGAAAGGAGCGAATTTATCACCTCGCCACCGCCCTCGATCATAATGCTCCGCAATCCCTCGCTTCGCACAGCAGCGAGGATAGTGTGCCAATCGAAACCTCGGTTACTTAAGTCCGTGTCGGAGTCCTGGCTTTTAGGACCACTTAGGACTACAAACTTCCCGCCGAGATCTTCCAATAACTTCCTTTTGCTCTCCGGCGGCTGCGGCACAGCTGTGATAATATATGGGGCCTTCCCTTTTCCTGTCCGAGCTAGCCGCATAACCTTGCTCTCAGAAGTGAAATCCCAACGCAATTTCGGATCGATAACTATTGGCCTTGGATGGTGCCTGGTGAAGGTGTGCTGCGTGTCGTCGGCGGTGGATTTCCCAGCCAGTCCTAAGAGCGCGCCAACGCCCGCGGTAGCAGCATCGGGCGAAGTTTCTAAAGCTGGACACTCCGATGCGAGACGGGAGTTCAATCCCGGGTCATCGGCAATAGCTGTGCCAACTCCAACGCAGATGGCGTCGTGGCGGCTGCGAAGATAATGGGTCATGGCTTTTGATTGGGGCCCGGAGAGGGCTGTCCTGATACCCGGTCCGAGAGACAGGGCCGAATCGAGCGAAGTGGCATACGTCAATGTAACAAACGGCAAATCGGATGACGAAGAGATATCATCTTCAACACCTGTTGCTGGGGGTGGAAGATGAGGCTCTAGAGTCTCCCTTTCAGGTGACGGAAATATTAATGGAAGCTCAGCCATTGGGATACGTTGTCGGAAAATCCTTCTGTAAAAACGACTTCACTTAATCTAGAACTCTCTATCCGTATCTTTGAGAGACCAATTATGACTTCAAGATGTGGTCTATAGTTGGATGAAGAACGATATGAAGAGATATGAAGTTGGCTGCTAAGTAATATCCCCGTATTATGCATTTCTCTAGGAACCAATCAGCTTTCGCGTAGGGTCCATTTCATTACCCTTTTGGTGCATAGATCAGTTATGTGGGCCTCTATATGCACTAATAAGGATGTACATAGTAAGTTATTGTTCTTCAACCAACATCGAATTTCTAAGTCTATATGTATAACAGAAATAGAGTCGGTGAATGGACTTAAGTTTCTCATGAATGTGGGAAAAAATATACGGTAAGTACATAAAGCTTCTGATAATTAGAAATACCAAATTGTATCTAGTGATTCATTTCGACCAATAGTCGTTGAACTTGTTCCTCCACAAAAGAATGAGGCGTAACAGTAAGGGCACAGCCACAAGCGTATTTCGGAAAGTGGCGTAAAACTACTGTAAGACATACATATGTACAATGGTCACACGTACCCCTGTCCGTAAGTTAATCTTGCGACGTAATTTGTTTGATCCATAAGTGTCAAAGAACTCGCAACCGTAATATTTTAACAATCGTCCCTTTTGAATTCCTTTAGCTTATCACTCGATTATAACATACCTCTAACTATCATTTCTACCAATTCTTGCTAGCCAAGACAATTCCGCACCACCTACCTACCTTCACCAACTTGCCAAGCAGTGACACACTACGCGTCCTAAGAAGCTCCGCCACAGAACTTAACCACGTCCTCTCGGCGCCAAACCTCGGCGCCAACAGTCCGGTTCGCAGCCGACTATCCGAAGGGCGCATTATTTGTATTACCTACCTCAAAGAATCGACCCAGATCTTTTCCCTTCTCCCGCCTTCGCCCAAATAACCTCTCCTTCTCCTTTTACGCGCACGCATCGCAGATCAGTAAACGCGAGATCGACCTACCTACCTAATTCGACAAACCCAAAACTTCTTCTACTACCTTTCTCCGTTCACATCTTGATCTCCTACTAAAGCACCAACCACCACCCTCAAAAATATAGCCCGGACCGCAACCCTCCGGATCACTCACACACACACGCGCATACATACATATCTACACATACGCCCATAGCCCATAGCCCATACAAACCCGCATCCCATCCACCAACCATGTCCGGAAAAGACGACCTCCCGCCAGCCTACGGCGAGCGGCCCCCGCAAGCCCCGCAAGCCGCGTACCAAGGCTACCCGCCCCAGCAGCCGCCTCCGCAGCAGGGCTACGGACCGCCGCCGAACATGGGGTACTACCAGCAAGGGCCGCCTCCGCCGGGAGGCCAGTACCCGGGGGGCTACTACGGGCCGCCGCCGCCGCAGGGGGGTTACTACCAGCAGCAGCAGCCGTACCCGCAGGGCCAGTACCAGCAGCACCCGCAACAGCAGTCCTCGGGGGCCGACGGCTGTCTGGGCGCGTTGCTTGGCGCGCTGGCGTGCTGCTGCTGTCTAGATTGTCTGTTTTAAGGGAGAGGGGGGTTTCTGAGGTAACGGTGTTTCGATACCCTGAATAGGTGGATGGTGGTGAAGGGATAGGATAATGTGTACTGCCTACGAGAAAGAGCAGAGGACACGCGATTGATTTGAAGCTCAGGAGAAAGAAAGAAAGAGAAGAAAGAGAAGAAAAAGAAGTAATGTCTTTGTCTCGCGACTACTACACCACGAGCTCGAGAGGCGGGCGACTCGACGAGTCGCATTTTCGACGGACAAGGATGACCGTCACCATGGATACATTCGTTATGCATATTGGACTTTTAACACCGGAGCACGGCGTTGTGGGATTGCGTTGCGCATTTGGGTCGTTTTGTAATTATAAGGCAAGGCATTCTGCTACCTATACTATGGGTGGGTAGTCCAACGCCGACAATCATGTCAAATCAGCTACCTGTAATCAATTCCACGTGATTACTACTTGCTTGCTTGTTGCATGCATTCTAAATGTCACATTCGTCTCTTGTACAATATATTAAATCGTATCCAAAAGAGTCCCCTAACCTATGCAGTAACGCCCTCGGCATGCCCATTCGTAAAACCGTTCGCCCCATTTGTATGACCATTCGTCTCACCCGCGAGCGTAGCGTACAACTCGTCGAACTTCTCCTGGGCCTCCGCCACACAATCGTACGAGTAGATCATGTGCTGCGTCTCGGGGCTGGCCCACTTATCCGGAATCGGAGCCCCCTTCTTAGCCTCCTTGAACTGCCTATCTCGCTCCTCCTTCGCCTTGCCCTCGCCCAGGTGTAACGTCCGCGCCGACGCGGCCGCTAAATCTACCAGTATCGACGTCCGCTCCTTCCTCAGGAGTTCGTAGACTTTAAGCGCCTTAGATAGGGCCTCCTTATCAGCGCCGCCGCCGGGCGCCGAACTCACAACCTCCGCGAGCACGGCGGCGTCTTCGATGGCCATCGCGGCACCCTGACTCAGGTGTGGCAGTGTAGGATGGCAGGCGTCGCCGACGAGGGCGACGCAACCCAGGATCCAGCTATCAAGAGGCTTGTGGGAGCGTAGCCTCCACTCGCACACCTCACCCTCCGGGACCATGTTGAGCATCTTGAGGACAATTGGGTGGAAGTCACCATACACCTTAAGCATGGCAGGCTTGCTACCGCGTGTCGTATACGTAGCGTTGGTCGCTGCGGCGAAGTTGACGTCGGGCTGGCACGTCGATAGGTTGTAGATGGTCTTGTTGCTTATAGGATACGCCACGATATGTCGCTTCTCGCCGATCCATCGCAGCGCGCAGTCGGAGTCTAACAACTCAAGGAGATCCGGGTCATGCTTCATCTCCTCCCGTGTCAGCATGATTCGGTACGCGGCTTGGCCCGTGTCCTCGACGTCGGCCGTAATGTTTAGGCCCTTCAATAGTCCGGTTCGCACGACGGATTTTATACCATCTGCACCCAGAAGGACGTCCGTCTCCACATCGTATGCCTCGGCGTTGCGCGGCTGTGCCGTAAATATGACCTTATCTGGGCCGAAGGACTTCACGCCGGCCAGCGAGGTCGAGAAATGGAAGGTGATGTTGGGTTCTTTCTTACACCCCTCGTATAAGCCGCCGGCCAGAGACGCTCGGTGTCCAGTGCAGTGGGGATATCCGTACTTCTCCTCGATGTCGGGCATCTCGACGTGAACGAGCTCGTGGTTCGACGATCCTTCGCGGATACTGGAGGATTTGATGTTGGTAGCTTCAGCCAAGATGCCGTCCCAGCAACCCCAGCGGTCCAACACCCGGGCCATGTTCGGGGCCAGTTGAATACCCGCGCCGACGAATCCCAGGTTCGACGCCGTCTCGTATACGTCGACGTGCTTAAATCCTTTCTTGGCGAAAGCGAGGGCACAGGCAAGACCGCCCATACCTATGGTGAGGCGACATCAGTCGTTATACGATTAGTTTCGTGTTGTTTAACTCACCCGCGCCAATGACGGATATCCTTAAGTCCCTATAGTCCGACATATCAACAGTCTACAACGCTCTAACTCCAGGCCAAGACCAAAATTGAGTATATTCAAAACGTCGAAAAGCCGAAAAGTGTTTGTGGTGTAACAGCAAAGTGTGCCGAGTGTCGTCAGGCCAGTTGAGATGTTGGGTGGTATGTTTGATATATTTGATATATCGCAACGAATGAGGACGACGTGGAAAGCGGCTGGCACATTCTAGGTAACGAAGAGCGGCTCCTTGGACAGGGCCATTACCCGTGTGCTATTTCAAGCCACCTAGACATTCTGCCGCTCATCACCCTTCTTGAGTTAGATAGTTATCCCGAGGGTGGTTGAGGGAATAAGAAAAGCCTAGAATGTACGTCGCATATCCTAGTTCGCGAACAGAGTGGGGCCAATTGATTGCCGGCTAATGAGGGGGTTCTTTCCAAGCACTCCGTACCGCCATAGTCCATCGGCATTAGCTCAGTCGGAAGACAGGGTAGTATACGGTAGTAGGATAATTATTTCGCCTATGTGCAACTGTACTCGTTCGTCCTTTCCTTCGTCTTATAAGAGTACCTAGTAGCACAGATACCTGTGGGCCTCTCTTCATTCGTACGCGTGGCTCTGTGTGATGTTAGTGACGTACGTGATGCTCGTGTGAAACTGCGGTGGACGATTTAAACTCCGGACATGACCACTCGTCTCTTTTTCTTTCAATATTATATCATCACGACTCGAATCGTAGTCATTGTACGATTAGTATTATCCTTAATCCATACCGCAAGAGAGAAATACTATTGGAATATATCAGTCATAACTCATTCATGACTTCATGGTTTCGGGATAAGTAGGTACCATAGCGGGAAAATACGTAGCCTAACAATGATTTGAAAGTTAAACAATTATTGATATACCTTAAGAAATTCGAACAATCATTGGAAACTAAACAATCATTGGCAATATAAGAATTATTACTCGCATTGACAGCTGGCAGGTGGCTGCTAGGCTAGGCTCCTAAGGCTGTTAGCCAGGTGGTTTATGCGACAATAAGGCCGACGATAGATTATAGTCCCCCTACAACCCACCTACTACCTCATAACTTTTGAACTTTTATAAAATTTCTAAAATTTCTAAGGTTTTAGTATTTTTAGTATTACCTGCCCCCTCTTACTTGCCCCTCTTATCCGTTCCCTTTAGCCCCTCCTACCTACAACAATAACAATAATAACAATAGTAACAACACTAAAGTCAACACTTGCAAAAAAATTTAGGATTTTTTTTCCTTTCTCACACACATCATCTACTACACATAAAAAACTTGGAATTTTTTTTTCTTCCCACACACACACACACATACATATACACTTACCTCCTACATATACACCATCCATTCGCATAATACTTTATATTTTTTACTAATCCTGATATACTAGGTCATCCTGATACTAACGCCAATAGATCTGTAGAGATCAGTAGTAGGGTGCAGTAAACGTGTACACGCGTAGACCTGTAGGACTTTAGATCTGTTGACTAGTAGGACCGTAGATCAGTAGACCAGTAGACCTGTAGAACTGTAGACCTGTAGACCTTTAGACTAGTAGGACTGCAAACCTGTAAAATTGTAGCCTGTAGACCTGTAGACCTGTAGACCTGTAGACCTGTAGACCTGTAGACTCGTAGGCCTCGTCTCCGTCCCTGCTAATAATAGCAGGGACGGGGACGAGGAATAAGAGACCCACCTAAATACACCTTCCAATGGATGTTTTGACCTTCCAATGATTGTTTGAACCTTCCAATGATTGTTCACACCTACCAATGATTGTTTACTTGACAATTATAGTCAAATGAAAGCATTATAGTGATAATGGGCTATGGTTTTCGCGGAAGGTAAATCATTGTCCGATAGCGGGGGTTCCCGGTATGGTAGGTAATTACCAATATACTAGCTCCGATTCATTCCTTGTCTTCGGGAAACAGTAGACAATGTTGTGATACAGAAGGCGCCGAATGCAAATCCTACTTCGGCGCCACATACCTACCTAGATAAAAGCATGGTAAACAAGTTTTCTAAGACAATCAGCCCATCCAACAAAAACCATTATGAGTTACGTATATCGTATACCCTTACAAGTTCTAGCCCTCTCGATAGAATAGTTGTAAGAGGCTAGAGACATAAATCCAAACGTAACAATGATAACCCGCATGAATCCACCTAGTAAACTAGGAAAGGACGGAGGTCACCCGTTAACAAGTGTCCCCGTTATGGCCGTAGTAATCTATCGAGCCGCATTGAGACTTGTATCGGATCAACAGTTCAGGCTTGTGTGATCACGATGTCAGGTACCCGCTTCGCCGAATCGTTCTCTGTCGGTTTAACATCCTTGTCCTTGCCTTCATCATCATCTTTCGGTTGCGTAGCCATGTACTCGCCGTCGTCCTCATCAATGTCACTTGGATCTGATTCCAATGATTCTTCGTATTTGAACAACTTATCAACCCGGACAGTTCCCATCCCAGGTCCCAGCTCAATTTGTCTGCTGTTGCCCATGGCACTCTCGGGCAATACTAACTCTTCCTCGTCCGGGAAATCCAGCACCCTACAACATGGCCGAAAATCTTGAGGCGGCATATCCAAGGTTGGGCTCGATGGGCGAGGAATAAATTCCTGCTTGGCGATGTCGTAGAGTCGATTATCTATTTTTCGTGCTAAATCCAGGCACACATTGTCTTTCTCGTCGGGATTCTTATTTACTTCGATAATCTCCCGAAGTTGCCGCCCATCTAATTCCCATAATGGCGAGGATTGGGGCGTCACACTCCTATGCGCAAAGGTGAATTCCCGGTCTCTCGAATTGGTCTCATTGTTGTCATTATACGATAGCAGAATGAACTCGACCAATACTTTTCCCACTTTTCGACCGCACGATCTTGCAACACGTACACCTGCTTCTTTAAACTCCATTTCCTTGATCTTCTCCGGGACTAGGCGAGCAACTAGCTTCGAAGCACCCTACTCCTTCTTTATGGCTCTGCTGTCTAGTCCGAGTACACGTTCCCTGAGGACGACGATAGGTTTTCGGAGGAGCAAAACGCCAGCCGCGCAGATAAAAGTTGCAAAGAGTTGCCATGAAAACCACAACAGGGAGGCACCCCAAGGTGCAATGAACTTGAGAAAGTCTTCCACTTGGTAGTGGTCCTCCTGGCCCTTTATGAAGTAAAGCTTGTTCGGCTGGTAGGAGAGCGATAGGTCGTCGATATCGGGACTCGGTCTTCCATTTAGGATAGGTCTGTTGTTGCGGTCGGTAGGTTTCCGTTTCAGCTCTAAAACCGTCACTAGTCTTACGTTGGCCTGCCATAGCGAGAACGGCACGAACCATAGCGTGAATTTCTGGCGAATTGAACAGTATAGAAGGTCATTCTTTTTGTCAAAGCCTAAGAGATTTAGTTACTAGACCAATTATATATATTGGTTACAACGTGATCTTACTAGCCGAATCGATGGTAAGCTTGATATCCGGACTCAAGATACGATACCATTGATAGATGAAGAATATGAACCAGCGGGAGTTTATGGTCTGATTGATCAAAGGGATTTTGCGATCACCAAAGGACGGAACACGGCAAAAAGGGTGGATGAAGTAGGCATCGGGTAGGAAATACTCCTCTAGAGCATCAGCTTGGTCTTGACGGGACTGTACCGTTAGGGCGCGGATAACACGTTCAACCTGTGCTTCGGGATTATCCATTTTGGGTGATTCGTTTTCTGACAATTGTTACAGTCTCTTGAGTTCTCGAGTTCCTTAGTTGAATTAAGTTGCTGGCACACAGAACTGGGTGTATATAGGTCGGAAGATTGTTGTTGTGAGAAATAAAGAGGTGAACTTAAGAATGTAATTGTTTCCCTAACTCTTACCATGTATGTAGAACATCATGATGTCATAAGGTCTTAGTCGCGGTTTCGCTTGGCATGTGAAACCATATCAATGAGAATAGAGGAAACTACGACAATAATTCAATCCTTCGTAATATCTGTTATATTTAAGTTACGGATAATGGGAACCACAAGGAAGTTTACTAGCTCGAATTAGCAACGTCACGGCGTCGCTTCTCCAGAGAGACTAAACTCAAAGTCCGAGCAACTTTAATAGAACTACATTCTTAAGTAATTGTTACATACGTAGCACTAGCGAACAGGTTATAGCTTTGTCGCTTTAGAGGAATTTAATCATGTAGGTAACGCTTGGGAAACTACGAAAATGCATACACACAAACACCATGCAGAAACCATGACAATCACTAATTTCCCCGATGCCACGTACATTCATTCTCCTCATACGCCATGCTATGTATAGTTTAACAAATAATACAGAGATGTTCCAATATATCCCATATGTTCATGTTCGTCTTAAACCTTCCCTTACCTACCTAGCTACAGCTACCTAACCTCGTTCTCATCAAAGAACCTCGGAACTTCATCCCTACTCATTATGACACCCATTATACCACCTACCCATCACCATTGCCCTCATAATTAAGCATCACGGCCTCCTCGAGGTACTTCTCCGCCTCGACCCCGACCCGCCCGAGAACCTGTACTGATCTCCATCCCTATACTGGCCGCTCCTCCGCTCGCTGCTCCTCCTCCTATAACTCCTCCTACTATCCCGTCTTCTCGGCGGCGTGCTATGGTCCTCCTCCACCACGATCTCATCCTCATCCAACATGCGCCGCGCGCGGGCGCGGCTCACGCTCATAGACCTGGACCTGGACCTGGACCTGCTGCTGCCGCTCCTGCCGCCGTGCTCCTCCATAACGACGATCTGATCGACGCCCGGGCTGCGAGTCCTCGGAGGAAGAGGCGAGACCTCGCGTCTGACGTCGCGGCGCGAGATCTCGATCGTCTCCTTCGTGCGGCGGCGCGGGCTGTGCGTGTGCCTATTGCTGGTGCTCTGGCGGTGCACGACGCGCGGCCGCGACCGGTACGAGACGACGCTCGACGACCCGCCGGCGCCGAAGTACCCGGACTCGACGTCGGCCGGCGGCGACGACGCGCCCCCCATGTTCACGCACCAGTAGATGAGCCACAGCAGCAGGATGAACCCCGCGATGGAGCCCAGCACGATGCCGACGACGGCCCCCGGGGAGGGGCCGTTGGGGTACCGCCCGTACCCCTCCGGCACGGTGCTGACGTCCGTGGCGAGGCGCGGGAAGAGGTGGTGCGTGCGGGACGCGAGGGCGTGGAGTCTGCCCGTAAGCGACGTTATCGCCGTCGGCGTGGGAATCGACGAGGGAGACGCATCGTCTCGGGACGCCGGAGCCGCGAGGATATCGCGCGCGAGGGCGCGCAGGGGTTCGGGAGGCGGCATGGGGGAGAATTTCGGCGTCGTAACGAAATATCGCTATTTAATCGAACGTAGGAGGATTAACGAAGGTGTATTTTACTCTCCCAAGATCGTCTTAAGATTCGAGACGTGCCCTCCGTTTGGCCCGACTCCCCGTTCGTTGTGGTTTCGTGGTTCCAAGGTTCGCTCGTATTCGGCAATAGCCCGCCTAAAAACAGGGCGGAAGTAATCGCGCGCGCAAGGTTTCGGCGGTAGGTAAATTGGACAACTAAAACAACACAGGAAAAAAAAAGAAGCAAAATACTTTGAATGTTTGTTTCTTAAGCAGGAAACGAAGAGATTTCAAACAAAAATAGCTAGGTGATCGTTTAGGTACTGTACAACTCACAAGGCTAGATGCGTGCGCGGTTGACAACTAATTAGATGGTAATAAGGCGCCAACATCGCGTTGTGTCCGCCGCTACCCACGTACGTAAAGGTCCACTGGATTTAATCACTGGATAAGGGGCAGGGGTGGCTGGGACCCCGATAGTTGCTACCGCAACATAGCATCGATCGCCCTAAGCCCAGATTTTTCATGGCAGTAAACGGCCTGTGGACCCGGACATGGATGTCCCCACTTGCCATTCCCGTCTTATCTTATCGGCCTTCACCATGGCCAGCATGGCCCGCAGACCGCTCCAAGGTGGAGAACGGGGAAGGTATCCGTGTATTAAAGATGCAGAATTCCAGTCGCTCTTGTCTTCTGGGTGTAGATTCAATATCACGTCTTGATCTCTTGGCCCATCTTATTAGACGACAATTCGCCATATTTAAAACGTCGGAGTTAAGTTGTTTCGAAGGAGATAATCGACTGGGTTGACGAATAAATAACCAAAATCCCCATGCGTCAGGTCTTTCGTTTATATCCAATTTGTTTGGCCAGCAGTGAGCCCCTCCAAGTTATCGCTGTCACCTAAATCTCCACATTCAAGGAACATGGAGATGGCTATGCAACTCTATCTCTAAAGAGAAATTGCCATGACGCGTTCCTTCGATACTCTCCGGTTCCGTCCGTGGAGTATTTGCATATCTACCTACTGCATCTCTGTCGAAATAGGGGAGGAGTCTGGAGCTGACTGAGAATACGGCGTATATGCAGTATCCTGTATTCGTTAAGGCACTACGGCGCCATTTTCACAGCAAATGAGTCATTCGCCTATTTGTTAGTCACCTGAAAACGCGACAAACCGGCTCGCGGTCAAGCACCGACGACGCGAGTTTCGTTTAAAACGAAGGGTCGTATTGAGCGAGTCGTAAAATGCGATTACTAATACATGTGTCTGTATGCCGCTGCGAACTACCCGCAATATAATTCGATCGCTTTTGATATTCTGGGGAAATTCCATGTAGGCTGATGTAGTATTATGTGTGACGGTAAAATTCCGCCCGAATTCGTTATGAAACTTGAAATGGAGATTATGCGGTGAAGTCCTAGGAGTAGTTGAGGTTGAAAGGTCTCCATTCCTTCGGTGCTCACCTATTCCCTGCCACCGATTTCTAGGCAGCTTCTAAAAAAGCAACGCCGCAGGAGTATGTTCTCGCTTATAGCGCAGTCGGTCAAACTCATGAGCGTAGCTTACTTTTCTCTCATAGGCTCCTCCATGAAGCCCTAAGCATATAAAGGCCTCTCATCCATATCCATATCTCACCTATTGTTTGTTCAAAAAAATATCTCGATAAAATGGCCGAAACCCTGAAGACCTTCCGCGGCAGCTGCCACTGCGGCAAGTATATCTATGAACTCGATTTGCCCGAGGATTTCAAGCCGGCCGAATGCAACTGTAGCTTTTGCTACAAGAAAGGTGCTCTATGGGCCAAATCTGAGCCTGGGAAGTTTCACTTCGTGAAAGGTGACATCGATACCTTGACAAACTACACCTTTGGGCGGAAGACTTTTAACCACAAGGCAAGTATGACTTGGTCGACTACGCTGCCTTGCTCTATAGTGCTGACGTGAGGGGAAACTAGTTCTGCCCTAACTGCGGAGTCCAGCTCCTGGTTATTGGACATATGGAACCCCCGAAGCCAGGTGAGGTGAAGGAGCCGGTGACTGGATTCAACGTGGGTGATCATATTTCAAACACGATCCGTAATGCGGTAGACGCGCAAATAGCTTATATACTCACAGGTTCGGTCTTTTCGATACGGTCAAGGCGTAGACGTGTGGACAGTTGAAAGAGGCCAGTGAGTGGTACCCTTCCTCCTCTGATTCCTGAGAGAGTATGGATTGATAAACGATACTTCCTAATGTAGTATCGATGGTAAATCGTTCGGGAAACCTTATGAACCGCCAAAGTTCTCAGGCCCAGAACCAACCGCTGTCATAGAGGGAGGAAAGATATACACCGGCAGCTGCCATTGCGGCGCTGTCAAGGTGGCGCTAAAATCAAAGCCGCTCGACAAATCCTCCTCCGAGAGGATAATGGAATGCAATTGTAGCATATGCAATCGAGTAAGTACTAATGGCAATGTAGTCATCTAAGAACTTAAGACTAACATACTCGTAGCATGGATATGTATGGTTCTATCCTCAGAAGGAGCAAGTTGTCATAGAGGGCGAAGATAATCTTGGTGTCTATCTATTCAACACTAAGTTGTTTGGAAAGACCTTTTGCAAAACTTGCGGGATCGCGGTGCACAATCAACGGCAGCCGATCACTGAAGAACAGCTCAAGGAGCTGCCAGAAGGTATGCAAAATTTCGCCAGGGGCGGTCAAAATTTGACGCCCATCAACCTGAGACTCTTCAACGACTTGGATATCAAGAATTTGAATGTGGCGCAGTTCGATGGCTACAATACGACCCTGCCTCGTTATGTCGAGCCGTAAGAAGTAACGATTAAATAAAGACAGGCCGAAGTCCAACAAAATGGCGGGTGGTAGGAGGACAGACTTATCTCCTGCACGTGTATGAATATAAGCTTTATCCCCACTCAAGTATAGGGTATTCAAAATGGAAATCGCATTTGCGATAGCCCTCCCGAACGTGACTTGACTTCTCTCTTATTAGAGTCTTCCGTTGAGGATGAGGTCAACCTGTTGATAGGGGTTGCTTATCACAGCCTCTCGAACGATATAGGTACGTAATGTCATATTACCGAATCGTTGGGGATATTATCGTTCCGAATGGTTTTATAACGAGTCTTATCCCACTTAGGATTTCCATCATCGTCGAATTCGGCCCATTGGAAAAACGAACAATTTTCCTTGCCAGGCACATTTCCACCATAGCACATCCAAAAATACCTCCCCTGTGTCCCCTTTTTCTTCTGGACGACCCTCAATACAGCAGGGATCTTGCATTTACACTTTGGCGTGTACCTTGGGTGAAATGCTGGTTTATAGTGGCGATAGGTGATATTAATCCTCCGATTGCCCGCGATAGGGTGAGGGTCGATTGCTTGCGCTGGAACAATGCAATGTTTCCATTCTTCCTGCATCTCAGCGTGCATGACCAAAAGTGAATTGTGGGGGAGGTGTATAGAAATCTGTCCTTCGGCGTCAGGGTCATCCGGGTTGGTGTTGTCGTCCTTTGGCACGATCCTTCTGACACGAAATTCTCTCGCAACTCCCAGAGAAAGTGAACCTATGACAGCTCTTGGGCCTAGGTATGTGAGCTGATCAGTATGGTAACCGACATTTTGCTTTGGCCCATCATAACAATTAACGAATGCACAGTTTGGTGACCAAGAATCAGGAGATTGATACTTGAGCTTTCGTCCTCCGGGGTACCGAGTCTTAATGCGGGTTTCGATTTCTCTATTTACAGCCTCTTGGACTTTTGGCCTGACATGCAGAAGTTGAGGTGTGATGCGTCGGACGTCTTCTAACTTAGCCCCGTTATAGAAGTAGTCGTGCTTCTGGGTGTTGATCTCTGCTTCCGTCCCCACGTAGAAGCCGGATGTATGAGGACTTTGGACGACGTTGTCAAATAACTTGAAAGTGATTTGTTCGAATGACTCTGATTCGTGTAACATTTCCTTGAGAAGAGCGCTGGCTTCATCTGGTGGCAGGAAATTATGAACTACAGTACAAGGCGTATGCTCAGCTATATCTTCGGGATCATATAAGTGAAGGGTTGCTCCTTTCTTAGAGAGTCGCCTTGCCTTTTTAGGCGACACGGATCGTTCTTCAGTTGAGTATGGATATGCAAACGACCGTAAAGAAGTTTGACAACCAATCGTGGCGGTAGTCTTCGGCTTCTTAGGTGATCCGGATCGATCCTCAGCTAAAGAAGCAGAAGCTGCCTGAACAGAGCCGTCATGTGCCAAAAGCGCTTCTAATAGAGCTTCCTGACTAATATTTGGGTGCACTGAAGAGAGAATGGCCAGTTTCACTTCCGTCGACTCATTCTCGTCGAATAATATTGATGATTCTTCCAGTGCAGACGATTTGCGCTTATCTCTTTTCAAAGGTGTATCCATGCTGCAGAGTGTCTGCAACGTTTGATGTGTTTATAACAATGGATGTTAAAGTCTCGCAAACGCTTGATTCGTAATGCGTACGATTTCATATTCTAACATGAAGATTAGCTGCCTAAATATGTAGATGAGTAGATGGAATGACTCAGAAAGGACGGCGGACGATGAAACTTGAAGGGCGCCATTGAGATGACTAAGCCCATGTACATCGAATAGAGCCCTGAGGTGAGACCTTCCCGGAAATCGATTTACTAGGGCCGAGGATACCCATGTTGGTGTTACACATCCCCCACATTGTCACAGGTACCTGGGTACCATTAGAGCCGAGGCCCCACTAGGTGGCATTCAATTCATCGTCATACCTTCGCCGTTATTTCTCGATGAAGCGTCTTTCAATCGTCTAGAGTTCCAATGCGCCAGCAAGTTAAAAGGTTGAGGTCTAAAGGCCAGCGGTTTATTTGCTCTATATAAGCGACATGGCTTCGATGCTGGAGTTCCGCACACCCGGCTGGAACCCTTATGCCGTAAAATATTCGCCTTATTACGACTCGCGCATAGCTGTCGCATCCGCCGCAAATTATGGCATTGTAGGAAACGGTCGTGTATTTTGCTTAGGCTTGGGGCCGCAAGGTGTCCAGGTCGAGAAGACGTAAGCGACTGTGAATGCGCAGCTCCACGTTAAACTAAGATCCTCGTCTAGCTTCGATACGAACGATGCCCAGTATGACCTTGCCTGGTCCGAGATCAATGAGAACCAGCTGCTGGTCGCGTGTGGTGATGGCTCTATTAAACTCTATGATATGAACGTCAACGAGTTTCCTGTGGCCAACTTCCACGAGCATAAGCGAGAAACATTCTCGGTGTCGTGGAGTCCTGTCACCAAGGACACTTTTGCTTCCAGCTCGTGGGATGGAACAGTCAAGATCGTACGCACCCCTCCTGCGCGCGCTTGTGTCAGCCTCAACAATACTAAATGAATATTCATAGTGGTCGCCGGCGAGAAAAGAGTCCATCAAAACCTTACCAGTCGGAAATTGTACCTATAGTACATCATATTGCCCTTCCAATCCAAACATCATCTCTGCCGTATCATCCGATTCACACTTGCGGATATTCGACCTTCGGACGCCGGTCACCGCTCAGTATCATCTAACCTCTAAAATTCCGGTTCATATCCCGGCTCCTGTTCCGCTCCCGCAAGGCCCCACCCCGCCTGCCGTACCAGGGGAGATCCTCACACATGACTGGAATAAGTACAACCATACAGTGATCGCGACAGGCGGCGTAGACAGGGTAATACGGATATTTGACATTAGGAATCCTTCGACGGGGCCAGCATCCGTGATGATGGGCCACGATTACGCCGTCCGGAGGTTAGCGTGGAGTCCACACGCCAGCGACATCTTGATTAGCGGAAGCTATGACATGACGGTACGTCTATGGACAGACGGGTCGACGATGCCGGCACAACAAGAGTCCCCGGTAAAGGCCGGGATCCAACTCGGCATCATGAATAGGCATACCGAATTTGTGACGGGCGTCGATTGGTGCTTGTTTGGTGTTGGCGGTTGGGTTGCAAGTGTAGGGTGGGATGAGAGGTTGTTATTATGGGATGCGAATAGAATTTTGCGAGGACAAGCATAACGATTATATCAACACCTGCCCTCGTGCGGAATCAAGAGAGAAAATACGACTCGTTGGTGATAGACGACAAACTTGTGGGCTTACAACGGGGAATTTGCATTGGGAGGCGTTTGATAAAGCAGTTAAGGGTTTACAATACTGTTGATACCATCATATTTGAAATGGCATATATATTGGTCTTCTGCCTACGAAATGATATGAATCGGAAATTTGAATCAACTTATATGAATGATTACCTTATAAGCATGGGTTAGCGATAGTGAGCCAACGAAGTGGAATATCCTGTCTTCTAACTAACCCGACGCCTAATTTACATGTGTTTTTTTTATGATAAGCTCCAATCATTGAATTATAATGGATACTAATACACATAATGTACCTACCTAGTCTTGTAAATCTTTCATGCGTACCTTAGGCAATGTAACTACCTACGTAGTACCTTCTAAGCCAATACTAGGTAACCCATGTAGATATCAACAATTGTAAGAGTTCCAAATTCTAGATATATGTAAGATGTAACAGACCTATTATATGATTCGAGAGGAGTTTCCCGACTAGCATAAATTGTTTCTGATACACTATCATTGTTCCTCGTATCCCAGACAGTAAAAGGTAGTGGTAGACTACCTAGGTAGGTTGGTATCGATAGGTATTGTCGAACACTTTGCGGTTCTACAATTTAATTATTAGTCGAAGCCCGCAACGTTGGAGATCAACCCGAATTCTATAGGCAACACTTAACTACCAAAGTACTTCACACATCACCAGTGTAGTATTGTCAAGACTCCGCTAAGATCAAGACCCCAATGGTTCAATATTCGATACTACTCTTAAAAGCCACCCAACCTGCCATGCTTCAGTCGCAATGACGTACGTTTCCTAGTCCGATGTTACCGCACTAGATCTTAAAGATTGGCCCAAAGTTCTCGAAGGATAGCGATCTGATCGTGCTCCCGTATGAGAAGTTCTGTCACTTCGAGAGCTGTATAGCACAAGGAAGTTTTCCAGTCAAATCTGGACCCCTGACTTCTCATATACGGATTGTTCATAAACCTACTCAGTCCTATTTAAAATGCTCGAATCGGAGGACCGGGTATTTGTCCTATCTTCAGAAGGATTTGTCCCCCGCCCTTTGTATATGATTATAGTTTTAATTGCCTGATTTTTGGTACTGGAACTGATAGGTTAGAATGGATGAAGAGGGTCTTCGCTGACGGAGAGCGCAATGTACCTTGTCCAGCCGTCTAGGATTCGAGATTTCGGGTCATCGATGCGACCTTAGAGGCGCAAGCGTTGGTACCTCTTGAGGAGATACTCCGCTAATACATCCCAACGGGCAAGCATCTTCTGAAAATAATTCAGGCCAGACTCAGGCAACAGAAAAAAAAACAGTACAACGTGAAGCAGAAGAACAGGAAATCCCAGAGGATATCATCCCTCGTTGGTGCAACTGTCAGAAAGTAATTACCACGTGGACGAAGAAGATGGCAGGTGGACCATGTGGTTTTCCATCACAGGATCTCCTGAGGCAAGTTGATTTCTTTGTTCCTCCGTTGGATGCTAGAGTCCCTTTCCCGACTCACATCTCTGTAGGATTAAGATTTGATTTCTCATGAAGCGTTCTATGAAAACTTCCCTAGGGATCAAAACTTCTGCCCTATATTTTGCCGTGGAACATGTATGTAACTTTGTTGAACGAATCAGAACACATCAATTATCTAGCTTAATACATCGTTCTTAGGTCCTTTGGCATCGGAAGTTGCTGTATGTTAGCAGCAACCTGAAATCACTTCAACACAAGCACGAATAACCCATCCAATTTCTTAGAAGTCATTAAACACATCGTTTCTAATTTCTTTTCGCATTGCGCGTTAACGACCCCCCTTACAGTATAATACATAAAAGTCGAGATTTCCTTTTGGTCGTTGAGGCCCCCTTTCATTCACCTCAGCCCTCCGAGATAAGATTCCGCCGACGCCTTGTATCGTTTCGTGAAAAACCAAAGCAACGAGAAACCTTGACGCCGATGGTGTGGGGATGGAGCTCTCGCGAATGCGAGAACTAGTCGATGACGAACGCGCTACCAACTTCTATGTTCTTGCGTGTCATCTATTCCTTTCGGTATGGTACGTGTGCCGAGTGACGCACGTGAGTCCGGGAACCCGGCACATATACAACGAGGAAGCTGAAGGATGCTTCCGAAGATGGTACATTAGGAATTAACACAAGATGTCGAATCTAGGGGATTGGGGCCCTTTTTCAACACGGAGAGGAGCCACGGTACGCTTAGAATGACGAGTTGCGCGAACCGTTACGGCTGCCGTATGAGTCACGGCTTTGGCCAAAGCCACCGCCTCCTCGGCCACCACCCCCACCGCGACCACCACCACCAAAGCCGCCTGATCGGCTACCCTGACCGAAACCGCCTGATCGGCTACCCTGACCGAAACCGCCTGACCGGCTACCTTGACCGAATCCGCCTGATTGTCCGCCGAAGCCACCTGATCGACCGCCGGAGCCGCCTGATCGACCACCGAAGCCGCCTGATCGTCCGCCGAAGCCGCCTGATCGTCCGCCGAAGCCACCCGATCGTCCGCCGAAGCCACCTGAACCATAAGATCCGCCGAATTCGTCCTCGTCAGGCTCATCATGTCCGATTCTGACTCCAGGAATATTCGCCAGTCCGCGATTGTACGCCGCTTTTGACGATATGGCAGGTTGTTGATCCCAGCCCATGCCATTCATACACCATTGATTGAGTAAGTTGATGACGTCTTCAGGCAGCAAATATCTTCCCATTTTCGAGCCGAGGAAAGAGTTGTATGTATCCCTGAACGGTTGCTTTGGAAGTTTCTGATAAGCTCGAGAGACTTCCTCAAAGAATTTCGCAACTTGTGCCGGTGGATCACCTGATCCTACTACGTGCTGTGGAGCCACAAGATCCTTATTGGGTTTAATGGGCAGGCCAGGAAGGCGATTCCGCGCTTCTTGAATTTCTTCCTTGGCCAAAATAAGCCATCCTTCACCAGACTTTCCAGCACGACCCGTTCGCCCGACTCGGTGGATATATTGGTCTCTGTCTGGGGGTAGACCGACCTGGATAACGTGCGACACATTGGGAAAATCCATTCCTCTTGCGGTGACATCCGACGAAACTAGAATACCTGTTTTAGCAGCTCGGAAGGCATCGGCGTTCCTTGTACGTTGGGCCTGAGTTAGCTTTGAATGAATATCGTAAATTCCGGGACCGCCTGCTCTCGAAGCTAAAGAAGTTCCCCTGAGAACTCGGTTTGTAAACGCGACGGTGGATGTGTTCGAGAAGAACAGGATTGCCTTGAATGGGAGGGCGTCGGGATCCTCTCTAGCCCTCTGCTGCGCTCGATCGGCAATTTCCATGACGGTTGGGTACCAATTCTCGTAACCGTTCACCTGCACAAGGTGTTGCGGGACACGTTCATGAGTTGGCGTTTCATCAGGGCTGATTGTTTGCACGAACTCGAAATTGTCTGTCTTGACCATGCTCTTGGCTAGATGAACGACGTCTCGGGGAATGGTGGCAGAAAACAGGAGAGTTTGGCGGTCGACCTCGCGAATGGGTGGGAGGAGATCTATAAGATTGCGAATGTCATCGGCGAAGCCAACGTCTAGCATACGATCGGCTTCATCCAATACTACACATTGTACTTTTGGCGCCTTCACGCCAGAGTCTGGGTCTGTGAGAATATCCTGAAGTCTACCTGGGGTGGCGACAAGAACGTGGCAACCCTCTCGGCGCATCTTCCAAAGAGCTTCTCTCTTCCTCGTTCCGCCCACGGCCGTTTGAATAACGATCCCAGTGTGTTCAGCTAGCTTTTGTGCCTCAACACCGATTTGCTCTGCAAGTTCACGCGTTGGGGACATAATGATGCCACGGATATCCTCCGTGGTAGCATGTCGACGGGCAGATGGCTGAGCAAGGCTAGGTTCAGCTTGCAGGATACGCTGGAAAAGAGGGATGAGAAAGCCTAGGGTCTTGCCGGTTCCAGTCTTCGCTTGCGCAACTCTGGAAAAAAAAAATTAGTGAGGGGCTAACTAAAAATAAAAAGGAACATGAAGTTTTACGTACAAATCAACACCCTTGAGTGCCGGGTTGATAGTCATAGACTGGACATCAGTCATGGTGTCATATTTCATGTCTTGGGTAATGGCTCGTATAATTCGTTCATTGACGCCTAGCTTTGCTAGGTCTTCAAACCGGGTCACATCGTAAATCCCAGCTGGCGAGTCACCGTCTGCATTGTGATGTGCTGTGGCTTCTTGAGAATATAGTCGAATGGCGACTTGTCTGAAGGAAGGTAATTGGGGTTGAACCTGCGACAATGTCCGGCATGATACTGCTGCGAGGGGTCGAGAGAGAAGCTGTCGCGGGGCCAAGCTCGAGAGTTGGCGACGGGCTAAATTGCCTACGCGGGCATGCCGCTGCAGGGAAGACTTGAACATTGCGACAATAGAGAAGATATTACTTCCAAGGTTCACAAGAATAGAGATGGGAAGTAAAGGGATCCTCTCATATGCGCACGACCTTATAAATGAAAATTTAAAGCGCGTGTCGAGGCGAATTGAAATTTGCGCTGAACGAATTTTTTTTTTTTTCTTTAGAAACTTTTGACCAGGGGTCTAGGTCCGGTCCGTTGAATGTGGAGCCACTTAAAATCGGAAACGGAATAAATTTATTTCCCCCGGCTTTACTAAGGCCTTGGCATCCTGGAAAATTGTATCCAGTGTTGATAATACCTCAACATGCAGTATTAATGTGCAAGTCGCTTTAAGTCATGAGTACAACACACTGTGTAATAGGAATTCATATTGGTTGACTACCTATACATACAATATATCTGTTATTAACACATATTCCAGCCTAGAAATCGTAAATCATCGACTTTGATATTGGTGAGTTTGGTTGACATAGCTACGTAGATACCTACACTAGGTATGTTATGTCAATGAATTTGTTAACTCAAGTTATTAAACTCTTAAACTCCAACGTTGTTCTCTCCAATGTTTTGTCGGCCCAGTTGAAGAACCTTACTACGTACCTGTAAGTTCAAAGAGTGGGGTATCAAATCCGAACCGCGGGGAGCTTGGAAGCTGATCTACAAATTGCATAGTACCTATGTGCCCAGGTACTGTGGCGTTTGTGTTTTACTCTTCAATTTACGATAAGGTACCTAATACAATCAATGAGCTCTGGAAGGCCAATCGAGGAATTCTAAGTTCAATGAACGAATGAACGAATGAATAAATATGTCCGAGGGAGGTTCCTTAGCTGCGCCCTATTACAAGAAGAATAATCGTATTTGCAAAGTACTATGCGTATCCTACACCTATTATTACTAGGTAGCGGGTAGAAGTAGCGGAAGGTGGTTGGGTTGCATGTGAAAAACGCTTATCCACTTTAAACAAAAGCGTCTTTTTAAGTGGATCGGCGGAACCTCGTGCTTCAAATGCTACCTACCTAAGTACTAAGTATATACATCCATGGATGGCTCCAGTGCGGCGTCAACCACTGGTAGCATATTTGTCGCTGATATTTAACAGAAAAGGAACCCCTTCCTGCCCTTCTTAATTACATGTGGTCCTCAAACCTACAGGTATATATACTCTTGCATGGACACCCATACGTTATGTCATTGAAATGTCTCGAATCTAAACTGCATGGAGTATAAGCTCTAGATTTGAACTTTCTTCCAAGCCGAGCTGAACTTGTCTCTGTTAAACAACTTCGGGACCTATTTTCTTTTCTTATCCCAATACATATTATACATATTAACATAATGATCTGAACTTCAACTTGCATATTCAGCATTGCTAGAATTGAGAGGAATGAAAGGGGGGATAATAGACATCATAATGGAACAAGATATGTCTATCGTGGTATTCAACATGTTGCCGACGTCGGTCCAGGCTCGACTGCCGGCTTTCCGATCTCTCCGCCGATCTACGAGCCTATCTATCTCGTCCTTTCGACGCCGTTCTCTACCACCTCAGAAAGACATGGAAGAGGTAATGATTACGAGGAGTGAAGAGGACTCGGTCATTGGGTTGCGGCCATGCTCAGAAGCAACAACAAACGCCACTGATAGTGGACGTGAGGTAGACCAAAAAAAGTCGTTGAACTGCGACGGCAGTAGTCCCGATGCCAGCTCAGGAGTGAAGTGGAATTATGCCGCACAAGGTACGAATTTCCTCGATCTACCGTCCACTTCACATAAGTCTGGATACGTTGTTCAACTCTGGGATATAGGTTCTTACTTGCAGCACTCTGCCGCCCATGAAACAATTGACTTGGCCTTCGCAAGGAAATCGTATATTGACGGCGTAGCATACATGCTGAAAGCTCTTCCGGATGATATGGACGATTATGAAGCCTGTGTCATCCGACGCGCGCTACCAAACTCATTACAGCAAACTGGAACGGATAGACGGATCGAGGGAGGATCTAAATGGCTCCCATCCGATAGAGCAAAGACGTTTCTGCACTCTACTGTTCAAGGATTCGTATCGAGCCTTGTCCTTTTCGCCTACATCCTCCTCTCCTTTCTGTCAGCCATCATCCGTACCGGAGCCCATTATGAGCGGCAATACAACATCTCGCAACACATCGTCTCTGGTAGCTTTGTTTTGGCTACTGCCGTCGGGAAGCGGAGTGGTGCCCTAAGTGAGAAGAGTGAGTATACTCCGGACCTGTTTAAGAGCCACGCATCTGTCGATAACTAGTTTTTTGAGACTAGACCTCGCTGTTGAGGTTTTCTTTAGTTTGCAATTACTAACTTCAAGTGCTCTAGTTGGTGCTATAAGTGACGGCAGACTTGGTAAGCTGCTATCCGACCTTGTCGCTTGGACTATAGAGAGCGTTGCCGGCGGAGTCCAAGATGGCATCGGACAGGGTTTACTCTTAATCGAACAGAGGCGTAAATGAGTTATGACATGACGGGTATTTGCATTTCCTGCCGGGATTGGCCTGGCGTACGGATAGAGGTATGCGTATACATATTGGAATATACATAGAACGCATTAGAAACACGGAAGGATAAGGGCATGGATAGACAATGATTAAACGAAGGCATCTGCAATACTTCCGCAATATTTTCTGCACGATGACATAGGCACCTGGCCGAGGGTGAGACTCCGAATATGTATATATGTTCGCTTCGATTCCGAATCTACGGAACCTGTTTCAGACCAAGGGTACGCCACGCATGTACTTCAAATTTGGATATACCAAAAGCCGTCGAGTCGAGGGGTGGGGTCCAAATGCACAGTCAACTTCCTTCCAACCTGGACCCTTAAGTCGCCAAACCAAACCCGTAGTCCTGAGTCTATGTTCACTATTGAGTCTTCCCGGTAGCCTTCTCCGCCGCAATTTTGGCCTCCATCTTCTTCCTCGCTGCCAGAATCATCTCGTCTCGCCTCCGTTGTAGCGACGCTTGTCTCTCGTCCCGATTGGAGCTCCATGGCTTTGACTTTGTTACGGACTCGGCCTCGCCGTTCGCGGTGACCTTATCTTGTAACCTATACCTGGTAATTAAGTCTGGTTCGGCAGGTTTGGGTGGCGCCTTGAAGGTCTGTGTTTGCGCTGTCGACGAGGGTGTCGGGGAGACTGGGGGAGGTGGCGGCTGGAATGTGACAGGCGGCTGAGAGCATTACAAGATTAGCATCGCACGTCAAGATAGAAACGCGCGCAGGGGGATATGCGTGCCATGAGGGAAGAAGAGTTAGGAAGACATACTGTTTCTAGCCGCCCAGATAATATTCTTTCCGTGGTCGCCGCGATGTTTCCCCCATTACGGTGCAGATCCCACAAGATAGTCCTCCGATCGACTTGCGGAAACATTTGCTGGATTCGTTCCACGGCAGCCTCTCTGGCGCGGGACGCCGACTGAGCATCTCGTGTCGGTCGCGGAGGTTGCGAGGCCGGAGAGAAAAATAGGTAACGAATGATGAGCCCGCCGAGGACGATTATTAGGATAAGGGAAGTGAGTGACACTTGTTCGTCTGCCATTTCTTGTGCCGTGAGCTATGCATGTAATACTTTCCACCTAAATCTATTATATTTCGACGAAAGTCATAGATGAAGATAGAAGATACAAGGTCTAATCGGGGACTGGGCCGAAAGAAATCGGATTGTGGCCAGGATAGATCAAAATGACGTCCAGTAGGGAACCGATTCTGCTATGGACAACTTTGATAACGGGGTTCGGAAGTCGCGTGTGGATTCCAGCGAGTTGCACCTTAGAATGTTACGGGAACAATTGAAACAGTTGGAACAGTTGAAACCTTATCCACGGATCCATCCTGGCCACCTGAAATTTGGGGCTCACGTCAGATGTACCTAAGTACCTGATGCTAGTCTGATCATCGGCATCTTAATATCAACATCGAAGCCTACGGAATACGTTCACAAGCATTTTCCAAATTTGAAGCTAATGTGGTGATAATACCCATTGCAATTACTCGTCACTCTCAGTTCGAGTTTGCGAATCTGCAACCTACATAGGGCCAGGTACGACTGAATTCATGATTTGGGCCTGTACCCAAGACTGCTCTTAATAACCGTTGAGCAATCAGGATCACCTATGAGTGTCATAAATAATCTATCCTCTTCCTTGCAACCCTGGCCAAACCAGAGATAGCAATGAAAAAGAAGTTCGCGTCACCTGGAGGCAGTGTAATACCAGGGACACGGTGGGAGCGATCATGGGCAAGCCCAGAGGATGCGCTACCGAGGTGCAAAAATTAGAATAATCACGATTGAATCCAAGTAGGATTCTTTCAGAGATTAAACTGAAAAGAACAGATACTACACTTGATCTAAGCCAAAAGGCTATCACGAAGGTTAGCAGATTGTCAACCGTATGCAGTATAGGTGTGGTGTTGGCTTACCAAAGAGAGCTGAAGAAGAAAGAAAAAGGAATTCTGAGATTGGAGCTGGGAAGAATTAGATATAGTAGCTTGGAGGGGACCGTAGTGGGGCACCTGATTCTGCCGCAACTTCCCGCTCTCACGGCGTCTCTATACGTGGTCTGTGCGTTAATTAGCCCTCATTTATCAGCCAAGCTTCGCGGGGCTAATAGAACCCATTTTAAATACCTAATCAATAACCAATGATAGCTTGATCCCTGTGTAGTTTGTTTTTGTTGACCTCAATCGCGTCGGCAACCGGTTTTTTAATAGCAACTCCAATGCGGCAACAACTTGAAGCTGTAGATGTTACGAGTTAACAGAGCCATCGTTAATTTTTATATGCGAATCAAATCGCAGTCGCCAATATGAGGGTTACGGAGGTGATTATAGACGTATGTATGCTACGAGATGATATAATAATTACTTTCGCTGACTTATTTAAAAGGGCTTCAAATCATATGCCGTTAGGACGGTCATTTCGGGATGGTCAGTAAATAAGAGTGCTCTTCTACGTCGCATACTAGAAGCTGATGTCGTCGCATAGGGATGAGAGCTTTAACTCCATTACCGGCCTTAACGGTAGTGGAAAATCGAACATCCTAGATTCCATTTGTTTCGTTTTAGGTATCACGAACATGTCCACCGTTCGAGCCCAAAACTTGCAGGTATGGGTGCCAAAAGAAGTATACCTGGATTTGCGACCATACAGGCCCTAACTATCAAACTCAGGATCTTATCTACAAGCGCGGCCAAGCAGGCGTGACGAAAGCAAGCGTGACCATCGTCTTCGACAACAGAGACAAGCAGAAATCACCTATCGGATTCGAAGAGTATGCCACAATTAGCGTCACTAGACAGATCGTCTTAGGCGGAACTTCAAAATATCTCATCAATGGGCACCGAGCACAACAGCAAACTGTCCAAAATCTCTTCCAATCGGTCCAACTCAATATCAATAATCCCAACTTCCTCATCATGCAAGGCCGAATCACGAAGGTCCTAAACATGAAGGCAGTCGAGATTCTAGCCATGATTGAAGAAGCCGCTGGTACCAGAATGTTTGAGGACCGAAGGGATAAGGCTTTAAAGACCATGGCCAAGAAAGAGATGAAGTTACAGGAGATCACCGAGCTCCTTCGTGACGAAATCGAACCTAAGCTCGAGAAATTACGGACAGAAAAGAGAGCCTTTCTGGATTTTCAACAAACGCAAAACGACTTGGAGCGCTTGACGAGGGTCGTAGTCGCGCACGATTATGTCAAGTATCAAGAGAGACTGCAACAGTCTGCTTCAGATCTGGAAAACAAGAAACGACGACAGAAGGACCTTGAAGATTCCGCCACCAGGCTTAAGAGCGAGATATCCCATCTTGAAGAAGACGTCAAGAGAGTAAAGGCGCAAAGAGATAAGGAGCTCAGGAAAGGGGGGAAGGCCCAGGCGCTGGAGGACGATGTTAAAAAACATTCTAACGAGCTGGTCCGATTAGCCACTGTAATGGACTTGAAGAAGTCTAGCAAATTCGAGGAAGAGGAGAAGAAAGCCGCGGTCCAGAAGAGTGTTGCCGAATTGGAGGCGACCTTGAAAGAGAAGACAAAAGCATATGAACAAATCAAGGCCAAGTACGACGCAGCAAAAGAGGAGAACGAGAAGCAAAGCCTCGAAGCAGAGTCAAAAGAGGAATTGCTTCAGACATTGCAGACAGGCGTTGCATCTAAAGAAGGTCAGGAAAGCGGTTATCAGGGCCAGTTGCAAGACGCAAGAAACCGAGTAGCGGCCGCGGCTACGGAACAAGAACAGGCCAAGATCAAGATCGCCCATCTCGAGAAGCGAATCAAAGAGGAAGAGCCTCGAGCAAAGAAGGCTAAGGAACAAAATGCGGGCCTACTAAAAGACTTGGAGGGTCTCAAAGCTCAATCTCAAAAGCTTCAGGCTCACCTTGCGAAGCTTGGATTTGAGCCGGGGCAAGAAGAAGATATGTATAAGCAAGAATCATCGTTGCAGCAAACTATCAGAGGCTTACGCCAAGAGGCGGATGCTCTGAAGCGTAAAGTTGCCAATATCGATTTCAACTATGCTGATCCAACACCTAATTTCGACCGTTCGAAGGTCAAGGGATTAGTTGCACAACTCTTCACCCTCGATAAGGAACACATCAGAGCTGGCACTGCTTTAGAGATATGTGCTGGAGGCCAACTCTACAATGTCGTCGTGGATAGCCAGGTCACAGGTACTCAACTGTTACAGAACGGCAGACTACGAAAGAGAGTCACCATCATTCCTCTTAACAAAATCGTGGCATCTAAAGCCTCGGCACAGACGATTGCTACGGCCCAAAATATCGCACCTGGAAAGGTGGATCTGGCTTTGTCGCTCGTAGGTTACGATGATGAAGTATCTGCAGCGATGGTAAGAATCTTTGGCAGGACTTTAATCTGCCAAGATGCCGAAATTGCGAAGAGAGTGACTTTTAACCCGAATGTACGGATGAGGAGTATCACTTTGGAAGGCGATACGTACGATCCCTCAGGTACGCTATCAGGCGGAAGCGCACCTAACTCTAGTGGCGTATTGGTCACCCTACAGAAGCTAAACGAGATCAACCGCCAGCTCAAGGAAGCTGAAGGTTCTTTGCGCAACCTCCAAGCTAGGATCTCCCAAGAGAAGTCAAAACTCGACCAGGCCCGTAAAATCAAGCAGGATCTTGATCTCAAAGCCCATGAAATCAAACTCGCAGAGGAGCAAATCAGTGGCAATTCTTCGTCATCGATTATCCAGGAAGTGGAGAATATGAAGGAGACAATCATCCAGCTCAAGAATGACAGTGCTGAAGCTAAAAAGAGACAAGCCGAAGCTAGTGCCGATGCAAAGAGAATAGAGAAGGACATGAAAGACTTCGAAAACAACAAGGATTCAAAGCTTGTAGAACTTCAATCTTCTCTAGACAAACTGCGAGCGACGTTGGCTAAGAACTCAACTGCCGTCAAGTCTTTACAGAAGGAGGTCCAAAGCGCCCAACTAGACTCTGAACAGGTCTCTGGTGATCTTGCTGCCGCAAGAGAACAGTTACAGGAGGTCGAATTTGCTATAGAATCACAACAACAGGAGATTGAGGATCTTGTTAAGAAACAATCCGCATTACAGGAGACTCATGACCTCGCTCAAGCAGAACTTGACGACGAAAGGGCGAAACTAACTGGCTTCGACGACGAATTACATGCGCTTGAAGAAGCTATTAGGTCAAAGAACAACCGAATTACTGAAGAGGGTCTCGAAAAGCAAAAGCTTGGTCACACAGTCGATAAATTCCACAAGGAGCAACAGCACGCGGTTCAGGCTGTAGCAAACATGGAGAAGGAGTTTGATTGGATTGCTGAGGAGAAAGACAACTTCGGCCGCACGGGGACGCCGTACGACTTCAAGGGCCAGAACATTGCGGAGTGCAAAGCGACGCTGAAGACGCTCACAGACCGGTTCCAGGGCATGAAGAAGAAGATTAATCCCAAGGTCATGAACATGATCGATAGTGTCGAGAAGAAGGAGGTGTCGCTTAAGCACATGATGAAGACGGTCATCCGCGATAAGCGCAAGATCGAGGAGACCATCATCAGCCTTGACGACTACAAGAAGAAGGCCCTCCTGCAGACCTGGGAGAAGGTCAACGGCGACTTCGGCCAAATCTTCTCGGAGCTGTTACCTGGTGGTAGCTTCGCGAAGCTGGATCCACCCGAGGGCAAAACCATCAATGAGGGTCTAGAGGTTAAGGTTTGTTTAGGCAAGGTGTGGAAGCAGAGCTTGACGGAACTGAGTGGTGGTCAACGGTAAGCATTCTCTATTCTGGCCATTCATCATCCCACCCTTTTTTTTTTTTTTTTTTTCTACGACTATCACAATACTAACCGTGACAACGAATAGATCACTAGTAGCGCTCTCTCTCATCATGGCGCTGCTCCAGTTCAAGCCAGCGCCCATGTATATCCTAGACGAGGTCGACGCGGCGCTGGACCTGTCGCACACGCAGAATATTGGTCGCCTCATCAAGACGCGCTTCAAGGGGTCCCAGTTCATCGTCGTCTCCCTCAAGGACGGCATGTTCCAGAACGCCAACCGCATCTTCCGCACGCGCTTCAGCGAGGGCACGAGTATGGTGCAGGCTCTTACCGCCGCGGACTTCAAGTGATCCCACCTACCTATACATGCCTCACACAAGTAACATTCTTCCAGCTTACCTCTCCCGGAAGGTAGAGAAGGCGGGCGCGGGTGGAGCGGCGCAAGGCGTGGGGGCGGGACGGGTTGCCTTTGTCGGGTTATGCGCGGTTTAACGTATGTATGTAATGCGTATGTGGCTAAGTCTAGCGTGCGCGCGTGCTTATGTACGATCCAATATGAGAGGGGAGGAATGGGGGGGGACTGAGGGGAAACCAGAGAGTGAGAGCGAGAGTGAGAATGAGAAAGAGAAAAAATATGAGGAATGAGACATGAGGGATATTGCAGCTTCCCCAATGACGATTGCATGAGCGACCGTAGAGCATTACTCGTTACGGCCCACGATGGTTGGATTGAGGGTTGGAGGGACGGGAATGGATGGACGGTCAACACACGCAACGAAACGAATGAATGGTTATACCAATTGACGGCGGCGGATAGGCTAGGCCATTATGAAATATTGTTTTTTCGAGCAGGTTTTTTTGTCGCTTTCGATTGGGGACTCTTCTCTTTTCGGTTACCGGAGTAATGACAAATCCCAGTGCCGATGATGTCTCAGTTGTTCCAGTTCACTTTCTTTCTTGTTTTAGCCGCCCTCGAAGTTTGAGTACACCGTGATATTCGTCGGTTTCATCTAATGCGTCTTATTCTAGGTGATATACATATATCTGCCGCCCGGTTTTATTTTTTATTATTTTTAAGCGCCGTGAAAGTGCTTCGGTACCACCTGACCACCTTCTACTCTCGCCACATCTCATGATTAAGGTATGTTTTCTTGCCGTGAGCATATAGATTAATGGTACAATGTGAAGCGGAGCTGTCTTAGTCTTAGTCTTACTTTTACTGCTTGATATATACATGGTGGCCCCGCTCCTCGACCTCGACCGTCATGCCGACGGCGATCCAAGACTCGCGGTCGTCGCCCAGGCTGGCGTCGTACAGGGGCGTGAGCTGCATCCCCAGGCAGCCGTTCAGCGGGGCGCCCTCGTCGACGGCCCGCTTCGCCCTGAGCGACTTGTCCGGCTCGCTCGGGTGCCGGACGCCGGTGTCGGGGTCGACGTTGGGCATCTTGCATCTGATTGTGGAGTTAGTTACCCTTCAGCCCTTGAGTCCTACAGCGATCAATCAGGTAGGTGGTAATCCTCCCCACGTTGGGGGAAAACGGATGCCGAGGTGGCTTCGGAGTTTGGGATGGGGAAGTGGGTGGGAAGGTAGGTAGGTAGGTAGGTAAGGAGGCAGGTAGGGAAGGGAGGGATGAGGAGGAGGGGTTACTGACCTGACAGTTCTGCATGATACATGGAACGAGGCGTCGTTGTAAAGACCTGAACTCCCCGGCTTGAACCGGACTTGCTTCCACGTCTCCTCGTCGTAGGCATCGGCGCCAGAAACTGTGAATAGTGTGAGATGGGATTTCAGATGGAGGGGCAAGGCTGGAGGATATTGGCTTACGGATGATGTTAGGTCGGAATCGGAGTACGTCGAGTTCCTTTAAGCCATCATCTTTGGGAACCTCTTCGCTGAACTTTTGTATGCTGTTTAGCGTCATCAAGTGAAGGGGATACTAGAATTTGGGATTAGTCTACACGGTCAAGATTCAGCTGAAGGTAACGGAAGACGTACAGCGTCCTGAAATCCTGTTACAGGTTGATATCCAGCCTCGTCCTTGCTTGGGGCGCATCGATAGACCTCACGCAGTTGGTCTGGGTCAATTCTGAATATGCCGAGTTTGTTGCTAACGCCCAAGTACCGTCGTAGCTCCGAGGGCAACTCCCTTTCCATGTTAAGAGCGTTGACGGTTTCTTTCCATATCTTGACATTTTCGAACGTATAGCCGTTCTCCTTGATCTCTGCTTCCGATGGGAAGTCCACCGGAAGCAAGATCTCTATTTCCGGCTCAGCAGCACGTCCTCTCTGAAGCTTCGCCGTAATCGTTGAGTAAATACCACGCCAACCATCCTCCTTCCAAGGAAATCGTATGACCAAAAATGCCTCCTTCGATTTCATTGACTGCTTCCGGAGTTTCATCTCATCCGGTAACCACAGGTCAACGGTAACATTAGCCAATCTGGCGAACTGCCTTTGAGTAATGAATTCCCATGCGTGCTGCGATTTCTCCTCATCTGTGGAGTCCACCGCCACGGGGAAGGGACTTTTGAGCTGTGCAAATGTGAAGAGGCGATCGAACTGCAGCCCTGACGGGAAGACTTTGCTCCTCGTCAGTTCAATGCCCTTACATGACTTGACTGGGTAGATGACCAAGCTCTGAACCTTGGGTGACTCGTTGCCCTGTGGCGAATGCTCAGCGGAGAACTGCTTCTTCAGGTTACTCTTCGAACCGTCAACTCCAGCCTTTGTGTGCGTCTGGATCAGCGCATCGGCTTTTTGAAGTCCGACAGGTGGTAAAATCACAACCACAGGTATTAAGAAGGCAAGAATGGTTATCGAAAGTAAGAATATCGAGCTAGCATCCAGATTAAGGCCGCCGCGGGCCTGAAGCAACTCATCCATGACGATGCGTTATAATTACTACTACTAGGTAGGTAGGAAAATCTTCGAATCGAAAGTATTATGTTGGTACTTGTCCAGCAAGACACGTCTTTGTCTTTGAGAGATGTATCATACGTAGCTACAAGAAGAATAAGACGAGATGAATATAACAAAGGGTGGGCCTGCAGAGGTCAAGGAGTTGAAGCTAAAAAGAGCGTTTCAAATGTGGTTGCATCGTTAGTCCCTCGACGAAACATTTGAAACACTCGAAACATCTGAGACATTGTTAAGGGCGAAGCGCCAAAATCGACTCATCGCGACTATGTCATGTGATCAAGCTCGTTCTGACTAATGTATTGTCACGTGATATACGGCTGAACCGCCAACTAGGGGATAGTAAGCTAGCGGGAGCGGCTGATTAGGTGTTTTAATAATCTAATTGATCATATCTCGAGTCCGAGGTCGCCAGAGAATAAGAATGTGTAGGTTGATGTTCTTCATAGCATACCTAGAAATCTGGCCAGATAGCAGCAGCCGATCATCCAGGTAGCGAATCCATACACCTAGCTACCATATTACCTGTAGGTATCCGAGGGAGATGCAACTTTTCACGTTCCGTCGAGCAGAAGCAATCTAATCGCTGTAGGATTCTATCATGGGACGATCGCACTAATTTCCCCCCGAAACCGCACTTAGGGGACAGAGGGCGGACGGTGATCCCGGCGCTAGCTAGACCCCGAGTCTTTTCTGAAGTTTTCTAGCAGTTAAGACAGCTATGTTGCGTATGCAACGATGTGATGGTAGTACCGATCACACCCCAACCATCCTCTGACTGACGTATTCGCCAGCAAGGGTTGGTGGAAATTATCAAGCCCGAAATCGATAGAAGGATCGTCATACACCCGAATAGCCACCGGTAACAGTTTACTTTTACTCCTATTATCACGGTTAAACATGCTAGATCATGTACGAGCTTATTAATAGGTGAAACTTTTAGGTAAGTCTGGTTGAACTTGATAGAATTTGGGGTCGTATCTCTAACAGGTAAGCCACAACGTCAAACGAGAGCGAAGACACGTCTCGGTATGGACTCCGAATGCAACGAAGCCCGAGAGATGGGCATCCCGGAGTTGAACTACCGTACTTAGATGCAACCATGGCTTGTTACCCACGGCCGCCGAGTCGGAGATATCGGGGCTGGTGTTGACCAACTAATGCAAGGTACCAGGCACAATAAGGGGACACACGTGTGGGTAGGTCGTCTATGGAGGGTTTAATCATACTCAGTGGCGCTCACCGCCAGGTAGTGAAATGTCGTCGACAGCGAAATACAGATAGGTAGGTTAAGAGCTTGCATACAGGGTCAGAATTTCGGCTTCACCTTCATTTCAGGTTGGCTGCCCCCCTTAGCGCCCATATGCAGAGCTAGTCTCAAAATCGCGTCAGTCCACGTACTGGGTAGCAACCCCCTGAAAGTGGGAAGGGTATGGCTGGTTTTCATTGCCAAGTACTTGACAACACGCCGGACGCCTCTGCATCAGCTTACTGTAGGGCGCTGGGGATCCGCGGCGGGATTCACCACAATAACGTATGTGGGAGTCCAATCTGGGCAGGTTGTCAAGTTTTCAGGGCCGATACGGCCAGGTAGGTAACAGCCAGATAGGAAAATGCACATTCTCGGTACATTACGTCGTTAGGCTGTTTATGGCAGAGGGCGATCTCGGGCTGATGATTCCGCGGAAGTAGGCACTATTCTCCGCATCTTTTCTTGCTTCTTATACGCCTAGTCAGCGTAGGTGCCAAAGTGAGGCTACTTTGGCAACGGACGAAATGTTTGGAGATAAGAATTACTAGGCCCTGTGTCTATGTGCGGCTCTCGGGATTGCCGTTACCATTCGTAAAGCAGCCTATCTCCTACGGTAACTTTGCCATGATGGCCTATGGTCTATCACTTGAGAGTAGCCCGATATCTAGTATATTCCACTTAGACTAAAGGCGGAGCATTGCGGATTCAACCCAATGGCATTGTGAAGACATCCCGCCATTACAAATAGTATCGGGCGCCAACCATGTGCATGGCGGGAGACTAGCTCTACTATAGACACAGGTTGAAAACGCCATGTGGAAGACACCGCTAAGGCAGTAAGGGTAGATCTAGATAGAATCGGGTATAGAAGCTACACTAATTATGTAGTCCAGCCAGCTAATTTAGTAGCCTCACGGGGACACCCTAGGATTCTCCACAGAAAGGGTATGTATGCATCGTTACATGTACGTGTGGCTTACCTATCAGCTGTTCGAACGTTTTTACTTTAGCTGTCGTACGAAGCCATGTGCGCTTATACTTTATGTAAGGGCTCATGCCGCGCAGGAACTGATCGCATCATGAGTCGGCTTATCTTTTTACGAAAGTGGACTCAATTGTCGAGAATATCCGGACTAAGGGGTCCTGACGGGATTCGCTATTATCTAGCGGATTTGACGAGTCTAGAAATTCTCTCATGCTATGCTACGTAGTGTATACCTACCTAGGCATGTAGCGAATAGGGGTATATTAGATGTATTATTGGCATAGACTAAAGAGTATACCAAAGACCAGGGAGCCTCCTTGGGGATCAGACCTTCGAATCAAATGCGAGGGGATGACAATTTCCGTGCTTGTTCTTGAGCTTCGCTGCATGAGGTATTGTAAGATTAAAAACCAGACTTGCTTGTTGTTAATCAGCGGTCCCATAGACCCGGGAAATTCAAGTTTCCTTTTAGAGTCGCCTGCCGCCAGCCCTAGATAAAATGTCCAAATAAGTTTAGTCTACGAGTATACGCCGAAGCAGTGTTCTCCATCGCGTCTCTCCTATCGTCCTTCTATCCTTGCAGGGATTTACCCCCGTTCTCTCGGCCGGGAATCCTGTCCCATATTAAATCGTGCTATGCAAATGTCTAGCCTTACTGCCACTGCTACCTAGCTTTAGACAAGAGTTGGTATCACAGAGACTGTACTCGGACGTTTCTAGAACACACAGACGCAACATGCAGTAAAACAAGATGCCCCTGACGGGTCTTAGCGTAGAAAAAGGTTAAGCTGGGGATAGTGAATCGGCAAATAAGGCTCTACAGATTTGCGACATGGGCTTTCCCGTTGACGGTATTGAGCACGAACCGAGCCTTGTAGGTCGATTATTCGGTCTAGCGGGAACGCAAGTCATAATGAGCCGCGACATATCTTCGTCCGACGAACCATTGTATTAGCACGGTATCGAGATGATATCCAAACACAGGTCTCATTTAGTCCCTAAATAATCCCTGCGAGTGGAGAAATTTCGGGAGCCTCAAGCCGGAGGCTGGTAGTGACTACTATCATATGTAAGCAGCTAAGATGAGGCTTATTAGACTTCCCAGTCATAAAAAACATATTATCAAACAGGACGGGACAAGCAAGTTCGCGCACCGAGCACCGAGACGAAAAAGACATACGAGCCCCAATGCAAAATACATAAATCACACCGATTTCGTAAAGACGTTGACGTATACCCTTGATCTACTTGCCTAGGTAGGTAGGCTAGGTAGGGCAGGCAAGGTCAGGTAGGTATACAATTTCGGGAAGAAAATACGAAAATTAACATTAAGAAATATGTATGATCTTGGTTCGAACAGGTATAATAAAGGTTGATATAGGTGTAATATTTTATGATCCTGATTCGGAGCTCTCAATCGGTTCAAGGTTTAATTCATCAGCCTTTACCCATGTTATGCAAAATATACTGCGACATAGTACTATAATAGTAATACGTATGGCGGGCAAGGAACAGGGCACTTAGCTCACAAGTACGTCACAACCCACCAGTCCACATACGTTATAAATACACACGTAGTAGACTATGTACATATGTGTATGCATGTATTTAAAAAAAGGGGTGTGGTAGAACAGGGGGAGTTAAGGTAGGTGGGTTAAGGTTGAGCTAGTTGAGCAAGGTCTTAATTAAGTGGCGTCGACGAATTGGGTAGTCTAATGCCTGCTTTTTTCCCTTTCCCTCACACAACCTCAACCTGCTCAACCTGCTCAACCTATAACCTGTCAATTGACATGGAGAACTGCTATATTTGTCAAAAATCCCTAGCGTCTAAGGTTAGAGCATTTGAACTGGGACAAAAACTAGGTCGGAAGCTAGGTTAAAAATCGCTGCCAAGGACGCACATCTTGAATCCTTGACTACGGGATTATCAGATGGCAAATGACATCCCTGTACCACAGAGATTTCCGTCCTACGACTAGACCGGAAATCCGGGACAGAGGGAACTCGACGGGCGGAGAGCGGATGGCGGATGCAACGATGGGATGGGACGCTCCCTCTCTCTCACATTACCAGAAGATCACTCCGAACTGCTCCAATAACCGAGTGGCCAAGGTCGAGCTTGGGGAGCTATGTAACTGGATCTGCTAGGGTTGTCCACGCTGTCCCACGTTCACTACAACATGAATGAATGATGCCAGCAGGCCAGTAAGCATATCATTATGCCCTCACCAACGCCATCGATCAAACCGCTGCGGCACAGCATGTGTCCCTGGCCAGCCTGGTCACAATCCGGTCCCTGTCGATCATGATCAACCGCCGCTGGTAAACTGCTATATCTCTGTATGCGCCATGACATTTCTGCGTGGGATACCTAGGTAGTGCTGGCATCATGGCCCCTGCAGGCCGGCCGAAACTCACCGCACACATTCACGTTCACATTCCCATTCACATTACATACGTCCAAGTACTTAGCAAGGTCAGTCAAAAGGACTGCCCAGCCACATAAGACGGGGGGCAATACTTCAATTACGCAGGTACATACCACAGATGTACTTACACTACTTACCTGCTTACTTACTACATAGGTAGGTAGGTATTAGACAAGAGCTTCTGTCACATTACTTCACTCATTGTCGTTACAGATGGCCCTGCCCAATGATGCAGAACCGGCTCCCCAGCATGATCGATCCGTTAACCAACTTAATTAATATAGGCAATGCAAGGTTTATGAGCCTCACCGTTTTCATCGTTCTACCAAGTCAGTCCTGCTGCATTTATGTCATGTACTGGATGCTCCAACGCTCTGGTCTATGCTCGGGTACACCCCCCTTTCACTAGTCCCCTGTCGACAGCGGATCCAATCAACGGAAACTTGTGGCTTGCAGCAACAGCTGCGCGCCCCAAAAAGGCTCGCCCAGCACCACCACTGTTCTGTTTTGCAGCTAACGTCGTATCAACAAATCCGGGCCAAAAAAGGCTTCTGCCGGGCTAAAAAGGATCGGGCCTACAAACCTCGACGGATTTCAACTGGCCTACTCTTACAGTCTCCCAGTCTCCCAGACCCCATCCTCTACAGGTCGGCCACACCTATCACTAGACAGTTTCCTAAAAAAGCGTCAAGGACCCTCGTTGATCGATAGTGGATATTTTAACATTATTCCGCCGCACTTGGCTCCCAGCTAGCCCCAGAATATTTTTCATGATCCTGGACGCCTCGCGAACATGTACTATGCGGTATTACTGCCTGCATAGTACAACTTGCATTTCGCGATAGATTTCACATGAGAGAATTCCAAAAGGCAGTTAGTTACCTCCTCGGTAAGTTTCGCAAACACGAGACGTATAGTGCGAAAGGGCGAGCGGGCTGTTGACAGCTGAAGCACTGACGCCTCGGGCTCCCTCATTCGTCTCATGTTGCGTTATGAGATCAACAGATCGAATACCTCCCACTAGCCGCCGTTGATCAAACCGCGTGGCAGGATCTTAAGCACTCTTCTATCCCCGTTGTGTGTGCGCCCCAGTTCCCCGCTGCCTGGCTCGCTGGGTTAACCCCATGCCTGTGGATGAAGGACCCTTGTCTTACCTGCCCTTGGTCTTATCTCATCTCTTGTAAAAGCGGCTGGCGGCAGTATCTACATACATAGTACCTAGCCTCCCACTCTCTTGATGTACTTGGTAGTACTTTTGCGACTTGCCCGAGTTGCTCTCTATTACGGTAGGTAGACAGCTAAGTCGATGTGTTTTACACCTCTTCCCGTGGAAGTTCATCGCTGGATTGGCTTGGCAAGGAGTATGGGCAAATATCAGATGGCTGCGTGTCATCGGTTCCTCTCCCTGACGTCCCGACTCCCACTCACCATGTAGGCCAGGGGGGCACCCCTGTTGTAGCGCCAACCGGATATCCTCTGGCGGAACAATTCTTATTGCGTAGGTACCAGAGTAGTGGGCTAAGGCTCTTCGATTTACCCACGCGCTTATTGCAAAAAAGCAAATCGTACAACAGAGGTCATCGTCTCTTGCGGACTGGCATATATCCTTTTGGCCTAGCACTCTTACGCTCAAGTGGTCCCAGATAATACATCAAGTCGTTACCTATGGGGTTGTTGTCTCTCGAGACTTCAGATTCTACTAGGTCAAACTAGATAGGCATTACCTGTCCTTGACAATATTTTAGCCCTCTTTGACAAAACATACCTCCCTATCCGTGGGTACCCCTTAAACTACGGCCACCCCCAGAAACTACCAGTTCCAGAACACGTCGAAACCTGGCGCTGTTGCTCTCCCCATGACCTCAATGCCCTAACACCAGTTCTAGTCGTGTCTTTTCACCCTAGAAAGCCCCTTCCAGCAACAACTCGGCGTACGCTAGGTTCCGTCTCACACCATCTCGTGACTAGCCTCATCAGAGGGGTCAGATCGGATCAACGCGAGCTGGGGTGACTACTATTAGATTTCATCGGTGTTGGGAGGCAGTTAATTACTTCGGACATTCAGCATTACATAGATCTGTCCTTGGCCTCCATCTTGGGGGGGCATTCCTAAATTGTGGGTGGATTCCAACATCCCGAAAGGATAGTCTGCCAAAACCCAAGATCGGCTTCTGCTCTATAGCACCTTGTCCCTCGCCTCTTTCGTTACCCGCTGCATAAAAAAGCCCCGCTATAGCTATCATCCTGTCAGCAGATCCTCAAGTCCCTGTTCTTCACAGGTATAGCAGCAGCGCTAGGGGGGGCTCCTGCAAGGTGTACCAGAAGAGCCCCACAACTAATTCATCTTCAATGCTTCCTAGTCACTGGTAACCATAGCCGTCAAGCTTCTGGATTGGTCGTAACTACCGTGAGCAGCGCAGCCTAACCAGTTGAGCCAAGCACAACAGCAGTTCCGAGAATTCCCCAGATGTAAAACTACCCATTGTTTCTACAACGTCTACAGATAATGTGGAAGGCCCTCCCTCCTTGTTTGTGAAAATCTTTCCAACTGAGAAGGGTCAAGAGGGCAAGACGGGCGAGTCAAATCTTTGAGGACAAAGAGAGAGTCCCTATAGGTGTCGAGTCTCCTCGAGGTCACACTGAACTAGCTTATTGGCCGGAGCGAATCCTCTAGTCGATGAGTGTATTGGATCAAATCTTTGCCCTCACCCCTCGAATCATCCAGACTGGGACCCCTCCGTCTCTAACGCCTCTTTTACGAAAATATCCGCCGAGCTGGGTATCTAGAAGATAGCCCGAGAAATAGTGTTAACTCGACGATTAACTTCACCCTTCTTGATTTTTCGATATACCTTACAACCTGCCCCTATTCTCCGCATGAAAATATTCGACACTGCAACCCATTAAATAGGATCTATTTTCTCATAGTCAGATCCGTGTCGAAGCGGGACCGCTCGCCTCTTTTTTATGGATGTGGTCCGAATCTGAGTTACCCTAGTTAACCGCAAATCGAATACTCCGCTCGGAGGCGAATCCTTCCCGATGAGTGATTACTATCAGCAATATCTGTCCTCAGTGGCGGGGACGTCTGGGGAATCGCCAAACCAAAACCCCCAAGATGCCCAATATCAGCCTCAACCACCCTCTACACAGATGGGAAACGTCAGTCCGCCTGTGACAACTCCGTATCAAAACCTAGGTTACTTTACCGGCTTCCCTGATCCAATAATGTTCCAAGCCCCAAAAGCTCAAAACAGTCGAAATCGCAAGAAGAGCACGCCTGGGACAGACCATGTTAAACATCGTCGAACACGGTCGGGGTGTTATACCTGCCGAAGCAGACGAGTTAAAGTAAGCATTGGTTCTTTTTAGTCAGCTTGGTAGTGCTAATATTAATTTTAGTGCGACGAAACCCATCCTATTTGTGAACGTAAGCATCGTCGTAAGATACGTTTAGGAGCCGAACTAACAATCACAGGCTGCCGCAAAGGGAAGAGGGATTGTGTTTACCCCGAGCCCTCTTCTGCAAGTGCAAGGGGACAAGCTTCTGGGTCAGGATCATCGAAGGACACGGCGTCGTTAACTCAAGAGCCTAGCCCAAACTCATCGCAAGACGAAGCGGACGAAGAAACTGAGAGAACCCTAAGGCTAGAACCAATTATCGACGAGGACGAACCTAGCGAGGGACTGTCACCAGCGTCATATTCTTTAACGGAATTACGAAGAACAAGCACGACGTCGATATCGAACGCCCAAAGGTCTGGGACAAGACAAAGCTCCGAGACGCCGTCATATGACGGTACTAAAAGCGCTTCACCAGCAGTATCAACGAGCACCTCTGCGAGCTTTACGATATCTTTCCAGGTACCTGACCCTGCGTTACAACTGACGGTGTCTCGCCCGGATTGGTCTCATCTACCGGCAGACCTGCAATTTCACCTGCAGTACTACTGCGAAAACATTACTCACTTTAACTATGGGATCATTAATGATCCTGACAGCTTCTTCCGCTTAATCCTACCTAGCTTGGCCGTGCAGACTGGTAATGAAGCTCTCTTGAATGCAGTCGTGGGATTCTCGGCGTATCACCGAACGGTTCGAGACCCTAATGGCAAGATCCCCGACTTCTTACGGTATTATAACAAAAGCGTTACACTACTTCTAAGTTACCTCAAGAGGCGAGAGAAGCAGAGCATCGCGACGCTGCTTACAATTTTGCAGCTTGCGACTATCGAGGTAAACCTAGGCTAAACATCTACATAAGAGGAACTATCACTGATCAGAGACAAGGAATACTTCGGCGATTGGGTGAATCTTATGGGACATCAAAGAGCTGCTTTTGAAATTTTGACTCATTTGTTCACACCCCAGACGATCATGAACTCTCCTACATCGCGAATATTGTTGACATGGTACATCCGATTCGATGTTTTCGTCGGAATGCTGGGAGGGTTCGAAACGAATTTACCTCGACAATGGTTCTCAAGCGTGGTCCGATACTGTCAGGGACAAGTTGAAAAAGATCCGCAAAACATAGGGGTGAAAACGGAACTGCATGCTTCTGCTCTACGACTAATTTCGAGAGACATGTCAATTCTCTACGCAAAAGGTGGCCGAGGTGAATTTTCGGTTGAAGAGTTTGCTACGGAACACGATCACATCACGAAACGCCTTTATGAATGGAAGAACACGTTAGATCCCGCCTTAACTGATCCGAATTTTCTCGTAACCGACTTCCATCACAAGATTCCACTAAATGAAGATAATATAGTCGACCCATACAGGCCAGGCCACCTTTACCGTTTCCCATTATTCTCGACTACTATGCTGACGGCGGAATGGCATTCTATCCTCGTCATGCACAAGAGCCAGGAGGCGTTTGCATTGCAACAAAAACCGTCAGAGGAACTAAACACCTTGGCACATAATATATGTGAAATATTCGAAGGGGTACAATTATGGCCCTCGGCGCCCAATGGCGCCCTCATCCCGATCCAGGCCTGCCTTGCCATAGCAGCGCTGTTCCTCCCCCGAGAGAATAGATATCACATGTGGCTAAGAAGGAAATATGCATTGCTAGAGTCATTGGGGTAAGTCCACGACCTATTGACTTCCCCTCCCTTACTTGGAACATGTGAGAACATGTGAAAACATATGAGAGTGGGGATCTTGAACACCCAACCCCTATTTTCTTCCCACCTTATATAACGGAACTCCAACTTAAAATAACTTTACTGACATCAAGTGACTTCAATGATTAGGTACATTTTCCCACTTACCATACGAACTCGAATGGCAGAAATATTTCGCGACCCTTCCTGTATACAATGGTGGCTCCCGAACGATGAAGGGTTGAGCCCTGTTCTCCGAAGCATTCGGGCTTTTGCGGACGAGCGCAACGCGAATCCCGTTTCTCAACAGACAGAATCCCTCCGAGAAATGAGTTCCATCTTCGCGAAAATGCGTATCGATCACGAAGGGGAAGGGATTTCTTCACCTGGTGGATCAAATAGCGGCACCTCGTCACTCTAGGTAGTACATATGTGGGACGAGAGTTTCACGCCGGGGTTGGGCTCCAACTACCTATGCACTATTTCGACGGGATAGTAACAAGTATTGCCTGGAAGATTTGGTCTATCACTTCCATGAATATCGGTCAATTAATTGACGTCTTAATCCTACTGGCAAGGAAGTGAATACCAACGACTCAAAGAATCAGGATCGATACGGATCTATCCATTGAAGCAAACTGATTTATTACAAGTCACATAATGTGTAGCAACGACATTGTTGTGACGTTGCGGGACGACCAGGGTATGAAACGATGATGTTGATGCGGCGAAAATGGACCCGGAATAGAAACCGAGCCGAGATGCAACTCTGTGCTGCAGAGCCGGGGGACGGTGAGAAGTGAGGGGACCGACTATGCGGCCAGGTACTACGACGTCAGAATCTGTTGGAATCGGGGATCTTACAAAGAAATATTCATGCATGCAAGAAAAAGCAAGTTTACCAATACCATGGCACAAGTCCCTCGGAAACCCAGCAACCATCCTAGCCCGGCTTCCCACCGGCCCTTCTTCTCGCCTACTCTTACCTTACCTACGTGCAACATCGGATGAACTATCTATAAACACGCATTATCAGATCCTTTATAGATCAAACGGCAAGGACTAGTTGGGTGGGAACTGAAAGGGAGATCTCGGAATCTGCCAAGCTATGAAAACCCCGGCTATAACGACGGGTTGGGGGATCGTACGAGACTGCAGCTTAGAGACATCCACTAGTCTTTGCCTAGCAAACGGCACCAACATCGTCTCTTAAACCGCCATTCCACTTGATTCGTCGTAATACGGAGTCCCTGACGCATCATCCTCACAGCATACCTACCTACTGAATTCGACGTTGGAAAGTAGCAAATTAAGCCTTCACAAACATGCAGCCCGATCAGCCACAATCCAGACTACCTAAGGTATATTCCTTGGCGCCACCGCTGCGGTGACGATTTATATGTAGCTCCTGAGGCGATAAAATCGGACCCCCACACATCCGCATATGAAATATCCCGTACAGAAGGAAAGGATACATCATCATTCGCCGCCGTACATTATAGCTGACAGGTCATTGCTGCCAAGAAATATTGGTCACAATGACGACTTGTGGCGCTCACACGAGACTCAATAGATACCAAATTGGTGCGGAGAATTGCCCAGGAGCACTTTCTCTCGCATGTGCAAAACGCACGCGCGCACGCGCCTATACCTACACCTACACCCTCATGATCTATAATCTTACGTACATACCTCATGCGCTTGTACACAGCTAAGGGTTGAATGGACGTTTCGCCGTAGATGCTCGGCGATACAACATACTTATACATGATCAATGGATTTGTGCATTCCTATACCCAATAGGTAACACGGGAGCAACACGGGGACTTTTGGGAGGAACGAAGGGACAAAGGGCTAGAGAGCAAAGGGAAATGATACCAGATACCCAAGGCAGGAAGCTTCTTAGCAAAGGAGGTAGGGGGGAAGGGGGTTAAATGGTACATACAGGTCTGTTCTTTGCAAAACCATACACACATATACCACTCACATTTATACTGCAACATAATGTAATGTAATACTTACCTAGACTTTCTAGTTGCCGACTTGAGAGGCAAATAGAGGGATAAAAGTACGGAAGAATAAAAGTTCATACCACCCGGGCTGAAATTACACATGGCCGCGTTTATAGGGGATCTATAGTTACCTGAGAAGAAAAATATCTACTTAGACAATATTCACACCTCATTGTTTACTAACAAGTTCTTACGTGTTCGTGCATGGGAGTTCTAGTTAAAACCATCATAACCATCTCGAAACTTAAGGAAGGGCTACCCGAGGAAAAGGGGAGAAGAGGTCAGCATCACGAAAACTGTACCACCAGGTAAGTATTACACAAGAATGTTATTACTTTAGTCGGACAACTTCCCAGCCCTAGAGCTGAGGATTTCTCCGCGAGCTTCCCTCACAGTCCGGCGACTCGTTGCAGAACTTTGCCCAGGCCACCGCCAACACTCATGCCCCCTCCTCTTCCACGCTCCCTATTATGTACCTGAAAAAGCCTCGACCATGTTCTATCTTCTCTCTTTTTGAAACCCCGAACCTAGCCTAGCCTACGGGGGCCTTAACATTAACACTTGTTCGTACACGTACACACGACCGTCTCGGTCCGTCTTATTCGTTATCCTTCTTCGAGAAACATAATAGAAAACCACCTATTACCTAACTTTAGAACTTAAGGTAGGAGGTAAGGGTACCAGATAATACATCCCCGAAGCCGGTTAAAAAAAGCCCCCCCTACCAAAATTACCACCCCCCGATCCCATCTTAAAACGTGCTCCGGTCGTAGTCGTACTCGTCATCGTCGTCGTCGAAGACGAATTCCTCATTACCGACGGTCTCGCTCAGCCTCCTAATAAGGGTGTCTACCTGCGTGAGGGCGACCTCGGTCCGTTGATCCAGGGTATCTTGATGTTGAACTTCGGGGTCGCGGACCTGCCACTGTTGACGGAGGCCGTCCAGGGTTCTTCTAGCGCGTCTCACGACCTCGTTAATGGCATCGTGGTCCATCTCGTCGAATCGCTCCAGGTTGGCTACGAAGTCCTACTCCGCCGTTAGGTCGTTAACACTGGAACCTTCTTCCTGTGTGGCGTCCTCCTCCTTCTCTGCCTCCGCGGGCTCTTGGGCGGTTTCTGTAGTGGGAGGTTCAGGTTGCTCGGTGGTGTCCACCTCTGTTTTCTGGCTGTCTTCTTGGGCCGGCTGTGCTGGCTCCTCCTCCGTGCTCGTGGCAGGTTCTTCGGTCTTCTCTTCGTTAGGTTGTTCGTGGTTGAGAGGCACCTCTTTCTCAACTTCAGTTGTTGGCTCCTCTACATGTTCTGCGGCTGTCTCCGGCTCCATAGGCACATCTTCCTGTACGTCTATCTTGACGCCTTGGGAGTGTGCATTGTTCAGCTCTGATAGTTCGGGGGCCTGAGGTGCCTCAGTTGCCTCGATAACGGTAGAAGTGTCTATCAACTCGCCTTCAACGATGACAGGCACTTCGACTTCAGACTCTTCCTCCACCGTCTCTGGGGCGGAAATGTGCATACCCTTAAGCTTGTTAGCCATTTCTTGTTGCTCGTCTTCTCGCTCTTCGATAACAGTCGTCACGGCACTACCGGTCGACGGCCTGCTCGAATGTCTAGCCGTGTTAGTTCGGCGGGCGTGCAGGCTGTGATGATCATCATGCTCCGTGTTCTCATGTTGCGAGGGTGGCTTTGCAATCGCCGTCACGATCGAGTTCCTGTCTTGCTTCTCAGACGGCACAGGCTCCAGACCCTCTGCTTCCGGTGGGAGCTTGTAATTCTCAGCGGGTAAGAGATCATACATATCGCAGACCGTCTTGAAGAATGCGTATAGACCCGTTTGGGCTTCGACTGACCAGAACACGCCTCTGTGCTGGAACCAGGCATGGGCAAAGATTCGATGTAGCCGACGGAAAACGTTAACAAGGTTCTTCAGTACAGAACTTTTATCGTGGCCCTCCGAAACAAGAACGAATCTGCTAGGGAAGATCTTGGGGTTAGTGACGACGTTTGCGGCCCAGTCGAGCGTATGGCAGCAGTAGTCAATGGCGCAGCAACTCTTGGGCTGGTCGTGGACTGCGCATAGGAATTGCCATTCGGAGGCGCGCATCTCGGGGCATGTGGCGGATGAACATGGCGGTGTGTCAAAGAGGAATCCTACTATGAGGCTGTTACATTGCGCGATTAGAAATCGACAGAGCTCGTAGAGCCACAGTGTTCGATCGATGCCCGCGGGCGGCGTGGCCAACTGGACTGCGGTTGCTCGAGTGATTGGAGTAGTGTTAGAATTGGTGAGATGATAGTGTAAGGAGGCTAGATGTTCCTGGAGTTGGAAGGCAGAATCGAGCTGCAACGTTTACGTCAGTAAATTAATTCTTGTCGCAAGAAGGATTAGCAGACCAAACGCACCTCTCCGAGCGGGACAAGAGGCGGACCAGCAGCCATGTCCTCCGACTTGGTGCCTGGATGTATGCGACGCTTCGCATTCGCGTCGGCGATGGTCTGTTCCATCTGTTGTAGTTGGCGGCTAGCGGTGCTGCCCAGTCCAGGTGATTTGGGACCGAGTTGAATTTCGGCGGGAGGCGGCGGACTGGGCAGTCGAGGCGAGCCCTGCGCCAGAGACATGATGAGATATTCTCCGTGAGGCTACAAACCTCAGGCGCGACGTCAAATCGTGGAGTTCGAGAAAGTGTTTGCCGGGGTAAGAAACGGTGTTGTGTGTTGTATGTTGTAACTTCGTTGCTGGATTATTTAATTGTTTTGTTGTTTGATTTGAGGAGCAGCTTGTAGAAACGCCAAGCTTCCTAAACAAAAGTACGAAATACAAGTTAGTGCATCCTGTGGGGGTCGTTAACGATATGTACTCAACCATAAAAATAGATTCTTCTAATCGTATATATCCGGTATGCATTTAAGTGACAAAGAATCTGCATCCGAGATCTACGTACCTACCTATGTACTGTACCTCATGACGATAGAAAGGCGCAGTTTGACAAGCAGGGCAGCGTCAACCATATTCTTCCATAAATATTTAACATTTTCCACTTTCCTCTAGTTAAAGAATAGAATTAATTATAAACACGTTTCGTCTCGTTTCAACTCAGATTATTTATTAACTATACTCAACTATGAATTTTGACGAAGACCTTCCACCCGAGCTTGTCGAAGCTGAGACCAGCCCGGAAGAAGAAAAACCAATCAAGGTGCCTATCACCATCGTAACTGGCAAGTTAACTTCCTGCATGTGAAATGTAACAATGCTCATATGATAAATAGGTTACCTTGGAGCCGGGAAGACTACGCTACTTAATTACATCTTAACTGCTCGGCATGGGAAGAGAATAGCAGTCATCATGAATGAGTTCGGCGATTGTTAGTGGCTAAGGCCTAGGTTCTATCAGGCAGGAATACTGACTCCATCTCAGCGCTCGATATTGAAAAGTCTTTGACAGTTAGTAAAGGTGGCGAGCAAGTTGAAGAATGGCTCGAGGTTGGCAATGGTTGCATCTGTTGCTCCGTGAAGTACCACCGCACCTCTTTAGTCAAAAAAAGGAAATCGTTCTAATCTCGATGCAGAGATTCCGGAGTAAACGCTATCGAGTCACTGATGGAAAAGAAAGGTGCCTTTGACTATATTCTCCTAGAGACTACAGGTCTAGCAGATCCTGGTAACCTAGCACCCTTATTCTGGGTTGACGACGGTCTTGGAAGTACCATCTACCTGGACGGCATCGTCACGTTAGTAGATGCGAAGAATATCCTTCGTAGCCTAGACGATCCATCAGGAAAAGTTGAAGGACACGAAGACCATGACGGTCATGGACCTCTCATGACTACGGCCCACGTCCAGATTTCCCATGCGGATGTTATCGTCATCAACAAATCAGACCTAGTCGAACCGGCGGAACTTGAGAATGTCAAGGAGCGGATACAAGCGATCAACGGTCTCGCAAAGATCCACGTGACGAGACAAAGTGTCGTGCCTCAACTGGAGGGTTTCTTACTGGACTTACATGCATATGACCAAGTGGAGGCATTAGATACTGCGGGGAAGGGGCATAGCCATCTTGATCCTGTTCGTAGAATATCTGTCGTGAACAAGTAATTGAGCTAACATCGTTACAGACTATTTCCACGGTCTCTATTAACGTACCGCTCCTGGCCCCTGAGCAGCTCAAGCAGGTCGACAGTTGGATAAGATCGTTGTTGTGGGAAAACCAAGTGCCAGGTGAAGCGACTAGTCCGGAGGAGCCTATTGAAATCCATCGCCTAAAGTCCCGCCTCATTTTCGAGAATGGTGATGTAAAAATGGTGCAAGGTGTTAGGGAGGTGTTTGAGATTTTCGACGGGCAGCAAACATCCAGTCGACACGGTGAGCTTCCACAAACAGGGAAGCTTGTCCTCATCGGAAGAGGTGTTCGGGGGATCGACTTTGAGCGAAGTTTACTCAGCGCACTCCAGGATAGATAACTATGAATGAATAAAATATCATGTTGATCCATCTAACGGAATAAGAACTGTAAAAAAGCGGGCAATACTTCGACAATTATTTCAAACATCATCATAAATGTATTCAAGTAGCCACTTCTCAAGTACCTAAGTAAAGTAAAGACACAATTCGGATGTGTAGCTTATATGATTAATTAACTTGATTGATTCAAACGGTCAGTCACGCGTATGAAATGACTACGGGAAAGTTAAAGTTTATGTCCTGAGAGGCTGAGGAAAGAACTGGGGAAACAGCACGGGCCTAGTACTACGTAGCACATGCACTTACTTTTACCGCGCAGATTCATAGCTAGAAGTGGAGACGCTAGCTCTGTTTGGTTTAGCTCGACTTTAGCACAGGCCAACCCCAGTAAAACTTAACCATTTTGCGATCGCAAGCTTCCAATAAACTACATCGTTGTTTCGCAAGTATAACTTCGATTCTAGACAATAATCTCCCCGCATACAACCTTTCCGACGACAACGAAACGAAACGAACGAACGAAATACTGTGACGATTTCATTCCAGGACTGCTCTAGTGTGGCATCGTAGTCATGAATCGACCAGGTAGTGCTAACCCTCTCTCTCCCTCTGCCTCGTGCGCCCCTCCTGTTTGTTCCTCGTCGTGATGTCGATTACGTCGTTGTCGCGTCTGTCTATCCGCTATCCGATCTCCCCGAGCCGACCCTGTATATCCCGCCGCGAGTTCAGAAATATACCCTCTGTGTCATTGGCCGTACTAGGGCAGAGGCTGAGGCCCTGGGAAGATCCTCCTCTAACCTCCTCGTCTCAGCCTTCTCGAGATGTCAGCCTCGTATAGACGATAGAACGAGATCGCAAACACTTTCTACGTATTGGATCCCTATCGGATAGACAGAACGAATCAATAATATCCCGCTTTAATCATTGTGTATACGGAGAAATTTAGTGCATTTAGCTAATGCTAGGCGTCGTCAGGAGCCGTGCCGCAATCCCTTCGAGGGATGCCGACTGGATTTGGTGGTCAACAACAACCTCAACAACCAGGTAGAACAGTGTCCGGCCGATTACCAAATGGTAAATTAGGTATGATCATGCAATAAGATGGCTTGGTACATGTTGGTTCCGAAGCTGATACTGTGTGTCGTGGTAAAGCGAATAATGGTGGTGGATGGGCGTTTGGTGGTCCTATGGGTGGTGCTGCGCTTCAGACATCGTCAAGGCAACTAGGCGGAAACCTCAGTTTTGCCCAAAGCTTGAGTGGCTCTCAGCCGGCAACACCCCTCGACCTCTCGTAGGTATTTTTATTTTTACCTGACTCATCCTTTCACCCTACCTAAGCACCTACCTCACCTCGCCGTTTTCACACTCGTAAACAAACCTTCACATTTACAACCCACCCGTTGCACTTATTTTTCGTCTGCCGTCGACACTCAATTTTCTCGTTGCCTCCTTTGCCTCCCTAAGTGATGGCACAACATGGCATCTCGTAAAAATGCACATTCGTCACCCAAGGCTAAGAAGCCTAAGCTTGTTCTAAAGCTGAACTCGGAGTCTCACGCTCCTCCCACTTCTACTCCCGGCATTTCTAATGCGACATCCTCCTATGCTTCTGTGGCTAAACAGATTGATGGCCCTAATGAACCTCTTTTCACCGAAGGGTAAACACATATTATTCCCTTTCACGTTCCAGTGTCGAATTGCGTCCCGCTCAAACTCATTATCCCCTCCCATTTTTTATTCCCTACTTCCATACTACTCAACAGCTGTATCTTGTAGGTTGACGCTAATTTATTTAGCAGCGAATTCCCGTCATTATCAAACACGTCCCAGCTTCCCAGTGCTGGCGGATCCTCGTTATGGTCGGCAGGAGGATCAAGAGGTATGGGTGGGGCGATACAAAGAAATCAACAGCCCACTCCATTATCTGCTCAACACGCACAGCAAGACGACTTCTTCTCCCCTTCACGCATGACTTCTGGTCAAGGTCAATACCGATTCGGCCAGAACAGTGCTGCTGCTCAGTCATCTCAACCCCAGCCTAGTAGTATTGATGAGTTTCCTCCGTTGAATAACAACAACATGAGAAACGGCAATGGGGACATAGGACAGGAGCGTGGATCGAGTTTGATGTCGACTCTTGGCTTTGGTGCCCAAGCAAGCACAGTTCCTGGTTCCTTGCCAGGCCCCCGATCAGGAAACGGCTTACTCAATGCGTTGTCGGCTAACACTCGAACAACGGATGTTCGTTCCCCAGATGGATCTACGGCTATAGGTACACCGGTTTGCCCTTTCCCCTGTTGAGGCGTGCTGACATATTTGCAGGTGCTTCGCGGCCACAAGATATCAGAAGTGCTGGCACTGGAGCCAATGATGAAGGTCGACAAAAACCTCCTGGTTTTCGAGAAGATAGCATAGGCCCACAGTCAGGTACACAAGACGCGACGGAATCGGTGGACGGCCGCAATCCCCTTGGAGCGATTGGCACTAGCGATGCTCCCTCAGGCAAGAACAACGACGAGAAGGCGAACCAGCCCGCATCCGTGCATGACCCCTTAGCAGGCATGACACCAATCGACAAGTGGGGAATCAAAGGTCTTCGCGCGTTAATGAATAACTATCCCGACTACAATGCCGCAGTTACGGGGCTCGATCCAACTACGCTTGGTATAGACTTCACGTCTCCTCAGTAAGATTTTACGTATTGCCTTTGTTTTTTTGTTTTTTTCACTAATATAGTACTAGGCCGCTGTCAACTCAGGTATTCTCACTCTTCAACGATACCCCTCCTCGGCCAGCAATTCCCGAGTACCGTCTCCCGGAATGTTATAACGTGAATAACGTTCAGCCTTTGGAGAACAAGATCAGCAACTTCAATGAGGAGACGTTGATGTGGATATTCTACAGCTGCCCTGGAGATATAAAGCAACATATGGCTGCGCATGAGCTGTACAACCGAGCGTGGCGGTGGCACAAGAAGCTGAAGATATGGTTGACCAAGGACGAGATCATGCAGCCTCGTATTCTCAGCGCGCAACATGAAGAAGGTTATTACATCATCTGGAATACGACAGATTGGCGTAAGGAGCGTGTAAGTCACCACCTGCTTATTTGATACCTTATTCTCCGAGACGCTAATGCTAACATAATTTACAGCGAACCCTTACGTTACATTACGCCGATCTGGAGACGAATAACTCAGCTCTCCCGTAAAGATGTGTTATTGTCTTTGTGGCATTGAGCGGTACGTAGGACTCGGTGAGTCTGCGTATCAGCCGGCGTTGGGTTTACGGATTGCACAACCTAGGGGAACAAGGCTAATTGCGGCAACTTGATGGCTTTCAAGCTCGGTATTGCTTAGGGGCGTAGCAAATGCCCAACCTGGCACACAGGTCTCTGCACGAGGGCTTCAATGCACCTCAATTCATGAATACAGGATTTTTAAATCCCTCGCATTTCGATTTCCGACTTCTCTAGACATTGCCGGTCTCGGCTGTCCTTATGCTAATCCGATAATGACTGCGTTCGTGATAATTCATTAGATTCAGCTGGCATGACCTAATTGACGCATCTGCTTTCATTTCTCTGAAACAAGCCACCTTCATGTAACCAACCTTTATACTTGCGCTTTCACAAAAGTTCTCAAACTGATTTAAGGGAAAACGGTAGATACCCGCGACAGTTCTGTCTAAAAAAAAATTCCCTTTAAGATCTGAGATAGTCTAAATACGATGTTTTATTAAGTAGATCTAAGCCTCAACGTATCGAAATAACTTGGTGATCACATGCTTTCTCATATGCTTTCTACATACGTCTTCAGATCTTGCGCCTGGATATCGAATTCCTGCTTCAACTGCTCCTTCAACAGCGCTATCGCGCCCGTGGATAAGCCCGCGTAGTACGTCTCGTAGGAGAGGTACCGCGTCGACCCGTTTCCCAGGTCGACCAGGACGTTGGGATGCTCGGCCCGCGCGCTGACGCCGCCCACCCCGTCGTCGTAGCGCCACGCGTTGAGCAGATAATCCGAGGCGCCAGAGGCGTCCAGGACGGTGAGGATCTCCGCGCTCGTGGTGTTGAGGGACCCGATCAGCCCGCTAGACGTAAACGTCATGGGCATCCCCAGGTACAAGTCCCGCGGCGTGGATGTCACGTTGGCGGGGAGCGACACGTCGGGGATGAACGCGTTCCAGCGCGGGTACGATTTGAAATCTAGGATTGCGTTGTACACGGCGAGCGGCGAGGCGTTGATGAGAAGCTCGGAACAGACGGTGAATATGGCGCCGTCGGTGCCGTATGTGGGGGTTGTTAATGTGCCTAGCGAGTCCGAGGGGCAGTGCAGAGAGCCGTAGTCTACTTGGCTCGTGGTGAGAGCCGCTGAGGCGGTGGCGGCGAGAGAGGTGAGTAAAAGGCTGAACATTATTTTTATTATCATTATTATTAATGTTCTTAGACGAATATATTTCGAAATAACGCGATGAAGACTGAAAAATTGGCGATAGGTTCGAATTATTCGCGAGCAGTAACATACCGAGGCATGTTGTTTACATCTCGTCTTGTGACCAATACGCTCCCCCGTCACAAGACAGCAGTAGCGGTTCTCCGCTTATACCAGGGGCTATTCCCGGTAGCCTTTCTCTATAGGATGTGCACATAAGCATTTTGAAATGTTAATATAAACCTCATCTATGAATGTTCCTATAGTCGGAATTGCATAGTTTCTCCTTCTCACAATGAATAAAAACCAGGTGCTTATGTGTTGGTCAACTGAAGCTCTAGTGTAGCTTTGCGGCTCAGCCCCCAGTATTAACTATTCTAGCTTGATTTTGGTTTCCAACACTCTTCGCAATAGGTAAAGCGGGCGTTTATCCAACTGCTAGCTAAGCAATTACGCCAGCATGTATTAGTCGATTATGGAGTTTAGTCTACCTACTTCATTTAGTCAATGTTCGTCAACTGTGCGCGAAGCATTGAAGTCACCGAAATGAGTCAGGAGACTAAGATGGATTCATTACATATCTCGCAGCACTGCCCCCTATCCTAGCAATATCCAGTGGATTGCTCAAACACATTGAATCACATATAGGGTTGTGGCGAATTTTTATAAAGTCTAGTAGTACTGTCTAAGATATACTGAGATCACCTAAATCTAGGTTCTATGCTCAAATTGAGCACTTTCAATTCAGAGGTAACGGATATAAGCGAGTATCTACCTTCAATTCAATCTCCAATCGAAAAGAAAAGAGTATCGTGCCTGAAGCTAGAATGGCTGACAATCCTGGATTAAGCGAGGATGAACTCGTTGAACTGTCTCTCTTGCGCGATTTCGAGATCGACGAACTTATCAAAGCTGGACTGCTGAGTCAAGAGAAGCAACTCAAAGCAACCCTGGACCGGGAGCTTATTTTTAAACACGAAGAACTGAGTCTCCATGTCACTGCCGGCCCTTTTTATCCAGCGGTGCCGGCTACTTGGAAGGTTGAAAATACTACATTGCCGAGGAAAAAGGTAGACGAACTTCGCGCACAGCTGAGAGAGATCGCAGAGGCTGCGGCGACTACTAATAACATATCGAAATGGAGGGAAAGGGAAGAAAGTGCATATGGAATTTTTGAGCCGACGATGACAGTTTTGGAACTTGCCGCGAAGACAAACACTTATCTGAAGACATGGCATAAAAAAATAGCGGAGGCTCCGCGCGAGAAACCACGCGAAAAACCACGCGAGAAGTCGTATCTCCCCTTTGAGACAAAACTCAAGACACTTGAGAAATCAGAAATGACAATTAGCGAGATGGGCTACCATTACCTACAGAAGACGCCTCAGGAAATATGTGAAAGAATTCCTTCTAATTACCGGATTCTCCACGTTGAAGAGGTCCTGAGGGTTGACCTGGTTAATAGATTCCACGAGAAGCAGAGGAAGATGAGAAGTGAACTGTCGAAAATACGAATGAGTGAACTTCGCAAGCACGTGCCGCCTAATCTCCAAGGTATCGGACGGAAGGATGTGTGGTTGGATCATCTCGTAAAACCACGGGTGACTTTCCACGGTACTGCTAGGCAGCATGTGCCATCTATCGTGCGATATGGATTCCTCCAACCTGGCAAGAGGAAGCCAGGCACGGATGAGCGACATGAGGTCCGCTGCGGCTCGACGTATGGTAGAGGGATCTACAGCTCCCCAAACCCAGACTTTTCACTCAGCTACACGGATAATACGTGCCACGCTACCAAGTCAACCGAGTATTTCGGTATCAAACTGCTCGTCTGCGCCACACTAATGGGTCGCGCGGCCAGCGTAACTCGAGAGGACAATTGGCGCACCCAGACCGAGCCTTACCCAGGATCCGATTCTCATGTAGCAAATCGTGAGCTCGAGTATATTGTTTTTGATACCGCGCAGATCCTCCCGGTCTATGTGATTCACATAGATTGGGGCCAGGATAATGCCGAGCACTTTCACAATTTACCTAAGGATCCGGACAACTTCATCCCTACCCAGAAGAAGAGACATGCGAAGTTGTTGGAATATATTCGCTGGCCCGGTGAGGTGAAACGCGAGAGAGCGGCTGCCTTTGCCAGAGCGGCCAAGTGGTTCCCGTACGGCTACGGACCCTCAACCGGGGCGAAATTTGTGGTGGAAGAGATCGGGGATGTTGACGAGGATGAGGAGGTCTACGGAGACTACCAGGACCTCCGAACGGAGGGTATCAAGGATAAAACTAACTTGGACTTCTGGAGTTGGGTTAAAGTAGGCGTGGACATGGATGTTGCCGAACGAGGCGACGAACCTGCGGGTGAATATACCAGACAACGTTACTGGTATGGTCCCGAAACATCGAGACTTGGGGACATGTGGGATGAACTTCCTGACCCTAGGACGAAGAGCGATGACGAGAAATCTAATTGGGATGATGATGGTGGTGATTTAGGCCTGGATCTTATGATGACTTAATGAGCTAAGAGTTGATTAATATACCCTCCTGATTAAATGAGCATTGCAGAAGAATAGTGGGATGCCGTTGATTGTCGTTATGTTATTTAGTGCTTTGAATAGAGGCTTCATTGTAAGTGCTCGATACGACTCATTTGGTAACTTGAACCTGATCTCATAAGAGCCATGAAAGTAAAACCGTTGATCTAACAAGCATCTAATATTCTAATATTAGCCTTATTACCTTAAGGCTAGTACGTAGATGGGTATGACGTCGGACTGTACCTCATAGAGACACTGGAATAAAATTAGTGAGGGGACGGCGGACGGTTAAGTGAATAAAATTAAAAATGTACTATGCACTATCAAGATTGAAGATATTAATAACCTGTTGTATGTAGATATCCACTAAAAGAGCGGACATGGTCCAAGCTCCTATGTTTACACCCAGTTTTTAAGTAGCCAATAGGAATTCGGCAATCACCACCGCCGCCCACAATCCCTACCCTTAGCACATCCGCCTCGACGTATTCTTTCTACTTTGTCAATTCCGCATCTGCACTTTTCAACTTTCGTGGATTGACAAACCCCGACGTTGGATTTCACGATTCCCAATTTTGAACGTCGCACTTCTCAATCCTTTATTATTCGAGCCATGTTAACTTGAGCACCGATTATTACAAACATCCGTCTTTCTTTCTCGTCGAGCAATCGCACGCGATTCAACGCAACACGACGCGTTTCTCAACACAGCTGTGATGGCCGGGCCGCGAGGGGCGCGTCTGCCCGTTGGCTCCGGGCCATGGATATCAGAAGAACGATCGTCTGCTATGCAGATTACTCAGTCGGAGGTTGAAGAATTCTCTTTCTCGGCTAGGAACGACTTTGACTGGCTAAACGAGCATATGGCGGAGATATTTAGCGAGAATCAGATGTGAGTAAACAACTAGACCCTAGCTGCGAAACCTTGAGGCTAACAAAAGCAACAGTAACGTGGCAGAGATCTTTAAGACTCCTGGTAAATTAAGAGGCAAGACACCTCGAACTGTACGCAAGATAAACGCGGGAGAGGCTCGTATTGTAGGTCCAAGGATCTTTTGTAACGCGATATACACGCGAATTAATCACTGACAATTCTTAGCCGCTCTCCGATATCTTCTCTGCTACACCTAAGGGAGCACCCAATCCATTTGCTATACCTAATATCAATCGAAACAACTCCCCCAGGATCGAGATTGCTGCAGATCCTCAACCATCGCCTTCTAAGCAAGCCGCTCCTGCAAGTCCCTTGAGGCACGTTGCTGTTCCGAAACCCGCAGTTTCAAAGCAACCCAATTCTATGGTTGACTCCGGATATCATGGTAGCCAGTCCCAAGATGCAATGGACGTCGATCAGTTTACTGTAGATGACGAGGCAACACATCCTTTCAGCCAACAGGCGAATACACAGGGTGATTATATGGACACCCACGCCTCCGATGACCACCATGAACTCAATGGCTCAACCCGCCACTCACTGAATCCTACTGTTGAGACGAACGCGGGTGAAGCCGATACCCAATATTTCACTGCTCATGTTGCCGCAGAAGCTTCATCTGCAAAGGATGATTCGCACCACGAGAGTACTACTCCGGCGGGCTCACCTCTGCGATCTCCTAACCCCACTACACAGACGAAATCGCCCGCGAAATTGTCTGCTGCTACGCATATGCTCTCCAGCCCCAGAGAGCACGCAGCCGAAGTAGATACGATGGAAACCGTGCTCGAGGAGCCGTCGAGATCCTCTTCGGATAGCCCAAGTCCGATTCGACCTATTGTTCGAAAGAGCAGTCTCAATTTTGCTTCCCTGCCTGAAAGGCAGCCTATCACCCAGAAGAGCATAGGTAACCGTGTATCACGAACTAGTCACCTTGATCAAAACCGAACTAGTTATTATAACCGATACACTGGAGGAAAAAGTCTAGGACATGCCAAACATGATCTTACGGATGAGGAGAATGATGATATGGACATGGACGATGATGAGGATGATCTATTCACTGAGAAGTCCCAGTCACGACCAGTACTAGATGACGCGACTGTACACAACAAAACTTATACTCAACGTCTTCAAGATCAGATCAGCAAATTGGGTCAGCCACAAGTACCAGCTCCTCGATCTTCGAAGTCAATTCCGGATCCGTTTGTTGCCCAGTCATCGGTCCCTACGACTCAGTCCTCGCAGTCTTCGTCCCAGACTAAGCCGTTGCCTTCTCTGAAGAATACAACAACTACCCCGGGTAGCTTCCCTACAGACGATGAGGACGATTGGATCCAGCCACTTGGAACCCCTGAGAATGCTTCAGACTCTCGCAGTCCGCGACCAGGGTTATCTAAGAGCTACACTGCGGATGTAATGGAGGGCGTGTCTGGCAAGAAGACTGTTAGTGGAGGCGATTTCTCTGTACCGAAGACTCGCCAGCCGCAGAATGACCTTAAGTCTCCTGAGCATCCGTCGGCTTTGGAACAGACAGGCAAGGCTCTGGGTCATCATAAATCTGCCTCCGTTCCTATCTTGCCGGTTCAAGGAGCCGCACATGGCGAAGATGACGGTCTTAAGAAGATTGTCTCGGTATCCAACCCATCGCTAGCTCCTGTTCCTGAAACAGAGGGGCCTACTACACCTATGAAGTCGCCGTCGCGTGGCTTCAAGGATAGTCCATTGAAACAGGTTAAGAACAAGTTGTCGTCAATTCTCAAGAGCTCCAAAGGCTTGTTGGCAAGTAGCGCTGCCATCAGTGCCGAAGGTAAGACCTCACTTTTGTCACCCTCCACAACAAGACTAGGTCTACACACCATAGCTTCTACCGAGTCTCTTGCATCCCCTCATAGAATGGATGCCCAACCTCTTTACCCAGACCTATCACGCCATGCCACGGAACAGGCTCTGGAAGGCCCTACTAGTCCGACACGTACGGATAGCCGAAGAACTAGGGCCTCTATAGAGCGTGAGAAGGCTGAAGAGAAGCGAAAAGATAAAGAGGCAAAAGAAGTACGACGTATGGCCGAACAGATGGAAAAGTTAGAGAAGGCTCGTGAGAAGGAACGTGAGAAGGCTCGTGTGTTCAGCAAGGAGCAGGAAAGAGTTGCTGTGATGGAGAAACAACTTGCTGCTCAAAAGGAGCAAGAGAAGAAGGCCGTACAAACCCCGGGTAATCCGTCGAAATCGACTCGTCCGAGTCCACGTAAGCCTGTTAAGGCTCAGCCAAACGCCGCTAGTTCCGACGATAACCAGACCGATGACATTGACATGGTCGATGCTCCTACTATGATGCCGCCGCCCTCTGCGCCTCGATCGGCTATCCCCCCTCCCTCCGTTACTAAAGGACGTGAAATCAAGCGACCTACGAGGCCCGCGAAGGAGCCAATCGCTAAATCCAAACAAGCACCCACTGTCATCCGCGTCAATACCGGCTCACAACATCCACAGTATCATCCCTCGAATAGTACTCTGGCGTCAAGCCTTCACGACACGCTGTCTCAACCTCAGTCCAAGCTCAAGTCTAGCCAGCCCGCTTTGCAGACCAAACCCTCTTTACAGAGTCTGAAAAGCTCGACGTCGTCTTCGGGACGACCCAAGGCGCTCGAGGCGGCAGCACGAAGGAAGGAGCAAGAAGAACGTGAGGCACAACGTAAGCGCGATGCTAAAGCGGAAATAGAGCGGAAGAGAGCGGCCATACAAGAGGAGGAGAGGCGCCAAGAACAGCAGAGAAAGGCTGAGGCCGAGCGGCAGAGGGAAGAAGAACGCAAGCAGGCCGCCATGCAAGCAGAGGCGAAGAAGAACGCACAACGACAAGCTATGCTTGAGAAGGCTAAACAGACTAGAGCGCCTCCGCCAGCTGCTCGAAGCCAGCCGAACGGACCCCCGGATTATAGCCGTCCTGATGCTGCGGCACCCCGACCACCTTCCCGCATGACCACTAATGCTCCGCGATCCCAGGAAGATGGTGGGCGCCCGGTCAATGCAGTATTATCAACTGCGTCTAAGGCAAACACGAAGCGGCCCTTACAACAAGACCACAACGATGATAGTACCCGCCAGACCGCGGCTCGTGGTGGCGCCGCTTATCAGTCGAAGGATTCAAAACGAATCCGTATGACTGATGAATTTGACGACGAAGCTGAGACAGGGAAGCAGCCGAGTCTAAAGGGGGCACCTGTACGCCCCTCAGGTGGCTATAAGAAGGTAAATACTCTATTCAAAATCATATCGACATAAAGCTAACATATTACTAGGAATTGCCGACCAAGTCTATGTTCCAGTCAGGGTACACGAATGCATCACTGAACGGCAGTAGAGATCTGTTCAAGGCTACCGTGACCAACCAACATAATAGCCATATGAAGCCAGGACATCCGTTGGATATGGCACAACTTGCAAAGGGCCCCATCCCCTTCGCACCCAACCCTAATGCGGCTGGGTCATCTTACAAGACGCCTGCTCGTCCCCAGGGAGTCGCGGGCGCTAAGTCCGCCGCGAAGTCGGCAACACGATCTTCTCCCCGGTTTCAGAATGGCGAGTCGATTGAGCTCCCAGAGATCAACACAGACGACGAGGATGACAGCGATGAGGGTGGTGGAGGTGATATGGTCGCATCCTGGGCTGATTCGCCTAATCTTCGCCAGGCACTTGTCGAGCAAGAAGGCATGGATCCTTTCCAGGTATTCGGAGCACCGGCCCCCCTTAACATGGAGGAGGTGTTTGCCAAGAGCAAGGATCGGTTCCACAAGTTCCGCGCCAGAACTTCCAGCGCGAACTGGAGCGGTTCTGACAGGCTTACCGAAGAAGATATCCGCAAGGATCTTGCTGCCCGAGATAAGATACGACGAGACGGTGGCTGGTCTTATGAGATGAGTCGGGATATGGTGTAGGACTGGTTGCTGGTAGGTCCTCAAAGAGGGAATTAGGAGACCCGTGGGGGTTAAAAGTCATTGCATCACAGGGTGTTGTCGGTCTACTTTGATCATGATACGAAGGTTTCGGTTATGAAAGTTGGGGCCCGGCGTTTACGGCAAATAGCATACCATCATTAGAACATGCAGATACGGCCGGATTAGTCTGTCTCTGTGTATGAGATCAGTGTTAGGAAATTACATCGACGCCTCGACTGAGGCTTTTCATGATCTGCATGCCCAGGTGGTAACGTGACTGGTGTGATGTTTAGTACTGAAGTGTTATGCACTATGACGAATAATACGACCTTCGGGTTTTCCTATTCGGTCGGCCACTAAGAGGATGACAATGACGACAGGGCAGAATTGAATTTTACGAAAGACATGCAGCAAGGAACCGATCTTTCGGGAATCTCTAACTAATGCTGGTCCCCGCAATGCATCGAAGGGTCTAATGGGAGGTGACATTGTCTGCTGCTGGGCTGCCTAACCTAACTTATGTACGTAGCCCTGGCCTAACTTATGTCGTAAATATCCCGAGCCAGCAAACAAGTGGTAAATATTCCGCACGGGTGTTAAGGCACGTTTCGTCTCGGAGTCATAATCCTCTAGTCCTCCCTATCGGGATGTTTATACCTATGGACCTACACATAGTAAGGTGCTAGGCGAGTAATACGAAATATATTGATGGTATCGTAGGATGATGATGGGTGAAGTACTGTATTCAGAGAATTTACTAAATCTTCATGATGTATATTTAGGCAACTACCTGTAAATACCTAGGTACTGTAATAACGAAAGGGGAAGAATAACCTGACGTCATTCTAGGAATCAGGTTGTCTGGCATCCAATGGCACGCCAACCTTGGAAGTTTAATGGATATCCATAGGTAGTATGTACCTATCATTAGGTCAGCGAGTACCTACCTAATTTTTAGGAAATACTATTTGTACGATGCAGTACCTTGTATATACCTAAACACGACAGAAACGGGATTTTTTTATTTCTAGAAGTTGTGCGATCTTCTACCGCTTTTGATCGACTAAAACCAACTTGAACGAAGTATTCCATTCTGAAAAAGCTTTACTGTATGACACGCATACATGCATATAATCTTACAGCCCGGCCTGTCCACTTGGTGCTTCCAGGGTTTGTGCATGTACTCATAGTAAAGAGTTTCATCATCAGTCATCTTTTCATTCGACACCTTAATATTAATCATTCGAACTTGTTAGCCCACTATTTGCAATTCTTCATCATCGTACTGCCGAAATCATCTCACATATTAAACGAAAAGGGTGCATCCCGAATATCGCGGTCCTTGCGGTATAGACAAATGAATTAGACGGATTAAACGGATATTCTTGGATTTCCAGGTAGCCAGGTATGTACATAGTTTTTGTTGATTTTTACGAGGTTTCATTGTTTACTTCCAATGATATTCGTCTTTACTGCCCCACGCGTACTGGACCCCACCAACTAAAAACCCCACTATCCCGCTATCCGCTAGCTTCCCACAGTTTCCCATATTTTTTCCAGTGTGCAGGTGCTGATTCACCCTTGCCATCGTTTTGCTTAACCTTATTATTATGTGCGTCCCACACCCCACTCCGCTACCCTCGTTACCCTGTCAGCCGCTATCGTAATGAGGTCGTTGACGCGCGAACAACTTCTTCCGTCCATCTGTTTTATTCATCTTTTTCACCACGGCACATGTGCACATGTTCGCGTAACTTTCACCGCCTAGAACATTCTTTATTTTTTTATTTTTTTATATTCTTTTGGCCCCTACTATGGTCCTAGGTAATGAACGAGGCTCTCTAACTTATCGATAAGTCGACCGATTCTAGGCTGCTAGGACGTCAAGTGGTACCTCTTAAGAGAGATCTTATCTTGCGACAAAAACAAACAGGGCTGTACTCCTGCCTGCATCTTACCACCCACCACCACTTCTATCATTCACACTCCTCCAACGAGAGGTCACACCTCACATTCACGTTACCACTATACCTTCCACTTCTTGCAAATTTGCCCTGAATCGCGTCTTTCGTTATCTTGACAACCACTTTTCAACCCACCTTGGACTTGGAATGGTAACTTGAAGGGGCACATCATCTATTCGCTCATTGAGCATCCTTCTCACTTACTTTATCCGCCTGTGAATGTCCACCTAGGACTGCATACTACTTGCCCACTTGCCCACCATGCCACAGTGGGACAAGTCCCGCGATTATTACGCGGATCTAGAGCTTTCTTCGAATGCTTCTACTGAAGAGGTCAAGAAGCAGTTCAAGAAACTAGGTGTGTTCTATATCTCTTCTCTCTTTTCTGCCCATATCCTCCTCCTGGCTAACTTCCGCCTCTCCAGCTCTGAAGTATCACCCGGATCGTAACCCAGGCAGAGAGGCCGAGGTTAACCCCAAATTCCAAACTATCCAATCCGCTCACGAGATCCTATCCGACGAAAGATTAAGGCGCCAATATGACGAAGCACGTCGATCTCATTTGTCGCGCTATCCCAAGGCATCCGGTGTACGAGGTAACCCGTGGCAGGATATTGGCAAACAATACCAGCCCCCTCCCACTCGACATCAGACGCAATCATCGTCGCAGTTCGGCAGAGCCCCGACCTCTGGAGCCCAGCGTTATACTAGCTTCACGAGCAATATGCCCCGGACAGGTAAATCTACGCCTCGGGAGGATCCTCAGACTCGCAAGAATTTCGCAGATGCATGGGACAATATGAGACCAAGAAAAGCACCTCCCGCAACTCCCGGTCGGGCACCCACGTCGGCGGCACGAGACGCAAACACGCCCAATTCGGAGTACGTTCCTAAGAGTGCTTACCAGCAACAAAAGGCACAGGCTTCTTTCGGTAACAGCAGTCGACGAGCAGGCTTCACTCCCCGCTCCCCAGGGGTAGCTGACGAACCTCCGGTCACTAACAAGAATTATTTCACCACTCGCACGCACTCGACCCTCTTCAATGAAGTCGATCCCGACGTCCCGCTTTCCAGTGCTCGCCCATCCGCTTCTGCGGCATCTACTGCGACGGATCCGTTTGCTCAGTTCAAGGGTAAAGTTTGGGATGAACGTCAAAGCACTCCGTACCAAACTCCCGGTGGTGAAAAGACGAACCTCTTCGATGATGTGCTAGGAATTGGCCGCACTACTAGCACACGAGCGCCCCGGAGGCCAGAGATGCCTGGATCGTTCCCGCAGCCACGACCTCGAAGTTCTAGTACTCCTAAGAGTTCAAGCAACGATGCAGCCTTTGAAGACTCGGTGAAAGGTGCTACGGGCCCTACAGGGCCTAAGTTGCCGACTCGAGATATGCCAAATGGTAGTAGCACCCCCCAGCCAGGACCCAGTGATCGTTACAAGCCGAATGCTGGACAGAACAATGCAGTTCCGCAATCTCCTTTTGGGAGCTATCCTGCCACGCCAACACCCGTAAACGGTACCAAATGTATGTTTTCCATCCCAGCCCAGCAACATCGTATATCAATTTGCATGCTAACTTGGTGTCTTAGTGGGTGGAAATTCAACGCAAGCTGGCAATGGACCTTCAGTGTATGCTCCATCATTTACTCACCTCCCAGAACTATCCAATCCCCAATTCCAGACTTTTAATCCCTGGACTGGTGAAACCCGGGACTCCAAAAGAACTGAACAGTCCGCTGCGAAGTTCGAAGCCATGCTCCGCAAACTGCGACATCCTTCAAGTGGGGATGAGCCCGCGCGCAACGCAGCGCGCCCTTCGCTGTTTCGCATCGAGGAGATACAGAAACGTGATGTTGCTTGTCTTGTCAACAACCGAGCAACGTCGAATAAACGTGTTAACAGTACTTCCTCCAAGTCGAGCAGCGGAATTTCAGGGGTTCCTATTGCAGATAAGAGACCTAAAATTAGTACTGACTCTTCATGCTCTAGCTTTAATTTCTCGGCCGCAAGCGACGAAACTTTCAAGGGGACCGGTAAAGAACGTCTTGCTAAACCTAGTACTGATAGTATCAACACTAAGTTTGTTGAAGATTGGGACGAACTTCCTGAAGACTTGAAGTTTAGCGCAGGTACTGCTTCCACGAATGGCCCGCAAACCCCCACGAAGGGACGACCCCAGTCTCGTAGTCGAAGTCGTCGCCAGACGCCTAAGACTAGGCCAACGGAGACGGAGCGTATGCCTCCAATGCCCGAGGGTCCAGGAAACACCGCCGGAAACGGGTTTTCAGCGGGAGAGTGGAGTGATAAGATTGGTTCTCAACATTTTGTGCCTCAGTCTTCGCGCAGCGTTTCGTCTTCGCCGACTCGTCGAACCAACCCTAAGAAGGGTAAGCCTGTCAAGATGACAGCAGGCACAGCTGGGCTGGTGGACGAGGATGAGAGTGACGGATACCATGACGCCCAGTCAACCTCGTCTGGTTCCGCACAAGCAAACGCGGATACTGCGACCGCGATGGACATTGATTCACCTCCGCCGGAGAAGGTGGATGAGACTCCGAGAGCACCCCAAACCAATGGCGCCCGCAAGATTCCCGTCGAGCCCCATAGAGAGGAATGGAGAGCGGGCGATGTTAATGGTGTGCGCACGAAATCTACTAGTCCAACGCGAGATGGAATTCCCGCCAAGCGACCCTTCGCTCAGACTTCTGCGCCTCAGTCGGCGTCCATTCCTGTGCCAAACCCTTACGCCGCGCAGCACGGTGGCTCGGAAGATACTGATGAGTTTCGTACCACGTTTGCCGACTTCACAAAGGTGGAACCTTTCGCTGCCCCATCTGCTACCGGTCTCAAAGACTTGAGCGACTTGAAGTCTACACTGCCTTTTGAGAGCAAGCCGTCCGAGCAGATCCCCATAGAGAAGGAGCAACCTCCCAAGCGTTTGTCGCTAGAATTTCCCTCTCCTCCTGTTGCTCCGCGTCTTCCTCCAACCGTGGTCGTACCTGGAGTCCAGCCGAACAAAGTTCTGTTCCGCAAATACGCTCAAGACTTCTACCAGTACATGGACAAGTGGGAGGTCTTCAGCACCAGGATCATGGCGCACTTCACAACTCGCCAGGACCTCTACAGGAACCGTCGTCAACACCAAGGATTGTCATGGTTAGAGACGCCTTTGGGGACTCAAGAGTATTTGACAGAACTTGAGCAAGACCAGGCGGTTCGCCTGCAGTGGACCAACGCCTGTGCAGACCATCAAACTAAGATTCGCGAGTTTATGACGTTCAGAGATCAGGTAAAATAGTATAGACGGGTCAATGAACGTCAGAATGCCAACCTTCGCAACTCCAAGAGAAGCGGTGCGAAGCCCAAGGTGGAAATCATGGGCAGCAGGCTGCGGACTTCTTCAGATTTCGGCGGAGTCCCTCTTGGCAACGACAGACCTGGTGGTGCGCCTCTTTGATCACACCCAATTGGATCGTGCCCTTATTGCGAATCTTCGATAATTTCGCATAGATACAAAATCACCGCAAATTGTATCTTGGGCCATTGGATGTGGGGTGATCAAGCACACTATCGTTCGTTCCTGTTAGCGAAGGCATTTTGCAGTTCTGGTAGAACGATTTCTACTGGATTATTAAAGATCTGATAGTATTTTGACAGATACAGGAGAACCGTGGAAAGAATTTCCCGGCAATTTTCATGATGCAGTTTTCCCATGGTGCGAGTGGGCAACGTGGGGATCAACGAGAGGTGGCATGATGAGATAAAGAAACAAACGGATTCTCAACGCAATGATCATACGGCTACCTACTTTGGGAATCCAATTCGCACGAATTATACGCATATGGCTTTGAGATCGATTTTCGATCAATATTTTCTACTTGCTCAGTCGTCTCACATTAGCAAATGAGGACTTGTTCTGACTAGTCTTTGCACACTGGCGAGACGATGGTTTACTATCAATAAAGCACGGTTTCGGATATGGCACGAACTATGGGATGGTCGGGGCGTTCGGAGGGGAGGATCAAGGACAATTACGGATATTGTCTATACCAATGCTCAGCACGGGCTGCATTGCGTTAATGCGTTAATGGCGTGGATGATTCTATTCGTTTTTTCTCATCTCCGATTATACGGCCTAGAACCTTTAATCAATGGGTGGAGGGATGGGGGTAATTGTATGAGCAGGAAGGTGGATAATTGCTGGCGCGGGTGGGTGATTTCGATGATATCCAAACTCGCATGAGGGCATTCTTTGTTAGCATCCAACGTGTCCCATGGCACACCGGTCGGATCTGACTGATCTTTCGGTTCTAACAAGTAACCTTCGCAGCAGCAATGCAACTTTCTGCTAAAAGACACTGATTTATATTGCTACCACTCTGCTTGATATTCGGTGATATAAAATTCAGGGGTTCGGTTTCTTTCTGTGAGCTTAGGTAAGTCGCAAGTGGGCCTGTCCCGTAGTAATGCGGACCGACCTCAACGCCTAAATCGACTTCTAAGTAAAATTATGTGGGTTTATTATGTAAGCCTTCCCCCCTATTCATATTGCTATGCTTGTTTAGAGAACCTATCTTAGGAGTCGTTATACCATTTCTTCATGTTGTATATCTTTCTAGGACTTATCTAGTGTCTAGTAGGTAATATGTGATATCTTGGCAGAGAATAAGGGATAACTAAACAAAATCCCCCTTCATATTTATTTGTACTTCTTTACTTAAAACGCCATCCACACACATAACCTTAGCTAGGTACTTACCCCTATTGCTAAAAAGTTCGCCTCTCCCATATGATACACGAGGAAACCTTGCAAGAAATATTGAATCCACAGGGCTTAAATACTGATTCCCAATTACTCCAAAAGGCACAGGTCACATACGCATAGAAAAACCAAGATGTATTCGAAAATTCGAAAAATTTCCTTAATTCATCAAAGAAAGGACTTCCGTTCAATTTTTGATGTGTTGTAGTAATCATCGCCACTATTATTCCACATTCCGTAGTATTCATCCTATCGTCAAAGCAAATCGCGACGAACTCAGTATCGACAACAATAAGTGCCGCATTTAAGACACGCGTTAACGTTAAAAAAAAGATTTTCCTCCAGCACAACGCCGAACCCGTACAAACTCCCCTTCCCTCCTACGTATATATATTACCATTCTATTGGGTCCTTGATCTCCTGTCCACGATTCGTCTTGGGAACGGGTGCGGGTTTGGCGGCTAGCTTACCGCCCTGGCCCTTTCGCCGCAGGTAGGCCGTGCCGTCTACCCAGGGGGTTTTGGCCGAGGCCTTCTTCTCGTAGTCGACAATCTTGTCTTCGAGCTGGAGGGTCAAGCCGATGTCATCGAGGCCGTTGATTAAGCAGTGCTTTCGGAACTCTTCGACGTCAAACTTGGCAAGCTCGTTGCCCGTAGCATCACGGATGACCTGATTCGGTAGATCGACTTCGATCTCCTTGCCTGCGCGAGCCTCGGCCGCGATCTTCTCAATTTCGTCCTGGTTCTGAATGGCGATGGGCAACATGCCATTCTTGAAGGTGTTGTTAAAGAAGATGTCGGCGAAAGATGGGGCAATAACGCAACGTATGCCGAAGTCGTTGAGGGCCCAAGGAGCATGTTCTCGAGAGCTACCGCAACCGAAGTTGGGACCCGTGCAGACCAGGATCTTAGCATTTGTCCACGGTTCTTGGTTTAGAACGAAGTCCTTGTTCACGGATCCGTCCTCATTCGTTCTGGATTCATAGAATAGAGCTGATCCAAGGCCGGTGCGCTTAATGGTCTTCAAAAATTGTTTGGGAATAATAGCGTCTGTGTCGACATTAGCCCGATCTAAGGCGGCAGCGATACCCCTGTGAACTAAAAATTTCGGCAGGCCTTGAGAACCAGCTGCTTCCGAGGCCATGGAGTTGACATGCGGTGAGGTATCCTCAGGTTGGTCGGTAATCCTTTCCTTCGCGGCGTCGTCATCTTCGACACTCTCGTCGACGTGCGCCTTGCCTACTGGTGTGTTGTTTAATTTGTAGGCATCGATATGAGGGCTGGCGGTGTACTCTGTTAACTTTCGGACATCGGCGAGTTTGCCAACGATAGCAGCAGCCGCCGCCATAACAGGAGACATCAGATGTGTTCGGCCTTGGGCACCCTGTCTGCCCTCAAAATTTCGGTTGCTCGTACTTGCGCATCGCTCCTTTGGCGATAGAATATCTGGGTTCATGCCGAGGCACATGCTGCACCCGGCTTCTCTCCATTCGAATCCGGCATCCAAGAAGATCTTGTCAAGACCCTCAGCTTCGGCTTGGTCCTTGATTACTCCAGAACCGGGCACGATCATAGCACGCTTGACATTATCGGCCTTCTTCTTGCCCTTGACAACCTGTGCGGCGGCCCGAAGATCCTCGATTCGCGAGTTTGTGCAAGAACCAATGAAAACCTTGTCGACGGGAATCTCTGTTATCGGGGTACCGGCGGTGAGACCCATGTATTCGAGCATCCTTCGGCCAGCCTTCTTCTTTGACTCGGACTTGAATGTCTCCGGATCAGGAACAACTCCGGTGATAGGAACGACATCCTCGGGGCTCGTACCCCAAGTCACGGTAGGGATGATATCCTTGGCGTCGATCTGGACGTCAATATCGTACTTAGCACCTGGGTCCGACTGGAGACTTCTCCAGTACTTGACAGCGCGATCCCATTCCGGAGTGCCATAAGGAGGGGCTAAAGGCTTGCCCTTCAAGTACTCGAAGGTAATGTCATCAGGAGCAACCATACCAGCTCGAGCACCGCCCTCGATGGACATATTACAGATGGACATACGAGCCTCCATACTTAAGCCGCGGATGACGGAACCGCAGAACTCGATAACACAGCCGGTACCTCCGGCAGTTCCGATTAATCCAATAGCGTGGAGTACAACATCCTTGGAGCTGACACCGGGAGCCAGCTCGCCGTCGACTTGTATCCTCATGTTCTTACTCCTCTTCGTGATGAGGCACTGGGTAGCCAGGACGTGCTCGACCTCACTGGTCCCAATTCCCATGGCGAAGCAACCAAAGGCTCCATGTGTAGAGGTGTGGCTATCACCGCAGACCAGAGTAGTACCCGGAAGGGTGAAACCTTGCTCGGGGCCGATGACATGGACGATACCTTGACGCTTATCGCCGAGACCAAAGTAGGTAATTCCGAAATCCCTTACATTCTCCTCAAGGGTCATACATTGTAAGCGGGAATCGTCTTGTTCGATGAAGGAGGCAAGATCCTTTAAGCCTTTTCGGGACTTGGTAGGGATATTCTACGAGCGAGGTCAGCTTTGTCTCAATGTTAGCTTGTTCACCGAGAGTGCGACGTACGTGGTCTGTGGTGGCGAGGGTGCAATCAGGTCTTCGGACTTTTCGGCCAGCGTTCTTTAAGCCTTCGAATGCTTGCTGTGTCCATTGTTAGCTCTGGTGCGCTTATACACAAGTTCCCGTATATCTGCAGTATCACGTACGGGTGAAGTGACTTCGTGAACGAGATGCCTGTCTATTGTGCGAATCGAATTAGCAAAAGCTACGTTGATGGAGCCCAATTGAGTCTTTTCATACCTATATAGAGCAGAACAGTGCCATCAAGCTTCTCATCCACGACATGAGCGGCTAGAACCTTGTCGTACAAAGTCTGCGGGACACCTTCGGCAACGGGCATCTTGGAGAGTCTTTATTGAAATACGAGAATCTCCCCTATGTATCTCGTGACCTTTTGAAGCGAGCTCAATCCCGATCGTGTGCGCACTCGAGCTGGCGAAGAGGGGTGGCAATTAAAATGGAAATTGAGAGATGAAGGAGGTATGAATCTGAAATGATCGCAAGAGATCGCAGGTAGTATCGACTGGCCGATTGAAAGTCTATAAATGCGGGGAGAAAGTTTTTAAATATGTAGTTAGGGAAGGAAATAGTCTATGTACACGGACGTGAGGTCAAAGAGAAATGAGGAAACTGTGACCGGCACAGGGAAGCTATCTACTTAGGTACAATATCCTCTTTTTTTCCTTGTGTCGCCTTTTTTTTCACTATTTTGTTTTTTTGCCTCCATTACGGCGCGCCGAACATCGGACGGTGGTCCCTGCTCTCCGGTAGCGGGGTACATGCGTAGGGCCGAGATTTGAATCTCCTTAAAGGTGATTGGCCACAGCAAACCGGAATGTGCGGTGCAGTTGGGACAGTTGGGAATTGCCATGCCTAGAAGCACCCCCGCTACCCCACGTGAGGGGCTCTCGGTGCGAGTCAACTGCAGAAGTATGCTGATGATTGCATGCAGACCAGAGATACCAAATCGGACCCAAGCTGCTAAGTTGAAAAACAACCTAGGTCGCTTCTTGGGAGTATGCTATAGGCAGCGGCTAGGTATCTTCTCTTGAGCGGACGCACGGCTTTTGCATTACCGACCCCTTGCGTAAGTTGAGAATGATTACGAAGGTATCCATTTTCTCCAAAGGCAAGGGCGGCAAACGTGTAATCGAATAATTGACAACTCGGGTGATACACTACCTCCTACAGAAGGAACTATCCGGATCTCCAATACGGCAAACGAGATATATAAAGTACATGTCATGTAGTGTTTCCCCAAAAAGCCTCCACCCCGGAAGTAGGAGACCTGGTAGATGATGTCACCTCCCTACATATATGTGTCTAGTCTCCCCTTGCTGTGGCTGGTGACTAGGCTAAATGAAGTACCTTCGATATTAGGTGTCGTAGTACAGAGATCTCCTCTCCGCTCTTTCGGTGTGATGTTAATTGGGTACATATGCTCGGTACTTATCAATGTATCCAGGGATATACTTTGGGGATATGCTACACCGCAGAACGCAAATACACATATACATCCACATACATGCTCACTTAAAAGCCTTTTAAAGAAGGCCCAAATTGCGAAATCGTTACACCGAATAATTAATGATAATCCGTACAACTACCTCTAGCATAGTGCGATGCATATTCACCGCACTTTTGTTATATTAAAGTGGTACGCAGAAGTTCCGGCAACCTCCAGGAATACTTCTCCCTTTTTTTAGCCTTTTAGCGGTCCGGTGTGTCTCCGATGCTTACCGTCCCTCAGCTCCAATTTTCGCTGCCGTTCAGGTCATCGGCTCTCGTCGGAGCCTCAACCATCTAGAACGGCCTGGTGGAAAATGGGGTTAGTACCCATTATCCATCCATTTCCGAATACCGCAGTCGGCTATCCGTATCGAGAGAGCTTCATTACCAGGTTAGGCAGTTCTAAGAAAGCCGAACCCCCTCAAGCTCATACATAATTATACAAGAATACCAACCTATTGTACCATACAAAGTCTCCAAGTCTCAAAAAGCCACTACTCTATAAACCACCAGAGTGTCTTCGATGCATACCAACTGGCTATTCCACCGGATAGGCAAAATACGCCCGCCAAGATAAAGACGATCGCGTCTTCCCATGTGCTTTGCTTCCTGTGCCTCCTCTTCCAGAGATCGCTTTGCTGATCAAACGCCGGCCGGACCATAGCCCACCACGTGCAAGCCAAGCCGAGGCAGACTACGTAGACGGTTTTACAGAATTGGACCGCTGTCGCTGTCACGTCCGTCCAATCAATACTTTCTGTAGAACCTCTCTTGTGCTGTGTCTGTATTTGGTTTGTGTTCCTCTTGACGTGTTCATGCTTGGAAGGAAGCCCGGTGCCTCCGCCTTCTTCGTTGTGACGTTTCTTTTTCGGGTGCCTTTGCTGGAGCGAGTGCTTCGGCTCCGTCGTTTTGCTTGGCACATGCTTCTTTGCCGGGCTGGGACTTCGGCTGCGGTTTCGGCCTGCCTTGCGATCCGCCGATTTGTTTCTCGCTGTCTCCTTGGTCCTCGAACGCAACATGGCGATCTGGGCCGCCTCTCCTAGTATATTCTCCTTTTGGCCCTCTGTTGATAGGCGCCGTTGAGCCTCTCGTGAAGCCACCTTTAGGACTTGGGCCGGACTCTTTCTTTGACGCTCTTGGCTGATCTTCCGACTCTGCTTTCCCTCCTTGGTTATGCTGTTGGAATCTACTACAGGCTTGAGTACTTGCGTCCTGGCCGGTTCTGTCTCCTCGACCATGCTTGTGCTCTTCGGTATCTCGGCGTCTCTCGTTTCGAGATTCTGTTGAACGAGGCGGCAAAGGCGGGGGGTTGTTGGTGTGGAGACTCTTGTCGGTGGTTTCTCTTCCAGCGCCGCTTCGTGGGTTGATATTGTAACGATCTCGGGTGTTCCTTGAAGGGGTTCGAAATTCGGCGAGCCATTCTGTATCATGATGGGAGGGGAAGGCGTCCTATGCTCCCCTGGAATCGGCTGTGGCGTGATGCGATACTCTTGCTGATGGGAAGACATTGGAATCGTCGGGAAATCCATGGTGTCCGTATGACCGTTGATCTGGTTGATTTCGATATCCCATTTTGGGCGAGGAAAGTTGGATTGGTTCTCCAGGGCGAGGTCCACGCATCCAGTAGTGGTGGTGATGGGTATGGACACAGATTCTCTCCGGGACGATCTGAACATTTTGTCCAGGAGAGGCGACGTCATCTCTGCTTGCTCCGAACTGATCCTCCCGTGCAGACTCAGCTGTAGATGTTGGCTCTGGCACTCCGGGATATCTTCCGGTAAATGGTTGACCGAGCAGTCTTGGACTTGGTCGAAAGTTGGAGGTGACCTTTGGTTTCTCTCCATCTCCTTGGTATGAGTCGTACCTAATTTCCGGCGTATGGAATTCGAAGGACGTCTCATGATTCCCTTCAGTCTCGACTGGGATGAGGTCACTGTAGCTCCGTTTACGCTGGGGCTGCTTTTGTCGTTTCCCAGTGAACGGGCCAGGTTTGTAGTCGAGGACAGCGCCAATCTGTTGCCGCTTGCTATCCCTAGCGTGCTTAAGTTGGGCGTAGTTAACTGGGAGTCTTCCGAATGTGTCGACTGACTGTCGCCCGTGTCTGCTGGTTCCGGGGACAGGAGGTGGAGACGATAATCCGGGATGTCTAGGTCGGCAAAGTGATCCTTTGGTATGTGCTGAACCGAACTCAACGCCCGGCTCTTGTTTCTCATGGACGTCATGAAGCTCACCGGGGGGCTTGATACGGACTTTCCCGGGTCGGTTTCTCGTCGGCGTCTCCATAAAAAATGCCTCTCGCTTTTGGTTCGCCCAATATCTGGTTGCCCAACGCTAAGACTTTCCTCAGATGGCTGAGTAGCCGACTTCGTTAGAGATGCAGAATCGAAATTAGTATCTGGTAAAGTATGAATAATCGTGTCTGTTGATAAGTCTCTACGCTCATGTCCTCGGCGCTGCGGACCATCGTAACTAAGTCGTTCTGTTTGACCAAAGGTAGCTTTCGAAGAGACTGGCGGGCGAGTAGGGCGAGAAAAATTCGGAATAATTGTGACCTCCTCAGGATCTGATGAGGCAGAGTCAGTGGGCATCCCCGAAAACAGTAAACTGGAGGTCTCACTGCTTCCTAGTGCCACACTATCTAGGGATTGGGCGATTGGACTAAGGCTGGGTTCGGCCGCGGATGACCACTGACGCTTGTGTTGGCTCCATTTGGTAGATGAATTCTGGCGTCTGAGTTCTTCCTTCGCGTGTTCGATTTTGTCAAGCTTAGCTTTTTCCTTGTCTAATCTAGCCTTGTCCTTTTCCTGTTCTTCTAATAGCTTAGCCTGCTCATACTCCAACTTTGCGGCCTTCTTCTTCCGTGACAATCCGGCCAGCCTGCCTCGTGTCGAACTGCTTGTCGTCTCCGAGCTGGGCGTCTCCGTAGGCGTCAGAACCGGGAATTTTCCCGAGTATGGATCGGCACCTTGAACACCCAGCCAATCTCCGCTCTCCTTCAGGCTTCGCCGGTTTTTCCTGCTCATCTCCTTGGACTTGAACAACTCGTGGACCTCCGCCCTGGTCAGGGCTTCCGATTTTCGGGGCGGAAGTGGTTCACGATCTGGTGTATCCAGAGACTGTTCTCGCCCAAGGGATCGATCCCTCGGTAAGTTTTCGACGAACCTAGAGTCACCCTTTTGGGGACTCCAACTCCAGACTCGGCGGTGAATAGATTCTTCAGGGACTATTAATGATGTTGTGTGGTGAGCTGGAATCTTCTCCTTAGCAAGATTCCAACCGGTCAACTCATTAGGATCGATTTCTTCATCGGCCGTCCAGTCAGTTGTGCGAGATGTGCCTCCCTGTTCCGGACGATTGGTCGGTAGGATCTTGCTGAAGAAGCCGCTAAAAGAAGAGGTTCGCTTCTGAGACGGTCGGTCGGCATTAGTAGCCGTTGTGGACTTTCCCGGACTCATCTTTCTTTTCGTGCGTTGCCGGATCGGTGGCGGTTGGCTTTGACTCGTACTAGGGGAAAATGATACAAGCCAGTCCGAGCTTGGACTGCGTAGCGATGACGATGAGAATAAAGATGAAGACCGTCCACGTCTTGGAGAGGCCATCTTGCTAGGTGCTTTCTCTTCTGACCCAGGCACAACAGATCGGGCACGATCGTTGCTACCTGTCTGAGAGTGGTAACGCATCTGAAACAGAACTAAAGAGACTGTCCATCTTTCCCTCGTCCATAGGATCAAGCAGGACAACACAAGTGCGTGGCTACTCAGCAGTGAGCGGGAGGTAGGTGAACAGATCAGACTTAGGCAGGATCGGACTATGATATTGGGGAACGTGCGACTTAGGTTCAACAGACGATGGATATCGCGGTTCGTCCGAGGTTGATGGTTGGAGAAGCAGGAACATTTAGGTTTTGATCCCAACTTAAGGGTGAGTACAACTGGCGTAGAAAGGATTACCGTTGGCGGTTAAACCATAGGGAAGTAGCATTACCACGAGCCGAAGAATGGAGGTAGGCCGGTAGTTTCTTAGCATCATCACACTACTTCTATTTGACTTTCTGTGGAAGTAGTTCGTATTCATACAAATGCCGGTGAATACGAAAGAGGTTTTTCTCACCGCGGCGTAATAAAACCCATAATGAACCTCCCGATGTCTGGTATTCCCAACATCAATGCGTAGTCTACATAAAAAAAATTAGATAATAAAACAACCGTAACCCTCCTACCGCCACATAGACGGGTATCTCTCGTAAGAAGGTGCTTGACTGGGTCGTCCCCAGCTATTCAACGGTTGAGCATTCAGCGTCCCAGTGCTTTTCCTAATGCTCTTTGTAGGACTGTTGCTGCGTTCTCTCGCCGATTGGTATTGCTCGAGCTGAGCCATCTCGCTATTATTTCGTGGTGATCTAAACTGAAGTTCCCCTAGACTAGGGGCTTTCTTCAGGGGTGAACGAGGATGGGTGTATACACCCATGTAACCCCCATCGCCTACCTGGTTGGCCTGGTGGGTGCTAGAGGTAGAGGCAGAATAGTTAGGAGTTGATGTTCCAGCATTAGAGGCTCCTCGACGGGATGAGTTAGGGTTAAAAGATGTAGGAAGGCCTGGCGTACCCTTCCATTGAGTCTTGGCAGTGGCCACAGAAGTACGCCCTCTCAGCTCGCTGCCATAGGCGTCGGTATGTCTCGTGACGGGGGGCGTGAATAATCCAGAACTACTTCCGGCGTTGTTGTAGTTCGATCGGACCATACCACGATCAGGGTCAATGTGTTTAATGTAGTTGGGGTTGGGCCGTGTCCGGAAACCTCGGCGGAGCTGGACGGTAGGCGTGCCAACCTGTATATCCTCGTCAAGATCCTCGCCCTCCTCGCTCTGCGATATCTGCGTTGCAGCGTCCCTGACTTTAGGATAGAGATTGGGATGGACGAATTTGGTATCGTATTCGTGCATAACCTCCTTTTGGATAATGGCGGTGTCCTTGTTCTGCTGCGTGAACCTGTTCTGGAATAGAAGCAACTGCGCCGAAAGGATACACTGAAGCACGATACAATTAAAAACGGTAACGCTTGGTCTCGCATCAAGAGGTGCTAGCGGTAGGAACATCGTGTAGACGAGGACGTGGCCGGGACTGAATAAGCAGAATATTTGCAGGCAAATCGGTAGTGGATCCCAAACCGATATCTCCCACACGTCCCGAACTCGATCGGGATGCGCTCTTGATTCCGCACTATCGGTCCCTATCATATTCGTCAGAAGCCGGAGAGGCGACGATGAGACCGGTGACGACTGGACGCGAACACGATGCGCTGAAGGCGTTTGAGGCTCCTTCTCCACGTCCGCTTCGAATAGTCGATAGTGACGAGATCGATACATCGTATAGGTCGCATTAACGGCCGAGGCGGTAATGAGAAACCAAACCAGAGTACCGACCTATTATGCGGCCAAATACAAGCATTAGCAACTAGAAACAAATCTATGGTCTCCAATGAACATATCTATATAAATGGCTAGGTGAAACTTACGAGGAAAGTAAACCACCCAGAGACCGTTCCCTCGTCGAACACAGGATCTACAGCCTGAGAACCACCACTATTGGCTCGGGCGAGCAGAAACGCAAAGTTCATAACCAGTCCCATCTGCGTACCAACGAGCTTAGAGTCCCAGTCGCGTGTCTCTATCTCCTCAGACAGCCACAAAAGGAAGTCCATGGGGTTCAGCATGGCCTTGACACGCTCTAGGAGCGGTCTCCGACGAACTAGCCGCGGCGGCATCTCGACAGGGCGTTGCGTGCAGGCGAATCGGAAATTTGGCAACCTAGCAAATACCCATCACACGCGTGCGTATCGTGGTATTGAATTAGCAACGGCGAGCTTTCCCACGCGAAGGAGGGTTTGTGCTGCGGTGACGGTGACGTCTTTTTGTCGCTGCTGGCCGTTGTCCGGTCTTTTTTCCTTTGTTGACTTTTTTAAGTGAAAACACGGCGAAGAAAACGCCACAAAATACTAAGTATTTAGATGGGAAGTTTTAACAAGTGGATGCGATTGCTACCTATTAGGTGCTGCCAGGGTCATTTTTTAGGCACATCCAATAGTGGCTGCCAACTGGCTGAATTAGGCGTATACGTACCTAAGAAATGGCGGGGTAGGTGCGTAGGAGATAGGAGTCTAGGCGGTCAGAGCTTCCCTGTAGCGGTCGTCACTTCTGCCTAGGTACTAGGTACTGCGTAGTAGCTACCAATCGCAAGCCCAGTGCCCGTACAGTAGCATCTTAAGCTTGGTACATCTAGATATCTCCTATCAAATACAACATTGAACTACACATCCAACGATCCAACGATCCAACTGGACCACACCCACGCTGCCTAATCCGATTGACTCACAAATATGGCGTCTCACGCAGACTACAAGGACAGGCAATTCCTAGCCGTCATCGGTGACGAGGTTCGCGCAACCGCCGCACAGCCAGACAGTTATGCAGAAGATTAACACCAGAAATGATTAGGATTCAGTCACGGGCCTCCTCCTAGCAGGAATAGGTGTAAGCCTCGACGTCTAATTTCCACCATTCTACAGTTTCTACAGTCTGTCAAACTCTAAGTTGCGTTGCTTATTGACGAGGACGGTATCCTTAGCACGTCACGAACCCGCCGGACTCGCAAAAGAACTTCCTAGTCGTCGACAACAAGACGGACACCTCGGCCATCGAGGCCGCCTTCGACTCGTTCACCACGCAGCGCAAGGACATCGGTATCATATTGATCAATCAGCATGTCGCCGACAAGATTAGGCATCGAATCGATACCTACACATCTGCCTTCCCTACCATACTCGAGATCCCTAGCAAAGAGCACCCGTACGACCCTGAGAAGGACAGCGTGCTAAGAAGAGTGAGGCGTCTGTTTGGAGAGTAGAGATGTTATACAGTGTTATATAGGATCACTATTACGAAATGGCTACGAGGTCGAGGTTGTATTGTATATATCCACCGTTCGCAAACATCAAAGGGGTTTCGTGGTTTGCAATACACCAGCAGAGGTCTGAAGCCAGGGTTTAAAGACTCGAAAACGCCCTTACGGGGTATCATTGTATATGCGCGACTAATGCTAAACTCATGTGATTACGTGCCTTCATCACAACCATGCGGTATCAAAGAAAAATGTCGAACCAGACTCGGGGAAGCAAAATATCAAACTATGATGCCATCAAGTCCGTAGTCCGTACAAATACAGGCGTAGGGTGAAAGGTGCCCTTGCGTCCATCAAAAGAGTGCCATGCCATGCGTAGGTACTCAAGTAATCGCCAATCCAGGTTTAAATTGCGCCCTTCTCTCCAAGGCTATGACGGTAATACAAGTCTCGTTTCGTCTGCCCAAAGACAATCTATAGTTCAATCTCCGACTTGCTATTGCCACCAAACTTCACTGTGGCCTGGAGGCAGGTGATGGGGGTTTCGCCATCGGCGTTGACCACCTCCGCGTAGACGTTGTAGGTTCCCTATTCTCTTTGTTAATACCATCTCCCAAGAAAAGCCCTTCCAAACCCGGGATGGGGAAGGGTGACGTACAGGAGGGACCTCCTTAGGGATTTCGACGGATTTGGTGATAGACAGAACTCCCTTCTCAATAGGGCACTTAAGGTCGACATTCTCGATTTGTTCACACAGGTCGGCGGTGGTGCTAATCAAACGGATCAGACCATACTTAACGACGAGGTTAACGGTTGCGCCCTCCGTGATGGTCTCGTAGACGGTTCCTGTAGCCTCGATGACTAGCTCGGAGCCACTATATATATGCAAGATTTGTTAGTTAGATTGAGATGGCTTCTTATTCGCCGACTCTTTCATCTTTCAAGTATAACTGGATAAACGTACGTCTCTGGGGGATTGGGTGATAAATCAACGCTCTCGATCTTTATGATGTCTTTGCTGTGGTCCGTATCGCAGAACTCGAGAGGAGATTCACCAGGAACCTTCTGCGCCTCCTTAGCGACGACGTCTTGGGAGCTAAACCAGCTTCCAGCCGAGGCTACACTGGCAGAAAGAGCTGCCACGCAGGCGGTAGAGAATTTCATTGCGAATTATTGTGATGGCGTTTCCTTAATTCGAATGAATTACGTGGATAGGTAGGTAGGTATCGAGGTTCACTCAAATGAGTGAAAGGAAAATAGTCGATGATGTCGTGAGTGGTTGCGTTTGCGGAGGTTGGTCTGCTCAACAGATTGAAGATATGGGGGAAGACAAAAGAACAGTGGAGCGATAAAGCTAAGGAGGTCAAACTACATACCTACCTACGCAAGGTTGGGGTGGGACGTCATGAGACGAGCAACTGTAATTGTGATTGGCTAAATTGCACCAGCCTTGGCTGGTTTTAGTAGCCACCTGAACGCCTTCGCTTATGTAACACCCATTCTATGTAAATTGACTAATCAGGAAAGTACTAAGGTTAGTATGTCTCAGAATGAGACTCATCCACCAAAGGACATTAGGTGTAATTGAATATCATGATTTTTTCATTATTAGGGTTTGTTATTAACTTGTCATGATACTAAACACTTCCTCTTCATAAAGACGGGTATAATAGACACCAGCACTCCTACCAACGATATCCTTAGGTAGTCATCCATCGACTTCAACCACCCCAAATAATAAAAAGACAAAAAAAGAAAGATTTCATCCTGATGCATCGATCAAAGCCTGGTATCATAGACCAACCCCGCCCATAACAATCATGATGAGAAACTGGGATATCATGCCCTAAACATACTCATTCTCGAGTCATGTTAGGTTCGGTATTCATGCGGCTAAAACCTCACTTAGATGCTAAACTTAGTAGTAGATCTTCTCCTCCCAAACAGGTGGGCGCACAGTCTCCGTGTCCCATTCCAACTTGTTCTTGTCATTTAGTGCGCAGCCTTCGTCAGTAATCGGGATCACCTTGCTAGTATCTCGGACCTCTTGTTTCGAGATGCCCATAGAGTCCTCGGGGATCCACAACAGCGGCGTTCTGCTGCTAACTGAAGGCGGGAAGTAAGCGTTGCGTTCAATCTCGTCCGAATACAAGTTAGAGGTATCGATCGCGTCGTGAGGTACAAGTTTACACATTGCCTCATAATCGCAGTACTGCCATGGTTTCAGGAATTTGGAAAAGAATCCAGGCTTCTTTACATCCACGGCAGTATCATCGGATGCCACCTTCTCAGCATCCGGAAGGCCATCCCGGACACCATCCTGATGGCCATCGTGTGTAGTAGAATGTGTACCGTTCCGGGTTGGCGAACTCTCGTGAAACTTCTTAGATTCCGTTTCAATCCCGAGGGTCCTAGGCAGGTTGTAAAGTAGGGGGTCAATAGCGCTATTAAGGGTCACGTGGAATAGAACGGTGAAAATGAGGAATACAATCATGAGGACCAATGGACCGATGGCTACAGAAGTAGCGAATATTCCAATCATGCACAGCTCAGAAATGTAAATTCCAGAAAAGAGCTGCTTCAGTGCTCGGGGGTAGATTAAACCTCGGGTGTCGATATTTGTGTCCGTAACAAAGAAAACATTGTATCGCCATGCGAGGTAGAAAAGCGAAAGACCGATGGCGGCGAAACCAAGGACCAACGGTGCTATAGCAGCATACGTGATACCTAGGTTGAATGTTAATATAGATCTCCTATAAGCTAGGTCTGTTTAGAGGGTCCTTACTAATCACGGCGATATTGGTATAGACCGGCAAGACACTACCCCAGGATATGGCGCTGAGATTTGCCCACTTTGTGTAGAGAGCACGCGGTGTGCCGGAGAGGTATTTGTACATAAGCGTGAAGATAACAAATCCGGCGGCCTGTGTGAGAACACCTGAGGCTACGCCTAAGCCTTGGATGATAAAATACGAGATGTAGAAATTGGAGGCTTTAGGGAGGTTCTCTGATAGTACAGATGTGACAGAACCAGGATTCTGGGCGATTTGCGTTACGACAGCCGATGCTGATGAGGTAACCGTCATTATCAAGAAGACCTGAATAAGCTGGAAAGCGAAATACGCGTTCTGGGTGAACAGCTCGACTCGTGATAGAGAAGGCTCTCCGGAGAGTTTGGCGCACACTAGTTGGGTGTTAGTTATTTTTCGAGCGGATAATCTAGGTAGGTAAACTCACGTCTCATGATTACGGGAACGAGCGACATAAGGATTGAGAGAGCAACACCAGGCAGCAACCCTTGGATAAGTCCTAGAATAATGGAAGGGATCGACAACAGCCAATGGAGGAAGAAGACCTTGTTCGCGATGTAACTGACATTGGAAATGACACCAACGACAGCGACGGGAACAGCCCAGAAGATGATGAGAGCGGAAATGAATCCAAGTACAGCAAATCTACGGATGATCCGCTGCCACCATGACACCTTCAGCGCACCCCAGACAACCTCGCGGGGCGTAACACCAATGTATTTGGGCGACATGCGCAGAGCTTGATGGTGGGCCAATACCTGGTATGCTGACTCGGCATCAGCTTGATGGGCAAATTCGACGAAGACGCTAGGGATTTTCTTGTAATTTCCGGTGCGATATTCATTTTGAGCTGTCTCGACAGCAGGGATGATCCGTTCCAACTCTGTTCGGCACCAGTTGATGGTATCAACCTTCTTACCCACAAGGCCAAGGAGTCCAAGTCGGTGACTTGGTCGTTTCTTTTCAGGGACCCAACGCGCAGCTATGCTACCCGATTCTGCGTCTGTGGGAGCCTCAGCCGTTTCGCTAGAGCCTCCCTTGTTCTTCTTCAAGGCCTTAAGTCGGTTTGCGTTGGCGAGCTTGATCAATTTGACTTCGGCCTTCTCCAACTTCATGGCTACCTCGTCCCGCTCTTTGACGAGATCATCGAGCTTCTCCGTATCTCCAGCAATCCAAACATTCTTAACCGAGTCACCAAACACTTTTCGTATCTTAGCCTCGTCAAGATACTCGTTGGGAACGGAAACGTAGAGCACGGTCCGAGAAGAGATACGGTGGGCATAGAAAGGTGAGAGCAAGAACGCCTGTCGTAGGTTGACATAAAAGATGGATTCGCGCATGATCATGTACATCACGAATCCGTAGAAAATCCAGGCCATGAAAGTATGGGCATAGTAGCGGTTCGGCTCTGTGTCCTTATTAATGTGAGAATAGGACAGTATATCCACCTGCGTAGAAGATCCATGCCCCGTCGCGTTCACGGGGAACAGCACCGGCCAGAGTATACAACAGCCCACGAAACAAACTATGACCATGATACGTAAAAATCGTAGGAAGAGATAAGCATCTAAGGATTGATGCTGTAATGCATGGATATCTGGAAGTTTCCAAAATGGACCAATCCAATTGAGGAGGCCATTGGGAAGAGCCGGTGATCGTTCACTACACAGTTTGGAATCAGTAACCAATACATCTACGAAAGCAAGACGGCTTCGCGTGAAATGAATATCCTACCTCGGACGAAGGCTTCCTAGATAAGTGCGCGGAGCGTAGTAACGCCTCTGGCTCTTACGTAGAACCAGGAAAATGGCGAAGTAGACACCAGCCACCAAAGCCACAGGGGCCAGAGTCAGGTAAAGAGCTGTCGGAATTCGTTAGTAAGATGGGTATAATATTGAAACGGAATCAGTCTTGACCATACACGAAGCCGAAGCGGTCGGCGTAGTAGTCGCCTCCCCTTGATTGCTCATCTTGACTGTTGGCGAATCCTATTGTTCGATATAAACAATGGGAGTTGCAACGGCGCCAAACGAGCTCTGGGAAGAGTTGAAAGAGAGCTCAAGGTCGTAGAATTCGATTGACGGCACCGAGAATAATTATCACAGCGGTGGGTGACGCGTGAAGTTAGGAAAGGAGGAGACCAAAAATGGGCCTGTCTATCATTAACGTAGGCGGCTATGTGTAATTAGACGAATGAGGCAACTATCAACCCCAGATGTTGGTCAGCGATCGACGTTCCGTAGATCTGGGATACTTGATAGAATCCAATCCCAGAGGGAAATAGTTCTCGTGGAAAAGAAAAAAAAACGGCGAGGATCCAACGCGTGTGTTATGGATTGTACGACTGGTATTTGATATAATGCGAATGCTCACAAGCAATTCGTCTATACCTTATACCTCCCGCATGTGCCAGTTGTCTGAGGTATCCAAGAAATTCCTGAAATTCTTGATTTTAAAAAATCCCCTGCAATGGAATCTTCACAAGCTTTTGACGGGGACCAGGATTGGCTTGCATGAGCTGCGAATGGCGTGGGGAGCAGTTGGGAGGGAAATGACGGTGATTGCACGTACCCCTGTCGGCCTGACCCACGCTTTTCTTGTCCTTGGAACTTTCCAATTTCCTTTTAGACTTTAGACTTCACTAACGTGTCAGCGTTGCCAGTCATTCCCTTCAGCAGCAAAACGGCTCCTCCCCGCTAAGCTTAGACGGTCGGCCGATGATGAAATTTGAATTTTTAGCTCAGATGGAGAAGAGAAAGTCTAGATTTTCCAACTGGAGGGATTATCGACAAAGCTAGCGGCAGCTACCCAGCTAAGTAAGGTACCTACCTCCGATTAATATCAAGTGCTTGACTTTTCGTCCGAAGTCTAACTATGTACTTAACATACTTCATTGATTGCGCATGACCTCACTTTGTCGAAAAAATGGAGCTAGAATCTATAAATGTAGGACAAAGATCCTAACACTCTCTCGATTCAATGCTCGATGTTTCAATGTTACAAGTTTCCAAGGTTGGCTTGCAGGTTACGTTACTGCAGGGCAGAGGCAAAGACACACAGCTTGGGAAAAAAGAACGAAAACAGCAGGACGATTAAGCTCAAGGATCCTCCTTACAACGCACCCTATGATCTCGGCTGTTCTGCTTATTAGTTCGCTCTAATCGATCAATGACATCAGACTATCGGTACATTAATCCAAGACTATTAGAGATCCGTTTGCGCTTGAGGTTTGCGACGACCTGATGATCCCTACCAGTTTCGTCCAACCATATGGGAGCTTGCAGCTTGCATGTGGACGAGGGCTATTCCATTTAGAAGGTAGGCACTGCATGAACCCGCTTGCGTATCGGGGCACCCGCGCGGTACTTGGCCGGGCGAATATCACCTTACTACCTATACTTCTTGAATTTATGCGGACCTGCCTTCACCGTCGACACGGCATGTTCATCTAGCATGCATGCGTTACACATCGCTGTAGTCGTTTCCAACCGCGAAAGATCCAAAGGCATTGCCTTTTCAACGCTGAGCCGCGGCGTGCGACGAAGCGCGATGGGAAGATCTTGTTCGTCTCCCACCTTGTAGTCGTGATGATTGTCGGTCTTGGAAAGGGACAAACCAACGCGATGCTAATGTCGGTACCCGAAAATATGGGCGACGGTTTCCTTGCTGTTAACCTCCTTTACGACACCATCCTGGAAGACATCGATGGTGGCCAAGACGTCCAAGGTTTCCTTGTCGGCCTTCTCAATACCGTCGAAGACGAAGCTCGTAGTTGAACCTTGGGCCTGGCTGGCCGGTCCGCCTCACCGCGTGTACTGGTTCGGCCGGGCCTTTCCCTCTGGGAAACCTCATGGATGCCCTTCACTGGGTGTGCTGGGGAACCAGGACTTTTACTGTGAAAAAATTAGGGGTTGCCCGGATAATAATGTTCATTACATAACATTCGATTCAATGGATTAAGGCTTGAAAAGCTAGAGGAATACTTATGTTTGTATGTAGGTTTATATGGCAAAATATGTACCAATTAGATCTACACGAGAAGTAGCGAGGGGATAACACAGTACGTTACAGTAGTACTCAAAACAATCGAACATGGCTTAGTAGTATATTAAACCATTCAACCTTCACTATTAACTTCAATATCTATAACCTACCTATTCCATACGTTCTCCTTTCCCATATCAATATCTAAACATGTCTTTTATGTTTTATATCAACCCAAGAGATCCAAACCCACAAGCTCAGAAGCTTCTCCGTATTTTAGGGGAAAAATATCGCCAACAAAAACAAAACCAAATGCCCTTCCATATCTCTGATGGGGATAACAAAGATATACTCCAGATGATAAAAGACCATGCCCAAATCATCCACGAGATGCCATCCGTAAAGCGAGCAGTTCCCCAAGATTCGGATTCGGATTCGTACGGCCCTTCTTGCGCACAGAGGTATGACGACGAATTATACCACAATCCCTATATGTGTGCTTGCCACGGTTCGTCACAGGCTATTTCGCCCGAACAGCAACATCCTACTTCAAACGAAGATTCCTCCGAACAAGTACAACCAAGTTCCCCTAGCCAACCGCCCATCTCCGAACATTCCGAACTTCAACTGCGTAAAGAAGCGCAAAGCCCCTATCGCGATGGAGCCGAGGACGTAGAAGATCAGGCGGAAAAAGGAACTGGCGAGACGCGAGGCGAAGATTAAGATAGTAAGAGGATAGAGGAAAGGAAGCGGTAGGAAATGGATGGCGAGACTGGAAGAGAGTAGATGTGGTGTGGTAAGGTAGACAAGAAGGAGATGATAATAGTAAAACGAAGTTGGTTGTATCGAAATAAAGATAATTGGGAAAGAGCTCTACTTCTTTGTGGCAGTGGTCAAAATATTACGAACTAATCTCCTGGGATTCGCAGTAGACTGGGAATACTTATACGCTACCACGAATGGGTTTAGCAACGAGGCAACCGACATTGTATGTGCAAAACGATAGTATACGAGCTATACATAGACACTAAAATTTATGCGCTAGGCCTCCCATGAACATCGTCGTCATTGTCGTTGTATTATGTCTTGTGACGAGACAGGCAATGGTGTTCCACTTCAAGTGCTACGCAGCACCTCGTACGTTCGCTACTAATTTGTGCATAGAAGCAATATTATGCCATGCCTCCACGAAGGTTCACGTAGGAAATGCCTCTGGGCTTCCCCCCAGGTTTCCAAATCGATCAGACCCTTCCGGCACGGCGCTATTATTGGAGACATCCACTTAGGTAAAGTACCTGTATACGAAGGTGGACTTTGACTCGCTGTTAAGAGCTGAGTCTCGTCCATCAGATCCCCTTGGTAGAGTGGGCCTACCTAGGTAGGTACCTAAGTAAGCCCAAGCTCAATTCTATACTAGGTACTCAAATTAAGTAAGCATATCAACATATCAGTTCGACGTCTCTCAGCTGAAAAGTATGTGGCTGATTGGATGCATCGAGGCTTTAAGACATCCGTGGACACGAGAAAGTCATTGTTGTAAAATTCTACAGCATTTTGACTCATTCCAACATCATATTAATTCCATCTTCTAGAACCATGATTGATTAGGCTGAAAGCATCCTTTGTCGCCATCTAGCGAAACCGCCAAGCACATACTCCCCTTCTTAAAAGTGACCGAATCCGGGTAGCTAAGGGGTTAAGTAGAGTTGCTTCATGTTATCCTTACTGCATCCTATTATAGTTGAATCTATACTGTAAAATCAGAAATCAGGATGGCACTACTCTTCGAATGTCTACTCAAAAAAATTAAGTATACCTAGGTTGACAAGCAGCTTCGATCGTGAATTTTGGACTTCCCTTCATCGGGTATCCGTTAAGATGGACACCTACCCATAGGTAACTACCTAGGTAACGACGAAATGCTTTCTCTTTACGTGTTCATAAACTTGCACTGAAAGAAAATAACCCAACAGGTATTTCCCATGCCGTTTTCATTGTTTGATAGATTCGGAGCTACCATGAAGCACTGGAATGTTGGATGGCTCAATGGATTGTCTTAACATTCCGGCGATAGGGATGGCTTTCTTTATCTTTTATGATGCCTCATCAAGAATATCCCCCGTAACTATGTACTTCCCTTTTCTTCGCCCATCTTTCGCCCGTCCCAGGAGGTATCTATATCGTTAGATTCACTGTTGCTGTTCTATCTTTATTCTCCAAAAGGTGCGCTGAACAAAACTACCGCCAAAATGTCTAACCAGGCGCCGCCACCACCAGCAGATGTCTACGAAGGCATGGAGGGTTACGTGGGGCCCACCCATTGGGCAAGGCCTTACTTCTCCAATCACCATCACGAAAACCCAAGTGACATGAAAATGCTTGGGCACGTCAACTGCGGTTACTTATCCACTGCCGGCCGGCCGCCAACTCTGGAAGCGCTGAAGCAGCACGCCCAGTCTCTGGCGTATTTAATATCCACCATTGCGCCAGGTATTATGTCGGGCGAGGTTGACAGCGCACACGGCGACAGTGCCTTTCTCGCGAGTTTTCAAAAGCACTCGGCTTATGACTGGCTGGAAGATTTGCAGAAACCCTACGACAATATCGACAAGGCGCACCGAAAACCGCTCAACAGTTTGGTGAACTTGGTCAAGCGAAACAGCGACGAGAAAGGTGTCGAATTTCATTGTCCATTGTCAGAGGTCCCTATACAATTCATCGAACATGACTTAGAGCCAATTCGCCCGTTTCAATCTCACATGACATTGCTCATGCACGCCAATGAGTGCCTCGAGAGACTCGATCACGAGTACTCGGCTATGGGCGGGCTCCTTGCGATCCTCCCTACCGAGGAGGAAGATATGTCCACAAACCCAGACCTGCCCAAAGCAAGGAAAACGTTGATTGGCCAGTGGCTCCTGTTCACACAGCATCTCGTGGCCCGTATGCATGAGCTTGAAATCGCCTATGCCAATACCTTGGATCTACTTGCGAACGAGGCCATTGTCCCGGCGCAGCAACTGAGCAATACGGGATCTGACGGGCGTACTGGCAGAGAGATTGTCTTCCCGCAAGACCGATGGATATTGGCCAACGCCGGCGAAGATGTCTTCAATTTCGTCCATCAGATGCTCGATAAGAGGGAAGCAGTTGACGTTAACGAGGACAACGCGTTCTTAAAACAAAATGTAGTAGGAGATGCGCTACGGCGTGAGAGAGGAGAAGGAGAAGACCCGTCGGCCGAGGGTCTTCTCAAGGGCATCTCCTACGTGGACCTCTCAACTAGATATTATCGACTGAACGGAAGTGGTCACGGTCCCATCTTCTGCCTCCCGGCCTTCTCGGACCGCCCGAACACGGCGTACACCAAGGAGATGGAGAAGCGGCCGACAGTTGTTACGGTGCCAGAGCCGGCATTGCCCAGTTCGACGACGGCTTGGGACAATAAGAAACAGGAGCTACAGGAAGAGAACAAGGACATGTTCAACAGACTCACCAAAGCGCAACAAGAATCCACCAACCTCGAAGTCCTGAACAGGGCGCAGGGAGAAGAAGTAAAGCGGCTAAGGATTCTCAACCAGATCTACGAACAAAATCAGGGCCAGGACGCCGCATCGCTGTCGCACAGAATGGCACAGGCGGAGGCGGAGAGAGACGCCACCAGGACGCAATTTGAGGACAACGCCTTGGAGTTGAAGAAACTGAGGGACGAGCTGGATACGTACAAGGCCAAGGTGGGAGATGAGCAGAAGCCTCCTTCGGGGGTCGTCCGAAAGGGCCGTACGTTCTCCATGAACACTGCCACGTTCCGAGAGTACGAGAGCCGATCGCAGGCGGTGGTCGCGGCGAAGAAGGAGATTGGGAAGAGCAGAGCTACGCTCCAGTCGCTTGCCGAAGCTGGACAGTTGGACTTGTCTACATTCGACTGGCTCGACACGATTGCCGACGCCGCGTAATTTGACTTGGTGGGGGGCTTAGCTTGCTAGGTTAAAATTTTCGTCACCGTCCACCGTTGGCTATCTTATCCCGATTATCCAGGTTTTAAAGCAGTTGATCCGGGGTTCATCAGGGTTTTTTTCTGTATTGTTAGTGATTTATGGACAGCGTTCCACGGTTCTCTAGACTCATAAGTAGGTGTTATTCGCGTTTTTGGTCGACCGTTGATTTTGTTGTGGTGGCACGTGTGTCAGAGCGCTTAGTGAATTGCGAATTATATTGATCTGACGAGAGGTAATCTCTAATAAGGGATCTGTTGGTCCAGTGGTCCATTGTTTCCAGTGTGCTGCCAATATTGGATGAATGGAGGTGAACGATTGGTTGGACTTGACTTGCATATGGCTTATCGGCACTTACCGTTGTATTGGATACCAAGGTACTATTATCATCTAGTGGAGTAGTTGCCGTGACAACCGATTTTGCTGTGCCCCTCCAAACACAAGGTTCCCATCTCTTATCCGGTTTCTTGATTTGGAAGGGGCGTGAACAATTTATGCATGGAGAAAGAAGAAGCCGGATCTTGGAAGTTGCTGTCAAGTTTAGAGTTACCTAGTTTCAATTCGAATAGACGCTTGAATTATTCAGATATTGTGATTGTTTATTTTGCTTTTGCTCAACTACTACGACTAAACTCTTCTATCAATCTAGACACATACAGCATTCGGATATACTCCCGGGCACAGTATACTCTACAGCCCCCAATCTCAAAGCGTCAGCAATTTGTTTGTAGCACAAGGCTTACGAGGATCCGCGCTCGGTTGGGGAGCCTTGGAAATCCCCGCCATTGATTATCTCTAATAGTGTCTATCTGCTATATACACATTATCCACCCGGCCAAATAACGAGACCCTCTATATTGTTCCGTGCTCTTCAGCTCAGACCCTATCGCTTGAGACAGCGAATCGTTCATCTATCGGCCCGCGTCCGGCTGGTGTCTCATTGCGAAACCGTGGACCTTCAGCTCTGCCGTTCCATATCGATAGGGTATGAATTGAGAGATCGCGGAAGTCCTGCGGGGTTCTAAGGTGCGCGTTATACACACCACTGACTTGTCTCTTTCCAATTTGCTGCTCGCAGGCTTCTTGGATGCAAGTTGGTCAAAGGAAGTTGGACGATGCTTCTCACAGGGCTGGCCTAGAGCGATGAAGTCTTCCTTCGGGATGGTGTTGTTTGCTACCCGTATATTACAGACCCGGCGGATGACGGCAGGCATCCGGTGTTTAATATTCGTTACGGCCATATTTCAGCTCTCAGCCGTTGGCGCAGCTCAGACATTACCCTACTTTCCTACGAGCATATTCATTCCACAATCCAAGCCTGAGCCGGCGCAAGAAAGCGCGACTGCTGACATCGCTTACATATTCTCGCCCCAGGACGATTGGGTCGATCTACTAGCGCTTAACTTTTCTGGCAGCCTCCAAGCTTCATCATTATCTTTTCGAACCTTGTCATCGAATGTACCTTTCTTGGATACCAATAAGACGGCATTTACTCCATCGCTTGCCAATAATGGATCGCTTGTCGTCTACGCGGGTGATTGCTCTGCACCAGCAGATTCCGAAATATGGACATTCTACCTTTCCTCCAACGATGGAGCGGCGTCGTGGAGCAAGGCGAACACAACCTTGGCTGCCGATGAAGATTCAATCCAAATAGGCCCAAGCTTCTTGGGCGGTGGCTTTAGCTTTTCAAACATCCTAGAGCCTCAGTTATCGCCTGCCGTAACCTATATCTACGGAGGAATGTGTCCTGGAACATCCTCCAACGCTAGTTTAGCACAGTCCAATGCGACTTACTCGAATCAGATGATCAAGATTGGACCTTCGGGAGTCAACACCGGGGAATTTTCACTCAGTCCGGTTTCCAGCAAAGGCCCACCGGTGCCCGAGGCCGGGTTTACCTTCACTGGTCTATCTCCATCCATATCCAATCACTCGGGAACAGTAACCCAACAAGTTAACTATGTACTCCTCGGCGGCCATACAGAAACGGCTTTTATCAATATGAGCACTGTCGCCATCTGGAGCTTACCAGAAGAAAGTTGGAGTTTCATCTCTGACATTGATACGACGGGCTCAAGCAGCACCAATACTGAACTCGCTATCAAAAGTACCTCCAGTAGTATAGACAGCCGATCTGGCCATACATCAGTTCTAAGCGAGGATGGAACCTGCTTAATCATTCTAGGCGGCTGGGTGGGTGACTTAACTCAAGCCGCTTCACCGCAGCTTGCTATCCTCAACATCGGCGCTAGCTACGGCGGCAATGGGGATTGGGAGTGGGTGGTTCCCGATACGCAGCCATCAGGGCCAGGTATCTACGGCCACGGCGCAACGTTGCTCCCAGGGAATGTGATGATGGTCTACGGAGGCTACACCATCTCTTCAGCCGAGACTAAGGTCAGGAGACAAGCTTCCGCTAACAATAATATGCCGATGTTCCTGAACCTCACCTCGATGAGCTGGTCCAACGACTACACAAACCCAGCAAATGCTGCGGCAGGCCAGGACAACAACAGCTCAAGCACCACCGATGGCGACCTAGGCCTACGTCTAGGACTAGGGCTTGGTCTGGGTCTCGGCATTGCAGCCATTATCATAGCGGTAGTATTCTATCTCCTTTACCGCCGGCGCCTGCGACACCGACGCACAATCCGCGACTCTGCTCTTCGCGCCCTCGCACAGGACACCTCGCGCTTCCTACCTCATGATGACGAAATGACCGAGCAAGATCACGCGTGGTATACGGGCGGTCCCGACCCGTACATGCGCGGCAGCCGGTCACTCGGATACCAGAGCCTGCAGGCAAACCGTAGCAGCCTAGACCAAGGCCAAGGGCTGCATTCATGGTTCGGGGGCGCGCCTGCACAGGGACAAGGGGTTCTGAGAAAACCAATCCCGCGTCGCAATACGTACGACCCTCCTTCTGCGGTTATTCACCCTATTGCCGAGGCGGACGAGGATGACGGTGATATCACGAGCGAGCCAATAAGCCCTTTGCGCGACGAGGGCAGGAGGGACTCGGACCCGTTTCTCACGCCAACACAGACTCAGGAGAAGAATGAAAAATACGAAAAATACGACACGCCCATCGCGCTACCGCAGCCAACCCGCGCGTCAATGACGCCAAGCCCAGAGCGCACAACGGACCCCGAGGTCCAAGACTGGATGTCTGATGTAGAAGCTGTGGATGCGCTGCTCAGTGGACGTCGATCCTCCCAGCAAAGCCCAACAAGGTGGGCGTTGGATCATTTGACGGGTGAAGACGAACGCACTGAAAGCAACGTCTCGGAGTCCAACCGCAGTAATTTAAATTTGAACCTGAATACGAACGTGACGGTCAGTCGCTCAGACTCTATACGCTCTCAGTTACGCGCTGGATTCGGGGCAGCAGCTGCTGCGCTCGCAGCTGCTGTCGACGAGGGGAGAGGCGGAAGTAGTTCTAGTTCTACGCCTAGTTATAATACGGCAAGAAGCAGCTTTCCGGCCCTGCAGGCAGAAGGACCGGGGCTGTTGATGGGAGGAAAGATAAGAGGTGGAGAAAGGGATAGGGGGAGGGAGGAGGAGCCAGGTAGCCCGAGCAAGAGCAAGCCCCGGCGTAGCTTCTTCGGAAGTTTGCGCCGAGTTTTTAGTGGAGCGACACCGGACGCGAGTCCTATCGAGCGTTACGGGAAGGAAACTCGCGATGACACAGAGGGAGAGGCGAGTGATTATGATGCTAGACTTGGCGGATTGAGTGGAATAGCGGCGGGTGGCGTCCTAAGGAGGAAGAGTGGCAGGGGGGCTTGGGAGGCTTTGGAGCAGAGTCAACCAGAAAGAGATCGAGGCCTAGGTTATGGTCAAGGACAGAGGGGAACGGGTAAAGGGAATGGAAATGGAAAACGAAAAGGGGCGGCGGACGAAGAATACGTGCCAAGGAATGGGGACGACGATGACGAGTGGGATATCGAAAAGGCCGTCGAGAGACGGCTCGTGCAAGTCATGTTCACGGTGCCTAAGGAGCCCTTGCGCGTTGTCAATGCCGAGCCGGACATTGAGAGCGGTGAAGATATCGTCCTAGTCGACCCAAGCCCGGATGAGGGGAGAAGTGTAGATGAGAAAGAGGAAGAAGTAACGACAGAAGCAGAAGCAATGAGAAAAAACCTAGAAGTAGGAGATAGGGGTGGGGAGGGGGTAGAAGAGAGGGACATAGGGACGCTGATCCCGAGTCCAAGTCCTGTGAGTGAGGATGATATTCTGCGTGAAGTACGCGAAGAGTTGGAGGCCGAATGGAAGTTGGATAAGGGCAAGGAAAATGAAAGGAATAGGGAAGAAGATAGGGATAGGGGTAGACAGCCTGAGACCCCAGTGCGCACCCCGCGAAATCTACGGGATGAGAGCGCTCGTTTGCTAGGCATGGACCTAAGCACCGAGTCTAGAAAGAGAAAGCCATCCCGCTCTCCGGTGGAAGATCCGGATGGTGACGTCTTCTCTGCCCAAGAAGTGAAGTTCGAACGGCCGCGGACGCGAGTCCTGGCTATGGTCGAAAGCTTTGAGAGCCTGAGTCGTGAGAACAGTCCTTCGGGGTCGCCTACACGATGATTTTAGCTAGAAGGTTAAGGTAAAGAGGTTACGTATCTGGTGTAGGATGTGTAGGACAGGAAACCACGAGATAGGGGTTGGGAACGGCGGCGTCATCGAGGAATGGCGGATACCAATCGTTTCAAAGGCGTCGGGGTTGGATCTATTCGATTTGAATTGCATTGTGTCTTGGGAAGGGTGCACCCACAAGTTCTGGGTTGTAACAGGGAAATTTTCACGTACCTACATTACAACGATGTGTTACCGATGAAATTCATAGTTAAAGTCAAAGAGAACACCCGTCAGATCTTGTATTAAGTGTTCTACCAGTGAAATGAGTCTAGTCTGAATGTGTCTGTTTAGATGCTACTCGTAGATGAACCATTCCTGCAGTGTCTTAGAGTGCGACCACCTAGGGGCCATTGAATAGCTAGTTCTAAGTTAGGATAGATACCTATCATATGTCTATATTCCTCCCTCGCCTCGTTAGTGTTGTCAATTGGGTGTTTTGAACGTGAAATGGAGTTGCCCACGATAGAACCATTATAGTAAAATCACACATTTGTTGGTCACACTCAAGCCTATTATAGAAACTGTTTTCTACTATACCTAAGAGCACTCTATTCACGACACCGAACCCGTTTATAATCTATAAAACGTGTTGTATTATAATATATGATACGGCCGTATGTCCTCCAAACAGTACCTATTCTGGAGAATCCACTCGACTCCTTATGTAGCATATTGCTCAAGCACGTAACCCGACACTTCGGTCCTATGTCTTAAAGCTTTATGAAACCAATACAAACTCGCTTTACATTAGACGGGATACCGTAGTTTCCTAGGTTCTCTGTACACGTATGACCCTGACATGATCACATGGTCGAGTATGTACGCGACTTCACGTTCCACCAGTTACAGTTGTTCTACCCAAGCTGCTCTATACAGTCAGAAGGCCGAGTCGCGTAACAGCACGATATCTATGTGTTCCTGTGGGATTTAACGGGATCAGCCTTGTTTTTATGGTAGTTCAATACTCTTGCTCTGAGAGACTGAGACATGCATAGGCGATCAGTCGGTAGGTTTTCTCACTATTTGTTAGCGGTTTGTGGCACTCAAAGTATTGCAGTTTTCCCCGTAGCTGAGTGTAAAGGTCATGGACAAACTTCGTAGAGTTAAAAGCAACTCCGCTCAGGTCCGGAGTTTTCATGGCTATGTTCTACTTCCCACCTACGTAGGTGCGTTCACCATATGTGAACAGCCAATATTGCGGCTACCATTGCCCTATAGGGCCGAGTAATAAACAAGCCAATGAAACTTAGTTAAATCAGTTTCGGAAACATATGTTGGATCACCCTCGTAGAGTTTATGGATGTATGTTTTCTATCTATTTAGAATAGGTAGGTTTCCACATCCTCTATTATAATGAGTAGCTTATACCGCCACATATCTCGTTTCTATTTTGCGTCGACGCGTCAATTCTCGGGATAGGAACCACGATAAACCATACCAATCCTTCTTCGAGAGGCCATCGTACCTACCTACCTGGACGTCTATCGTCGTATCCGCAGCCCTAGCTTCTCTTCGGCCGTACGACTGTTACTAGCCTCCTCCCCATGCCCGCATAACATGTCGATACTCAAGAAGGCCGTGTTCCGATATGCCTCGGCACGCGTACGCGCTCTGCGCGCCTCAAGGATCTTCCCGGCCTCGTCAAGTAGTAGATACAGAGCGGTGGACGATTACGAACTAGAGGACTGGGGAGCAAGGCCAGTTCGCAGCGCTACCGCCGCCACCGTTCACCCGCGTCGATATTTCTCGAAGTTGGCGGCGAAGGGACTTCGAGGCGCGAAAGAGTTCGCAAAAGACGCCTACTGTCCTTCGAGATACCAGCCGGGAGACGAGCACGCTTGCATGTTCATGGGGTTTACATATCGGTTGGGATGAGAGACGTTAGTACAGCTAAGGTTACTAACGAAGAGAACGGACGAGCTGCTGTGGTGGGTTAGAGCCTTATTCCAGCAGCATTCAAGCGAGCGTGAGGCATGGGGCTCATCGGGATAGTCGACGTACACTTTGCCCATTACGACCACTGAGAAGTTGTAGAACTGCTCCTGATTATGAGAACATGTTCAGGATAATGACTAAATGCCAAGTTTCTCTTGACTCAGCCTCCCCTATGGTGACAGAGTTTTTCTAGACTGCGAAGTAGTCGGTTATTAGTGTTAATATTGGCGAGATATCCTGCATGACCCGCATAAGCCGCATGACAATTACGACGGTGCGTAATGTATGTTGCGCGTCGGCGTGACCATCGAGGCGCCGGACTCCCGGTTAAGTGGGATGATAATATTTCAGATGAACAATAACAGAGATCAGCCCAGGAGCCCAGCTTCGACGTGACGGGGCTGAATCGAGGGCGTAGGGACCCATCCGTAGTGTGGTCGATCGTCATCTCAGGGGGAGCTCGAAGCCGCCCCTCCCCGTCCCATCAAATCTCATCGACCACGTAAATCAGTGGAGGTGCCGGAGAATTGGGTTCGAACCGTCGACCAATCGCAGCCCGTCCGTACCTGTCCGTAAGTCGAGGCATCCCTAACCACTTAGAACACTCTAATTAAGCTCTAAGTGGTCCAAGTTGCAAAACCTGTCGTCTGAGCTTTTCGAGGCTTAAGCTTATGTGCTAGGGTCGGCTAGGCGGCTCGATTTTTTAAATTTGACGGGTGAGCTTGAACCAGTCTAAGAGCTTTTAGGCGCACGCGTCTTTAGGGGCTTGCAACCTGAAAATATTTCTAATAGGTACGTACCCGTTGTAAACACACCTTATTTTCAGGCATCCCCTGACCCGGGAGCGATCCTCTACAGATCTGGCCTTGGCATCTGAGAAATACCGATGTTCTGACAACGTGGAAAACGATTATAGACGTTATATATGTACCCCCTAACGTAGAGGATGGCTTAGATAATATGCAACCCCCCATACTTGGACATGTACGGAGAAATGAGGCAGTTTAATTAAAGAAATGCAAGATCATAAAGTTTAGTTGACGCGTACATTTCGTTCTATGCAACCTCGTTATTTGTAAAAGTCATTCATCGCCGGCCCGTTCTAAATTTGTTAGGTGGGGTTATCAGGTAGTGAAACGAGAAAGAGGCCTCTTTTCTACGCTTTTCTAGTGAAGTCTTTTCAACGCTTTTAGCCCGAATCCCGGTGGGATATCGATCTATGTCAAATGGAAACATGCTTCTAGAATACCTTGAAATGAATGCGACAAATTCAGTGCATTTAATAGCGACCATAGGATGGTTATATTATTCGCGCCTAGCATGACTGTAAAGGTGGCCGCAGTAGTAGAACTCTTATCTGTCGCACTCGCGATGGCTTTGCACGTTATCGTATAGTCTATACTATGGCCTTATATCGGGCCATCTGTCTCTAGTGTCAAGCGTTCCTCTCACGTGTATCTCAACTGCACTTACACTGCATGCATATGATTTTCGTTATCAGCACTCTAGGCCTAGAATCGGGATGGTCGATGCATCTTGGTTTGTATGCAGCGCGATGCGTAGATCTACCTAGAAGAGGAAGGCCGTTTGAGCCGAGATAGTCTGAAGGCGTTATAGATCTTTCAAAGACGGGTTTTAGCTTACTATAATCGTAAAGAAACTCCATGTTTACTTAGGTACCCATCCCTTGAGAGGGATAAGTTGGATATGTTTGCTTGATATTCTAAGTAGGATCATCTACTCACTTTGTTCATGCATGAGGTGCTTTACCCCTCCGTCGAGGCAGTTAGCGACATCGTCGTGACTCGGTTATCGCCCCCGCAATGCTAGGCGCCATAAAGTGCTAACGATGTAGCATCGTGACGCTTGGTGTAGATCTTCTACCTAGATTCGCTATTGTACGGCGTACGCCGCCTTGGAGGAATCTGCAACTTTGGCATCACCTTCACCGACATCGAACCCTTTCTGAAGCTGAATATGCGAGGTAACGAACGATAAACATACTTCGAAAATTCGTGACGGACCCCGAAGAAGATCGAAGATCCCGAAACCCCATTTATAACCTTGTCATGTGAAAGCTGTGGATTGATAGCCAGCAGTGACTATGCATTACGCTGCATCGTGCTAAGGCCAAGTGGTTGTTTCTCTATGATCACCTCATTTATTCCCATCTATGGTGTTGTCGGGGGAGGGGTCATATGTGATCGCAAATGTCCCAACCTCTTTCTTTTACATTCCTACGCGAGTCCATGCACGGTGAATGCTTAGATAAGGACGACATGTGGATTTCGAGCTTGCTACCTTCATACATACCTAGATACCTATACCTAGGTAGCCGCCGGATAGGACGGGGTAGAACGGGGTTCGTGATAAGCGGAAGAGAAAAAAAATAGTACCTTTCTCTTGCCGATTGGTTCATGCATTCCTGAGTTGGAAAGCTGTGCACTGTCCACATTGCCGCGTAGGTGTATGTAGGTAGAGTTCAAGGGTTCCAGGGCTTGAAGTTCGGCAGACCAACGCCAGATGCAGATTTTATGATCGGCTATTCACAGCCACCCGTATTGCTCAGTCTATGGGGGGGATTGCAGGTGTAGTGTGGTGTGGTTTGGTAGTGTGCTACACTAAACTTGAGTGATACGAGCAATTGAGCAATCACAGGGTTTCCTGATGTAAATAAAAGTACGAGGCGCTCATGAAGACCATCCGACTTGAGATTCGGGCGTCCGAGGAGTGTGGGGTGACCTACGCAACTCAGAAGTCTCACGAGATGTTTGGGTCTGTTTCTTTCGCGACTTCGAATTCGTCAGCACGCAATTCTGATCCCCCAGGTCCCCCCTGGACCATGGATCGTGCGCCGTGGGCAACGGTCAGTCCGCTTTCACACCAGTCCAGGTCGTGATCTGGCCTGCTAGGATCAGGATCGATCCCCACGCTGCCACCGTATATACCACAGTATATAGCACATGCTTACGTAGGTTGCGTAGGTTGCGTAGCTTTCGTCCTCCATTGTATTCTATAACGGTCGTACGGCCGGTCAATTGACAGGGCGACCTTGATTCCGACCCTGCAACTGTACTACGTCGTGGAACGTTTTGTGAAGCAAAGAGAGAAGCAGCATAAACGGATGTAAGGAATTCGGCTGTAGCTTGACAGAGGCTGTACAATGTAATGGCTTTAATGTCGGTGTTAACACGTGGGTTGCCGAGCGGGTTTATGATTTCATGATCTTTCTTCCGCAACCTCAATCCGTCCATCGAACGCGTGAAGCCACGAAGCCACACAATATTTACTGTGCACCTCCTGGTAATATACTAAAGATGAGCTAATGCGTGGCGCTGCCGTTGAGCGATGGTTTGAGATGTCCTGAATTTGCAGATGGCCAGTGAGAAGCCATCGCCATGCACATGCATATTGCATGCATGTGTAATATACGCGATGAAAATAAATAATAAGCCATCGTCTGGTTTGCATATTATCATGGGTTATATGGACGCATTACCGAAATTGGCGGCATCTCGTGTCTCTGAATCCTGGATCCCTTATATGTGGAAGTTAGCTGAATATATGCTGTCGCAACTCGAGACGCCGCTATGAAAGCAGGCGAAGTACAGAGTGAAACAAGAGTGTCCGACAATATACGAATAAATGCCTACCTACACATACATACATAGGTACAATACATAGTTACATAAATACATACCTACCGTATGTGTCCGTCCTGCCGTCCTCCCCTTCCTACCCGTCATGGTTTCGTGGTTTCGTGGATCCAAGAGGTTGGTAGGATTACGTCGAATTAGCGAGCGTTTACAAATAGTGACGACAAGTGGTGTTTAGACCCCAGTTCACCTTCCCTGTGTGGCCATTGAATTTAGCTGTTGTTCTATCGTTTGAAACTGCCAGCGGACCTAATAAACTGGGGGTCTTACGAAAACGTTGGCAGGTGCTTAGTCGATGTTTGGTTGGCTAGCAAAGCCTTAAAATGCTTCTAAAGTGGAAACTACTTAGAGTTCAGCTGGTGCTAGCCGGATAGGCAGGTACCTACCTTAACTCAAAACGATGGCTTGGAGGTTGATAGATTGGCCGGCGTAATCGTCTAAGCCCGATGGGGCACTACTTCGTAGCATGTACATCGTCTTCGACCTTCTTCGACGTTCAAATGTCTCCAAGTATCTCGAATTTTCAGATTCTGAGGCTTCTACCAACTCTCATTCGTTATTCCTAGAATTTCCTAGAATTCTTCTTACCAAATCCTACCGCGTACTCCATTCCAAGTTGATATTGTTCCAACATTTTTATTTTCTTCCTTTTTGTTCTCCTAACCCTTAATACCATTCGGTCCTTGTTCCATATAGCGATATTACTCAATTCACTCGTAATTCTTATCTCTGCTGGACCTTAAGAGTCCAACAGAAACGGCAGTCTCCGGTCTTTTTTTCTTCCTTCGTTCCCGAGATTCGCTCGACCCCCATTCATTCTTCGTCGTGGCTTGTTCAGAAGCAACCCACCCCTGTCTACATGGGAAATTCCTGTCGAGTTATTAGTTACAAACAAAATTGAAAACTGATCGCTTTCGGAATTTGCTACACTGTCCTGTGTATCAATCCAGTCTTTTGCCCTTGGTCTTTGTCTGTCTTCCTCTCAACTACGACTACGAGCTACTAGCTACCACACCTGCAGAGCTAGCCTGGAAAAGAAGCAAGAAACAAGAAAGGGCCTCAACCTACACGAGATACACCAAAGATAGACGGAGATAGACCGATAGAGAGATATCATCGTCCGTCTCTCTTTGGGCCGGCAAAGTCGAAGTTGAGCGAACCCACATCCACTTATTTGAGGTCACTAAAGGTCACCCACCAACCGATCGCTCGTGGACTTGGCAATCTGCGTCCTGCAGTGCTCGCTGCATCCAGCTTTCCCGACCAGCGACTGCTCCTATCCTTACCTTATCCAATCTGTTTCCTCCACCCGCTAATCCTTGCTCTATCTGCCCTGCTTTCGTACCCTGTTAGCCTGCCACCCACACCACACATACCACCTTTAAGGCCTGTCTATCCCTTCTACTCTCTTCCCCGTCCGTTCGCTCGTGCTTCTTCTCTTTTTTCGAGATTTGGCGGTCCCATACTACATCGTGAACCGTGCCTTCCTCCGCCTCTCTTTAAGGCATTGCAGTTCTACGATATCGTTTAGTCGTTTGTTACAGGCTTGTTTCCGAAGCCAGTAACAGTTCGGGAATCCCGCTCCTTCAATTGAGAACTGTTCGATCTGTCATGGCAATTATCGAGAGCACCATTCTCGGTTGCCTGTGACGTTCATGCAGTCATTTTCTCAGGTTGTTTGACTGGTATTCAAGACAACTTCGTTCGCTACGTTTTGGTAAGTCTTTGCTTGTTGACACCTTGTTTAGTTAGGCAGCATGAGTGAATTTTACTCGCCGATTGTTATCGCTGTCGACTTTTACTAATAGAATAACTTATATTCAGATCCTCAGATATCGAACATCTCCGAACCATGCCTTTTACTAGCCGGACTATGGTCTTCTTAGGCCTCTTGGTCTTCGTGGCCAATATACACCTTGCTGCAGCCCTCGATATGGCTTATTGCGCAAGTATCAATACAGCCTCTACAAATGCTAGTAAGTATATTGGTTATACGTGGAATCATCTCATGCTACAAGCTAATGCTTTTAAAGACTCAAGTACATTTCAATCCGATGGGCTCTGTTACGGCTTCTGTGTGGATAGCTTTGCATATGCTGTTGTTCAAGACAAAGATTGTTGGTGCACTAATTACACACCCGACGAGTCGACCACAGAAGACACTAGCAAATGTAGTTCGAGTTGTCCCGGGTACCCATCCGATACCTGCGGCGGCGACGGACTATATGGATACATGTCCTTAAGTATACAGCCTTCGGGCACCAAGGGTAGCGGCAGCAGCACCAGCTCAACTTCCACTCAAGTAAGTGTTCCAGTTTTGTTTAATCTGAGGAAATTAGTGCCTCTTCGAATCATGTCGTCTGGGTTCTCTTTCTTCGACACGCTTAGGGGGGACATTTCGTTTTAACTCTGTCCGACATCAGGACCCAGCTACGGAGACCATACACAATACGGTCACTGTCACTCCTACAGCTTCTTCTCCTTCCTCTTCTTCAACAGTTCCCTCGACGACGACGACTGTTTCTGTATGCGCTACGAATTTCTGATTATCTTGTCTTTCATTTTATGTCAAGCCAATCTATCTTGGGTAGGCGTGCTAATTCGTCTCAGGATTCATCAGGAAGTACCGCAACGACGGCTACGACCCCGACTGTATCCGTCCATACAGTTACCGCAGGCGGTACAGTCAGTCTTCAAACGGTTACTGTAGCTCCGACATCGACGACTGGAGCTGGTACTTCATTGGCTGGCGACTCGAGTGGAACGAACACCAGTCAGCATGGGCTTTCGACAGGTGCGGCAGTTGGTGTTGCGATTGGCGTGCTGGGTGTCGTGGCCATTGCCATAGCAGTTGGCGTTTTCTTATGGCTCCGACGCAAGAGACGAGGACAAGGCGATGCCCTCGCAGATTCGCCCGGAAGCCATCGGGGAAGCTCGGCGGGAATGATGAGCACGCCGACCACAGCGATGGCCTCAGTATGGGATGGCGATAATACCTCGTCGGGTCGGAGGAATAGTCGATACATGCCACACGATCCTCGCATGGACCCATACGCCGCCAATATCTATAGTCGGTTCGAAAACAAGAGTCACGAGAGTATCAACACACTACAAGACAACCACGACTACTCTCGAAAAGTGCTTCGAACTACAAACCCAGACCCAGTTGATCCAGAATGAGGAGGGTGGGGTTTTACTCAGGACGGATAGTAAATCGTTTTTTTTAACAAAAATACTTAATGATGCACACGATTTTTTTCGGTCGGGTTCAACATTGGTCCAGTCATTTGCATTGCATTTTCGAGATACCAGGCCGGCGTTTTTAGGAGAATGAGACTCTAGGACAAAGTCGCGGGGTTTTTACGCACACATATACATAGCATCGTAGTCAAGCGATGCTACGTTCGATTCTTTGCTCGAATTTCGTTCCCTGGCCCGGTATATGAGCATCCACCGCGAGGGGAAGGTCTATGGCAATATTTGATTGGTAGACCGAACATGTACCAAAAAAGCAATTATCTAGATGGATTTCTTGGATCGCTCAACTCCATGGTTGGGGATAGGGAGGATGGACGACGAACATAACACACACCGCACTGGGAATGGGGAGAGGATAGGCGTGGCAAGGCGTCGCCAGTACATACAGGATCAACATGGGCCAATAGGCAATCACCGGCGGTTAATGGGATGGTCAAAGGAGCAAAGGAGCTACCTAAAGGTGAGTAGCTAGCTAAGGCAGTTTGGGAGTCAATAAAAGAGCAGCTGTTGTTGATATCTAGAACATAATCATATCCATGCTTATTTCCAATATTGATGTGTAAGCGCCCAGTTCTTTGTTAATGATTATTGATGATAGGTACTCGGGGAATTGTCAGGCACAACTACCAAATTTGGAACGAGTTCGAAACTTTGGAGATGGTCTCGCGATAAGGGGTCCGGAAGGTTTATTCCGGGTGAGTAAGGGGCCCATGTATGTTGAAAGAATGCGGATTTTTCGCTCGCACCCTACCGCGGCACCTCTGTAAGCTGTACATAAGCTTCCTGTCGCTTTGATGAAATGTGAGTTGTCAATTTGACGCTAGTCCAGGGGAAGCAGATTTTCTTTATTAGATTGGTGACAGGCTTAGTGTGCCTTGCGTACATTTAAGATGAGGATTTTCGGTCCAGTCACAAGCCACTGACATCATGGAGAAGCCATCCAGCCCAATGGTCCCAATGCAAATAATATTAACTCGTTGTCTCGCTGTGGTTTGATAAACTGCATGTGCTAAGCAAGGTCACAATAGGAAAAATCCTGTTGAGTTATTACTAGCTTCTGTGACTCAAGTTGTTGCCACACATTTCAATGGGTTGCAATAGTGCTATAGAATCCGGATAAAGGAGATATTAATAACTCTCGTCAATACGACATATGGATTTTTATTTTTCCAAAGTCCTTCGATACGAAGGGCTTGAAAAGCGCACCGGCCCGGCGTTTCTCGAATTTCCCGTACTGTGTCAGTGTGTGTAGCGCAGGGCAACAACGCCAGTCTGGACAAAGTCTCCGTAATTGGCGTCTTTTGGCGCGCGCCACTCGAATGCCGATCAAAATTGGGCGCCCCCAAAGACGGCTCCCGGTTCCTGAAGATTATCTTGGGCTTGGGCTGCTTACATAGGTACCTAATACCGCTAATACCGAACGGGTTTCAATTCATATTTTCACCTTGCACAAGCTTTTTCTTTCTTCCCTTTCCTAGGTAGTAATACCTAGGCCCCGCCTTAGGTGAGTAAAGGTGAGAGCTTCATTAGCTTGGGACGGCGCAAGCCGGTCAGCTCGGTTGCTCTTTTTCTGCGGCACGACGCGAGCTTTCGATTGATGACACTGGAAGCGGTCTAGCCTACTGTAGATGAAAAATTAGAATTCGAGGCGCGACTGGCGTGTTGGTATGTGATGGTTTAAGAGTGTCTTGGTGTGTGAGGAATGTACAATTGAATGACCTGTGATTGCAAAGCAAAACGTGTGAAGCGTGCGAAGCGTGTGGTGGTTTACTCGGCATCCACGTGGCCGGAAGACTTCCGGAGGGGAGAGCGGGCCGGCCCTTTAACTTGGAGTGGTAAATTCCAATGAGAATCTCAAGACGAACTGGTGCAACTGCAGTCTAGACTCGAGTTGATTCTAGTGTACACATTGTTGGCGGTGGCTTCCTTCTCGCGCCCGGAACCGGCAGGCGGAATGTTCGGCAATTACCTAGATGATTGCGTTGACGGAGTTCACAATTCTTATTCCCTCATCTCCGACGAGATCACCAACTGGATGTTTATTGCGAGGTCAGACGAGCTTTACATGAGGTAGAGTAAGCAATAATTGGGATGTCCTTTAATTCTGCGGAGAAACTCAAGACCGTCTAGATGTCTCTTGTGTTACTCTTAGAGTTGTGCAAGTATCAGACTGCGGCGACATCAATAGCAATATTGTGTATCTATGCACAAAATATCAGGCATAAGTACGTCTCGGTAGAGCCGGTGCACAATCTATCCACTTCCCCCCTTTTCACTTCGATTTGACTTGTAGACACGTCTCATTCCAATTAGCCAGCGTCTCGACCGTGATAATCGTATACCAGAAACTCGGTCGACGCCCTTTGTTAACTATGTCCCACGTCGGAATGTCATGTCAAGGTCAATAAATCTAGTTAGGCGTTTTTATAACGCGAGTTCCTATTTCCATCGGCATACTTGTGACGCTATCGGATCCATCCATATCATATGGGGAATATCAAAGGGCCTTCGTCCGCTGCATACCTACCTACCTAGGTAGCTATATACTATCCCATATTCCAAATCCTCGTAATTCCGAATTATCTTCTTGAATTGCTCAGATCAGGGAATCAAGCGTTGTGTCCTTGGGTATGGAATACATACACGTATGTAAGGTGCTACTGCTACAAATAGGTAGTCAAGCAAGGGAAGGCGCGGTTTTCTCGATGACAACTACCTGCTGATCTAGTCGAAATCAGCCAGCCTAAGGCGGATGGCAAGCACCTAATGTAAGGAGACCACTTCAAAGTTTGAGAAAGAACGACTAGAGTACATTAAATATTCTGCTCAAGTCCATCAAGACTTTAAAGGTTATATACCCCCACAATTACATCACAACTACACATATCCAATTCGAAGTTGTGAAATCGATCATATCCATGGATATCGTACACCTACATTATCGAAATAATCGTAAAGGGAATGCACACGCAGAAAACGGTCATGTCAACACCAAAAAATAAACCATGTTAAGCCCTAGATCACGATCGTGGAGTACAAGATCGTCGGCATTAACGATAACGACCCAGGCCACTATGCTCGGACAACCAAGGAGCAAAGGATGATGATACCGGAGGCGGAATGGATCAGGATATCCTCTCGAGTCGCCATTCATCGTAGCAGCCACGAAGGCAGCAATCGCGATATCGAACAGAATAGAAGAAGGAACAATGTCGGTCATTCCAGGACAGTCCTATGTACCGTCCGTCATACTATCCCCATCTGGAGCACCTTCAGTGGTGATGATCGCCCATTAGAGGGCTGGTAGATTCGGTGTTGGCGTCGGTCGCTTATTTGCGATGTAGAAGGCAGCGGACCATGAGGTCTACGCGGGAGGCAATCGCAGATGCTCTATATTGTACTGCTTTTTAGGGAGACCGGGACCCCTCCTAGACGCCCTTCTACTCCGCATGCAACAATATGGGCTTCGGCGAAGTGCCGTTAGAGTTGCCATAGCTCACCCAAGTCGAGGAGGTGCTCGTAGCGGAGGTTGATGTCGCCATGGAGGTCCGCAATCTTCACGTCCGCCTTTACGACCCTCTACCCCGAAGTCAACTTATTAGGAGACCTTGTTCTGGACCAGAGTAGATAAAGAGCTTAGCCCGTATGTATGCCGCGATCCTAGGGCAAGAACGGCATCGTTTCCACACTCCCTGTATTCAATTATTTTCCTATGTCACGCGAAACTCTAGCTGTGCCCTCCCTCGGAAGGGTACTCGAAACATCCTATGCATTTGCTGGTGTGCGCTAAGTGTATGTATTTAGGTAAGTAGTATTAGACAGGACACGTTCTTTCGGGCGTTAACGGACTCATCATCATTGTTTATTCAAATAAGACAGTTTCGAAGATATTTGGTTGCGACGTTAGTAAAAATTGTTACCTCTTACCTCAACACCGACATGACAGCCCCTTAACTCAACATAAGATAACCACACTTCGTGATTCTCGTCCAAAAGCCGGGAATGGCTTGACAGCGACCTCGACGTACGAATCCTAAACGAAACAACAGGAACCCGCTACATTGGATGCCAGATAAACCGTGCCGTCCGGCGCCGTGATTGATATCTGGAAATTTTGACCCCCTGGGCCTGGGCCATACATAGTACGATGTGCCATTCATTGACCCGCGTTTATATGGAAAGTAGCGCTCCCGCCTCCGGCCTGGCTCCGTCGATGCCGTAAGACACGGCGAGCCCGGGGCCGCTGATGTGGAGAGAGAGACGGAGTTGCCGCTGACGTCGCCATGGGAGCTTGTTTCCAAAGCCAGCTATCCTTTTTAGGTTGTGAAACAATCTTAAGATGCAAGAAAACGTTGAACTGTGAACTTACCAACTGCATGAAATATGATCATGGCTCCACCTACCAGACAGCGATACGGCCGTATATGGTGAGTTTTAGCGATTACTACCCTATATGAAATATTCTACGTGGTATCCCTTTCTTACCCGTCTTTTAAACAAGTTAGTACTTAATGGTCTTTAACCCAAACTTTCCAACAACTTTGAAGATTAATTCTTAACTTGCATCATAAAAGCCCAGCTTAATTAGCTTCTCTTATCGTTTCAAATGGCATCTAAATTAACCCTCGACGGCGGCATCGCGTTAGTGACAGGGGTAAGCTAATGGATATCATTCGTCCTAACGATACTCTGTTAAGCGGCGTTATAAAGGCTGCAAGTGGCATCGGCAAAGAAACCGCGTTCGCGTTTGCGGAAGCCGGCGCTCAGGGAGTTGTTTTTGCGGACCTCAATGACGAAGGCGGCAAGGCGGTTGCCGAAGAGAGCCAGAAATATGCCAAGCATACCAAATTCCGTGCACTTGCCATCAAGGTCGACATTGCCAACGCCGAGAGTGTGGGAAGACTTGTCTCGTCGACGGTCAAGGAGTTCGGACGGGTTGACTATGCCGTCCATTGTGCTGGAGTACCTTAGCCCCGCCCTTATTACACTGTTTGCTCATCAGGACGAAGCCACTGACGTCGCCAATTAGATTGAGATGGAGAACTATGGATCATTTACACCCGCCCTAGATCTTGATGTTTTCTCCAAGATCAGTGACACGAACATCACTGGTGCGGTGCTGTTTGTGCGCGCGGTTATGGGGGCCATGGCCCAGCAGGAGCCGCTTACACTTCCTGGCACGAGTCGTCACGGCCCGCGCAGCCTTGGAAGGGGCTCGATCGTGCTCCTAGGTTCTACTTCTTCGTTACTTGGTTCACCGGGAATGATTTCCTATACAACGGCCAAGCACGCCATCATCGGCATTATGAGGTCCGCCGGTAAGCATCGACTTGTCCGGCGAGGGGTTCGTTGAAGCGGCCGCTGATGATATCGTCTAAATAGCTGTCGATGCCTTAGCATTGCAGAGCGCCATCCGGGTAAATGCTGTCTGTCCCGCCTGGGTGGATACGCGCATGGTACGAGATGCCGTTGAGACGAACTCGATGCTCAAACATGCTATTGATAACATAACACCCTTCAAGCGTGCTGCCAGTGTTGATGAAGTGGCTGACTATATCGTTTTCCTGTCGAGTCCCTCTGCTAGTTTCATCAACGGCACTGCTCTGCCCATTGATGCTGGGCTCAGCTTACCCGCCCCTTCCTTTTTGCAGTGAAGCACTGGCGTACAGACTTCTATTAATCGAGTAACTGATCTAAAATGAACTTCAGTTGGGTTTTGATATTTCAATTAACACAAATAAACCATCATATACAGTGGCTGTCAAAACACACTTGATTCGTGACAGCATAGAGAGCCGCATCGCGACCATAGGGAAAGCAGAAAAGTGAGCAAGGACGTGATGTCCAACTCAACGCCGTCGTCACTCCGCCTACCAGCTCCAAGATACTAAACCTCAGATCCAGTCTTTCTGCTTTCGCATCCACTCATCAGTGATATCTCGATAATCTTTAGGCATATACGGCTGCGTAAACTCAGCGAACCAGCCGCCTTTGCGATGAGGACTGAGCCCCAGGTCCCTCTGCAGAAGATCGAAATACGGCACAGCGTCGAACGTGAAGCTCGGCCTTTTGGTGCCCCAGTCCGTCGGATATCGCCACTTACCCCAGCGGTTATGCAGAACGGTTTCGTATCGTAATCTCTCCAGCGCGTTCTCGTCTGGCGAGGTCGAAGTGCTGGATACGTCCATAGCCAGCTTTCCGGCGAAAAAGGCGCTGATCCACAGCCCGGAAATGTGCGCTGTAGTGGCGTTGCTGAGATTCGACAGCATTCCCGCGAATGCGATGTCGCGTGTGCGTAGAAACCGAGGCGACGCGGGTACCAGGAAGCGGTATAGCATGTACGGCGTCAGCGATGTATATGGAGTTATTTCATCAGCGCCGCTGTTAATGCCTTTCTGCTCCGTCATGGGCTTGTAGTTTGCGTTCCACACTGGCTGGTCCTTGAGGCGGGGGAATCGTCGCAGAATTTCTCTATCTGCTGCGTCGATCAGACCCTGCTGGTTCGCGAGGTCTTGCACGGGTGCTGAGTCTGTTGGCTGATGCGGGATACCTAGCTCGTCCGCAATGCCCTCAGGCAAGAACTTGATGGCCGGTACGTGTTTCCAGCCCGTGTTGGCCAAAAGCACGTCTGATGCGAAGGAAGTACCGTCTGCGAGATGTACCGTGGCGGCGCTGAGGTGATCGATTTCTCCAATGTGGATGTCCACCAGGTCACTCCTGACCAACGAGAAGATATCCGTATCGTAGTTTAGGACACTAAGGCTATCACCTGTAAACAAGGCCTCGGTCCACGGTTTTAGCTTTGCCGTATCTGGGTGTGCGTCGTAGTTGTTTTGCGCCATAACACCACTCGTCAGAGCTTTCCAGAATGAATTCACCAGGAACCGCCCGATAACCGTGCTGTGAAGTAAGCCCCTTATCCAGCTGTAGCCATCAGCCTCACCCCAGATGCATGGGCTGAACCAGGTAATGAGGCGTGTATCTGCAATTACATATCAGTTAACCTTGCGAATCTCAGATCCTGTAGGACTGGTACGTACTGGCGAGTTGTTCCATCCATATTTTAAAAGGCGTTGCATAAGGGCTGGAAATCCAACATGGGCCGTGGCCACTAGCTATCCGCTCAGATTAGTCTTTAAGGAATTCTTTTGATGAGACATCAAGGTATATAGGTACCGTACATCGAATGACCCAATTCACCTTCACACCAGAGGTAGCATATGCGTACACAGCATCCCAAGCAAATTTCGTGGCGCCAAATACGGTCACAGCCTTGGCAGTCTTCAAAGTGTCGCGATTCTGTTGGAAATACTTACCATGGAAAATCCTTCCTCCGAATTTGCCTTGTCCGTCAAAATGCGGGAGAAAGGCATTAGAAGTAAGTCCCGTCGCCACGATCAGTCGACGGGTAGACGCCTTCGTCTCCAACCGACCAGATGTCAAAATAGTAAGGATCCAACCTCCATCATCTTGGTGCTCCGCAGCTAGCACCTTGTGATTAAGACGGATTAGTTCCGCTATACCATTATGTTCCGCATATGCCTCTAGGTAAGAGTGGAGAGTAGTTCCCTTGATGTGCTCGCCAGGTTTCACGTCGTACCTGTCGCTGATCATGGGAAAGTCGGGATACTCATAAGTTCCCAAGAGATTATTGCTCTTTAAGCCGGGATATAGTCGTTCCTCTGCCCAAGTCCCGCCCAGCGATGATTGAGCATCCAATATGACCATAGAACTTCCAGGATGCGTATAATGGAACTGTCGTGCAGCAGCTAACCCATATAATCCTGTTGTGCAGACTTAGCAGTGCATGTTATCCAGGTATGTAAGGAGATCATCAGTCATCTCCTAACAATAGCGGAGAGCGACGGGAGACGGAGAGGGAGCATCCTACCGGCACCAATTACTACACAGTCAAAATCCTCCATTGTGATTCAGGGGTTCTGGTGTCGTCGAGCTATAACGAAACACTCTCCACGAGGCTCCATAAATGTTCTAAGAAAGAGAAAAGAGCCGGTTTATCAACCAGGCCATTTATAGTAACGCCAGAAACAAGAGAACCAACGTATTTGATGTTAAGCTACCACATTTCTCGATTAGTACAGTTATGTATGTTTGTGAGATTGGAGATCCACATTGGTAGGGCATACCGGTGATAATCTAACTGATAAAACCTCTACTACCAACATCCAACAATACTGTTGTGGGCCTATGTGAGGAGTAGCTCCTATAGCACGGCTTGTCCAGGTGGGTTGTATAGGAATGAAATGTCTGCTTACTTATCTAGGTACCTAGGTAAATACTTGGTAGATACCTTGTACTTGAACCAAGATGAGAGTGAAGTCCTACCTACCCTTAACCTTTTTTGAAAGCTTCCAAATCTTTCATACCTGGTATCTACTTAATACTCTAAAATTAGCTCAGATATGAAGTTGTCGGGTTTGTGGGGCTACCAGGTACCTATCTACCATTTATCCTAGAGTGTGGTTATGAGTATCAGTACGTAAATCGAGGTCTCTATGTATATGGGAAAAAAGCATTAATTATCAAAAACTAAGTTGTTGAGAGCTTGTAGAGTTTTGTATATAGGTAGGTAGGTAGTGTATATGCGTTGTAGATGCAGAGTATCCAACTATCCAATATTCCAATAGCACTCTATGATATTTGGGTACATTCGCATTTTGTAGGTACGTACATAAGTATACGACTTCGGCATTAGCGTATTTCTAATATTAAATCTCATTGTATATTGAACCATTGGTTGAACACATTCTTGGGGTCGTATTGCCTTTTAATAGAGCGTAGTCGAGTCAAACTGTCGCCGTACACCACCTCGAGTTCCTCATCACCATGGCCGAAGTTAACGTAACTAGACCAAAATCAGTATTGCAGAAGTAAGCAGACATAAAGAAGGAAGTTATAAATTCGAGAAAATACATACGTCTGATTGCGGGGAAGGCCACTCGTGGATCTCAACAAGTCACGCGCTGTGTTACCAAATGCTGCCGCTTTGGCATCCAAGGAGGAGTCGTTGTACCAAGGAATGGCGAAGGCGTTGAAATTAACGTTTCGATTCGGGAAAGCTGACGAACTAGAATCTATCGACCTTGCCTTGTTGAGTGAATATGCCTCAAGCAGTACACCACTGTTCGCTGCTCCGGGAAGTTTTTGGAATGCGACGTATGCTTCCCATATCCCACGCCACGTGCTGGGAATCATGTTTTGGAAACCTGCAGCCCAACCCGGTTTGAAGGAACCACGGGTGCACAGTGAAGTTGATGCATTATTCCACTGGTTATACGGCAGGACAGTGGTAGTATCTGCAATGGGGCCGACCGCATATAGACTGGAGTAAGCCGCTTTTCCGGTTGTCGCGTTACCCCTGTGTAAGAACGGCGAAGCGATTACGCTTGGGGTGCCAGTAGTAGGATCTGCAAGGAAATATAAAAATATGACCATATCTGGGGTGAGAGTGAGGTCCTGGATGGCCTGAACGACGTCTTCCAGCTGATCCTCGCTATACACCAAATCGCCAGCCCATCCTTGCATATCCTCCTCGGACGCGGGGTATGATCTGACAGTTGCAGAGGTGACGATACCGAGATTGGGACCAGCTCCGCGGAGCGCCCAAAAAAGGTCTGGATCCGAGGTGGCGGACACATCGTGAAGCTGACCATCGGCGGTGACAACGCGAAGCGAGAGGACGTTGTCAACCCCGAAAGAATATTCTCCCATGAGGTTGCCGTAGCCACCGCCAAGAATAGCGCCGAGTGTACCAACGCAGTTACAGTTGCCCGTCAAGACCAATGCCCCGGCATCGTAAGCGTTGTTAATAGTGTTACTGACATTGGAGCCCCCGCCAATGGTAGCTTGAGTTCTGTCGGCGTTGAATATGACAGTATTAAGGCCGGCCAGGTTGATTACCACACCATTTTTATTCAGATGAAAGGTCGTGGCCCATCCATTCCCTCCGTTCTGAGCTAGGAAAGGAATGTCTTGTGCCACGCAATATTTGACCTATATGCGCGTCAGTCTGCAGCTTACTTCAGCTTGGATTCATAGTGCATACAGTTACTGCAACGTCCGACTCAGTCGCGACATTGACGACAGCACCCGGGTCCGGTGCGTCAAAGTCGCTCCAACGCAATGGCGCCGTCGCAGATATGAGGTTGTCTCCCGACAGTTGCGGCGATAATTCATTCTGTAGGCGCTCAATGAGTGAAATACATTTACCGCCCACGAGCACCAAGGTTAAGAAAGGCCACGGAAAATGACCGGCGACCTTCATGGCTTTGGGATATGGACAGCACAAGAGGGTGGTGTAACTTCGAAGAATGTTCCTCGAAAGTACACTTTGCTACAGTGAGCCATATTCGAGGGTATTTATTGCAGGAAAGGAGCCTGGAGCTGAGCTGTCTTCCTTCAGCTTGTTGGCATGAGAGGTGCCCAAAGAGCTCTTCTGCAAGGGTCCCACCACGCAAGAGCTGACATGGCGGTAGCATACCTAGGTAGGTAGGTATGGAGTAAATTACGCGGGGTATTGATCTGAATTTACAGGAGTCCACTACCTAAGCGATGGTGGGCTTGTGCACCCAACACGCCGGTTCAGCTCCACTACAGGGCTCTATCTTAAAGTACCCAGCAGGTACATGTGTAGGTACCTAGGTAATCACGTAGAAACCTTGAACCAAGCCTGCTTTGATCGGGCCAGAACAATGGAACATAATCCTTAACACGGCAGCTGCACGGGGTGGGCACGTAGGACAAGACAGCCCGGGTTACAGGTTACTAAAATGCGGGTACGATGCTTAATTCAACCCAATCCAACAGTAGTACGTAGTATTCAAGACTTCGATATTAGATGGCGGCTTAACGAGTACCCCAAATTGATTTGTCTGGTCTCTGCGATGAGGCTAAAAGATTGTATTTTACGACTTAAATACCTAGGTACACATTCCCTTATATGAGAAGTACGTATCTATACTCGAGCAATCTAGACAGGCTGAGAGAACCTCAATAATTCAATAATTTGGGGTTGAGAATTCGGGTTAATATATGACTAAGGTTTTCCTACACTACCGATCATAAGAATCTAAAGGTATGGAGTTTTTGGCTGCTTCTGTGGAATACATGTCCGACTGACGCGAAGCTTGTGGGTCGGTAATTTTAATGTAACTGTTCGGGGTTGATTGTGTCTTCGGCGGAGCGGGAGGGAAGAAATAAACCAATACTGGTTTCAGTGTTGGAAGACAAGCTGATATTACAGCAATCGCCAGCTCGATGTTAGCCCAGAAGAATGCAGGCGATGTATAGTCTGTTTATACGTAGGTAAGTTTTACGGATCGCACACTTCAATATGTCCTCACAGTCGTCTGAGTACTTACAAGTTTCGTCGGTGGCGTAGTAAAGATACTGCGAGTTCACTTCTAGTAACTGGACGAGCCGAGCAATGCTGACGGCGACAACGCTGAAAGGATATATTAGCTATTAGTTCTCTTCTAAATACCAGAAGATTGATACTTGCATTGCACCAAGTAGGAACATCCCAAGCACTCCGAGCCTGTCCCTTAACGGTAAGTGTAGCCGTAAGACGACGGGAATTGGCATAGCCAGGATGAGAACGTCGAATATTAAATCGGTGACTAGGGTAGAAAGAAACACCCCGGTTCTATTGATGCATTTCTTGCCGTAGAAGGGTTCGATGAGCGCTGTGACGGGATAGCAGATGAACAGATTGGCGAAGAAAAACGAAATAGACCATGCACCGAGCAACCCAAGCATAACGTAGGCCGCCCATCGGAACGGGCGAATATTGTGAAAGATCCCCTCGTAAAGTACCACGATCGATGCTTTCACAAGCCCAAAGCCGATGGGGCTGAGGACGTTAACAGCGAGCTTGGCCTAGAATAATGTCTTGTTAAGTTCGTCTCTTGATGCTATCTAGTCTGACATATTGCTTACCCTTTCGTAAACCAGAAATCGCGGATCATCCAAGATAGGTTGACCATCAGGCCCAAGGGTCTGATGTTGGCCTAACTCTCCATCAATAGAAGCTGTGTAACTCTTAGCTGATAACTTTGACATGCCGTCGAGGAGACCAACAACTCACCGTAGAGCTGTAAAGCGCAACAAGCATATCCAACAAGTAGTCCCGCAAAGCATAGCCAATCATCTGCGGATAGACGTGTGCGTTTTAAGTTTCTTGCCCATAGTCTTAACCCAAACATGACAGTGGGTAAGACGATGGCGCCGACGGCCAGGCCTATCATCAACTCTTTACTATATGGCCCCAGCATCTCGATACCTGTTTAACAGAATGATCGATCACAGACGATGTGTGAAGAAGGCCGAGCTGTTTACCTACGCAAAACTGAAAAGAAGAGTTCATGACAAATACCACAGAAGCCTGTGATGGAAGGATGGAATGGTTGCATTTAGGATTTCGCTACATTACATATTACTACCTTAGGTATTGACGCAGTCTGACAGCTTTAGACTACGGCGTCTTGAGATCTACCTACCACTGCCTACCTATTGTAAAGGACGAAGCATGAACGAAAGACAAGTTGGCGTCCACTGCTGATGGTGGGTTGCATTTCAATGGCTGTGTCCGGAAAAGCTGGCAAGAACATGCACGAACCCACCCCGGCGCATATGTCGTCCAGATCGGGCAGTAAGGCGTCCAATCATAACCTCAATGAGAAAGCTTGCAGAAGACAGTTTCCAACTGAACCGGTCGGAGCATCGGAGTTAGACGTTCTGCATTTTGATTTGCCATGCCCTTCTTGTTGGAGTGTCACTACATATAACCGCCACGCATCTGCAGCGATATTGAGAGTTCGTACCAACAGTCGACACGCTATGTACCGTCAAAGGAACATAACAGGCATAGCATGGATATAAGTAGAGATATCCGTCCCTCAATTACTTCATCGCATCCACATCCTCACGTTTAAATCCATATTTTCAAGACTGCCTTGCTCCAATACCCTAGACACTTTCAAATTCACCTATTTCGACTCTTCAATTCCCTCACCAACATGTCTGATTTGACTGCTGATTATGTTGTCGTGGGTGGTGGTCTTGCCGGATGTGTCCTAGCGTCACGCCTCAGCCAGAATGGCAAGGAAGTCATCCTGCTAGAAGCAGGCCCCGATCCAACTGACAACCCTGCTACTGAATTCTTCTTGAGCGGCCTAACACTGCAAGGGGGCGAACTTGATTATGCTTATCCAAGTGACCCCGTTCCTACTACAGCCAATCGTGTGCATCACCTCAGCGCTGGCAAGGCCCTGGGCGGAGGAACTGTCATCAATTTCGGAGGCTGGCTTCGAGGAGATGCTGCCGACTATGACGAGTGGGCTGAAGTAGCAGGAGACAAGCGCTGGAGCTATGAAGGTCTCAAGCCTTGGTTCGTGAAGTCGGAACACTTCTACGACTCTAGTGCAGACCCTCAGGAACATGGCTTCGACGGGCCTATGTACGTCACTTCAGTATCCGCCGCCGAAGGTGGACAACGTAAATACCCTCTTCGAGAAACTGTCAAAAGTGCATGGGCCGAGCTTGGAGTCCCTCACAACAGAGACAGGAAGAATGGCGCCAGTGTTGGTTTGAATGAGATGCATGAGAATTGCAACCAACATGGCAAGCGACAGCCCTCTAACGTCGTCTATCCACTCAACCAAGTCAAGGTTTTTACCAATGCCCCTGTGTATAGAGCCACTTTCGATGGTACTAAAGCTACGGGCGTGGAACTGGTTGACGGTCGCAAAGTGGTTGCGCGAAAGGAGGTCATCATCTCTGCCGGTGCTTACCAGACTCCAAAGATCCTCATGCTTTCAGGTATCGGCCCAACAGCCGACCTCGCCCAACACGGCATTCCTCTAGTATGCGAATCACCATACGTCGGTCAAAATCTTCATGATCACTATGCCATCCACCTCGCTTTCCGCGTGCGTGATCCTTCTCTCGGATACGCTTTTGGAAGTGCTGCGTTCCAAAAGCCCGCTCTCCTAAAGGGGCTTCCATGGGACTGGATTGCCAACCAACCTCTCCCAGGGGGAATTCTCTCCAAGCACCAGCACGAGACCAAACCTGGTTGGGAGAAGCGAAATGTTTTTGAGGTCCTGACGGCTTATGTTGTACCAGGAATTCCTGGTATTCCCATCGATGGAACCCATATCGCTACATCAACAATGCTGCTGCTCCCCACATCTCGCGGTACGGTTACGATCAGATCCAGCTCTCCAACGGATCTGCCCCGCGTGCAACCAAACTATCTCTCAACACAACTAGACCGTGATTCTCTTGTTCATGCTACCCGTACAGCTGTAAAAGCCCTTACGGCAACTGAAAACTTGAAGCCCGTTGTCGAGGGTGAATCTCCGCCTGTCAAGGAAGGGTTGGAAGGGTTAACGCCACTCACTGTTGATACGAGCGACGAAGCAATTCTGGAAAGACTTCAGAGGACTGGGGAGCAGCATCAACATTCCGGCGGCACAGCAGCCATGGGTAAGGTGGTTGATGGGGAAGGCAAAGTACTGGGAGTCACAGGACTTAGGATCGCCGATGCAAGTATCATTCCAGTACCGTTAGGTGGGCATCCCCAAGCTACGCTGTACGCAATGGCAGAACAGCTGGCCAGTATGGTCCTTGGAGATTCTTGACGTGAAAAGTCGGGATAGGCAGAGGATCCTGTCGGAATTAGCTCGCTTCTATCACATGTCCGGATCCACCGAAGAGGGTTCCGTTACAAGCTCTTCTATGCGACGTCTCATTGGAATAAGATAAATTTCAGCTTGGTAGATCACAGGGATACTGATGACATGTAATTTTGGGGAATGTTCACATATAATTTTGTGACATATCAAATTAGCCATCCAAGCCCATACATCAGCGTTTCCCGTGCGCCAAACTAGCCCCCAAACGACGTTGTCATCATCCGCAATAGGTAAAGACATGTGTCTTTGGTTGAGGGATGTTGTAGCAGTTGGCGCAATCCGAGCCAAGAACCTGTTGGATGGCCAGATGCTCCAACAAGGGTTAAGGGCTCCAATCCAAGTGTGATACGCTTCCCATCTTTCACCAATGTTGCCTTGAGACGATCCTGTTTTGTTAATACCTTCCGATGTATTATGTTAGGACGCCGGCGGGGAAGAATATCATCCTAGAAAGAAAAGCCCCTCGTCGAATACGCCCGATTGTTGAATTATGCTTTTACGTTACATTGTCTTTACTGGTGCTTACGCCGATTGCGTAAGCTGCCAGCCGATGGATGTAGATGCCTATTTACATCCATCGGCTGGCAGCATCTACACATCTCCGAACCGTTTTCAGTAGTACAACGGCGGTATGTCGGACCTCGACTTGGTTATCTAATAAGCTGCATACGCCAGGTGCTTGTGAAGTCCTAGAGTACTAAGATTGTTCTTAAGTTAGGCCAATCAAAAACATCTATAAAAGCTATTATAAACGCCCCAAAATCCTTCTCGATGATAGGTACACATTGAAGGATCCAAAAGAGCTGCGTATATTGGCGTATAGATGGGTTAGACGGAAGTACATCGTTTTGGTATAGAGCTCTCAACCCCCGGAGACTTGCTGGTTGACCTTCGAGAACAACCAAGACGAATGCCTCCTTATACCCGTGTGGTGAAAGGCAGGGGGGCTCAACTAGTGTCCAACGCCGGAGGACCGCCACCGGGAGATGTTGATCCAAAATCTTTCCTGAAGTTATGGTGGGCTTGCCGGTCTAGACTATGATTTGACATCCTAGGTAACCTCCCTACCTACCTAGAGGTGTGATTTCTTTCACAGGTTACCTATTTAGCAACTCATGTCCGTGAACATTTCTATTTGTGGTGGAGTACTGGCTTACTGCTTTCCAACATTCAGGTTTCTTTTCCCTTACCTGATTTCCTGATGTGCTACTAGAGGTCTTCTGTGCCTCAAAACTCTTCGCAAAAGGCTGACCCAAGTATTTGTTTCCCAATTCGAATCACTTTGCATGTAAGCCAGCTGGTTGGCTGGTTGGTTCGGGTTTCTTTTTTTAAATATTGCTGGGAGGCTTCACTACATTGCGTCTTGAAGTTTACGTACCCATCTAGTGACTTATTGATGTTGTTGTTAATGTAAATTTAGATTCCCTTGTCAAAATAACACTGTCATACAAGACCCTCGCCGTGTATAAAGGCTATATGAGGAGATCGGTTGGCTTCATATAAATACCTAGGTATCTTATTATATGAACCATCCCCGAATCGACGACGGCCGGAGAGACTGGTGATAGTACACACCATTTCCCTTAACATATAAGCAAAATTTACCACATACATCTGCACCACGCCCTACGAGGGGATACACCAGTTACATCATCGTGACTTGTATCTTCATCCAATTACCGCCGTAAAATGACATCTTCGTCATCTCTATCTAAGTCTCTACTTCAGGTACCCTCTCACCAGGCTCTTGTTGTCAGATCTCTCTCGAGCACTACAGCGCATAAGCGTGAGAAGATACTGGAAGATGTCGAATACAACATATTCGCTTTCCCTGCGGGACTCGTTGTTTGTGACTATCTTTCCGACTCAGGCACCTCCGCAATGACAGACCTGCAATGGTCAGCATGTAAGAAAGTTTTTGCATATATAGTCCCAGTTTCACGAATCCATCACGAAATTATAAGTTTCCAGCCATACAATATTCCGGAACGTTGAATATCTTCTCTAACTCTGTATTCTAGTGGTAAGAGGTGATGAAAGTTATGGTCGTAACTGGGGATACTACTGCCTTCTGGAGGCATGCCGAGACATCTTTGAGAGAGGTAATAATCGGCAATATGCCCCCCAGGGTGTCTTGACGGGAATGGCCGACGGTGAATTCTATCGTAGTATGCTTCTGAAGCCATACGAAAGTGGCTTCGTCAATGGCGGCCCTCATCAGCTCGAGAGACCCAATTTCTTCATTGTTCCGCAAGGCCGTTGTGCCGAGTTTCTTCTCTTCTCTACTCTCGGAGACATGATAGCGGAGAAAAGACGAAACGACTGCAGTGCGCCAACGGTGATAATAAGCAATGGTTTTTTCGACACCACTGGGGCTAATGCTATCGCCGCCGGGTTCTCCCTCGAAACCTTTACACAACCAGGGCTGACTGATCCATTCCCTGAGGAGCTAGTTGGAAAACAGAACCCATTCAAAGGCAATCTGGACCTGGCCGCAACCGAAACCTTTCTGGATCAACACCAGGCACAGGTCTGTATGATATTGATCACAATTACCAATAACTGGGCTGCTGCACAACCTGTTTCAATGGCAAACATCCGCGGAGCCGCTGAGTTGGCGAGGCGAAGATCGATACCCCTTTTTTTCGATGCCTGCCGCTTTGCAGAGAACGCCTGGTTCATCCGTGAGTTTGAGTCTGGATATTCCGATAAAACGATCCCCGAAATTGTCCAGGAAATGTTTTCCTACGTTGATGGATTTACCATCAGCTTGAAGAAGGACGGTTTGTCAAATATGGGGGGTATTTTAAGCTTTAGGGACGGAGGATTGCTGGCGCAACAGTACGACGCAATAGGTCTTCGCTTGAAAGAGCGCCAGATTCTGTGCTACGGCAACGATTCGTATGGAGGAAGTAAGTCACCGATCACCCTAAGTCATTAGGACCCTTTTCAAGAGGAATGGAGAAAGAAATTGGGGACATCGTCAAAGCTAATATTTTTGTTTTAGTGAGCGGGAGAGACATAATGACAGCCGTGGTAGGCCTATATGAAGTCACGAAAGAACCCTACCTCCGCACCCGCATCAATCAAGTACGGTCATTCGCTGAGAAGCTTCAAGCTGATGGCGTCTCTGTTCTTTTGCCTCCCGGCGGTCACGCAGTTTACCTCAATATGGACGAGTTCTTCCACGGGTGCGATAGACATGCGGGCGACTTCCCTGCTGTGGGCTTCACCTTAGAGCTTCTCAAAGACTTTGGAATACGCGCCGCAGAAGCCGGACCGTTCGGGTGGGAATGGGATAAGAAGCCTCCTGAATTACAAGCCAAGATACCCAACCTGGTTCGGTTCGCGGTACCACGCCACGTGCTTTCCGACCAACATATCAACTACACAGTTGCGGCCATCAAGGAGCTCCATAACCGGAGACATTCAATTCCCAACGTCAAGATTACTAGAGGTAAGAACATGAGGCTCCGGCATTTCTCAGCAGGTATGAAGCCTATTCCCGTGAATCCGACCCTCACAAACACGACATATCTGCGAGAAGCGACACGACAACTGTCCCACTTATCTAGAGCACTTGACCAAGACAGCGTGAAAGATGAGCTGTTGAACAGCGCTTTGGGCATCTCAATGGAAGGCTGGGGTCAACTACCCATCCCTCAAGACGTAAGCTCGTCGCGATGGGTTTCGGGCGTTAGCAATGACCATTCACCCTTCGAGTACTCAGTCGTTCTAGACCAGGAGACCGGAGATACGGAGCTACGATTCTTAATTGAAGCTCAGCCGTTACAAGGAGAGGGGCAGGGGAACTTGACCCAGCTGCAAGCAGAAGCCTTCGCGCTGGCTGAGAGGATAGCAGACAAAAATAGAAACAAGGTTTCCTTGGACCGCTTCCGTGCCGTCCGGGACCTATTTATGCCTAGCAAACCGGAGGGATCGTTCGCCGCGTGGTTCAGTTACGCATCGGGCAAGGACGGCGCAGAGTGGAAGATCTACCTCAATCCATGCTGTACGCCCGGTCGACACGACGCCATTTCCAGAACCCGCGCGGCGTTCGAACGGATCGGTTTAGCTGAATCATGGGCTGCCGTAGAAAGTGTCATCGCGCCCTACGAGTCGGTCGTCTACTTCTCGCTCGACCTATCATCGGATTCAAATCACAGCCGCGCTAAGGTGTACGTCTCGCACGGGACATCGTCCACGGCATCAGCCATCGCTGAGAAGCACGCGGCAATCTGCCCTCACGCGAATCCGTACGAGATCCAACGATTCTGCGAGGCCATGGGAGGCGGCAATCTCGGGCCCTACGAGCAGAAGCCGCTGCTTTCCTGCTTCGCCTTCACCAGCCGAGCGCCTGGCCAACCGGTCGGGACGGTGCATTTCCCGGTCAGCGCATATGCTGGCGACGACAGGGAGATACAGGAACGTATTGAACGGTATATGGTCGCGGTATCCGTACCTTCGCTTTATAAGAAGCGGTACAGGAAGATAATTAGCGCGGTGCAACGGAGGCCGTTGGATCAAGGGGTAGGTGTACATGCTTGGGTGAGCTTGAAGCAGGGACCCGGCGACAAGCGGTCAAATACATTTTATATCTCACCGGGTTTATTTCTATGCCGAAGGGAAAAATAATTCGAAATTTGTAAAGTTTTAGGTATGGGAAGACAATTTTATTTAAATACCTCCTTTTGAGCATACCAGCAAGCTTGTCTTTCATGATTATTGGTGTGATGAAGTTAGCCAGTTTCACATTTTTAAAAAGGGCAACGCTAAAATCATCTCCGTGTGTCTTGTTACGGTTTGTATCCTTAGAACTTTCTCGGACGTTTATAGGAAAAGTGTTTATGGGCGTTGATGCGGTTTCTGGTCTGTAGGTCTTAAACGTCTGAATACCCCTATTTGAAGGTCTAAACTATGTGCTATGTTTTCTCGGGAATGTTTCTTCTAGAAACTTCAGATATCAATTGAAACTGGATCTCAAAAGTGTCTCAGTCAGAGCACATGGAAAATGTGGGTGTATTCGTCTAGAAGAGATCAGATTGCCCAAAGGAGAAGAATGCCCGAGTCCGTTTGACTAGGAATGATGTTATATCATAGACAACAAATCAAGATGGAAAAGTTTACGAAACCACAAACGCTACTACAATACAAATTCCTTAGTACGCTTGGTATCCTAGGTTAGGCGAGTTCGTCTAGCTTCAGGTCGAAATGCGAAACACGGATTTATAGTACTGTATCCCTAATCGCCAAAAGGGGAGCTAAGAGCCATGCAATCAATATATTTCCTCTTTCCTGCGATGGCACTTATTTGCAGCTTATAGCGTTGGCTATGATGGCAAGGTGCTGATATATTTGTTATTTTAAAGCCATTGTCATTGGGACTGGACAGTCCTCGAGGCTAGGCATTTGCCTAATTATGAGGGAGTTAGCTTTGGAGTTGAAGGTAATTGAAGGTAATTGATGACATAGATTCTCATATCCATTGAACTATGCTGACTCATGGATATGCCATTCTTAGTTTGAGCTTTTATGATAATTTAGATGATAATTTAGAATGAACAATTGAATGATTCAAAAATTAGCATATGACCAGCAGTAACTACCGAATTGGCGCTACTTATTATGGTGTCGCAAATACCTTACGCGGATGTGAAAAGTCGACAATAGTTGAGAACCTGGTTCGATAATGACTATTTTTACTCTTGTCAAAATCAAGTTAGTACTTATTCTGTCCAAGTTAACGCCATACCAATTGATATATAAACTGAAACATCCCACCATCTTCGCGACAGAAGTCACGAAGCTAGAAAGCAGTAATTATATCACTAGACATGTGACACCCGACGATATATCATCGTAGTCTCATCGCTCTAGCGCTACTTATACACTACCTAAATACAGTCAGTTCAGGGTTCGCCCTAGAACGTCATCGAGAATTCCTTCTCTGCTTAGATCCAATCATTATCGACTTCCATGGATCGATATGATCTAAAGCGTAATAGATAGTGGCTGACATAGGTGGCTTAGGCGCGAAAAGGTAAAGTGGCTGTTAGAATCCCGATTCAATTAGAGTTAGCGCCGTGGTTTCCCGTCAGAGTCGACAGGGTTCTTCTGTTCCCGCTTTTTGATTTGACCGGTAAGGACCAACATTCAAAAGCCGGCCGATCCTACTATGCCACCATGCAGGCCAATGCAGGCATGTGCGATGTGCGTTAGTGCATCAGCATAATACTATGGGGGTACGTACATATCCATACATATGGACATACATACCCCCTGCCAAGCCGTCTTCCTCGTTTCTTCTTGGAGTGTCTGGAGGGTGTAGGGGTGTACGTACCTGTGGCAGCAGTTTTTCTTGGCTTTTCGGCCTGTAATTTCAAAACCTTCGCGAATTGGCTGGACCCCGTGCGACTTCTAACATCCAACGGGGCTGAGCATCGTCTTTCCTTTGTTCTCTGCCCAATTCTACAACGCATCCTGCGCATCCCACACTTTACATTATTCTACCTTATCTCTTCATCAGCACATCAACGCTAACCCGTACCATTCAACCTTCCCCATTCCATTTCCATAACTTCTGCAACCCGTCAGAATAATCTAACCCGCCGGTCGGCTACGTCGGTTCGATAACGAAATACCGAAATTCAATTCGACTTCCCTTCAAAAAGTTCCGATCTACTCCTGTTTCCGCTCCTGTCGCAACTGTCCGCACAGCCTCAACCCGCCTGAGGGATCCCGCTTATGACAACCACAGGTCACATAAATCACCACCTCGCGCAAGACGTAGCCATTAGTTCAATACTCTCATTGAAAGAATACTTCACAAACTTGACATTGGTAGGAGGATAGGGTAGTCCAAGGATCGAACCCAACAGTTAATAAACGAACCGCCGAACCTTCCTCTGGTATTCGCTTCGCTTTCCGGATGTTCGAGTCGGAACCGGCGCGATGAATTTAACATGTAATTCAACGTTGGAGGATATGAAGAGTATGTATTGAGACAAGCTTTTCCTTCGATGTCCTTTCCCGCGTGCCCAGAATCTTAGAGTCGTGGCGCCAAGAAGCCGTGCTGACATGTCTTGGAATAGTCGGGTCGGAGGAGAAGATCGCAGGACCCTTAACCTTCCATCAACTCGCCCTCATCATCGCCGGCGCCAGTACGATAATCGCATATATTATGAGTTTCTATTTGATGTGGCGACATGCTATTAACTACACCAAGCCTCTCGAACAGAGACAGTAAGGCTGCCTACCAGTCCCGCTCATGTAGAGTCTGGCTAACTTGCGCTAGCATCATCCGCATCTTATTTATGGTCCCCGTATACGCCACCTCGGCTTTCCTATGTATATGGTATTACTGGCATGCCGTTTACTTCCAGGTTCTCAGCGACTGCTACGAGGCTTTCGCCATCGCTTCTTTCTTTGCCCTCTTGTGCCATTACGTAGCACCGGATTTGCACGAGCAAAAGGAGTTCTTTCGACATATGCGCCCGATTAAACCATGGGTATGGCCTGTGAATTGGTTTGCCAAAGCTTGCGGCGGGAACAGGGGACCTTGGAGAACTCCTCAAAGCGGCCTGACATGGTTTAACATTATTTGGATCGGTATCTACCACTACTGTTTCATCAGGGTTGCTATGACTATCACTGCTGTTGTGACACAGTATTATGAAAAGTACTGCGAGAGCTCCAACAGCCCCGTTTTCGCTCACATCTGGGTATGTTTTCCGCCTCATAAACCGAGAGAAAGTTCTGACACCGTCATAGGTGATTGCAATCGAGTGTATAGCAGTAACCATTGCTATGTACTGCGTCATTCAGTTCTATGTCCAGCTAAGAGAGCCACTAGCCGAGCATAAGCCTTTTCTAAAGGTACTAGCCATCAAACTAGTCATCTTCTTGTCCTTCTGGCAAACTATCGCTATATCCCTTGGAACGTCCACCCTTCATATTGTGAGCGCGAATGCTGTTCTCGCCTATCCGGATTTAAAAGTCGGCATACCTAGTTTGATGCTTTGCGTCGAGATGGCCCTCTTTTCGATTCTGCACCTCTGGGCATTTCCTTACGCTCCATATGTCGAAAACGCCAAGACGAGCTTCTACCCCGTTCCCGATCCCTCGATGGGAATACCGCCTCGCGAGAATGAGCATGGTCCTAAAATGGGCGGCTTCATGGGGTGGAAAGCCTTTGTTCATGCTCTCAACTTATGGGATGTTATTAAGGCCTTTGGCCGTGGTATGCGATGGTTATTTGTTGGGGTTAAGCGCCGTAAACAAGATCCTAGCTACCAGTCCAAATCTGAGGATATCGATACTAGTTATCCCATGAAGCCTTACGCGGGCGGCCCCGGTAACAAAGGCACGGATCATTTACCGATCGCCAATGAATTCCGCAGAAGCGCATTTGGGATTCCTCAGACACCCAACGAACCTGTTCCTGAGGAGAGCGCCGGGTTGATTACGAATGCGCAACCGAACCCTGCTAGTCCCCCAAGACAGCAACCCAATCCGTACAGGGACCCGAGGCAACCTCAATTATACGATCCTAGCCCGTCAGGGATTTACACGCCATACGACGACGACCGAGGTGACCTTGGGTCCGCCGGACGCGCGCGGTACGAGTATGATTCCAACGAAGTCAACAGCTACCAAGGTGGAAGCACGGCGGGCTGGAGTGAGCCTCGAGGCGCACCCAGGCCCGGTAGGAGAACTTCAGCACAAGTCCACGTTGGCAATGCACTATGGGGCGACCGTAATATGCGCGGCGGCGCGATCTAATGCAGTTCTTCAATGGTGAAGGCGCATAAGATTTTATTCTTTATTCACTACCTTGGTACGGTGCATATTTGGTTGGTGGGGTCAGCCTTGAAGCTTGGCGTTCTGGGATCATTTGAAAGGTGTTTGCTGAGGCATGGCGTTTTAGCTGGTCCGCTACGTTTACCAGGCGGGACTTGATGATATGTTTCGCCTTTTTTAACTGGACTGCTTGGACGGATCATTGCATTTCGGGCACCATTTGGCTTACGATCTGGAAAGTAGCTGGTCCGGTTGGTTGCTAAAAGACATATAGATAGATACCTTTGTGTTTGTTGTCTAATGAAATGATATGCAATATTCTGCAATATCTCATTATAATGATCATGTAAGATTACCTCGTATGAGTTTAGGAGCTCTGAGAGTAATATTGGCGCACGAAGTATGTGTTAGTTGATATCTCGGACTCGCATACAATCTCACTATAGGACTAGCCTCAACAGCTATCTACCTACGTAATGTGGCTATGTTATGCCTACCTATGTTTTCCATACATAACGCGCCGCGTCACGAGAGTAAATACAAGAAGAGTACGCTCGATTTGCAAACCATCGTTTACTCAAGTCTGGTCTGCTGAGCCCTTGCGGCGCAGCCGGATTAAGCCCCTATCTTCGGGGTCAAGTGGGGCCGTGAGCACCCTTTTTCAACTAACCCGCGGAGGCCCGGGATATCTGTTCGCACCTGCCCGAGAGACTTCTTTTTCTTCTTTCCCTTTCATATATTCTGTCACTTACTAATCATAAATTCTCAATGGTATTAAGTGTCTTAGCTGTGGCTTTGCATTAAGGTTTTATATTCCTTAAGGACATGAAACTAAGTTGGTTACTGAGTTATTGATGGAATTTCTAAAATCCTTCTATTATCGGGAATAGGAAAGCAAACCTATCCGGAACCAAGTCATTATTAAAGGTACCTACCCATGCATAGAAAATTACCCAACTTTTTTTTCTTCATAATATTGGGGAGTAATGTATAAGTACCTAGTCACATTTTATGAATCCTCTATGAAACATTTAAAACGAATAATACTTACTTTGTTAAATATTCACCACTATGCCGTTTGGAAACAGCAGGAGTCTCTCGGCTTCCCCATTATAAAAACCGGAATTAACATTTCGGCATCTAAGGCTGTTTGATTAACTTTATTGGATAAATGATGATCTCTTCCGTATTTTCCGGTTGAAATGTCCTCTGAAGAATCATAACATTGTCTAGAGCGGTTGATCTAGTAATAATACCATTGATTATCATTAGTTTCAGTGTGGAAAGAAACGTCATACATGGAGTAGTAATAGAACAGCCCTCAACTATACTTCATTTCGCCGTACAATTATAAAACCTGGGCGTATTCATATATCAAAGCACGTAAAAGATTATGCCATGGCACCGACTCTCGAGTATGTATCTACCATGAGAGGATATCTTCAACCTAATATGGCAGATATTAGCCCCCAGACTATAAAGTCACTGTACTTCACGTCGATGGATGCAAGAGCTCGGGCCAAGACAGAGCAAAAGAACTATACATCTATTGTACGGGAGCTCTAGCTCGAGACGGAGGCACAAAGAGTTGTTGACTGAAGCGTCTGACGCCAAGGCCACAAATTTCGATACACAACTTAGTTCACGAATATTGATATCGAGATAACGGACAAGAGGTTGAAATGGATGGAGAGTACTATGCTCGTGGGTGAGGGATGCTGACATATTGATGAGAAGGAATTTGCGGTCGAGTACCTGGTGTACAAGGTGATGAACTAGGACAATCAAGTCATACCAACATGTAGTAGCTTTTGAGAATGAGAGAGGTTTTCAATCAATTCTTGGGTTATACGTCTCATAAAAGTCTGTCGGGTCCGTTGTCTTGAGTTGTTAATTAGGTAGTGAAGCGATATCATTCAAGAGGCTGAAATGTCAAGCCCTGGCTTAACATCGTCTCACCCATGGCCAAATAGTAGCAGGCTTACACTACAGAGAATCGTGACGTGGTGGTAGTTTGTGGGAGTTCAAATAGAAGTCTATCACAGGTACGTATCTAGTTAATGAAGGTTGTGTGATTAGTAAGCAAGGGGTAAAGTGAAGAACCCCTGAACCCCTGAATCAATATGATTCTCTTGTCAATACGCTGAGTCACAGGTTCAAGTGTAACTACATATTGTACATTAACTCCAACGAGGATAATTATTTGGACATATCTTGATTTGGAAAATCCATTACATGTAATCATCGCCGGCAACTCGATATTTGGCAACAGTGCATTATACAAAGAATGTATATATATTGAAGTGGCAATTTACATGCAGGTCTCTAGGCAGCTGCTTCTTGCGCAGTGAATAGATTCCTTAGGCTTGGGGTATTATCGTCAGGTGATAAGTCCAGTCATGGACAGCTCTGGCAGTGCTCACACGCTCGAGGACGGACGTCAAGGAAATGATAGATGATTTGACGTGGGAAACTTGTGATTGGCTCGGAGTGAAGTCGATGTAGCCCGAGATGTGAGAAAGTACGAGTTTCGGGATAGCTGCATGATCCAATTAACTGAGTCGGCGACAGCCAAGGCAAACGACATTGGGAGCCGTTTATACCTAGGTAACATTTTTGATTGATTGGAGCCACGAAAAGAGACATCCGACAAACGAACACTTTCGTTTGCAGAATCTGAATCAAGGCAGCAGCCCGATGTCGAGCACTTACCACTCTGTTAGATAGTATTGTTAGGGTTCTTCAAGCTTCTTTGGTCCTTTTATCTTGGTATATCATCCTTTACTTGCGACCCCTTGAGAAAGGTTTCGGGAAATCCCAACCATCTCGCTCAACTTGACTTTACCTGAATTCTTCAAGATTTCTCCCGCAAGAATAGGAGAACTAAGTTCACGATGGATATCAAAGATATCTCCGAGGAGAAACAGTTCTTGGCGCATTTCGACCAGATCAAACAGAATGCAGAGCGAGCCTACCGTCGGAAGGGCGAAAAGGTCCGAGAACACCCTCCCCCTCAGATGCTCGTCTGGAAGTTCATTATGAAGCTCGCCGCTTCCGATATCATGAGTGCAGGAAGTACGCATAAATCCATGTTTGCTACGTCGCAAGTGCCGGCCTACTATCTTCCTTGTATACACCCTGTTCAGGAGCTCAAGCCCCTGATGATATCGAACATGACGCTTGAGACCCATCACCGTGGGAAGCGAGCCTTAGTCCGCGTCCTGACCCCGGCCGACCGGATGACCGCCGTCATGGCCATCATCGAGGACGAGGAAGGCACCGCGGTTATGCTACAGCTCTACAACCAACCCGAGGAGAGCGTGGTCAGTAAGGACCAAATCCTGCGGGAGGGAGACGTGTGCATTCTCAAGGAGCCGTACTTCAAGGTCACTGTGGATGGTTCATATAGCCTGAGAGTTGACCATGTCAGCGACGTCATCTGGCTTCAGGATACCGATCCTCGCATCCCCCTAAAGTGGAGAAAGCGAGTTTTGACCCTTGACGAGAGTTCCAAGGAAATACGACTGGAGGGGAACGCGGCGGTTCAAAAATGTCAATGGGCTGAAGCAGAGAAACTGTGAGCAACTATGTTTACAAGTAAGCTTAGAGATCTGGCCGGGTACTAACCAACCTTGCAGATACACAGACGCCATACGAGCCGCCGAGACCCCCGAAGAGGCGCAGCTAGCCCATCTCAACCGTTCGCTCGCGAACCTCCATCTCGAGCGGCCAGAGAAAGCTCTCGACGACGCACTCAGGGGCCATCCAAGTGGAGGCCCAAACGAAAAGGCCCTTTTTCGAGAGGCGAAGGCGCTCTACGCCCTACGAAAGTTTAGCCCCTGTCTCGAGAAGTTCTTAGCCGTCGTGCGTTGCAACCCCAAGAATTCGGACGCGTGGGCCGAGATCAAGCGCGTCAAGCAACGCCTCTGCGAGGAAGAGACGGGCGCCTATCAGTTTGGCAGCATGTACAAGCAAGCAGAACGCACCCCGCCTTTGATAGACTGCGCGACGTACGTCGGATCGGTCGAGGTCCGCGATTCTCCTGGCCGAGGCAAGGGCCTCTTCACCACGAAGCGAGTTAAGGCGGGAGAGCTCTTGTTGTGCGAGAAGGCTTTTGCGTACAGTTACGCTGGCGACGACACCCCCATTGGCCAGCAGAAGATAACCATCCTGATGAACCTGAACTCCAAAACCATGTGTATGGGCGGGCAGGCCAACCTCATCACGCAGATCGTCCAGAAGATATACCACAACCACGAAGGGGCGGACGTATTCACCAACTTACACCACGGCGACTATCCGAAGGTAGCTACGTCCGAGGTAGACGAGGCCCCCGTAGTTGATACGTAAGTCATCCACCCCCTAAGTCCCAAACCGTCAATCCAAGCAAGGAAAGCTAGGTAATAATCAATAAACCAGATTCCTCATAGCCAAGATCATCCAACTAAACTGCTTCGGCGCCCCGCGCAGCAGCTACGCCACGCACACGTTCGGCGAGAACACCACCAACCACAACACCAATACCAACAAAAACAAACAAGACAGACCCTCCTACACAACCTGCGGCATCTGGCCGCTCGCCTCGCGCATAAACCACGCGTGCGTAACAAACTGCCGACGCTCCTTCATCGGGGACTTCATGCTCGTGCGCGCGACGCGGGACCTCGACGCCGGAACCGAGCTGCTTCACGCGTACCACCAGCCGGACCCGGACGAGACGTACGAGGAGACGCGGCGCGCGACGACGCGGAGCTGGGGCTTCGCCTGCGGCTGCGCGCTGTGCCTCGCCAAGAAGGAGACGAGCGTCCGGACGGCTCGCGAGCGCAAGGCCCTATACCGCAGTCTCGATCCGTTGCTGCGGCGCGACAACAACAACACCACCTCCTCCTCCTCCGCCTCCGCGCCGCAGCTGGCGCGCGCCGCTAAGGTCCTCGGGGCGCTGGAGAAGACGTACGGGCCGACGAAGCCGGGCGCGGCGCCGGTGCCGCGGCTCGAGCTGTGGGACCCGTATTTCGCGCTGGCCGCGCGGCTGGTGCAGATGGATAAGCCGGTGGATGGGCTAGAGATGGCGCTTAGGGGGCTAGAGGCGCTCGGATACGTCGTCGTGGCTAGCCCTCCGAGGGACGCGGGGAAGAAGAAAAAGGGGGTGCTGGAGATAAAGCGCTGGGGACAGGTGAACGAGTACGTCATCTACACGTTCTTGTCGATGCTCCATGCGTACGGGAGGCTCGCGCCTGAGCTCTGTGAGGTCGTTAAGGGGTATGCCGGTATTATTTACAGTATTGTTGTCGGTGAGAAGGACACCATTGGTACACGTTTCCCTACTCTAGCTAGTTAAGCAGTTGCTGGTAATGAATTAGGATAGTAGTACGTAGTACGTACCTAGTAGGTAGTCAAGAATAATTGAGACTTGAACATCAAGAGTACGACATATAATTCCTACAATACTAACCTCTGAGGACATGTGGCATGAATATCTTCATTTATGAATCCCAGGACATTCTTTCCGGGAGGTATCTAAACAATGTAGGCATGGCATGTATGCCAACCCGCTAGGTTACAAGGATCTGATCCATTACAACGTATCAGATCCCCTATTCGGCTTACAGTTAAGACTCCTCGACCCTAAAATCTTGTCTCTTCTCTTTCTACAAACCTCATGCCTAAGGAGTTCGTTCATTCATTCCCTGTGCCCCTGTCCAGCCTTTATGCCTTTGTTTATGCTACTAATCCTACAATCGCCTATTTCTCTCTCGGTATCCCTTCTGTTCTCAAAAGTGCCGCAAACGCCAGTCTCGTTCATACGCAGCGTATGGTATTAATCTTTGTCCGGACGCCAAACTCTCACAATTGTACAGAAACTGTTTGAAAAGGGTATCATGATGCGTAGGTGAGGTTTTTTATTGTGTTGTACATCAGGTGTTGTCTTTGATATGATATCTCTTAACGCCGAAAGTGGTGCAAAAAAGTTCAGGAAAAAGAGAACAATTCTCTGAATTAAAGAGTTATTTTTGTTGGGTTCCTTCACTAGATCTTCTCTGATCTTGCCTGATCTCTGTCGTAGAGACGCCCGTTTCCCTTGCGTACGAATATTAGGAGGAAATTAATGTTACTGAGGCTGCTTTCAGAGCTAGTAGAGCTCCCGCACCCTTCGATTTGGCACCGTTGTAGGAAAATGTTATAAAATGTAATCAATGCCTGCCTGCTGCCCCTGCCATTTTGCGTGATTATTTGTTCGTCGTCATCCCGAGACTGTTCCATAATACATTGTCGAAAAGAAGCAACTTGTCATTGGTGTATCCTCACATAACGTGGCAAAGTAAGGCCTTCAGCCCCGGTACTAACGTCTCTGCCTCTTCTCGCTGCCAGGTCCTCCGTATTCATCGCTTCGACGCTTGCGACCTCGGTCATCACCTCTCGATTCCCGTCGATCATCGCCCCCACGTGGTCCTCCACCTGCCCCACCTCCGCCTCTGCCACGTCCATAATCGTCATGTCTACCACCACCATCTCCCCTGTGACGCGACTCTCGCGGTCCGTCGCGCCCATTACCCATCAAATCACCCCTGCTACCGGGAGGCAAAAGTTCCCGACCCATAACTGCAGGATCTCGGCCGGATCGTCGTGGAGGTTCCATTTCGCCTTCCCTCCCATGATTAGGAGGTCCCGTATTGGACTTTCGCTCTCGGTAATCACGGTGGTCCTTTGGCCTCTGGTCCCTTTCTGGAGTGTGGTCTCGACTGCTTCGTCGTGAGGAACGCAAAGATCGGTCGGCATTGCTGTGGTCCCTTCGTCCTCGTTCGTGGTCATTTCGGCCGGAGCGTTCGCTTCCGTTCATACTACGCTCGTTTGACAGTATGTTGGGATCTGGACGCTCGTGGACTGGCGTCGTATGAGGAGACGCGCCCGTAAGAACCTGAGCGTCAGATCCGGCTAAATTAGTCCGAGAGCCTCTCGTACGTACGGTAGGACTTCCTCCCGAAAGAATGTTATTGATACCGGAGAGTTGTCTTCTTCCGCCAGTTCTAGCGCGCTCATTACTGGATGAAGGCCCTGTGGGCGCAGACATAATATTGGCAGCTTCGGGTCCTGGCCCCATCGGATGATTCCCGGATGGCTGACGATGACCCGAGTTTACAGGAATAGGTGGTCGATCGGAAGTCTGCAAGGGCGGAAGAGCAGAACGCCCCCCTTGATGAGGACCGGAGGATGATGGCGCAATTTGACCCATTCGATCAGGATGCACAGGAACCGGGCTAGGCGCAGGAGCTGCGTATGAGGACTGAGAAGATGAGGCCGGCACGCCGGAAGCGCCGGGGTTTAATTGCCGCAGCCTTTCTGGGTGTATTCCTGGTGAACTAGTAGTACCGGGAGAGGCGGCTGGGCCATTCCCGTGACTGTATTGTCCTCCTGGCTGGCCCCGACGTGGCCTAGACGAGGCAGGACCAGTGGGAGGATGGTGCCTGTCAGGTGACGGAGGCCGATGAGGTCCACTGCTTGAAAACCTGGGATCCGGTTGTCCTGGTAGTGGATTAGCAGGAGCACGAGCCGAGGTACGGCCACGGCCGCGCGGGCCCTCAGGAGGATTAGCCGTATCCCCAATCGAAGGGATCGAGCTTAGACGACCGTAGTCTGGATCTTGATTGTTAAGTCTACCATGCTCAGGCTCACCTCGAGCAGAAAGAGGAGGCCCCTGGAATGCCATAGGTTCGCGTGACCTGTCAGGCATACCTCGGTCACCCTCGTGGTCATTGAACCTACCACCCTTAGGCCCAGTAGACGGCAACGACTCGGTCCAATGATCTCGGGGTTGGTGATCTACACGATGAGGTCGGCCAGACCGATCGTCGCGAGACAAATCGCCAGATCGAGAATCGGGACGATCGCTTCGTCGAGGAGAGACTGGCCGAGAACCATTGCGATCTCGGCTTTCATCTCTGAGCTGGCGACCAGTCGGTCTTACATCACCGATCAGTGCGGCACGAGCAGGATTCACACCCGAACGCTCATCGGGGCGATCAGCGTTGATAAGTCGCGCACGATCCGGATTCACTGTTGGGCCCTGCGGCTCTGGTTGGGGGGGAGGCAACATAGGCTTTGCGGGAACAGAGCTGTCACGTTGCGGTCGTGTTGTTTCGGGACCTCGATTAACACTGCTAGGAGGCGCTGGTCGGTCTCGTGGAGTGCGACCATCTCGATCAGGCGGGTTTGATTCGTTTCGCCGGGTAGAGTCTGGTCGATGCGGCGGCCGATCTCTCTCAGACCTTAGAGGTTCCCTTGGTATGCTTTCTGGAGCTCGACGATCTATTACTTGTGGATCCCGCCCTCGAACTGCACGCGAATCATCTGGTCGTGAGAAAGATCGCTGATCCCTAGAATCTCTAGGATCACGAACGTCTCTTGAATCCCTTGGACCTCGAGGTTCTCTGGGATCCCTTGTGTCCCTAGGTTCTCTATGATCGCGAGGATGTGCAGAAGTTGTGATCTGCCCGAATTTATCGTGCGTGAAGTGCGCGGGGAATGGGACTTCTGGTCGGCTAGGTAGTCCAGGTGCGGGAGCTAAAGTGGAGGGTCGAGATGGCTCGACCCTCGGGCCGGGGGCTGGAGCAGGAGCAGTTGGTACTGATCTTGGGGTCGACGATCGACTGGGAATTGGCTTAGAGTCCGGCTTTTGTAGAGTAGCTGGCGGCTTCTGAGTGGTGTCCTTATTCGAAGAGGGCGTTGATCGTGAATCTTCCTTAGCAGAATCGACACCACTCGATACTTTTATATCCTTAACTTCACCATCTTCCTCCTCAGCATTTGCCTTCGTCTGGGTTGTCGAGCTGTAAAATTGTAAGACATATATCTAGGCACATTTAGGGGTTCGCACTAACCCTGCCGGAGTAGGTTTGAATTCTGGCGCACTCGCCCGAAGACTCGACGAAGCTTGTACGGTCTTGGAAGACTCTACAAATTTCTTGTCCTCTGTAGAATCACCGCTCTGCTTAAAGGTTAGCGCTTGTATCGCAAAGTATAGTATAATATCTGGAACTCACGATATTTGATCGGAAAGCTTGGACCATGACCCATTTAGGGGAGTATCTCTTGAGGGCAGAAGTGGCGGTATTTGCAGTGACCGAAAGATCTACTCTGTGGTTTTGACCATCTTCGCCTTCGTTCTTTGAAGCCGCTTCGCGCTCCGCAATCTTTCCGAGTATTTGCAAGAATTGCCGACCCATGAAATCGACAGCAGGGAAGTGTTCAAGGCATGCCTTCAGAACCGTAATAGCATTCCTGATATGCATCCACTCCATGCCAGTGAGGCAGGCTCGTAGCGCCGCGGATAGATTCCGATGCCAGGTCCAGAGCAGATCACGGAATTGATCGTGTTCCATGAACGATGTTGGCTTACCATTGTCATCAAAGGCCGTTGCAAACCCGAGCTTCCCGTTTTGGATGGCCTCCTTGGCGTAAGTTTCTTTGTCCTTGTGCCATCTTGCGAGATCTCCTAATGTGAGCTTAATGAAGCGCCCGAGGAATTCAGCTTCTCGAACAGTGCAACCGAATATCATCAAACGCAACCTGTTTACGCCGAAAAATCGGTCGTACAAGTCAAGTAACCTGAAATTTGCTACTCGGTTGGAATGCATGAATTTGATCATCCGGTGACAGAAGTCTGCATCGCCAGGCGAAAGGAGAATTCGAGGCATGAGACACTCTTCAATGAAAGTATCGGCGATTGAGTCACCCTTTGCCGACGAGCTGAACCATCGTGTGCTCTGTTTGATGAGCAATATCTTGGTCTTGCTGACTCGCTCACGACACGCACTGGCTTCGGCAGCGAGATCCTTGTTGATTTGGATAAGAGCATCAAGTGATTTCTTTTTGTTACTCATACTCATGTCGCTTCGATCCCTCTTCAATTCGACATATTGCTTTTCCACTCGGGCAGTTTCCGCGTCGTAGCTGGCCATTGGAACGACAAGATCTCCCGTTTGGAGAGACCAGAAAAGAACGAAGAACTCAGGACTGATTTTATCCCATACGTCCGAAGGCAATAGGGCGCGCGCAGCGTTGACGATTGGTGCAAGGACATCCATGAAACGGTCAGATTTTTGACCGTTTACTGCTAATGGTAATTGCGGAGGACTTGTTCCCTCTGTATCGGGTACATCTACTAACATCTGATCTTCAGCGTCTTGAGTAACCGAGGATGGTACTCCATCGTTGTCCTTTGTGTCGATGATCATATCGCCGTCTGCATCCTTTGGTGATTCGGAACTTGTTATCGCAAGCTTCTCTCCCGGGCCCATCATGAAATATTGGAGGCTAGCACGACCGATCATGAAAGCCAGATTGGCATCGAGGCCGAAGTCCGTCATCAAACGAGGGATGCTTGGTATGAGTGCATCAAACTGCTCGGGCGGTAGATTGGTTCGCAGCAGCTCTACATACTGAACAAGTGCTTGCTGAGAATCGTCGATGACATTTGCTAGGTACTTAATATGTGTTTCACCCTCGGGTAGACGATAGATGGCAGACTGACGATACTGGGCCATATTCGTCAAAAGTCGACAAGCGAGATCCGTCTGTACCAAAGCCTTCATAAGACGGGTAGCACTCTTGGCGGACTCGTAGCGTTTATCTCCCAGACTGATGAGTGTTTGGCGACGTAAAAGCTCCCCGCCACTTAGAGCAAATAATTGGGCTTCCGTGAAATCAACATCTGAGACGATTCCGCCCATCGAAGTAATAAACTCGCGTAAAATTATCAAGTCGGTCGAGATGCCATGGGCGACTTGGTCGTTCACGTAATGAATGATAGGGGTAGCATCCATGTTGCTATATCGTCGGAAGACTCTCCCCGAGAATTTAGAAAGAGCCTGCAACCATCGGCTCGTCAACAGCACGGATGTTGCTTGAGTCCTGCTTCTCTGCTTGCCACCCAATGAGCTAAGGAGAGACCAGACAAGGACGTCGTGGCCCATCTCTGTGAAGTATTTGGTGCACTCCACGAAAGCCTCAATGAGGTTAGTATACGCTTCAATTTGGTCAAGCGCTACCTTGCACACGATACCCGGCGACGATAAGGCCACCTTGGCGAGTTTCTTCGCGGAACTAGATATATTCTGCAGGGACAAACGTTTCAGGGTTGCAAGTGTATCCAACCTGGCGTTCTTGAAAGCCCTCGACATTGCCGGGAGTCGGGATATTTGTCCTTCATAGCACTCCGAATATATGTTATAGCGTACTTGCGTCGGATAGTTCTTGAGAAGATCCCAAACAGCGTCCACAGCATCAACATTGGAATCGCTAAGGCATAGGGATGGAACAAGAGTTCGTCGAAGAAGGTCTTGCCAACGAGAAGTGTTTTCTGGCGACTGGTCCTGCAAGAAACTTTTCACGCCGATAGCGGCCAACTTCTTAACAAGGGAAGGCTCTCTTCCGATATTGACTCCAGATATGTTTAGGAACGTGCTGCAGAGAGTGAAGACATCATCGACGGTTTGGCAGATCGGAACATTGTCCGCCCACTCATCGAGATAGAACCGATAGAGAGTGCCTTTGTTGATACCATCAGCATGCGGCCACTTCAGAATCTTAATCGGAGCGCCTTCGGTAAGTTTCAGGTTACCCTTTGTCATCCCAGATTGGTCTTGGGCTACCTCGGGCTTGATCGGGCTGCTAGTTATAGGTCGCACTTCAACAGGCCGAGTATCGTTAAAAACTTTGCTGATACTGTGTAATAAGATGCGGTTGACAGCCGGGAAGATCTCATCAGGGTAGGCCTCGGGAAGCCACGGGAAACGTCCAAGGATGAATAGAGCTTCGGGAAGCGCGCCCACAACCAATAAGTGAGACACCAAATCCGCCTTGTGTGCTTCTTCTGGTTCCGGGAGGGGGAGTTCCTCCTCTTCATCGTCGGCTTTTGCTTCTTGCTGCTTGCCATCAGCATTAGTAGCGGCGGATTCTCGTGGTTTGGAAGGAAATGGTAAGGTATCATCGGTTAGAGCTCCAGCTGCAAGAAGGGCGTTTGGTACGTTGCCTTGTCTCTTGGCACGCTCTTTTTCATCAAGTTCTTGCATTCGTCGTTCCCTCAAAGACTCCATCTGACTATCATCCGGCCAGAGATGCGGATAGAGATCAGCAAGGGATATGAACCCTATCTTGATTAAGAAGGCCGCAAGGTAGTAAAGATTTGCTGGAATTTTTTCTTTTTTGTCCCGGGCGTCAGATGCATAGAATCGGAACTTGAAGCCTAACAACTGCGCGGCTATCTTATTACCACAAGGCGGAAGTGTCTTCGTGATTCGAACCCAATCGATACTGGAGTCGCTGGATTTAGCTTCTGTAGAGTACGACTGGTTGATATCTTCTACTCGTCTTCCACCAAGCTCAAAAAAGGCATCCAAGTGGAGCTCTCGAGCTCTGTCCCAGAATTCGAGGTCCCGTCGATAGCACTCTTCGGCGAGTTGAGCTTGGAGTTCCGCGATAGGGACGTCTTCAAATTGGGGCAGAGCCCATTTCGGCAGGCCTCCTGTGAAGACTCTTTCGGAATGTTCAACCTGGGTGCGAGGCCACCAAGAACTAATTCGCAAAAATCGAGAGAAGAACACGATGGTCCTGAGCATCGTCGCGGAGAATACGTCGATAACCACATCAAGAACCCTGCCAACATCGAGGTCGAACGTTCCTATCAAACCCTTGACTCGCTCCCAACTCGCTTGCACAAGGACAAAATCATGACCCTCTCGAGCACCACAGATTGGAGTACGATAGAGCTCTGCAGCAAGTTTCGAGTATCCTTCCGACTCTTCCCTCAAGAGGTTGTAATTGGCTTGGCGGTATAGTTGGTTGGTAGCATAGCGAATGCCTAACTTGACAAATGTGTCACGGATTAAACCAAGTTGCTTTAAGGCCTGAGCATCTAGAACATCGCGCAGAAGCCTCGGGGAGATCTCTGTGACGGAGACAAAGTCTCGCAGCTGCGGCAGGGAAGTGCTGTCGTCAGAGTCGAGAAAGATAGAGAGACTGTCGAGAAATAGTGCCTGCGGATTGAAGCCGAACGCGGAATCATCGCTATTCTCGATAGGTGGCCCAAGAATTTGCTTCATACAATTTCCAGCGTCAGCGGGGTTAAGGCGACCTTCCAGCACAGCACGAATAAACTCTTGTGAGATAGTCGAAATTTCCTCAAAGTCTTCGTCGTTACGAGACTTGATGCCATGATCAACTACTTCCTGGCGGCCTTTCTGCTGCCACGTGTTAAGTCGCGCTTCTGTTAAGATGGCGAACTTGTAAGTCGAAGGAGTAGGAAGTTGAGATAGAGCTTGAGTTTGGCTAGGCTGAGGGGCGGTGGGCGTAGAAGGGATGGCAGGTGCGGGTGCAGCGACCTGCGAGGACGAGCTAGATGGCCGTACAGTCGATGGAGAAATGGGGGCTCGATGGTTGGGGTTGGCGCCTAGCTGACTACCCGACGAGTCCCGGCGATCATTGTTGTTGTTGTTGTTGCTCCTCCTGGTATTTCGACCGCTAGGGGCGCGACGGTTCTGGGTAGAAGTATCTTGGAAATCTCGGTCGTGCTGGCCGAGGTTTGTGTCGGAAGGACGATGAGGAGCCGGCCGGTTCGCTCCGGCGTCAGATGGCCTCTCGTTTCTCTTTCGCTTAGGAGGCATCTTGGTCGTGGGCGACAAGTTCTATGCAAGGAAGAAGGGTCATAGAAGATGAGGCTGAAACCAAGATGCTGGCGATGATAAATTAAGTGATGGAAGAAATGATCTCAAGCATGCTTTGGATAGATCTGAATACCGTGTGCAGTGTTCGATTGAGTTCTTTGGTTGCGAATTCCGACAGTGCCGTTTGGATATCCGTGCAGGATTTTCGAAGGTAAGGTTGGCAAGTCTCAAGTCGGAAAATGGCGGTTTGATGATAGAAAAATTAAAAGAAAGTACAAGGTAGTTGGAAGAACAAAGAAAGCACGGTATAACGTGCGCGTGATTGTATCGATGTGTTGTACAAGAATTACCCTTTCCTCAAATAATCAAGCGAGTTACCAGCTTGAATAATGGGTGAAAGTTGAAGAGAAGAGAAAAGTGGTGAGTTGGAAATGATGCCCGTTTGACAAGGACAGTGTTTCGCGTTGGATTCAAGAAGCTATCGCGTGGTGGATTGAAAGAGATATGCAGCCTCAAAGCTTGCAAAAGAGAGTAAGGCTGCATGCAGGAGAAAAGTTGTAGATGAAACTTTAATCTTTGCGGTTCCCTCTCTGCAAATTAAAGTACTGAGTACTTCAAGGTCTCAGTCCCGCTAAATACAGTGGGTGGCAAAAGCATCATCCACTAATGAGGTACTTATGTAAGCGAAAATTTGGAGGTACGTACATATCTCCGATACGGAACGAGAGTCATAATTGGACAACCTTCGCTTCTACAAAATGACGTGCGACTCAAATTAAGTCCAATAGCAGGTATTTAAAGAGGTATACATGCATATTCAGGGAGTCATTCAATACTCAGTATACTTCCGAGTATAAGTTTCACGATAGGTTACATCCAAGACTTCAACGACACCATCTACATTCTCATCTATACCTCTATCTATCCTCAACAGCTCTATCTAAATAGCTACATTTATATCTGTATATCCTACTCTCAAGCCTCTTGGTCGCGCGGCAAGATGGCATCCGAAGACAAGGCTGGAAACCAGCCAAAATATGGTCAGTTATAGTTTTTTTTTCCCTTATATGCCAACTCGATATATAGTCATGCTTTCAATGCAACTGCATATAATAATACTCCTCAATATCCTTCTTGAGAAAAAGAATAGTGGCTGAATACTTCCAAGAAAGAATTCGGCAGCAGCCTGAGAATCCGTTCGCAAAATTAATCCCAGATCAGCAAATCGCTATCATTCCAAGTTTCACTCTTGAATCTGGCGTCACCTTGCGAAATGTGCCGTTAGCATATACGACGCGAGGAAAACTGTCTCCAAACGCAGACAATGCCATGGTTATATGCCATGCTCTAACCGGCTCTGCTGATGTTAGTGACTGGTGGGGGCCCCTGCTCGGCGGTCCTGGTCGGGCGTTTGATACCTCGAGATTTTTCATCGTCTGTATGAATAGCTTAGGTAGCCCTTATGGTACAGCAAGCCCCGTGACTGCGAAGGATGGTGATCCGAATAACGAGAGGTATGGACCCGAGTTTCCTCTTACCACCATAAGAGATGATGTCAAGTAAGCCATAACAATCCCCAACTGCAGATTCGCTTCTGACGTAAGACAGTTTGCATAAAATGCTTTTAGATGACTTAGGTGTACGCCAGATTGCTGCTGTTATTGGCGGTTCTATGGGAGGTATGCTCGTACTTGAATGGGCATACCTTGGTAAGGATTACGTCAGAAGCATTGTCCCGATTGCTACTTCAAGTCGCCATAGCGCCTGGGGCATCAGCTGGGGCGAAGCTCAACGGCAGAGCATATATGCAGATCCTAAATATGACGATGGGTATTATCCTTTCTCCGACCCTCCAACCACCGGCCTCGGAGCAGCCCGTATGTCAGCGCTTTTGACTTACCGTAGCCGAAACTCCTTTGAGGCCCGTTTTGGGCGCAACATTCCGGACCCGGCTAGGCGCCAGACAATCCGGGAAAGACCACGTCCTAGCACCCCATCGGAGGCTCACTTCAATATCCACAACGATGGACACAAAACAACGCGGCTATCAAGGAACAACAGCTACACGGATAGCCAACCAGCTGCCTCCAACGGGGTTGGCGCAAGCATAGACAACGGCACCAATGGTCAATCGCTTGACCCTCAATTCTCCGGACCGAAGACGGACAGTCCTGGCAAAGAAGAGTCATTGCCCACCACAACCTACTTCTCGGCACAGTCATACCTTCGTTACCAAGGAGAGAAGTTTGTCAAGCGTTTTGATAGCAACTGCTATATTGCTATTACGCGAAAGCTAGACACGCACGACGTTTCGCGATATCGTGCTAATAGCATCGCGGAGGCGCTCGCTCTCATTGAGCAACCTACTCTCGTTCTGGGAATTGAAAGCGACGGGCTCTTCACATTCGCCGAACAACAGGAGCTAGCGGAGCACATCAAGAATGCTAGGCTGGAGAAGATAGACAGCCAGGAGGGTCATGATGCTTTCCTGTTGCAGTTTGAGCAAGTCAACAGATACATTCTAGAGTTCCTACACGAAAAGCTCCCTGACATTATGACGAGGGAAGGGGACCACGTGGAGGCAGCTAGCGTCGGTCAGTTAACTAAGTCTAGCACGTTTGGAGAAGCCGAAGTAGAAGATATAACCGCATGGTAGATAGTTAATACGCAGAGACTATCAAAAGCGGCTCGATGTTGAAAATGATCGAACGGGTTTCTCGTACAATAGTCAAAAAGGCACTGCTACATTGCAGGCCTAAAACTGATGCTTGGCAGCACCAGATCACGCTAGTGCCTAGAATCGAGAGACATACAGGTCAAGCCTGCTACGTACATGTCCCGAATTTCTGGTAGGGACTAGCAGCGTCGAATCAGCGGTTCCATCTTCGACATGCGCATCAAAATCGAGCCACTAACAGACCTGGTATCCGCAGCGAGTCGCGTGGAGTACCGTTGGACCGACTCAAACGAACTTTGGGGCCCTTGATGTACGCGTGAATATGTGAAGCTCCTCAATAAATAAAAAAACCATATTTTCGGCCGATTCTTAATTTCTTCTCTCGGGAAAAAGCAGCCTAGTCAGACTTCTACCCAAAGTCCCGGGAGGATGCAATTGGGTTAGTTAGCGTCAACTGCAGGAACACAGAGGAGTTGGTCATTATAGAATCATCTGTATGCGATGATCCTGCGTTCCTAAAGTCGTTGGTAGCTTTTATAATTTCTGCTTTGCGATACTAGATTCGTGACCGAGAAACAACCCCCACGAGTAAAGTTGATGTTGGTCACAAGTAGATTCGCATTCGCAACTTCTTCGGCGTTAAAATTGTCAAGGAGTTCTCAAGCCGCATAACTGCATTTTTCGCTAGCCGTTACCATTATGGTTCAAACACAACGGTATTTAGGAGCATTTCTGTTTGTGACTGCCGAATCGAGCAATCTACATAGGCACGGTGGCTGAGAGGCGTTTGTATTTTAACATCGAATGGTTTAGACCACGTTGCGGGATGCTGAATCCTGATTGGCGTTGAAGATCTTGCATAATGTGACTACTAGTACATGAGCGCCTTCCCGCCAAGCGGGAGTGGTTCCTTATTAGGACACTTACGCTTTCATTCTAACAATTTTCACCTCCTGAAAAAGGGCAATCTTGTAAGATTTGAATTAAAGAGGTATTATCGAGTTTACATAGTGAGGGAATCATATCAAGGTTAAGAAAGATCCATGGATGTATAGGTAGTTGAAGAAGCTTCGAAGTTTGAAGTTGCTTGAGTTTGTCAAGGTACCAGGATCATAAGATGCTTAAGTAATCTTAAACCCTAAAATTACGGCCCGGATGGCTCGTGCTTCGCTTCGCCCCGGAAAACGACCCACTCACCCGGCGGCTCTAGACTAGTGCATGTACCTAAGTACTAGCAGTATCCACTGCTTTACCTTGGTATACCCGGCCAAGCCCATGCCTCTCCGAAGGATTCCTTTGGACTCTCGACTTCTACCTGCTGTTTGGAGACCTTGGGCTGGTAACCCATCTCCTTCTCTCCCGCATCGGCATGCATGTACATAATAGTATCGACCATCATGTGATGGTGCCTCTCACACAGGAGCCAAGCGAGTGAACCCATCCTTAGCTTTGAACTACACTACCTGACAACGTAGAATTCTCACGATGAGTTCCACTTCAATCTCACCGAAGTGATTCAAGAGGCAATGCTCAGCTGAAGTCCCACGCCAACCCTTCGTACTCTTCGTACTCTAACTAGGCGGATTACCCATCGTGTTTAGGAGACATAACCAATCACACCCCTCATGTGGTCCAAATAGACGGGCGTGATGATGAAACTTCGAAATTGTTGACAGTTGGTAGGTTATAACTTATTCTTGCCCGGCATATCCCATTACGTTTTGAAACCCTGTCGCTTTCGACGTCTTTGACAACCATCCGATGAGGCGTTGCACTAGCCGACGAATAGGTAAGGTCGTTGAAGAAGCGTCAGGGATACTTGAAGCTAGTTAGAATTGCTTGTTTAGGAACACGTTCTTATTATCACGCCTCTTACATCTTTCCCTTCTAGCATTCGCCTTCGTTTCCTACACCGCATTGGTGGATCACATCCTGTCATGGTATCAGCCTAACCCGCAAGCCCCTAGGTGCATTCTAGGAACGTACCGAGACATCCAGCCAGCCCACGCCATTGGGTCGATGGGACCGTGTAACATCTAGAAAACGTTTAATTACCGGGACGATCTCCAGACTGCGTCAGATCAAATCCTCCCCACCTTAGCTACGACGAGGCTCTACATACACGAGCTTTCGAGTGAATTGGAAGACTCTGTTCCTCTTCCTTCTTCTATTATCTTTTCAAGTATAATTATTACTAAATTAGGTACTACTTTAAATCTCACGTCCCGTGCTATATCATCGGCTACGTTCCTCTCTTTCCAGTGACACGATCAGAGACTCGTACAGGAGACGGTCATGAGATTTTGTGTTCCGTAGGGCAGCATCGTACACTTCCATTAGGTGGACCGGTCAAACCTACGACACCATGAATAACCCGGATTGGCATCGAGTCACCACTTGTACCATCTATTAGGAGATATCCATGGATGCTCTTATCCTCTTTTTACAGCCTAGAACACACAACTGTTAAGACAGGCTCAGATCACCAAACTTTCGAGGATGCCCACGCCGGAGCCGATGACTCCGGCGACGTATGATCGGACATATGGCGGCAACCGGGCCTTTCACAACTTCTTCAACGATTTCAGTCACATCCAAGATCCCAACCTTAGACGACGACTCGCGCTGTCGGAGATTGATAAAGTCCCCTTTGGCATGTACCATGTAAGGGCTGTGCTGGTTGCTGGTATAGGTTTCTTCCTAGATTCGTACGACATATTCGCCATAAACCTTGTAACAACACTACTCGGCGTCGTATTCTGGCATGGCCCTCCGTCGAACGCGAGAGATGGGTATGGAGGAAATTACGGGCGTTTACCGACCCCTGTCAGTCAAGCTCTAAAGGCATCGACAAGTGCGGGTATTATCATCGGCCAAGTCTTATTTGGATGGATGGCAGACAGGTTCGGGCGAAGGAGAATGTATGGAGTTGAACTAGGTATTATCGTATTCTCGACCATGTCTTGTTGCTTGGTTGCTGCCTCCCAATCTGTAAGCTTCACTGGATTGATGACTTTTTGGAGAGTCATGATGGGGTAGGTTAAGACCACCAGTATATAACAGTACTATACTAAACACATAATTAGGATCGGTATAGGCGGTGACTATCCCCTAAGCGCCGTAATTACGTCGGAGTTTGCCCCTACGAGATGGCGCGGTGCTATGATGGCGGCTGTATTCTCGATGCAAGGAATGGGTCAATTGCTGGCAGCAGTCGTGGCCTTAATCGTCACAGCCTCCTTCAAGGACGCCTTTCATAACGCGCCGGGAGTCGATGAATGCGACTATACATGCCAGATAGCAGCTGACCGTTGTTGGCGTATAATTGTGGGGGTCGGGGCCCTTCCAGCCTGTTTTGCGCTCTATTATCGCATTACTATACCCGAAACGCCCAGATATACATTCGAAGTTGCCAAAGATGTCGAGAAAGCGGCCGCCGATATCAAGGCATACATGGCTAGCGAAGGAGAGGGAGAAGTTGACGAGGTTATGCAAGCGAGGATGAAAAAGGTTGCGGCACCAGCGCTTAACATACCCTCGGCCTCCTGGCACGACCTTTACAGATACTTCAAGCAATGGAAGAACGCCAAAGTCCTAATGGGGACAACGCTATCCTGGTTCTTTTTGGTAGGTATCATTCACCTTTATTCTACGAGGCCGATCTAATATTGATGTAGGACCTTGCCTTCTATGGTTTAGGCTTGAATAACCAAATAGTGTTACGAGCAATTGGTTATGCCGATGGAGACTCACTCTATCACATATTATACAACAGTGCAGTCGGCACGATTATTCTAGTTGTGGCAGGCTCTCTGCCGGGGTATTGGACCGCCATCTTTACCATTGATAGCATCGGCCGTAAACCACTTCAAATTATTGGCTTTGTCATACTCACAATTACATTTTGTGTTTTAGGCTTCCTTTACAATAGCCTCAGCAAGGGTGCCCTCCTGGCTCTCTACGTTATCGCAAACTACTTCTTTAACTTCGGGCCCAACACAACCACCTTCATAGTCCCCGGTGAGTGTTTTCCGACTCGCTACCGCTCCTCCGGTCACGGGCTGTCGGCAGCCATGGGCAAAGTCGGGGCTATCGTCGCGCAAGTTATCTCACTACCACTTCTCACAAAAGACGCGCCGAGTCCGTGTTCCGGCAAGGAATGTACGCCTTGGCTCGACCGACTAATGCAGATATTCGCACTTTTCATGCTCTGCGGCACGCTCTCATCACTTCTCATCCCCGAAACGAAGGGATACACACTCGAAGAACTTGCGGGCGAACCCCCGACGTCGTATAATTCGGGCCGCAACGGAAGCTTCATGGAGACGCCCGCCAAATCGCGATGGTGGAACCCGTTCTCGGGCGGCCGGCCGGCCGGCTTTTTTTATCCTCGAGTAGCGACGAACGGTCGGGTTAGGAGTCGCACAGGTATTATGTCAACGCCCGAATTCATGGCGCAGAACTCCGAGATGGCGAATAGGGGCTGGATGTTCTGGAAACGCGATCGAAATCGTCTAGGAACAGCGACCGCGACCGATTGCGGCGCGAGCTCGAGCTCAACGGCCGGGTTCGCGGGGTCCGGCGACACGGTGGTGGCGAGTGCGGGCGTGCTACCTGGTTGGGGAGCGGGTTGGGGTAGGATAGATAGAGGAGGAAATCCCCTTGCTATGGATAATATACGGCTACAGGACGTGGGGAGTTTACTAAAGTGAATAGTGAGCAGTTTCTCGGTCATGGTTTACGGATTATGCGACTGTATATAGGACACAAGGCAATTTTATCGTTATATCATAGAGCTAAGCATGGGCGTGGCGCTAGGGTTGAATATGGGATGCCCCTATTTATTTATTTTAAATATATATACCCAGATACCTATACATGTAAGCGCTCTATAAGCCTTCAAATATGAGAATCTTCTACGATCATGTGGACGTTATACTTTTCTACGCCACTCGTGCTACGGGTAATGACTTGTCCTTGAGAGGTATTTGACTAAGTCTCAAGTTCTTACCTTAGGAACTTAATGTTGATTGTTTCCTTGACACTAACACTCTGTATCAATAGCCCCTTTCTTAGACATGTGTATTTATTATAGCAAAGATAATTCGACTACGTTCTCCAGTTTCATCCAAATACTTATCAACAGATGTCTAGACGCTTAGTAGCATAGGTAATATATATATGTAGACATTATTTGTCTTACGTTAATCCCTTCTTGGACAGGTTGGAGTTAGCTCCCCTGAAAAGGGGCTTTGCTTCTTATACTACATGGGATAAGTCTGAAATAATGAGAACTTCACAAGTATGAAATCATGTATTTTCTGGCCATCTTACATTGTTCAGTTATTTAGTAGATCAGACACTATATAGGTATCTATCATTGATGCCAGACCAAATGGGGAGTATGCGTAATTAGCATGCTAGATCATAACAATGTTTTTGTATAGGACTTCAATCTATAGCCAAACACCCCTTCCTCGTTGATCCTGATAAAAAGTTTGAATAAAATTAACTTATTATTCTTTGTAGGACAGACCCAGTATGATGTCGTGTATGCGAGAATGTTATAGCACAGATGGCAGGCGCACCCCCTTTAGACTCCGTTATGACATCGTGATTTCAATGTATAGTATGCCGACCTGTCGCGACGCCACCTTCAAAGCCGACGATGGTTACGAACTATCCAATTCTATTCTTTCCTTGGCCCCGCTTGTGAATTAAGCTAAACTAAGAATTCCCAAGGTTCTTTTCCTCAATGTTTTTCCCTCCTACCGTCACCTCTCCTCCCACTTTTTACCTTCTACCTTCTACTTCCCATCTTCCATCTTCCATCTTCCATCTTTTTCCCTCTCAGAACCCTTCGTAACACAGTTACCCTCAAGGACCTCAATATGCCTAGAGGAGCTGGGGCACGAGCAAGACGGAATCGCCGCCGACAGCTCGCGAGACAGCAAGCCGCGGAAGCACAACGCGCGGAAGCACAACGCGCGGCGAATGCGAACATCTCTCAGCGTGAGCCTGAAGCAGAACCGTCTCGAGCACAAGCTCAACAGGCCGCTCCACCTGATCAATCAGACTGGGATGCATATGCTACTGATCCTGATCTCCAAAGCTTCGAGAAGTGTGCTCAAGAGAACCTGCGAGTTCTCTTCACAAATCTATTGACTTTAACAGAGGAACCTCAGCCTCCTCAAATCGGCGGCATATATGCCCGACATGTCACCGTAGGCATGAATGAAATGGCGAGCATCCCTTTCGGCCCTGATGGTGGTGAAGTCTTCATCCGACCATTTGGTTATCCAGGCCCTCTTCATCCCCACTTCGTGAGACTCATCGTAAGTAGCTTATCTCGTCATGCATTTCTTTTATATTTACCCGAATATAATGATTCCGCGTCTGCTCGGTGGCTGTGTACGCAAAGTCTCAGATTCTTGAAGAAGTTCAGATCAGTGCAGACGTTATAAACTAACGATATGTTATTGTAGGAGGAATTGCGATCTACCATTGGCGTAGCCGATCCTGGCCAGAGAAAATTGAAGCAGGCCCTCAAAGGCTGCCCCGAAGTGGAGTTTCTCGGAATGTGCGAGAATACACTCGCCCAGACAGCCCATAGCATCTACGAGGCCACTCTTGAAGTAGTTCTCAAGTGGTTTCGTAAGAATCTTCCTGGCATGAAGCTCCCACACGAGTGCGAAATCGAGGAAGCCTGTGCACTATTAATTTCAGACGGAGCCTTGGAAATGGGAATCACCGACGAGTCGCTATTCGGATTGTACGCTAATTTCCTCGAGGCATACGCTATGCACAGTATTAAGCCGAAAACCCGAGACATCACGTTGATCGCCGACGCCTGTGTCGTCCTCTGCCGAGTGCTCAATGATGAGAAGATGGCGTATCTCATTGACAAGATCAAGAACGTCGCACAATGGCTCCATTTCAGCCTCGGGTGCAAGTTCTTGAAGGTGCAGGGAGAAGCAGCTCATAAGATTGCAATTGGTACTAGAGATCCGATTGGAGTCATCGAACGCGCATTCGCTGAATACAACATGCATCGAGCATACCACTCAATGAGAATGACTCAGCAAACCAAGGCATTCGTTGAGTATACTCAGCAGGCCGAACTGGCAGACCCATATGAGCTGTTGTATCCGGGAGAATCGGACGATTCGGACAACCCAGAGTACTAGGAGTATTCTGAGGACTCAGAACAGTCAGAAGACTCGGACGGCTCAGAAGATTCGGATGGCTCAGAAGATTCGGATGAGGATATGGAGGATGAACCTAAGGGGGCCGAAGTCATCGTGATATCCGACTCGGAGTAGACTCGACGCAACGGGCTCGCTAGCACAGAATCATACCATATGACCTGATGGTTGATCGTGCTGCTAGAGCAATTTGCTAATCATAATGGCATCCCTAAAGGATTTCTAACAACGTCGATGTGGTCCGAACAGAAGAAGGTATGCATGCGATGAGCCCCGAAAATAGGTGCCTCGACTAATTGGGACTAACATTGTGTTCTTTAGGGCCCACCAATGATTCACATAGCTTTTCGATTTGCACCATCCCCGTGGCGGAAACGTATGTTGACGGGAGACATGAATGGAGAGTTACACTAGGCAACTGACCTAGCAGGGGGGATGCGAGTTTTCTCGGCAATGGACATGGGGGACGGTCTGACGATACGAAATTCGCGAATGGTTTTCATGGGCGCGCAGGATCAGGCTTCATGTACTCTATCCCTTTCCTATTCCCTCTTTCTCTTCTTCTACCCCCTTTTTACTCGCTCTTATCCACAAACGCCCTTCTAGGGCCTAGGATGGGACGCGTTTACGTAAATAGTACACGCAGACGTACAGTCTGCGATGGAAGATGGCAGTTATTTGACTTCCCTTAAACTGAGCCTCATTAAATAAACGTGAACTACATACCTAGGTAGATAGGCACGCACACACGCGCATCATTCTTCCAATTGCGCAGCCTTCTCGTCCAAGCTCCGCATCATAGCCGTCTCTTCATCTTCCATCTCACCGCCCTCAACCACACCACCACCACTCCCATTCCCGATCCTTAAACCCCTCTTCCTCATCTCCCCCTCAACAAAAGCACGCGTCACCATCCCCTGCCCCAACTCCTCGTAATCCTCCCTCTGCCTACGCACCCAGCCCTCAAGGCTGCGCATACCAACGACTAGAAACCCGAGCTCCTCGCGGTCGACGTCGAAGACCTCCCACCAGGCGCACTCGGGAATCTTCGCCCCTACGTCGCGGGCCGCCGCGTACACGGCCGCGACCGCCAGCGCGTTCGGCTGGTGCGTCAGGTACAGCAGCTGCGGGCTCAGCAAAGCCGTGTTCAGGTACGCGACGCTGCGCGCCGCGATCCGCGTCTTGGGCGCCGCAGAGAGGAAGTCTAGAGCTTGTAGGTACGTCACCGCGAGCGGGTGCGGCAGCGCCACGTGCGTGTCGAAGGACAGCGAGTACAGGATGCGCGCCTCGAGACTGAGGATGCGCGACCGGAAGGCGGCGTACGCGCTTTCGGAGAGGTAATACGACGACGGGTCCTTGTCCGTATCTTTCGCATTATTAGGTGTGCTGTTGTTGTTCTGGTTGCTGCTGCTGTTATTTTGCCCCCGGAATAGCGGAGAGGCGGCCGAGAGCAGGTACGCGTATACGTTGCAGACGTCGCGGGGCGGGCATGGGTGCGCGCTGAGTTTGGCGACGAGGAATAGGGCCGCGGCCGAGACGTCGCTGAACTCGTGGGAGAGGGGCGAGGCGATGAGCCAGTACCGCGCGAGGATGACGCCGGCCTGCGCCGCGACGGACTGCGGGATGCGGAGGAGCACGCCGGCGGCTTGCGTCAGGACTTGCGTCGCGAAGAAGATGATATCTTGTAGGTCGGAGGGCAGCGCGCTGAAGGACGTCCGCTGATACAGCTGGTCGGGCGTCGCGAGGGGGTTCGTCATGTGCGCCATGGTGTGCAATTAGGCTTCGGGGGAGGGATATGAACCTCCTTTGGTTGAGATACCTAGGATTATTTACTTCAGGGACGTCATACGAGGCTACGAAAATTCGACTTGAGGCTGAGCTTGCCGGGAGCCGATAAGATTTACAAGGATGCCTTATCTTAGACCCATCTAATTAGTAAGGCTAGCAAGGAACAGGAGTCCGGGGCCCCGGGTTGGACAGGGGGCATAGCTAACGCCACAACCGCTTGAGCCCCAAGTCTTAAGCCCCAAGCCCCAAATCCAATTCTGACGATCTCAACTTCATCAAACATATTAACCCCCACACCTCTTCTACGAATTCTCTTCCTTTTTCGTTCCGCCTTCTTCGTTGTCGCTTCACTTTATTATCGTCATGCAAATCTCAGGGATCCGAGTGGCTTCATGCAATCAGTCGCATCCGCGGCGTTATCCATCCTAGCTACTTTGCCACCTGGTACCCTGGTCGGTTGTTGCAACAGTCTTGCCCTACCTACATGAGAGGCTACATTTCTTAGCATGTTCCTTGATCGTCGCAGAAGTCACGGTACAAAGCTATCGTGAAGGTTGACGACTAGGGATCTTACGCCCTTGTAGATCTTGGCAACGCTCGCCAATCTGTGGATACACTTTATGCTTTCCGTTATAAGCATAGAATTTACCAATCAAACGAAGCCATATCTACAGCCGGCACTCGCTATCAGGGGGAAGTGCGTATCAATATGCAAAACACTTGGGTAACCTCTTCTGGGCCATTAAAACCAGTTTCGGCACCAGCCTGAGCGTGTTGTGCATATTCGGTCCTTGTCGAATTCACAACCGGGGCGAGAATGGCCATGGAACAAATATGGGATAATTTCGAGGCCGGATGACAATCGCCATACACCGTACGAGGCGTGTCATCTCTCCCTTTAGCGTGGGGGTCATCACCCCTGCTGTACATAAGACTCGTATGTGTAACGACGAGGTGGATCTCCGGCTCCCCGAGTCGACAAGAATTTCCCGGTCCGCCGGCTTCTATGCCGAAAGGGACTTACAGCCTACTCTATAATCCTTTAGAAGAGGACAGAATAGAAGTTCGATCGTGGACTCCGATTACGGTTCAAGTCTCCGAACACGTCATTGGAAAAGGCTACTTATATCCCGCCATCATATAGATTGCCAAGACAGATCCGTGTGATATAGGACATATGTTGCGAGATCCGCTGCCGAAGTCGGGAGGCTGGCACTCCCCCCTAACTCTGACTGAATTTGCCGGTAAGGTGTTGGCTCGCGTACCCCCAACTGCCCACTTCCACTTCATATTCCCAAATTTATTATACCCCTGCTAGGTAGGTAATTAACGTGCCTTATTACGTTCATAGCTAGTAATTTGATGTTACCCTTTTAATATTCCCTTAAGCTGGACTTTATGACAGGCTGTCCGCGCCGCTGTACCGACTGAGATCTGTAATCTCATCTCGCTAATCGTGACTTTTCAGCTCGTATCCATTTTCTGGCCAACAAATCTATATCCACCTAGGTAACTTTGTTCTGCGACCCGTCCTATCGCGTTCATTTCCTATTTATGTACCTTCGACCCGGACCCTATACGGATATACTTGCTTCTCTTCGATAAGGCCTCCGAACGGCATTAGTTTTACCGGTTTCAAATTTCTGGTCCAGATTATGCTGACGTACTTCTATAGATAGGATGACGCTGTATGGGAAAGGGCTGGGGCATATTACAAATGTTGAGATAGATGTCATGGATGTCAATTTCACGGATCGTGCTTACAGCACACCACGGCAGTTTAGTTTTCCCCTCGCTGACTCTACCAAGAAGCTCGTCTACGAACTAAATTAGCTCTTTCACTTTCTGGAATTTCTCTCTGTTATAGTAAAGACGCAGACATACTTTACGATTACAGGGGAAAGGCCCACTAGGCGAGGACCATAAGCATGATTCAGCTACAGATATTATCATACCCTACTGTCTTACTCTAGAGAGCAACGTATGACAAGTTAAGGAATTTGGCTGTATAAGAATTATTAACCTTAGCAGCACAAAACGGGGTATACCCCAGCAAAAAGTGCATTACGCCTTCATAAAGCGATTACTGCATAGTTGGGGTGAGACTTAGAGAAATTGAAGTCATATTTGAAGGGCTTTGTTTGATTGTATGGAATATCATAAAAGGCTTCACAAAACTTAAGTATCAGAGGTCATTTCACAATAAACTTGTTGACCCCATAGACAAAGACGCCCAAGACAAAGCATTGGACCAAGAAATCAATAGATGCGATTACTTTCTACATTGTTCTCTGTTTGTGAACAACAATTCCATTATCCTACTAGCAGCCTCTTATTTAACAATCTAGAAATCCAAGGAAATAGGAGTTTTAGGGGGTGCTCAAACCTCAGACGACAACATTTCACTCTAATCTCATATTGCAACTCTAGAGTGAAATAGCCCGTCTCTTAATAATCAGACTTACGTAAAAATACCTAAATATGTGTAGAGGAAATCAAACAAAGATGGCCTGCGGCCACGTCTTAACTCACTACACGCAGCGCTGCAAGAAAGGTCAACAGAAGCCATGCCCAAATCCAAAATCCGACGCCCCCCGCCAGCATCTCAACGATTCGTGTGTCGAGTGTGATTCGGATTTCAAGAAAAATCAGCTCAGCCGCGAGCATAAAAGCCGTCATGAAGAGCTCGTCGCGCAGCTGATAGCGGACAAACGTGTCAACGAATCGAAGGAGGCCCGGAGGCTGCTCGAGTGCATGCAAAAGATGAGCAATACTGTGAATCGAGAGATCGGCGAAGTGAAGACCACGGGCTTTTCTGCGGACGTTGAGTTCCCGGGCGGCGGTAACCACAGGATGTCGCCGAAAATTACGAGCAAGTGGATAAACGGTAAGTGTGTGTGGGGAGAAGAAGAGTGGAACAGGTCGGGGAGTAGTCGAATCAAGAAGATAGCTCCCGCCACGTCTACTACGGCGGCTATCGTCGAAACCCCGACCGAAAACCCGATCTCGGGCCCGCCGCGGCTGCGTACAACTAAAAAGGAGTATTTTAACCGGCTTCCAGAAGAAGAAAAGGAACAGCCCAAGATCTCTGGACCCCCTCGACTTCGCACCAACAAACCGTATTCCGGTCCGCGGGAGAATGTAGTGGTATTCGATGAGCAAGTAGAAAAGCCCCATCTCCGACGGACTAGCAAAGTTGCTAACGGACTAAATCTCGGCCAATTTTCAGATCAAAGATCTGATGTTACCGTGAAGTACGCAGGAGAAGAGCAGAACAGTCGGCCTTCGACCTCGAATAGCCAATCTTCGGGATTACGTGCTGTTCCGACTAGATCAAATGTACGCGTCCCGTTGGATGACGACGGCGACTCAGATGAAGACATGTGGTTACAATTAGCCGAGAAACGCAAACCTGTCAATGTCATAGGTAAGGGGCCCCTTCGTAGTTTTAAAGACCGGATATCGTCGGCGTAGTTGATAGAATAGCAGAATACATAAATGAATTTTGTGCTTCTCATGATCATGCAAATTCCCTCTTCGATTTCGATGTAATATGTTCCGATCTTCGTAATTGTATCGTTATTATTCCTCGGGACTGAAGCCGTCCGGAAAATTTACCTGGCCTAGACGGTCTGCAACGTCTGACGGCTTCACAACTATCTCGTCTTTGGAATCAGAATTACTCTGACCACCAGTTTCCTGTATTGCTTTCTTGGTCCTTGTGTACTCCTTGACGCGTGAGGTAGCAAGCCTCCCTGCTCTTCGTCTATCAGTAGGACAACGTAAGAGCGGGACCTGGATGATAGCTGCAAAGACATCGAAGACTTTTCCTACCGGCACGTTATGTCTCTTAGCGACTTCCTCAAAGGGGAACTTCTCCTGGCAAGTCTCTGCAACATCCACAATCAGGTTCGGTGAAGGCTTGCGATACGTAGGTTGAATTAGGGATACTGGTGGCTTCACTGGGTTCGATGCCGTAGGAGATTCGTCAATCCCTGCTGCTGCTACTGCCGGTGCTGATTCTGGTGCTGATGGAGGCGGCGGCGAAGGTGGTGAAGGTTGGATTTTATCAACCGACTTTTCGGGGTTTGGCGGAGGGTTCATCTCCTGGTTCTGGGTTACCTGCATTGGACTGGTCATATGAGATGGAAGAGCAGCCAGATTGCTTCCGGGGATCGGCATCATGACTTGTGGGAAACCCGGACTAAAAGCATGCATATTACCCGGTCCCATGGTCATCATTTGCGGATGAAAATGTTGACTATATGGAGGATGACATGCCATCTGTGGAATCATGTGATGTGGCATATTGTGGTGTAGCATAGAAAACCCCTGAGCCTGGGCAATGTTCGTATGCTGTCGCATTCTGACGCAGACTTGACACGGATGCTTCATCGGGTCGGTTTGATGGGTATTTTGAATAGTAGTCTTTGACGAAAGAGCTTTGGGATCGTTTGGTACCTCTGTTCTTGGTATAGGGGGTGGTGGCATAGCTGAAATTCTCGAATCGGGTTCTTTAGGGAATATAACTTGGGGCGGAGAAAAAGAGCTCATGTGATTGGCTGGCGTATTAAGAACGTGAAGCTCATCAGTTGTCGAGTTTGGAGTCATAGGGATTGGAGTAGGGGTTCTTGGCTCAACTGAGCCATCGCTAGTCGACATGTATGCTCCAGATGCTGTATCAAATTTGGGGTCTCTAGAACCATTTTTGTTGACATTACTATCGAGCCTCGCCGATACTACTGTTTGTGGTAGCTGCTTAGGTGAGAGTTCTGGCGGGCTCGGAGGTCTTGGCTTGCGGAAAGGTTGGTCGAGAACGAACTTCTCCAACACAGGAAGTGACACTCCTCTCAGGGCAGAAGTGAGTTCCATGACATTGATATCCGAAGGGAGCCCAACCATGCCTGTACTAATTCGTCTATCCGAGTCTCTAAGTTCAGTAGGTGGGATAGCAACAGATATTGTAGGAGCAATAGGTATCACAGGCATATTATGTTTCTGGGCCACGTGCTCAGCCATCTTTTGCCTTTTAACAGGCTGGGATGATATAAACTGAATATCGTCATCGTCGTCTGGTCGCTTTGAAGGTGTGACTGAGTTGGGAGCGGTAGAAAGTGAAGGACATCCGCCAACATGTCCCTTATTGTTAGGCAACTGCGTCATCTGGACCTGAGGTCGTAAGCTCGTAGACATCGTGAGCAGTCCGATCTAATCGTAAGTCTAGAACTGGCTGGTACGACTAGAACGAGTAACCTGCCATGACAGTTTGAAGAGCCTGGTCCGATGGGAAAATGACGAGATAGGTCACTTGAATATTTGTAAGTAGAAGAAGTTTCAATATGAAAACCACAAATGGGAGAAACTAAGACACGAAAAAGAGAGCTTGCACTATGCAGAATCTCATTTTGTCTCTTTCAGGGGTAGATGGTGGAAGAGCAATCAGAGAGTACAAATGTAGTTTGCACTCAAGCATGGAAAAGCATAATTAAATTGAACAAGGAAAGGTTAAGTTCGCTTGAACATGCCTTCACATGTGCTGTTAAGGAAAAAAGCCTCATGGCAATTCTCGAAAAGCCCCAAGATTAGTTTGAGATGGACAGCCTAGTGCTGAAATCGCCGATAATTATATGATAATGGTAAGAAGCTGAGATAATTGAATAGTGATTAGGTATGTTTTTACATAGCAGGATAAAAGGCATATCAGTGAGTTAACCTACTAGTTAACTTCGTCGGGTAGGGATTACCACTGGGTACCGAATATTTCAGGAAATTGAAGATGTAAATTGAAGGTGTCGTGATGGGAGACACACTGGACCCGCTCAAAGAAGTGTCATGAAAGACGGGCCCCGTACTAGGAAAAGCTTATCGATATGACGCCGGGTGCCACAAGACCCACACGGGCCACCGCGGGGCATTAAGGAAGGTGATACCTACAGCATGGTATTCTGTACTAGTAGTAGTAGCTTAGTACTGCTGCAGCCTTGCAATATCTCTCCCACAAACAACTCCTCTCACGCTCTCTTTTCTTCTTGTCCCTCACATTTTGTCCTCTACCAACGTTCACAAAATGAGTTCAGCGGATTCAAACCCGCTGCTCTCCTCACAGAAGTCTTCGGACTCTGGATTACAGGCCGTTCTCCATCCTCTTGTTCTTCTCACAATCTCCGATTACATCACACGACACACCTTGAGAGCGCAGGAAGGTCCTATAGCTGGTGCTTTGCTGGGGCAGCAGAATGGTCGAGAAATTACCATCGAGCATGCATTTGAGTGTGCAACTGAAGAGGATCATGGCAAAATCATATTGACACCTGATTGGTTTACGACGCGATTGGATCAGAGTGAGTTATTCCCTGCCTTGGTGAAAGCGCATATTCCTCTGTTTGTCCCTGGAATATAGCTTCTGACAGTGAGTGGAATTGTAGTGAAACAAATACACAAGTCTCCTCAACTCGATCTTGTCGGCTGGTATACAGTATTGCCCAAGAGTGGTCCAACTCCATCTATACTACCTATTCACCAATGGATCCTTTCGGAGCACAACGAATCATCCCTCCTGCTTGCATTCCACCCCGAAGAAGCCGTTAAGCACTCAGCTGGCAGCAAGCTGCCCTTGACCATATACGAGTCTAACTACGAAGCGGATGAACCGAAAGCAGACCAGGGTGAGGACAAGGAGATGCGAGATGGTGATCCACCTCTGAAGCTAAAGTTCAGAGAATTACCCTATTCTGTTGAGACTGGAGAGGCGGAGATGATCAGTATGGATTTTGTAGCCCGCGGTGCCGGAAATGCAACGGTGGTCGAGAAGAAGACAAGTTCTAAGCCAACAGCCGAGGCGGATCCGAAGGGCAAGCAGCCTCTGAAGGCTGGCGCAGCCGGAAACACGGACCAGGGAAAATCCGTTGATTTCGTACTGGAGAAAGAGGATGAGGAGATGATAGCAGCGCTCAACGCCAAGGCAAATGCCATCAAGATGCTACAGTCCCGAGTTAATCTTCTGATAACATACCTTGAACGACTTCCTCCCTCATATCTTTCCCCCAACAACGCGACAAACCTTTCTGAAGCACAATACACGGTCCCCTCGCACACGATTCTCCGATCTATCCAGGCACTCGTTAGCCGAATGTCGCTTCTAGTACCATCCGACAAGCAGGCTTACGAGCAAGAGATGCTTAGCGAGGCAAACGACGTACACCTGATGGAGCTATTGGACAATGTGATGGAGAGCATTACCGAAGCTCGAGATGCCGGTAAGAAGTACGGCATCGTAGAGAGTGCTAAGTCCCACACTAAGAAGATGCTGGAAAACTCGGCACTAAGCTCTAGCTTCAACTTCTCTGGCCCTGGAGACCTTGCCATCTAGAAGGTGCAAACAAGAAAGGGCGGAGGGGCGTAAATTCGAGACATGGGATACTTCGCAGCATAAATTCCCTGCATTTGCAAGGCGATAGAGGCGTTTTAGAGGCTAGGTCAAGCCAATTTGTTGCGGGTTGCGTTGGACGCCAGCCACCCAAAACCAAGTTACGACAGGGGTATGATTGATATCAACAGGAGTGCGTGCAAATGCCAAGGCTCGTACTATTTACGACGAACTGAAAAGTTACGAGTTATATGATAATGGACTAATTCATAAAACGTCGCGGTCTATTAGGGCTACCAGGTAGATACAGAGGTACGCTACGTGACATTATTTGTTTTCACCACAATGGATAGGTATGAACTTCTAATTTGAGGAAGTATAGGTAGATAAGGTAACTACCTAACTAATAATAGCCGCTATCGTCGGGACATAAACGACATGGATAGTACGTATCTGCATCCAATGCGAATGCCGTCAGTGTTCAGTTTCGTGCCACACCAGCCGGCCTTAAGGGCTCCGGTCTACCCAATCTCATGCATTGCCGTGATGGGAATGTAATATGTAACATAATGGAAGCACAAGAGAAACGACCAAGGAAAATTATCTGGGACCAGCCAGCGAACCGATGTCAGGTTTGCGCCTCGGTTCTAATTTGCAGTAATACTTTTCATTACCGGGCATCCGAGCCGCTCATAAAAAAGCTATGCTTCCCCGAATCATCAGTGCAATGCCACCCGCGTCTTTATGCTTTCCATTTCTTCGTCAATATTCTATACCGCTGCTAAGAATCTGTAAAAGGAAGTGGTCATGAGAAGGGTATTCGAGATCCTAACACTAGCCTGTATATCGCAAGCTATGGAATAGGCGAACACTAGACCTCGATGACGACTTTCAATACAAGATTACCGTCATCATCCATAGTTTTGCCAGCAAGGTCGAACGCCTTTTTCGCAGCACCAAGGCCTTTGAACTTATGGGTTACCATGTCGTCCAGGTTTGGAAAAGCGAAGCCTACCCCGCCGTGTCCTTGAGTAGAGAGTAATCTCACGCCAGTCCCGTAAGTGTTTGCGTATCGGAAAATTCCTAGGATATCCACTTCTCTGAGGTGTGCGGCAGACATCGGGAGAGTCTGTATCGGAGTACCCATGCCAACCATGATGACCTTACCACCGGGTCGAGTAGCGTACAAACTCGTATGCATACATGCCTCCTTGCCAGTGCACTCAAACGTTACGTCGACTCCCTCGTCTTCGTCCTCATCCCGCAAATTAGGCGGAACTTTTGTTAAGGAGAGGATTTCCGACGCCAGACTTTTAGCACATCCAAGTTGGTCATGAATGGTGCTGGGAAATAAGCTTGCGGGCGTCATAGTGCCAGGTTCCAATGGAGTAGAACTTCCAGAATTCGTGAAGATGGATGAGCCACTAGATGACGTATGTAGTGGTTGAGGGACAACAAAGCCGTGGGTGGCGAAGCCCTTTTCCACGGCATAGTTAACACGCCCAGCGTCTATATCAGTGATAGTGACAGATGTGCAACCAGACTGTCGCGCCATGGCGGCAGTCAGAAGACCTACTGTTCCAGCACCGATAACTAGAGCCGTAGAGCCCGGCGCGGGACTGGCACGATTTACAGCATGAATCGCAACAGAGAGCGGCTCAAGAAGAGCGGCAGCCTCAAAGGAGACATGCTCGGGAAGCCTGAGATATATAAATGTTAATGATGGATATATGAAGGTAATAATTGGGCATAGATCATACTTATGGCACCAATTGGCCGGATGATTTATCCTCTCCTGGAGAGTCCCCTGGTAGTGGGGGACACTTTTGGCACTACTCCTGAATCGCATCCTCTTGCACAGGTTATACCTGCCTTGTCTGCAGATACCACATTGGCCACATGGGACACCAACCTCTAAGGCGACACGGTCACCAACTCTAAATCCATTGACTTGGGGCCCGATAGCCACCACCATGCCGGACGATTCGTGTCCTAGGGAGAGTGGAGCACAAGCGCACAAATCTCCATTGGCGAACTTCTTGTAGTAGGAGACATCTGAGCCACAGATGCCCGTGGACTTGACAGCAATTTGTAGCTCACCAGGGCCTGGCTCCTCGATATTTCTCACTTCCTATTGAGTTAAGGTTAGTTACCCATATGAAAGCGGCAGAATATGGAGACTCTGCATCTAATGCAACGTTTTGATCGTGACAGCAGGTAGGGCTCACCAATCGAAGATCTCGAGGCCCATGCAAAACGGAAGCATTGACCTTGTTCGAATGTTTCGAGTAAACGGGTAACTGCATTGGTGCGATATCAGCCATTGCGGAGGGCGCCATTGTCAAGTGATGACGTCTAGTAGCGCGGGATGAGGTGGGATATAGACTGAAAACTGAAGCTAATAAGTGTCTTAAAGGCTTTAGATTATGGGGTTTATATTGGAGCGCGGAGGATAGTAGCAAGATTTGGGGGTAATTGGCAAGGGAGCTTGAGCTGGAAAGGGTAGGTCGTTTGATAACTCGCGGGATAATATGAGATTATGAAGGGGATAGATCAAGCCAAACTAACGTGCCTTGATTCTCCTGACAAAACGAATACCCATATACAGGAGGTGAGAATCCGTGATAGAGATATGGATGTAAGAGAATACGGTACCTAGAATTCGCGAGGACCCCCACTCCCTTATGTATCCGAACATGAGGAAATGCCTAGCAAGTTACATGTGTAAATCGATGTTGATTATTGCCAGGCAAATCATGAGATCGGAGCAGATACAAGGGTTCGTAGACTTGTGAAGTATTGTGTGAAATTTTCCAGGTCCAGTCAAAGATCAACAAGTTATCTTGAGAAGCATAGATGGCACTTTCGGGAAATCATATGCAAGAAGCTAGCGTTGATGTGACCACATCAAGTCCGGTAACGAGGCGCGCCGCCAGGGGTCTCAGATTAGGTGTGTAGTGGTAGATGTCCTTTCTTGCATGCCTCGTACCTATACATCCTATACCAACGGTACTTGTAGACAAGGCTGGCGAGCCGAGACGTGGTATCACATACGTAGGTACGTATAGAACAGCACTATACGGATTTAAGGTTAGATTTTGACCTACCTTCAACGAAATGTGCTTATTATTGTTTCGCGACCTAGAGATGACAGCAATTGGACAAATCCCGCTAGCATGATGATAAAATGACGGCTTCATCGGAAGCTAGACATGCTATAGATTGTCTCATCCTAAACGATGGGTGGCATATATGATAATATCACCGAGTACCGGCTCGATTTAGGAGCTCTCGATGCGGTGAATTCGGAAGCGTCTCCCAAGCGCGGCATTAGGTTATATCGAAGCAGTAAGAGCTTCGGGTTCGAGACTGAATAATCCTTAGGCAGGACCCTCTTTGGGAGGTTAGTGGAATCGATCGTGGTAGCTCCACTAATGCTGCACCAAGAGGCTAGACTGTGGGCTGGTTCTGACGCGACTGGCCAAAAGAGGCGGGAGATATTTCGCCGTCGTTTTGATATTAAAATTCGGGAGGAGGCAATACAGTAGATTGCTTAGAAGGTTGAGGAAGACCTTGAAATGCTGTGTGATATCAAGCTGGACGAGTACAAGGGTCATGAGTTCCCAAACACGCGGGACTGCTCCTCTGGCCATGTATGCAACTCGCCAGAATTGGGTGTTCTTTGCAGCGTGTCGGAAATGTGAGAGGTCGTGAGGTTTCCAGGAATGAAAATGGAATTTAAGAGCGGAGCCCTGGATTTCCTGATTTAGATCTCGTCGAAGCACTGAGTATCTGGGCTAGCTAAATGCACTTAACACTCATGTATTTCATATCTTACTCGCATATTATGTAGTACATAAACGCCGCCCGCATATACATGAACTACCAGTACCTACCTCCACATAGATACATACCACAGCAAAAAGCCCCCGGAGCTGGGAAGGAACGTCGTCCCAAGAACCTTTTACTAAATTTGCTCATTGGAACGCCAAAGTTATGTAGGTAGAAAGTTGGTACTACCCAGATACCTAGGTACCTCCGTTCTCAACTGGTGTCTCATTGCAACCTTGGAACCAGAACCACAAACTCTCCTCACTTCAAGAACATCATTGGTAAGACTTCACATTATCCATTCAACTCTAAGATTCGCCTCTAGGAGCCTAGACATAAGCATCCTGATCAGGATCATTGTCAACTATTAGCCTAGAAGGACATTGTCATTCTGTGGGCTCGTCTGTGCGACGTTTCTCCAAGGATTCATTTTGCCGTGAGCCCCGGCTCCGTGGCGAGACTTCTTGCACATGGCGACCAGGACGGCAGCAAACGAAAGTTATGAGATCCATTCCAATCACTAGTAGTCTAATACTACACAACGTACGGTTAGTGTTGCCAACAAGTACAGGGCCAAGCCTTGAACTAGATGCTGGATTGAGGTCGTTCGCAAGATGGATATACCTATCAAAAACGACATGACTGCGCAATCAGGACTTGGCTTCGAAGCACACCCCGAAAGTTGACCAATGCCCATGTTCTACCTATCGGAATTTGTAGCACCATTGCCGTGTGCCTGAGTGTCGTCAACTTGTCTCCTGCCCGCCGGCACGGCATCAATAGATTGCGCTTATAGGTGCGGTCGTACGACAGGCTCCACGACAATCATCTTTCACATGTCTCATCCGATTTCCTGCAAGACTAAAACACACCCAAAGATATTTTTATTTTCGGCACTCTTCCTACAGCTAGAGGCCGTTGATTTCCTTTTGCATCTATTGGGAATTAGTCAACTTTTGGACGCTCCTATCACAACCTATTCGAAAGAAATTCATTCGGAGCCGTGGCCGGTCTTCCTGTATTCCAGCAATGATCAGCTGCCTAGTGTTAGGCGATGCCGTATTAGATCTGCATATCGGTTGACGGAATTCTGCCCGCGCCTCAAAACATAGCCAATCGAGTTTCGTCAACGATTACCACGGAAGCCGGATTCTTTGTTCCTCTACTTCATACAGCAGTATGCAGTTACAAGTACATTATCACTTAATCTGCTAATCTTGTACATATGAGTGATGAAATGGACCCCTTGCCCCAATTGAACGTTTTGAGGGGTTCCGTCCCGCTGGACAGAATTGGAGAAATTGGGGATTATACCGATCACACCTTGACTCTTTTCTCATAGATTATGCTGCGGGCTACTAGGTAAGTAGGTATATCCTGAGATTAGTCTAGGCCTGGAACCACATCGTCCTTTACCCTGTTTTCTGAAGAAGCTAAACATCTTATAAACTGTCTTATTGCTTCGTAGATGGATCCTTGAAAACGACTATGAGGCTTTGCGTATGCAACAGAACGGGGCTCTCGGGAGCATTTTCGGCGATTGACTCGACGAAGTTTCTCGACGTCTAAGCATGTCATCTCAATACACCATTCTCTGAAGGCAGTGACGTTGTGGAACGATGGCGTGTAACGTCTCTGGACCGATCTCGCAGAGATTATGATAGGTCATCACGCAGTCAACACTTGGGCTTAGATTAGCCCTTCAAAAATGAATTCGGCCATCTCGGTACTGCTGACCAGAATAGACTGAGAACGTTCTTACTCCGGGGATTTTCTAGCTGAATGCTAACAAACGACCTAGTTTGAGACGATATAAACCCAGGTTCTCGCCTAGAAATACGTAGCTACCATAGATAGGTTACTACGTAGTAGGTATCCTGGATATCTATACAGTAGGTAGTATTCAACTCCCAAGGCCGGGTTAACACCGCCTAACTCTCCGGCCTTGGCCTCATCGATTACCTGAATACGATGATATCAAACTACCGAGATCAAAGTTCATCGCAGGTAACCTAGTGTTGGCGGATCATCAAGAGCCACGGAGAAGTTTGTTATCCTCTAATGGTAATCCTGACACATGCGGAGTTATTTTTAACTTACCTGCAAATATCTTGTTTGTTTCACACCATATGCATATTGTACTATATGAGTTGTGCAGATGGCCGTAGTGGCGCTTGTTTAGCTGCGATTATATTCAACTTGGACGGCGGTTGATAGAGAATATCGTCGAAACTCATAGGTAAAGCAGGATAGGTACCAACACTACCAAGTACAGTAGTCATGCATGTAGGTGTATGCGCGCCAACTACCCGAGAGCACGCTGCATACATTGCATACTACCCAGCTAGGTAGATACCTATGTAAATACCCTTGCCTACGAAGCATCTATACACTTCGTTAGATATTAGTATACCCAGACATATGTGCTACACTTTCACCATCGCCACCGAGTATGGCGTCCATCCAGTCATATTTCTCTAAATCTAGGATTGCCGTTGCTGTTGCTGTATATTCATTTCTCTGTCGAGTCTCCCCCAAATTAACCCCACGATCGACACACTAGGACCACAGTGTACCCCAGAGATCACGATCTATTCACCTTTATTATATCTCTTGGCGCCAATCGCCTGCAGCACCGTTCACTTTCGGCTCGAAGAGGGGCGAAACCAGCTATGTCCAAGGATATACCCATTGTCCTTGTCCATGAAGTCTCATGCACCTTGCCGGATTTTCTAGGACCTAGGGGATAACTTGCATGGCATATGTGTACCTAGGTAATTATGTCTAGCCTATATAGATGGGGCTGCTACATGGCAATCGAAGCAATAGACGACGATCCGGGGCCTTTAGACGTAGTAAGGCTACGACAATATGCATATATTATGTCCCCCGGGCAGCGACATAGTGACGCCATACGCATATCTCATGTTGGGAGATGGATGAAACGAAACGGACGGTCGTGCCGGTACATACATAGTTCGACTCGCTCCACTAGGCCTGCGTATGGGATTGATCGATGATGAAGAGATGGATGGAACGACTTGCCATCCTTAGCAGTCCTCGTATGGCAGTTGTCACCTACTTTGATACTGAACTGCGAGATAGGCACTATATAGGAAACGTCGGCGTCAAAAGCTGACGAGACATGACGGAATATGCATGGACGCCGGCCGCAGGAAATAGGCTCCTGCGCGCCGTATCTTGCATGCTACCTAGGTACATACCAAGTGCGGCTGGGCACCGCAGCTACCGTCGTACCAATGCGGCATGTAGCCGAGAAATCACAAAACCTCGCAGGACTCGGGATCCCTTGTTGCACGATTTGATCTGGAATTATTCGGGAGTCACAGATGAGGAGCACTTCGAAAGAGTGATGAAAAAGCAAGCGGAAGGCAAAGCTACCTATGCTTCAATTCGCGCCGGAAAAAAAGAACAGCTGGGGTCAAGGTGGTGGAAGAAGAGACCCCACATACATACAATACTAGGTATAGGACAAAACTTCCCCGTTATGATAGGGATTCAGGCTCCTTTTTTTCGACCCATTCCCTAAAAAGGTTGGTCCGCTGAACATTTTAAAATGTGCTCGTTGCCAATCGACTCGCAGCGTTCCTGGCATCCACACGGTCTTCGTCATCCTCCTCCGTCAGACCGGGCAATCCCGTACTGATCCCGCTGCCGCTGAGCGACCTGGATCCTGGGCGTTGCCCGTTCTCGCCATCGTCATCCTCGGCGACATTGGACATGAAGCTCCCCGACATGCTCCTATCCGTGCGGCGGGGGACACCGCTCCACGCATCGCCTTTTGGACCTTGGCTGGCTGCAAGGCTTGATCGCCTTACTGTTGGGTGTGCTTCTCGTCCCAGTCTACTTAGACCGCCTGAAGCATCGATAGCTCTGATATCGGGCCGAACGCTCTCTAGGAGTGCGAGGGTACGTCTCTCGGCCTCGATCTCGCGAGTTACGAACTCTCGAATGCTAAGGCGTAAGTCGGAGGCAGTTCTCGCAAACCACTTGCGGCGTTCTTGCACCAGATTCTGCGTCACCCTCGAGGTTTTGTGCGCCAATTCCATCTCGGAATTTCTTGCTTCGTCTAGAGCGGCTATCGCCTCGTCAACCTTTTCGCGCCGCACAGTTGAGTTAGCTCTCAACCTGTCGGCCGCGTTGAGCTTGCTCCGCGTACTCTCCTGGGCTTGCAAGAACTCGCGGATCAGAAGTTGTCTGTTCGTTAGAGTCTCCTTGACGATAAATGCATCCTGTGAATGATACTGGAACGGATCGCCAAGTGTCGTTGCTTCGGCAGTAGCCTGGGCTGCGTGATAATCACCCACAGTTTGTACAATTTTGCCGAGCTTCCGGTACGCGTTCGCCAGGCCCTGATGCGGCTCTTGGACATTCATCGCACCAAGTTTGACACCGAAATCGGACTCCGACAATCCCAATCCTGCATGTAAATTAGCTACCGGTAAATTTGTAAAAATAAAGCAAAACATAACACAACGTACCTCTGCGAGACTTGACAAGGCGATCGACCTTGTGCCCTGCATCCATTGAACCTAAATAGAATAGTTTCACTATGGGACGCGCTTCGGACAGCTCCGGCGTGTCGTCAGGCGGCGGTGCAAATTGTTTCAATAACTTCCTCCGCACACCCGTCGCTGGCTGCTTCTTCTTGACCATAGGGCTATAACCAAAATCGCTCTCAACGAATAAAACCATCTCGTCGTCTCTCATGAGGACTTCATTGCCGCATACGTAATTAAACCATCTCTGTAGGAGGGCCTTAACCCTTGTCTCATCTTCGTCAGTCCCGGCGCCTGCGGATGTCACCGACGGCGGAACTGCGGGCACAAACGCATCGGGGTTGGCGGATATCAAATGCTCGGCAAGTTTGACGAATTCAGAATGTAAACGACGGACATCGCGGAATTGGGTAGTTCGGAATTTAGGTATATTTGTCTGTATATATTAGCGACGTACGATCCGACAATCTGTCTATAATAGACTCACGTGGACGTCAAATCTCAGAATGGGATCTTTGCGACCCGTTCGCTCTAATCCAGTGATCTTTGCCTGTAGCTTGTATTGAGGCCCCCTTGGCCGTTGAGGCTGCTGTTCTCGCGGGCTTTCGCCGGCGGCCTGGCCTTGTGTCTGCGATCGCTGCGGCGTGCTCGGCGGCTGCTGCTCTGTCTCGGCTCCGGCGTCAGATTGCTGCGAGGGCGCGGGCTGTTCTGAGGAGTCGTACGCCGGTGTAGAGGCGGTGCTGCTGGCGGTGCCTGGCCGTCTGAAAGCATTGACGCCTGGGTCTTCTTGCGCGAAGCCGTTGCTGGGATCGTGAACTGCGTATTGATATGGAGAGGAGGGTTGATGGTCGCTGCCTAGAGCGCCGAAGGATGAGTCGTTGCGGCGCGGCGAGGCCGAGGGCGACGATGATCCCCAAGGGGATGGGCCGGCCGGGTGCTCGTCATCTACTATTGAAGAACGGTAGTCCATGGTGTCCTAAGTCTCGAGAGAAATCAAGGGTAGAGGTAAAGGAGAGGATAGAAATTCGAGAATTCGAGGGATGTTCAGTGGAACGGTAACGGTAACGGTAGTTGTATGGATGTAGAGAAGAGCATTAGGGGTTGCACTCCACAAAGCACAGCTGTAGCAACAATGCTTGATTGTCAATAGTAGGATTCGCCGTCCCAGTTGCAATCTCGAATAATCGAGAGAGTCACCTCACCTAAGGGTTAGCTTACTGAGGACTAGCAATCACTTAGAATGCTGAAGTAGGAAATCGTCTGCCTTCGCAAGTTGCACTGAAATCATCATCAGTGGGGAATCCTATCGTACTTGCCATTGGATGGCCCGTGCGTTATCAGCTTTCTGAGCTGCGACTTCACCGACAAGCGACCAATCATAATATGGTCCGTGCATATATACCATTTTCGCTTCCAAAGATTTTTTTCCGAGGAAGTGACGAAGGTCGAAAGTTAGGTTGGTTAAAACTTAAAAGCAACGTCTGATACTTATAAAGTCAATTGGAACAATTGGATACTACGTGAACCTACCAAGTTTTCATATTTCATGTTGAGTTACTAGGCAAATCAACTTACCTCCCAATTTATGACGGCGCACGAATACTGCCTTCAGTAATGAACTACCCATCTCCGCTGGTATGAGCTTATTCGCACTCACGTGCCGAGCTCCCCTGAGATGTTCTCAGTTGGTCAGACTCACATCGATATATTCGAGGCATTATGAGAGAACACGGTTCAATATCAGGCAGTTCTCGAGCCATACTGTCACTCACCAGGACACTGGAATTCAATATGTCCGAAACATAGGAATCATCGCCCATGTCGATGCAGTATGTCTCCTATAAGTATGGCCTGTACATATATATTTCGTATACTCAATATCCTGTAGGGCAAAACCACCACTACAGAGCAAATGCTCTATAACTGCGGTGCTTTAAATCGGCCAGGACGTAAGTTATCACATATCCATACACTGGTCCTATAAATCTAAGTGTCATAACCCCGAGAAAAGTAAATGGAATTCATGCTTATGGATTCAACTAATTTGTATCTTAGACGTTGATCAGGGAGATACTGTGACCGATTTCTTGCCTATGGAAAGAGAGAGGGGAATCACAATTCAATCCGCCGCAATCACTTTCCACTGGCCACCCAAGGAACGTTTAGAACTGCACAGTCAGCCACATGTTATCAACCTGATTGATACTCCTGGACACGTGGATTTTAGATTCGAGGTTGAGCGTTGCATGCCTATCTTAGATGGAGCCATCTGCGTCATTGATGGCGTCGAGGGTGTTGAAGCACACACAGAGAGAGTCTGGGCTTCCGCGCAGGAGTTCAAAGTACCTCGTATCATTTACGTTAACAAGCTTGACCGCGACGGTGCCTCCTTTAAGAAATCGGTTCAAGATATAGGATTGAAACTCGGTGGAATGCCATTAGTTTGCCAAATACCCTGGTGGGGAAAGGATTCTGTAAAGGGTGTGGTGGATGTCATCTCTCGCTCTGTCGTCAGTTGGGGAGGAACCAAGGATTCCCCCGATGAACTCTCAAAGATGGTACCGGAGGGCACCATCAAAGATGAAATTGAGCGCGCGCGCGAGCGGCTCATTGAGCAACTCTGTGAAGAGGATGATGAACTCCTAGAAATGTTCACTGCTCAAGGAAAAGACATATCCGACGCGGCTATTAAAAGAAGCATTCGCCGTATCATCAACAAGGGCGACGGATCTCTGATACCTGTTTTCGCCGGAGCTAGCTTTAGAAATATTGGCGTTGCTGCTTTGCTTGACGCAGTGAAGGACTACCTACCTAGTCCATCGGATCGACCTGAGCTCGAGGTCCGGATTGGACGAACATATCAACCTCTTGGTCAAGTTCTCGAATCTCAGAAATCCTCAAAGAAGCATCAGCCGCACGTTGAAGCGCTAGCTTCAGTCTTCAAGGTGACACATGATCCCCGTCGAGGGATGCTCACTTTTGTACGAGTCTACCACGGAGTGGTCAGAAAGAATACTCATATGTGGAATACTAATCTCCAAGAATTCGAACGGCCTCTGAATATGATGCAGATATCTGCAGCACGAACCATTGAGATCCCCCACCTATCTCCGGGGCAGATTGGAGCAATCACGGGTCTGAAGACTGCAAGAACGGGCGACACCTTAGTGGTGTTTGCTCCTAGTAAGGCACCGCAATCAGAACTTGCGACATTACAAGTTCGACCACCCGAGATTCCACCTGCTGTAGCTTTTATCGTTTTAGACGCGTATAGTCCAACTGGCGCAAAGACTCTCGAAACTGCTCTAGAAAATCTCTCAAGAGAAGATCCAAGTTTGCGGTGGTCTCAAGATGAAAATACAGAGCAGTATACGTTATCCGGAATGGGCACACTGCACTTAGAAGTTGCTCGTGACCGCCTTGAGAATCATTACAAGGCGGAAGCAGAGTGGGGCGCGATCTCAGTTGACTACAAAGAATGCTTGATTGCGCCGACACCTGTTCATCGGGCCGTCTTCGATAAGGTGGTTGCGGGAAAACCTGGGAAGGCGGCCTGCTCGGTGGTTATTGAGCCTCTCGGTGACCATCATCGTGAGACACTATCAGGATCATACCTCGAACGAGATGGCAATATCATTAAGGTCATATGTATAGGAGAGGGTCTAATCCCTGACATTGAGCATACAAAACAACAGCTCACGAACGGGGTGTTATCAGCACTCGCAAGGGGTCCTCGTCGCAGTTCCCCGATGCAGCAGTGTCTTGTTACAGTCACATACGATACCTCAACGGATTTTTTCCACGAGCCCCCTAGTTCACACTTAGTCGGCGCCGCGAACAAGGCGGTAAGAGAAGCCCTTAAAGAAGCCCACGAGCAGCAAAGCATCGGCGTCCTCGAACCGGTCATGAAGGTTACAATTGTATGTCCCGAAGTGTCGGCGGGTGCGGTTCAGCACGATCTGCATTCGGCTCGTGGAGGCCATGTCCTCGAAGTTCAAGACGTCGGAGAGATGCAGGTCCGAGAAGGTGCCATCATTGACGTGTCCGATATTTACGCTCCGCCGGATCCGTATGAGTTCCGAACAACTCTTCGGGAGACCCGAACAGGTCGTCTGCGGATGTTGGAAATTACGGCTCGTGTGCCGTTCGTGGAAATGCTCGACTATGATACCCTTCTCCGCGGAAAGACTCAAGGCAGACATACTCTGACTATGGCCTTAGATACTTTTGAGAGGGTCACTGGTCCGAGGGAGAAGGCTCTGTGAGTTGTTAGACGTTAACAAACGTGTGGTTCTTTGGTTAAGGGCCTGTCAAAGACGATCGCTCCCAAGATTACCTAGTAAGGATAGGTACCAGATAGGAAACCTCCAAACGCAATCTCACCTGCATCTTAGGACCAGGCGTACTGACATACTTGCTTGAGATATTGGGGCATTCCATGGTAGCGGCCCAGAACTAGTATTTGCCTAGCTTCATTCCCATTGGCGGATGTTTCTGCATTAGGAGTTGTGAAACGAGGGCTGAAAATCCGATTCGGCTTCCTAGCTGGTTTCGGGTAGCTGCATTTAGGTGCAGTACAAGATGGTAGATGTGACCACAGTTTCTAGGCCGCAGCATGGACGCGTAGTTTTATGCTTTCCCTGAACTAATAGGACTATAGGATAATCATAATTTTGGATTCGGTCGAAATACAGTTGTTGGTTTGTTGGTTGTAAACAGTGTGGCTTGGCACCCTGTTCGGCGGTTACGACTTACTCCTGATTGTGAGTTATCACATATTCCTACCAGTGCAGTAGGTACAGCCTTGCGACATATCGATAGTTCAGCTCTCTCAACAATTAGGCAGAAAAGAACATTAGAAGTGCCCAGAAACTGCCTTGCCTATCGCATTGTAAACGAAACGCCATGCGATGATACGAGGGCTGACTGTTAGCAACTTGGTTAGTGGCCAACCCCTCCTCGGGACAGTGCAGCAATCATGTACAAACGAGTTTGTTGGCCTCAATGTGGTCGAGTCGTTTCATCTGGGGGGTAGTAAAGAAGCATAGTAATGGCGTTCGATTTGAGGCCAGCGCACCACGTAATGTTAGCAAAGAGTAGTATGCGTTCCCTCCAATTTCCATCCACTACTTAAATACGTCCACGGAATCTACTTTGATGAGGAGAGAATAAAGAGAACATTGCTACATACCTACCTACATTTCTGTCGACCAAGGTTATCTACCAAATTTCAACACTATAGAATCATATCAATAATTTTGAACACCCAGCTTGATGACAAAGATCTCCAACATGGGCAGCTATGCGGGTAGTGCCGCGGTCCACGACCAGCCAACTCCTGGCAACCATGCCATCTTGACTAAGGTTGACAAGTTGCGTGAGCTCATTGGCACGAAGGTCGCTCTACCGCAAGTAAGTTGCCCTGGATTACATTCGAGGTATCAATAGGAACGCTAATGGTTTCTCTAGCTCGTCGTCGTCGGAGACCAGTCATCAGGAAAGAGTTCGGTGCTTGAAGGCCTAACGGGCTTCGGCTTTCCTCGAGATGCTGAGCTTTGTACGCGATACGCAACTCAGATAACATGTCGTCGCGAGACGGAGGAAAGCATCAACGTTTCTATCATACCCCAGCCCGACGCACCGCCCTATGAGCAGGAGCGTGTCAAGAGGTTCCACCGTACTTTGAGAACTATGAGCACGGAAAGTCTCGCAGAGCTATTCAGAGAGGTTAGTCATCATCATGCTAGTGAGACACTCATGTAAGAGTCTATGTCACTAATTATTATTTACAGGCCAACGACGCAATGGGAATAAAGAGCTCCACAATGTCAACTTCATCCGATGGCACCAACCTCCCAGCATTTAGCGAACACATTCTCAAGATCGAGAAACTTGGTCCCTATGTAAGTCCCACAATATGAGTCAACCCTCTTTGCTGGCATTGGAAGTCGCTAATCTATAGCAATAGGAAGAGCATTTCACCGTCATCGATGTACCGGGTATATTTCGAAAAGAAACCGAAGGTGAGGGCTGCCTATAATCCAATGTTTCAACCATCAAGGGGGAAGCGCTAATAGCAAGTTTCCCAGGTGTTACCACTGAAGGTGATATCGAGCTGGTTCGGAACATGGTCAAGAACTATAGTACGTACCACCTACTTTTCACTCGCTCTCGTCACAGCTCGTTAACTTGATTGCAGTGAAGGATGCTCGAACAATGTCAGTAGAAGTGAGGCTCACGGTAGCAAGGATATAATATGGCTAACCAAGTTCTTTTTAGTATATTGGCAATCATGCCTGCTAATGTAGACCCTGCCACGCAGGAAATCTTGAAGCTAGCTAAACAGGCTGATCCGTACATGACAAGGACCATGGCTGTTCTCACCAAACCAGATCTGGCGATCGAGAGCACAATGAAGAATATCGCCATTCAACACGTTCTGGGCAAGAGGAACGACCTATCTCTAGGATATTATATCGTCAAAAATCGCGGCCCCGACGACGCTGACAAGACCCTCGAACAGGGCCAGGCCGAGGAGCGGAATTTTTTTTCGATTGACCCTTGGTCGATCCTCCGGAATACGGGTAGAGCTGGTATTGTTGCGTTGAAAACGCGTGTCCGCGAGCTCCTGGTTGATCTCATCAAAAAGGAGTTTCCAAAACTCAAGACGGATATTGTCAAGGAGTTAACATCACTAAGATCTCAACTTGACAAGATGGGCCAATCGAGGAGTAACCAGCACACGCAAAGAGCTTACTTGAATAGGATAAGCGAGGCGTTCCAGACACTTGCTCGAGATTCATTGAACGCATATTACACTAGCAACGATATATTCGAGGAGAGACACGACCTCAGGCTCATCACTCGTATTGTTGAAGAGAGCGAGAGGTATTCGACTACCATGTTGGAGGATGGCCACACTCGGCCATTCGAATCTAATTCGGATTCTGATGAATCAAGTGAGCCTATGCTTACTCATCCCTACCCTGACGTTGAGGACTTTCATTGTCCCGAGCTCGAGGGCATCTTTGACCCCTCAGATGTTATTATGCCAACGGCCAACGATGAGGATAACATCATGGATTATATTGAAGGTGTTTACAAAGAAAGCCGTGGGCAAGAACTCGGAACAGTAAGTTAAGGCGCGATGTTCATGTAGTAATCAGCTAACTTAAACCCGTGATAGTTCAACAGTGCTCTTATATCGACCATGTTCAAGGAGCAAACCAAGAAATGGAAACCCATCACGCTATCCTATGTAACTCAGGTTATTTTAGAAATCCATCACTTCATCAAAGAGATACTCGTTCAAATATGCCCCGATGAACGCGTATTTGATGAGCTATGGGATGGATATCTTCTCGAAAAGCTCCAGGACTCTTACCATCGAGCCTTGACCCATGCGAAGCTTCTACTCGAGATCGAACGCGAAGGAGTCCCACTAACTCATAATCATTACTTCAATGACAATCTTCAGAAGGCCCAAAGCGATCGCCTGGTGGCTCTCATGGAAAAGCTCGGATTGGAGAGGAAAGCGCAAACTACAGACGAGGAAGGTCATGTTACCAACATCCAAAGGGGATTTTTCTTCAACAAAAACACATTGAATACCTTATCATTCAATATGGCGAACTCGGATCACGTCCGAAAATACATTCATGACATCCTTAGTAGTTATTACAAGGTCTCTCGCAAACGCTTCGTCGACGTTGTCTGCCAGCAGGCTGTCAACCACTATCTACTGAGAGGCAAAGGCAGTCCTCTCACAATATTTAGCACCCAGATGGTTCTAGATCTCAACGAGGACCAGCTCGACATGATCGCCGCGGAGGATGCTCCCGTCAAGCTTCACAGGGAGAAGCTGGGGCGTGACATCCAGAATTTCGAGGACGCCTTGAAAGTATTGAGAGGATCAGGTTAATCTTAGTGATGGCTATGAATGATGTAGGCTGGTTGGTGTGAATTAAATTGGGTTGACGCTTTTCTTTTCCACGGTGCTTGGTTCGGATCAATAGGATAGGTATCACTACTAAAGTTGTACAATATGTTATGAATATTGACTGTCTCTCTCATACAATGAACACTCTTAGTCTTGGCACTCATTCTTCATAACTCCTTTTCCTGACACTACCATAATTGGCGATGGCTCCTTCTAGGCTACCTTATGGTGTTGACATGGGTGATTCGCACCGGGGGTAGAAGACCGACTTCTTCGGTAACCCGTTAGCCACATGGCTTTTCTGTACTACTTGACTTGTCATAAATCGAGAGATTTCAAGGTCTTGTCGAGTACTTTGCTTACAGTACCAGGTAGGTACCTATGTACCTATTAGTTTTTTCCTTATATGCCCTAGAGAAATCTCTAGTTGTGATGTTTAATTGCATGTCTTCTCTCAATGCACCGGTAATGAATCTAACGGAGGAGCTAATAGCTTTGGTGGGGCAGGTTAGTGGGGTACTAGGTAGGAAAGCTCCATCAATTTTCTTACAGACTTCAGCTTGAAAACTTTCAACATCTGCATGCGCCCAGCTTTGAGGATTCTTTATTCAAACAACTTTTTCTGTCAATTAAAGATGGGCCGAAAGAAGTTTCGAGTAAGTATTAACATCAATAACACTTACACTGTGTCCCATGAGTTATGAATTTATCTGACCTCGGTACAGGGTGGTCGCAAAGGCGCATCCAATCGCGCCCCTCGTGGGGACGGTCCTGTGCCGTATCGATCATATAGCGATATCGTGAAGGAGAATAAGAACCTAGAGACGTACTATAACGCCGCGCTACCTATTGATGACAACGAACGATCTGAATTCTGGGATGCTTTGAAGAGAGAACTCCCCAATTCCTTCCGCTTCTGCGGATCCAAAGGCCATGCGCTCGCCGTCAAACGACTACTGGAGACGAGATACGTGCCCGAAATCGTTACCATCGAGCGCTACGATGGCGAGCCTGTACAGGCTCCTCAGCCCGTTCCGTGGTACCCCGACCAGCTCGCCTATTCTATGAACACTCCGAAGCACGTCATCCGCAAATTCCCACCTTTTGCCGCCTTCCAGAAGTTTCTAGTCTCCGAGACTAGTGTCGGCAACATAAGCAGACAGGAAGTTGTCAGCATGATTCCCCCGCTGCTGATGGACGTCGAGCCTGGAATGACAGTTTTAGATCTATGCGCGGCGCCTGGAAGTAAAGCCGGTCAGTTACTCGAGATGGTCCACTCTGGAGAGGAGGGCAGAATCCGTAAATTCATGCAGTCATTCGGCGACACGAAGGCACAGGATGACAATGAGGATGGTGTTGATCTTTCCGTGGATGCTGGCGATGATGGTCGTGCGACTGGACTACTCATCGCCAATGATGCAGATTATAAGAGGAGTCACATGCTTGTCCACCAGCTTAAGCGACTTTCTTCCCCCAATATGCTCGTCACCAATCACGACGCAACTCTTTACCCAGCCATCAAATTACCGCGAGACCCAAACCGCCCTGAAAAGGGCCAGTACCTAAGGTTCGACAGAATCCTTGCAGACGTACCTTGTTCGGGTGATGGAACGTTAAGGAAGAACGTCAATTTATGGAAGGATTGGCAGCCAGGAAATGCGCTGGGACTACATGTCACCCAAGTTCGGATCCTGGTCCGCGCCCTCCAAATGCTCAAGGTTGGCGGCAGAGTTGTCTACTCAACCTGCAGCATGAACCCCGTCGAGAACGAAGCAGTAGTCGTATCTGCGATTGAACGTTGTGGCGGCCCTGACAAGATTGACATCATCGATTGCAAAGACAGACTTGCGGGGCTAAAGCGAAGCCCAGGAATGCATCAATGGCAAATTATGGATAAATCCGGCCGCGTCTGGAGTAGCTGGGAGGAGGTACAGCATCACGTCTTGACGACTGACAGCCAGATGCCCAGCAAGCTGTCGGAAACAATGTTTGCTAGACCGGACGCGAATGACTGCTCCACGCTTCCATTGGACCGTTGCATGCGAGTCTACGCCCACCAGCAGGACACTGGCGGATTTTTCATCACTGTGCTAGAGAAGAAAGAAGAATTCAGGGCTAAGCCGGAGACGAAGGTCCGGGCCCCGAATGCTGTGGCCACTTCAAATGGAGTCGAAGTCGAAGAGGATGTGGAGACTAAAATGGAGATTGAAGAAGAGAAAGCGGCGCTGGGTGAGCCGACTGACGTTATTCCGACTTTAGGATCCAAGAGGACTTTAGAAGACGAGGAAGCGGAGACAAAACCTGATGCCAAGAAGCAGAAGACCGAATCCCCCCCTGCTGAAACCCTCGAAACACAAATTCCCGCCAAAACTGAACAGCCTACCGTAGAAATCAAGACGGAGGAGGTCAAGCCAAAGGCTGAGGCTACTCCTAAGAATGGCGCCCAATCTGATAAACGAGTCAAACCGGTCGATGGCAACTATGAAGAACCCTTCAAGTACTTACCGCCAGATCATGCTGTCATTCAAGATATACAGAAATTCTACAAGATTTCATCGCGCTTCCCCGCAGATCGTTTCATGGTACGGAATGCTACGGGCGAACCTGCAAAGGCCATCTACTACACGAGTGCTCTCCTTAGAGATATTCTTACCGAAAATGAGGGTCGCGGCGTCAAGTTCGTGCATGGAGGTGTCAAGATGTTCATGAAACAAGACGCGCCGTCTGCTGAAGTTTGTAGGTGGCGAATACAGTCGGAAGGCATGCCTATTATCGAAGGATACGTCGGCCCCGACCGTATTGTGCGCTTAACGAAAAAGGAGACATTCCACAAGCTTTTGAAAGAAATGTTCCCCAAATTCATTGACGAAGATTGGAAAAAGCTCAATGAGATTGGAGAGCGAGCGAAGAATATTGGCATGGGTTGTTGTCTCCTTGTCATCGAACCGGAAGGAAACGACCCAGATTTTTCGGAGCGTATGGTCCTTCCATTGTGGAAGAGCTTCCATTCTCTAAATCTTATGCTTCCAAAGGAGGATCGCTCCGCGATGCTGCTCCGAATTTTCAACGACACATCCCCTGTCATCAACCAGACGCTAAAGGAGTCAGCAAAGAAAGAAGCCGAAGCTGCTGCTGCTGCTGTTGCTGCAACTGAAACTGCCGACCCCGAAACAAGGGATGAAATTTTGGAAGATGCCCCGGTGGTCGAGGAGGCAGATGGAGAAAAGGAGGTATCTGAGCAGCCAGATGACGCTGGCGATGGGGCCGAGGCAGAAGCCGGACCGGCTACGGCAGGCGATTGAGGATGTGATAAGTTGATCGTAGAATAGCTCCTTGATACGAGTCTTTACCAAGAAATAGGTTCATTCCCATCCAGACACCAGTCATAGCAGATCACCAGAACTACACAAAGCGTTCCATTAGGGCATACGAGGTATTGGAGGGCGTGATGAGAACGGTTCATAACGATTCTAAAGCGGGTCTTAAAAATTACGGAACTGGAGAGATATAGCTTAAGCTAAAATAGCGGAAGTTGGCATTTTTCATTTGCTTTGGGGTCATTATCCGGGTCGGGATTGCGTGTACAACAGATCGATTGAGCTTTTATCAATACAAGTACAAATCACTGCACTTGAGGAACATCTACCATTATATCATTCCCCATCTAATAGCCCCACAGTCCAATGTATGATTCTATCCACACCTTGCCCGTGAATGGCGCTCACCGGTATCGCGGCGCAGTCCTCTATCCACGCGCCCTCGACTCCGCTCGGGTGCGGCTCCCGCCGGTCCGTCACGGCGTCGAGGTACTCCTTCAGCCGGGCGTAGTTGTCCTCGGTCCCGGGCAAATCGCCCTTCGTGGCAACGACGAACCACGGCTTCGCCGCGATGTGCAGCCCGCCTTCCCCGCCGGTATCCGCCTCGGGCAGATCCGCCACGATCATCTGGCCGCCGTAGTTCATCCTCGCGCTGTTCTTCGGCGGGCGGCTGCTGCCGTCGCCCTCCCAGTCGATCCGGTCCCCGATCTCCCGCTCCTTCTCCTCTTCCTCGCGCATCCGCGCGTACAGCCCGACTTCGATCCACAGCGCTTTGAGCGCCTCGACGGCGTCGCCGGCGCTGAGGTCGATGACGAAGGCGAGGACGCCCGCGCGCTCGACGTGTCGCAGGAAGGCGACGCCTAGGCCGCGGTCGAGGTGCGCGCCTTCGATTAGACCCGGGATGTCGGCGACCGTAAATCGTGTTCGGGGCTCGGGGCTGGGCGCGTCGAGGGAGTAGTGGTCAGGTTGCCGGGATAAGACGACGGAGCCGTATTGCGCGTCGTGGATGACGGAGTGCGGCGGCGGCTTCGAGGGCTTGGGGACGGGCATCGGACGCCCTTTGTGGTTGTCGAGGACGACGGTGCCGATGTTGGGTTGGAGGGTCGTGAAGGCCCAGTTGCCGACGCGGGCGCGGCTGTTGGTTAGAGCGCGTAGGAGCGTCGATTTGCCTGCGTTGGGCAACCCGACTAACCCCACGTCGGCAAGCAGCTTGAGCTCGAGCTCGAGCTGCATGGTCACGGCCCGCTCGCCCTTCGTGGCGAACAGTGGCCGTGGCCGGTCTTTCGACACGAAGTGCGGGTTCCCGAGCCCCCCTATCCCGCCCGCAGCTATCAGGATCGGCCGCGGCGTCGGCGTCGACAAGTCCAGGTGTATCGGGGCATCGGGCTGCACGTACAAGCGCTCGCGCCTCGGCAAGCGAGGCAGCGTCAAGGCGCGCCGCTCGGTATGCGATATGCCGGGGTACAAGATAAATTTCTCGAGACGGGGGTGATCGGGGGCCTCGGGCAGCTCGGTGAAGATGGCGCCCTCGAGGCCCTCCATCTCGGCGTTCTTGGCCTCGGTCTCGCGGACCAAGCGCTCGTACTCGCGCTCCGCGGCGCGCGCCTCGCGGAAGCGCAGGCGCTCGTCGACAACGGGGTCGATGCGCGCGAGCTCGCGCACGACGGTGCCGACGGGGACCTGGATGACGAGGTCGTCGCCGCGGGCGCCGCCGCGGCTGCCCCCTTGCCCCGTCTTGCCGCGGCCGGCGCGCAGGACGCGGCGCCGCGCCAGCTTGTGCAGCGACGTCTCGCCGTGCACGGCCTGCACGTAGATGTTGCCGCCGTGCCCGCCGTCGCCGCCGTTCGCGGGCCCTTCCTCGAGGAAGGCTTCTCGCAGAAACGAGATGCAGCCGTGGCCCCCGCTGCCCGCGTGCACCGTCACGCGCGCCTTGTCCGCGAACGCGGACTGTGCGTAGTCGTCCGGCGCAGGGTTCAGGCGCGAGGTCGGGAGCGAGGAGCTGGATTCGGAGGGCGAGGTGTCGGAGGTGGTGGATGGGGTGGTGGCTGAGGAGGAGGGTGAGGAGGAGGAGGTCGAGTGCAGGATCGTGATGGCGGCTCGGCGGGGGACGGAGAGCTGGAGGAGGGATTTGCGGGGGCGGGTGGTTCGGAAGAGCGAGGGGTAGAGGAAGGGCAGGAGGATCCCCGAGCTGGAGGGGTGCCTAGGTGGTGGCATTTTTGAGCAGAAATCGGATCTGTTGTTTATGTCGTGAAAGTCATGATCGAGGTTGTGTCAGCTTCTCGTCAATTGGTCGATTTGGAGCAAGAGTAAGCTCCAGCTTTCGGCTTAGTTGGATGATCGATGACGGGATCGATGCATCCCTGATCCTTCCATCACAATTTGATCGAATTTTTTTTTCTTTGCCGGTATGTAGATAAGATATTGGCGGAGATAAGATAAGAGCTACTACCCTAGCCCCAGTTAGAGCCCCTACTAGCACCCTGGTACTTCACATACCGGCACATGCCGGGTTCGGTTAAAAGGTGTGCCATAGTAGGTCACATGAGCTTCGGGACATCTTTTCCGTAATAGGTAGGGACGGGACACGGACGGCGGGGGACCCAACCTCACACGACACACAAACAACACAACCTTTTTTTTCTTTTCCTTTGTAAGCCAAAAGTAAAGAGAGTGTACGGGAATTTACAGATTTCCTCAACGCACCCAATCGATGGTTAATATAATACTGGTTCGAAGACGTGTGCATAGCTACGCCATTGAATTATATATCATTGTCATGGCCTGACAATAGGCCGATATGCCAATATGCAAATATACCTCGGCCTAATCTAAACAAGAGTCCCAGTTGTTTCACCGGGGTTTATAGCCGCCAATGGCTCGCCTCCGTCTACGTCGGTCTCAAGAGCCGCTGGTGGCGCCCGAAAGGCGGTGAGCATTTTTACGAGGGACCAAACGCACCAAACGAACCAAACGAGCCAAACATGGCACCGGTTTGAGCAGCTCGGCCAACAAGAGGCCAACAAAACGCCATACGTCGTACAAATTGGGACCTTGCAGCTCTTGCAGGTCTTGTACATTGTAGGCCTTGCCATCTGCGGGCATTCGATATTTTAATCTCTTTTAGTGCCAATCACTAAAATAAACATCTCGGAGCCTCTAGAGCCTCTGGAGCCTCTGGAGCCTCTGAAGTCTCTCTGCAACGTCTGGAGCCTCAAGAAGGTACATACTACACACACAGTATTCGAGATTGCGAGATCGTCCTCGCGTCCCGTGCATCTCTTACGTCTCCTGCGCATCTCATAGCATCAAATCCCATCTCTGTATTGGAAATTATCGAATTCGCTGCCACGTTGGAAAAGAGCCGATCCGGTCCAGGTAGGCCAAGCAGATCGAGCAAGCGCTTGAACGCCCGAACACCTCCTCTTCGGTATCCATTTCCATATTGTTTTGGTCCAACGTTGTCGTGTGTCTGTACGAACTGGTCTTACTGGTCTTACCTTTTCCTTTATCTCCTCACGATCGTCGTTGGTTTTTTAGTATTTCTATCCCCAAGAGGAACACTTCACCTTTTGCAGGAGTAGTCAACTCCACGCACTATATTACTTTATTATCAAGGCTACATACATTACATATTACATATTACCTAGCCAGGTTATCTGTGCCAGCCATCTATATACCGCTATATACCGCCTACATACCATACAGACCATATATACCGTACATACTATATACATATCTACTTATAATCTCCAACACTACTAGCTCCGTGCAGCAACACCAGACCGGCCGGATTATGCAAACTCTCGATTGGGTTACCCTCATGCACACTGCATGCTACTAGTAATCCTGCCGCCCATTCGAGCCACGACAGTCAAATTCTTCCTTTGTGGCCAAACGTGGTCATAACGTTCGTCCCCCCTCATCGGCCTCCTTGCTCTTCAACTGCTCGCTAAGCTCGTCTTTGGCGCACCTCTGCATCTCTGGCGTCTTTGGGCTCCGCTGGGCAGTCGCACTTGTAACCTTTTTTCGACTTATCCTCGTTCATCCTAGTCTATCCTAGTCTAATCTTCCCATCTTCCCCGTCAGTTCTCCGTTTCCCCCGTCAGCAATTGGCTTTTTTTGTGGGTTTCCTCGACATCTAGCGCTCCCACTTGCCTCCATTGCTTCTCCATCGCTGTCCATTGCTGTCCCATTGCTGTCCCATTGCTGCAGGCTCTGCAAGTCGAGCTTCTAAGCTAGCCTCTCAAACAACGATTCTTCTTCCTCTTCCTGAACTTCCGCCGTAGGGGTTAAGACAGAAGCACGCAGCTCCAAGCATCAAGCATCAAGCATCAAGCATCGAGCGTCAAGCGTCAAGCCACCAAAGACGGTTCCACCGACTTGTACCGACTTGTCTCTCTCTCGACCTCTCCCGTCACGCCTTTTTTTCTCTCCCATTCTCTTGCTCTCCGCGTTCCCCACGCTCCATTCAGAGCCGGTAGAGAGGCAACACAAACCCGTATCTCGCTGTACCTATCTCTTGCTGTATCTCCTGTATCTGCTGTATCTGCTGTATCTTGCACGCCCAGATATCGGTGGCATCGGCACGCAAACTTACCTACCCGTCCTCCTTATTTGCTGCCCTCAATTGACTATCGCGGCCACTCAAACCGGGGCGGTCAGCCAAAGAGCGTTTTCCTGCAGGCCCGAACTTTGGAGCTAGCCATTGAACTGCCCGTCTGAATCTTTCGACCAATTCCCCCCCTCTCACTCACACGTACGTTGTCTGCTGTCTGCTGTCTGCTTGCTGCAACTCTACCACCATTCTCGAGCCTGCTGTGTTGTTTCCTCGCTCGCCATTGTTCATAATACAGGTCAGTCACTCTTCGTCGTGTCTTGCCCTGGTCCGCCCTTTCTCTTTTCTTCCCTTCCCTCTTCTTGCCCATAGAAATGGACCCTTCTCGGGTCGTCAAGTGAACAGCCGTTGTTGTACAATAGTTGATCTATACTCTTACTCTACATCTCCGTATCTCTCCGCTCATGTTCACCACTTCTTTCTACATCCCGGCTCTCCTGCCCGCCTTCGGCTTCACGCCGCTAAGATGTATACCAGGGAACATAAACCCCGCAAGTCCACCATCATCAGAATGGACCCGGACTGTGCCATCTGTCATGCTCCTGCCAGCCTCGCCTGCGATTGCGAGGCCAAAGGTCTCGAGATCGCCATCGAGCAGGCAGAGAGCCGTATGATGCAATCCGTGTATAATGACATACGGTAAGAGCAATTTTTCGTATTATGTCTTGCGTCTAGTGAATTTCTACATGCTTCGGTTTGCTTGTGCTGCTCGTACTGCTTGCCTGCTTGCCTGCTTGCTCGTCTGATTTCTCGCTTCCGTCGACTTGTATGACAACCTACTAAACATTGGTCCAGTACGTGGGTTCGAGCACACGCTCAAGATTACATACTCGAGTATTTCCGCCTGCTCACCGAACGACGCAAGGCTGCACATTCGTCCCATCTTGAACGATTAACAGCCCATGCCTACCATTACTACCACGCTCCCCCGCATCCGAACGAGATTGCCGCCGCCCAAGCGACTCTGAAACGAGGAATCGACGAGGATTGGCAATCCAGCGTTCAGCGTTATCCGGAGGTATTAGAATACTTCTACAGTTTGGTCGAGCTGACGCTCCCGCCTGACCATGAACCTGCCGTCAAAGATCCCCCGCTGAGTGCGTTGAGCGGATCACGGAAGGCTGGCAGACGGGCCCAATCTACGGCCACAATAGCCGGGGAACCTTTTCAAGAGAGGGAGCGGAGTGTGAATCCTCTCGCAAGAAGAACCCCTCCCCCGCAAATTGAGCGGCGGACGCCGGGACCACCTCACAATCCACTCGCGCCAACGCAGAGAAGACATAGCAGCTTCCGACCGCCTACCGCGCCGCCAACGGCCTATTTCCAATATAACTGAATGCCGTGGGAGAGGTGTGACCCATCGTGGCGGCGAAAGCCCTATGTCCGGGCTTAACTAGCCCATCATTCACACCGTGTAAAATTGGACCACAGCACAACTTGCATCTACGCCTACATCTACATACACATACGACCATTTATTTTCCTTGACTTAATACGAAAGAAAGAACGAACACACTTACGAGACCACGAAAGGGCATTATGATCACCGTATCTGTTGCATGGGTGGAGGGAAAATGTCCCAGATACCATTTCTTTTCTGCATAGCGGCGAGACCTTGCACTTTTTTGACCAACCGTTCAATTCGACTTTTTTTGGAAAAAAAAAGAAAAAAACTTAACATATCCAACCATTTGTTATCTTTTCCTTGAGGAACTGATTCTACTTCGAGCTTGGAGTCATCTAAGACGGGTGGCAATTTCCCGAGGGTTTTTACTGGGCGTACGGAGTGCTATAGGGTTACGGTTGGACGAGTAGGAAAGGGTCTGGCATTGTTTGCGTTTGATCCCAACAGTTGTTGTCTTTTTATCTTATTCTTCTCTATGTGTGTTGTCCAACGCCTACCTTTTGAGGTACATAGGGTCGGAATTTTTGCTAGAACGGAGTTACAATATCCCTGTCAACTTATCATCATCTCTATCTGAACAGAGCGGAAGCAGAGCGAGCTAGTCAAATCTACAAAATTTAATGAAACCTCTCCCTGATTGCTCGCACCGGCCCAGGGAAACGGCATCGACAGACCACGTCAATTGCTAATTCTTGGTCGGGTTTAGAGCAGAAAGACGTGTCCATCTCCCGAGCGAATATCAGACATCAGATTCAGGCCGTGAAAGGCGTGAGAACGTGAGATAGACAGCTACTACTGTAGCTTGCCGATAAGTCGGGCGTCAGATCTGCCCCCTCCCACTTACCTATGGCGGTGCGGCTGACACGTATGCGACGGGAACTGGGTCAGCCTCTCTATAATACGCGGCTCGAGCTCGGGATTTTGATGAGCGAGAAGACGACTTCCGTGGATAACGTCAGGTAGATCAAGGCAAGAGATTGGTTAGGGATTTCGTAAAGTTGGGTGATAAAAAAACGAGCTGTCGTTGCAGCGGATGGCACGCTTTTCTATCTAGATGCCCTACTGGGGGTCAGGTAGGGCGGGAATTTAAGGAGATAGGTAATGAGTAGCAAGTAGATAGATACCTATAGGGCCAGGTATATTGGTATATGTCGTAGTGAAAAGACCCCTATCTAATGGCGCCTTTCACGTCCGTCTATGTTTACTTGTCTGCTTCTATTGCTTCAACTTACGTAGTATCATAAAATTCGACCTACAGCCTCCCCAGCCTCTAAGGACCGAGCTTTAATCTACAGAGCTATATATTTAGGTACCTAACATGATAGGATACGTTCCAGCAGGTAAACATGTGCGTACGTGTGTATGTGTGTATTGCATGTTACAGTCCTAAATTGCAAACTAGGGTAGCATAGCGTAGATTCGAGCGAATCCAAGGGGGTCCTGAAACCTTCTCAGAACACGCGCGATGCGCAATGCCCATCATCGAGAGTATGTACGCAGGATCTCTGTCATCTGCCGGCGGGACCCAAGAGAGGCGGACAGGCGGATATAACCCAATGGCCAACCCAATGAAGCTTCAGAGGAGAGCCGATGCACGGCTAGGTCATACGTACATACATACACTGCCTACTACATTGTATATCGAAATAAAACACCCCCCCTCTGTCCCCTCCCTTCTATCAGCGTTGGGAGTTTTTTGGAGCGTGGACGAATCAAGACCCCTATCCCTACCGAAAAAAGCGTTGACCGATCACGTAATGGATGAGGCACGGGAGCGGACACGAAGGGGGCGGACGCGGACTGCCGAATAGGGAATGGGCATCATAGGCCGAATACATACATACATTAGGTAGTGGGCACAAGCTTAAGTAGTTCTAAAGGCTCGGGCCATGCCGCTACGGCTTACTCTAGTACCGTGATACATACTCCTTTTTCTGTTATTTCTATTCGCAGAGTAGTACCTATCATATACTATCCTATCATTATCTCGTATCGTGTTCATGTCTCAGAAGCTGTTCGACCCGACGAACCGTCGTGATCGGCGGGTCGTACAAGACGTTGAGAGTACGAAAAGCGGAAAAGCGGAAATACGTAGGTAGGTATAGGTATAGCAAGAGGCGCTTTGATGCTAAATACATGTGACGATGTGGAAATCTAAACCTTGATTTTTCCATAGCCATTTTTTGTGTCCCCGGAGAAAGTTTATCCTTTCTCAAATAGGGGATGAGTTCAGATCGTATATGAGTTTTGAGTCTGCTGACCAGAGAATCATTTATTTGTCCTCAGTCAAATCTTGATTCTCGGACTGTGGCTTTGGGGGTAATTCGGACTTCTAAGCCGATTTCTCCTCAAGCGATGCCTCCTTCAACTCCGAGGCTACGGCAGCCACCTTGTCATCGGACTTCTTGTCCCCGTTGACGCCGTTAGGCGTTGCGGTACCGGAAGCTTCAGCTGCCTCCTCAGCCTCAATCTTCTCAATCTCCTTCTTGGCCTTGTCGATGTTCTGGAATTTATTAGTAACACTTCAATAGTCACATCATGAATTACAACTTACCCGCTGGGTTTGAGCTTGCTGGTCGGCCTTCCAGTTTTCGAGCTTGGCCTTGACCTTTTCGATAGCAGCGGGGACATCAGAGGCGGCCATGGGAGGATCAATCCCTAAGAATCCACAGTCATCGATGACCGAAGGTGGGCAGTTGAAACCCTGTTTCTCGGCAGCACCACCCTTCTTGCCCTTCTTACCCTTCTTGACAGCTGGCAGGTAGTCATCCTCACGATCTTCCTTTCGTACCAACCGAGTGCCCTTCAGACCAGAATCGTCGACCTTTCGCGAAGCCTGAGCGCTCAGACCGCTGTCAGCCACAAGAGGCGCCTTTTCGGTGGAGGTAGACGACGGGTCAAAGAAGTGGAGCAGGCTGTTGGCCCTGCGGATCTCTTCGAGATAGGCTGGGTCACTAGCTTCCTGGAGCAACTTTTGCGCGCGCTCCTTCTTCCTTTCCTTCTCGATACGGTCGCGCTCCGCCTTCTGGCGCTCTCTCTGTCGCTGACGTGCCTCACGTTCGTACTCGGCGAACGCTTTCTTTGCACCATAGTACTCGTCCTTGATCTTCCGTACAGCCTGAAATTTCTCCTGTTGCTCGGCCTGCAACTTGCTTCGCTCATCGCGCAGGGCGTTCAGGTTCTTGAATGCCTCATCTTGCTCCGCCTTGATGCTGTCAAGCTCGGCCTGAATCTTAGTGTACTGTTCGCTAAGCGCGCGGGCTTCGGGGTCTTCCATGCTGTCCTTGATCTCCTTGATCTTGGCTTTCAACTCGTCGATTCCCTTCTGCGAAGTGTCAAACTGGGCGAAGTTCTTGCGCTGCTTTCGGAGATTAGAGATCTCAGCAAGGGCCTTCTTCTCATCGACCAACTTCATCAAGCCGCCGTTAACCTGCTTTTCGAGGTGATCGATCTCACGGTCCACATCTTCGACGCTCTTGAAATTAACCTTGCCGCGGGCATTCTTCTGTTCGGCGATTCGGGAGCGGAGTTGTTCATCGAGGCGCTTGATCTGGTCCATCTTGGTATTACGAGCATTTTTGCCGGCGCCCTGCTTGTTACGGATCTCATTGGCTTGGGCGATAAGTTCCTGACGGCGCTTCTGGGTAGGTGTCTGAGTGTCTTTGTTCTTGCTCGGGACAGCAAGCTCGACCTTCTGCTTGACAGCATTCTGGATTTATCGTCAATATTGTCGCTGTTTAAAAGAAGTATGTGCGCAAACTAACATATTTGGCAAACGATTCCTGGTACTCCTTCTCAGCCTTAGCCAATTGCTCATTGAAGAGATCGACATTGGGCTTCTCGGGCCTCTTCTTCTCACCCGCCGGTGCGGGAGCCGGGGTGTCAGCTACTTCAGCCATAGTGATTACGGTAACGTAGGTCGTGTCTTTTACCGAAATTCGTTATCGAGGATGGAGTGCGAGACGAAGTGGAAAATGAACAAAACTAGATAGAGACGGCGACGAATGAAAAAGTCACAATCAATATCTAGAGAAAAGGAAAGGATATATAAGGTACAAGTAGGTAATAAGAAGCGGTCGGCGAACCGAAAGGTTAGGAGGCCAGATCTCAGGGTCCTAATGCCTGTCGAGTACAGGTAAGAGGAAAAATTCGGAGTCGAGGTCCACTGGTTAAAAAAAAAAGTGAATTTTGATTCTAACACAACGTCTCATTATCCAATTCACCACTACGCTATTTTTCCGTTTGGCCTGTGCACCTTCCACCACAGATCATCTTCTGCCGGACTTTTGCCGTCTCCAGTAAGCAAGCACCTTACTACAAAGTCCAAGATGCTGTATGACCCGTGAGGTGGGATCCATTAAATGCATTCTGCAGGGATTAACATCTCTAGCCTCCAGATACGTACCTTATCCACACCCATCCCTGCAGATAAGGCCAGGAACGGTAAGTACTGAGGTACTTGGGAATTTTTCACCTTCTTCGTAACGCAAGGCTGAACTTGCATTGTCCTTCTATTCTACTTGTCAATTCTTCACTCTCATTCAGACCAGACCAACCAACCCATTTTCAACCTTGCGCAACATTGCAACAGACTATTTCCAACTACACAAATTCCCGAATTCGATTTCACGGCGCATACTTTTAATGATGGCGGATCAAGACTTCGGTACCGGTAACGACGCCAACGACAAGATCACCGTCAAGACGTGGCGAGCATGGCGAACCATCCATGAGATGGTCCAGGACCGAGTAAGCGAACAACCCTATTCCCAATCTACCCCCCAACCCTCAGATATCTACTGCTGCTGCGGCTTCGGCGCGAATGTAGCTCGATCGCATCCTATACTTACGCCATGTCACTATTCCGTCGCGTCAATATGATATATGTGCCTTGGTAGACGCTAATGCGCCGACAGGGCTACGAACTAGCCGATACCGAAGTAAACATGACGCTCGATCAGTTCAGGAACATATATTGTAACATCGACGGTTCCGTCCTGTACGTATTCCGGAAGCTCTTGTCTTCATTACCTATAAGGAAAATGGAAGGGGAAGAAGCAATTGGACTAGGCTAACAAGCTCCGCTACAAAACCTACAGCCGTTCGAAGCTCAAGTTCTCGGCGCGCCCGAGCCCGGAGATGATCAAGAAGATGACGCCGATCGCGACACCCTCAAACCCGGACCCGAAGGCGGACGTGGGCACGATCTGGGTGGAGTTCCTGGACGAGGACCAGCTGGGGGCGGACCAGATGCGGCGGTTCGGCAAGTTCTGCGCGCACGAGAACCACCACACCGGCATCCTGGTGTCGCACGTGTCGGTGTCGCCGTCGGCGAAGAAGGAGATCGCCAAGTTCGCCCAGTGGACCTCCATCGAGTGGTTCCTCGAGGAGGACCTGCTGATCAACATCACCCACCACGAGCTCGTCCCGCGCCACGTCGTCCTCTCCCGGGAGGAGAAGGCCGCCCTGCTCAAGCGCTACCGCCTCAAGGAGACCCAGCTCCCCCGCATCCTCCAGAAGGACCCCGTCGCCAAGTACTTCGGCATGAAGCGCGGCCAGGTCGTCAAGATCATCCGCGCCTCCGAGACCGCCGGCCGGTACGCGAGTTACAGGCTATGCGTATGAGTGCCGTGTTCTAGTCACTACTCTATACCCTACATCCTATTAGCCTATTACCCTATGGCCAGTCTCGTCCGAAGCGAAGAGAAGGGGGATAAGATGAGAGGAGAGAGAAAAAAAAGAAATCATTGCAGAAACCGGCGTCTATGAGCATGAAACTTGAAATTTGGCTGGGGCGGCGTTCTATGGTTCTACAGCTCGGGGGTTCTCCAGATTCCGATTCTGTTTCCCTGTAGTTAGTAAGAGGATTTTTCTACTAATGAATGAGAGATTTTTTGCTCTTGGAGATTATTTCCGCAGTTCTGCGCCTGCAAGTGTGAGGTAGGAAAAGGGGAGGATTGGAAGAACGCAGTCCGAGGAAGCGGGTGTCTGTCCACACGTTTCGAGGACAACCTCCGAGTAGGAGTTAAGCCCCATAGACCCTTTGGATTATTCTACTTCCCAAGATGAGCTATATACATGGATACTTTACGTAGGGAGGGTGAAACATAGGAACTATCCCATTCTTAACTTTCCCTACTCAATTACAGCCAAAGGGAAAATAGACTCTATCTTTTCGATACTATATTTCGAATAGCAGTAAACAATCGTCACTATCTGGAATGCAAGATTACTAAAGCAATATTCGAGGTCATGGTAGTTCCCATAAGCAAGCAAAGAATACAGATTCATAAACAGGGAGTAACTAGTTTCTACGACAGTCAGGAGAAATGTCCCGAGGTCGCCAATTGTCACTTGCAGATACAAAGTAGATACAGACAAGCTGTCTATTATTCCAAGATCTATCTCGGATCTATTCTGTCTTGATTTATCGAAAGCAAAGGGGTATAATGCCCATGGGGGTATATGATAATAAGATACAGAGCAACAAATAAGGAACCCAGATACATATACACAAGGCTCAAGTATGGATGTTGGACATGGCCTCACGTGCTCCAGTAGCACGGGTCATATCCTCTAGGGACCAGGATGCCCCTGAGTTCCTGAGTTGTTGTATATCCATCCTCCAGTAACTCCATAGGCGCGACCTAACCCCTTTCGCGCCCAATGTGCATGATAACCCCCTATGTGATCCAAAAAAACGCCACATAAGTCTTAAGACCATCTCTCCACCCCGCCAGTATGAAGACGCCTGATTAAGTATTCATCCCGTATTGTGTCGTGTAAATCTCCATGTATAGATATATTTGTACAATATCGGCGTTAACGTCGTAAATGTCATAAAGAGGAAGTGTGGTATATGTGAGTAAAGGATATATATCGATGAAATGGTTGATAATCCGCAGTTCTGCAAATTATTCATATCCCCAGATATGTTGTGTGTCGTTCTGTCTTATTAATTCCAAATAACCCAGGAGATGCCGTGAATTTATGATGCAAACTGTAATCCGGTTTTGAGGACAGTAGTTTGTGCAGTGTAACTGTTATTTCGGTAATTGCTGTAGTTGTCGGTGTAATAAGGCGTCAAGAAAGTAGTCCGATTGAGTCGAAATTATGTGTAAGTCGTAAATGTAACATCCATAATCGATGGACTCCCAGTCCCCCCCCTGAACATCAATCATCAATGCACAATAGTCTTCTCAGGGAGACGTTCCAAGCTTTTCATTTTTTGGTCTGTTTCGTTCGAGTTTCCACGACTATCGGTAGAATCGTATGTTGGCTCTTTGGGATCTTGTGGAATTGGTTCCAGTTCCGTTCCATTCTTAGAGCTCGATCGAGATTGCCTAGCAGTAAAGGGGCTGAGAAAACCACCGAAATCTTGTAGTATTACTTGGGACCCACGTCGGAAGCCGTTGGTGGATGCTTGCAAGGCAGTTGAAGGAGAGGCGGGAGAGAGTGGTGATGGAGGCTCGATGCCAGAATTGTAGCTATCCCGTACGCTTCGAGACGGCTCGCCATCCAGCAATCCTCCAACATCGAAGAACGAAACCCTGCGAGGAGTTAAAGTAGAGTTGCTTCGTGACGCAGTAGGTTGATCACGGCCCAATAGAGAATCGTCGCTGCGTGTAGCACTGCTTGGATTTCGTCGAGGAAAATTCCAATTCTCCATGTCCGTAATAGATTTGGTGCGGTTCTCTCCCTGCTCTTGCTGTTTCGTGGCAAGGCGAAGTTCGCGGTCCACACCAAGCCCTAAGCCTCTCACAAGATCTTCGTCGCTGCCCCAATGATTCTGAAGCGTAGGTCTCCGCTCAGATGTACGATCGATAGATTCGGGAGGACCAGAATTGTGTCTATATCGAGACTTTTTCACACCCCTATCTCGGACAAAGGATCCAAGCACCAATGTATTAGCGGAGGCGGTAGCGAATAGTAATTCAACAGAAGCAAGTAGAGATCGGATCTGCTGGCTTCCATTAAGACGAAGTATTCGAGGGATTCGATATCCAGTGGTCGCAACAACGATGAGGTTCGTTGAGAACAAAAGGGTCAGCTGAATCTTTTTCTTGGTGGTCATCGAACTGGTGAGGATTATAGGAACCGGATAGATAACGAGGAGGACATCTGTCATGATGTTGCACGTCGCCATCGTGATGAGTTGGACATATCCTTGACGACACTGGCCTCCAGGGTCGGGCATCACCTGCCAATAGTGGGCGAACGGTTGACATTCTGTTAAATCCGATATTACAACAGCCACGAAGGTTAAGGCCAGAGTAGCCCGTATAAAGAGCAAGATGATCTCGTGAGAACGGTTCCAGGTAGTACTCGTTAAGCGTTTGAAGAATTCGAGGATGGCGCTTTTGAGGATCCAAAGCCTTGAGTTAAAAACAAGTCAGCACGCAAACGACAGATCTACATTTGATAAGGTCCGCAGGAATACAAACAACTTGAGCTACACCACAAAAGAATTTGGGGAGGTCAGGGAGTGAGATACATACGTTGCGGCATAGAAGATCCGGCTAGCGAGGACCAATCCACTCGCAATAGATTTCTTGTGAATTTCTTCGGCGGTCAACTCGGTGAAGTGTGCGTTGTTGGTTCCGTAGATAAGAATAACATGAACACATCCCATGCGCAAGTATAACGGAATGATAGCCAGCGCTGCCGTCTTGTCCTCCCTAAACAGCTTCTCAGATCTGACGAAGCGGCCGACGATGCGCAACAGGATTATCGTGGTACAGAATAACGTGATCCACCAACAAACCAAAAGCGTTGGCTTGTCTTGATCGGGCGTACGGAGCGGTGGCGGCGATGTGTACAGTGACATTTTGTCTCTGCTCAAGATCGACCACGCCCGTCAACCTCCGCAGAGGGACGAGCGGGGGATAAAAGGTCCTCTTCAGAAGACGCCGGCCTCAACAGAACCGACGGGCTTCGCGTTTGAAGATAAAAGGTTAACTAAGCCGCCGCCACGTACGTTCGGAAACCACGGTGACAGCTTCGTCTTTTCCTCCCCTTTCCTCTTTCTCGTCAAGATCCAAACAGCTGTGGATGCGCGGGTGTTGTTTGTCGTACTCGGAGTCGATACCCAATTTACGAAAAACCATCTGCAGCCCGAACGGATCCAGAATATCGTATTCCAATTATGACGTTGGACAAGTGGTCTGTGATCCTCTGCCAGCGACACAAGCGTTGAGTCTATCTGATGATGCATGGACTACGCAATTATAACGATGTCGGCGGTGAAAGGTGCATGACATCAATGGCCTTGGACTGCGCATCGTACCTGGGTAGTAAATATATCAATGATATATCGCGATGGTAGTTGATAGGATTATGTAGAAAAGCGAAAAGAGAATAAGCGTACGGGGGAGAGCACGAGAAGATGTTGTAGTTAAGTTATTGGTTAGTGAGTGACTGGTAGTGTAAGTTAGTGACATGGAATAGGATCGGATGAGGGTCCCAAACTTGGGGAAGGTTGGTGAGGGTTAAACGTTATCATGTCAAGTGTAAGGTGTGAACGGGTAGATGCCTGTACCCTAAGTGACTAACGGGGGAATCAATTGATATATTGATATGAAATGTACATCCGTGAACCACCTCGTCACCTAGTCCGCCGAAGTACTATAACTAAGCACTACCTATAGTAGTAGATAGGTACGTACCCGCCACGACAGCTCAATGAGGGTCCCACATGAGATAAAACCATCAATCGACTTAGTTCAACTTTGGTTGCAAGGGTAGTACGTACTGTTACTGCGTACAAATGCAGATCTTTGAACTTTGAATCCTTGGCTGTGATCCACGTTAGATGGGGATAGGGGATTACCTAGCTGCTTAGGTGGAACCTCGGTTTGGAATTGGGATTGATTTTATCGAGTCGGACCCGTTGCTATCATTTATCTTAATATCTGTTACATATGTATATGTATCCAAGATACGTCGCAGACACATCGCAGCCACGCATGCACGATGACCTCGACCAGGAAAAGTCAAGCGAATATACATCTAGATGTCTGATAGGTATGTATGTCTATGTACTGTACCTACCTATAAAGTGAGATCCCATGCCTGAGGGTAGGTACTACCTGCACTTACATATGTCGTGCGAGCACACCATTTCCCCATGTCCCGTGGTGTCAAGTAGCAGGAACCTTGAAGTACGGTTATAAGACGGACACTTGCAGCTTATAGAGAAACGACGTAGTTGGAACATTGAATCGATAGTGCGTGCTGAGGTAACACACTTTTCTCATTGTAATAATTATTGCCCTTATTACTCGTACGAGAGATTTCGAAAGTCCGCGACTCCTTCACGATAGTACGGCGCTAATTTTTCTTCACCTTTTTGTGCCGGCCGCGGAGGAAGGCTGAAAGTATTCGTATTTGCTAGCGTAGCGTCATTGTGGTACTTGGGTATACAACGCTGAAAATACCGGTTGGCGGCTTTGCATTGGCAGAAAGGTGTGGTGGGCAAAGTCGCAAAACCCAGCGAACTTATGCCGTCCCCACGCTCACTTAGCGCCGCCGCCGTCGCCAACACAGATTGGCTTAATACGAATTTCATGGTTGTTAAGCGAGTCGCATCAATGGGGCGTAGGGGGATTCTCGGCCGGGACTTACGACGATTGGTGCAATGCAAGCCCCGGTTTGGCCTTTTGTTGAAAAGAACCGCAAGGGTCGAGGGATTGATATCTATCGAGCCAGGTCCGTCGAATTTTCATATCTAGTGAAGTTCGAGAGTGATGGCTCGAAGCCTGAGCGTAGATAATGAGATAAGAGGACGTACACGTACACGTACTACAGTCTGCAGACGTGGACTGAGACTTGAAGTTGTCATGTCATGTCTATCTCCAAGCCGGAGTGGAGAAGCGAAAGCGAGACTTCGAAGAATCTCCCCATCGGATCTAGTCCCTCCAAATCCCAATCATGATTCTAATCTTTCAGCCTCAGATAGTGATCCCGATTTGATTTCTTGGCTGGCGTTGTATCGACATCCGAGGTAGGTAAACCGTGGATACCTTCTAGCGCCATCTTTCTCGCAGGCGGAGGCATGAAAACAGAAGTCATGTGTCTTCTATATAAGCCACTGCTATCGGCCTATGATCAACTATCGCTGCGTGCATCGTCTGTCGGCTCTTCGGCCATCCGTTATGAAAGCTTACTTACCTAGGTGTCGAGGTTGCGTGTTGCAATTGTAAGAGCTTTGTCAAAGATTAGCTATCGGCGACTACCTAGGTATAATCGCAGATCTGCATGCAGTGTCCTTCGTACATCCTATGCAAAGGTAACAACAAGCTGAGAAGCAACTTACTAGTGTTGTAACGCGGTCACGGACAGACTTTGTGATAGTAACATACTTGCATATGATGCTCCGTAAGGGAAAGGGAAAATAGATTGTGTAGGCAGGTAGGGTCTCTCGTATTGTGACACCCAGTCTTTCGGGTCAACTACTGTAGCGGTAAGTTGGTCCGGCTCTCGGCCGTTTGCCAATTAGATCGATAGTGTGCTTTTAAGCGCGTAGAGGATTTTGACAAGCTTACGAAAGATCATATAGCCCTTTCTTGACAGGAATATAGATACAGGTCGAACTATAAGGACTAAAGCTGGACGAATATCTTTGTGGCGTTTTTTCTGCGATCTAGACTCGAGGCTTCTGCTATCACCACGCTGTTCAGGATTCCTACTAAGTTATCCCGCATGCGCATCCTTGCACCTCCTTCACCGCGCGAAAAGTACTAGGAGGTACTTAACACATGCATTAATTGCGACGGGATCAAGCACCCAACCAAGTTCCCGACCGTTTGGGGCGACTCGTCACGAGCAACGGGTGAGCAGGGTGTATCGATTGACCTAATTGACATGGGATCGTCGTAGTAACGAAATTCTAGCCGGCGATCTCATCATTTCGGAACGGCCATCCTCTTGGTTTTTGAATGTCAAACGTATTATTCGTATTGTATTATAAGGCTCTGAACAAGACGTTTGATGGGTTGACTTCTTCGAGTAGTTATTTTTATTCCAGAATTACTAGAGTTATATACTTTTCGAAAGGCAGTATGACAGAAAACGTTGGAGAAGCAACTTGGCGAACTTGGCGACTTATCTTTTGGGAGCTTCCAATTGCAGAAAAAATGGTTGGACAGGGGTTGCCTGCAGATCGATGTGCGAATCTCGAGACAGGGGTCCTTTAAGCGGGGCATACGAGACAATGGGCAAGGATTATGGGAAGCTCAGGCCAATTTTGGTAATGGAACGGTGGAAGCGGCCGACTTCGAGCGGAACCCATAACCGCATCAATGGGCCCAGTAGATGCTTCCCCCCAAGATTACAAGTGTTATTACTAACAATCTTTACTATACTCAGTCTTTTGAATCCACCGAGAGTTTCACCCGAACTAATTCAACTAGTCCGGTTCAGGTCTAACTTCACCGAATTCTAATTAAGGTGATTTTCCGTGAGACTTGGAAGCACGTGCGACCTTGTCTTTCTCGGCTTAGCCTCTTTCACCGACGCCAATTCCCGTCTTGATTAAAATCATTCGCCTCGGGCTTATAACGGCGTTGCTTCAAGGGGTCAAATCACGGTAAAAAGGAACGACTGCTACCTATCCGAAAATTATCCGCAGACGCAGTCAGGAGGAGACGTTGAAAATTGACCCAGTTCCATGTCTCAGTCTAGCCCCCCAATATATGAGGCGCCCAGGTTTCCCCAGAGTAATACGTAAATCTCTTATGTCATCATCTGCTGACGCAGTCTTGAGCCGCAACATTGTCCGAACACTTTCGGTGGTCGGGTCCAGTAAGATCTACTTCAAGGGGCTGTCGCATTGGTCGAAAGCTTCTAATTGTCAGGTCAGTGGAACTTTTAGAGCTAAGGCGTAAGACATATCGGAAATACCTAGCTAGGTAAGCTAAGCTGTCTATATTTATGTATGTCTTGCGCCTTGCAGCTCTATCCCGTGATACGGACGAAAAGCCCGTTAAGGCGGTTTCGATTCAAGGTTGTGAGCCTTATCGAGAACCTTGGAAAGATAAGCGATGCGCCTTGCCGGCATTCCGTTCGTACCTAGGTATATGTGGATAATTGCATAGGTTCGTTCCATGGTTAATAGAGCGGGGTATCAACTTTTTGCATGGAAATCCTGCTCGTTGCGCTCGTGACACTTGGACTTGCCAACTTACAAATCCTTATTCACAGAATTATTATCTACACCTTCACCAACAACTTTACTATACCTATAACTCAGCTGATTCGGGAAATTGAAGGAGAAATTAACAAGGACATTCATGTGCATGATGGCGTGATGGATGAAGGTGTGCAGATGGACGACGTGGTATTTCCACGACTTGCCCTCTTTGGCAAGCTTCCGAGTAACAGAATTACCTGAAACCTCAACTCACCTCCGGCTATATTATCTTCTACGCGTCCGCCCAAACTATCCGAACCGAACTCTCATAGCTCATGGCTAATTCCAATCTCGCCCGGAACAAATTTGACGTTACAGGAAACCTCTCACCTCAGTGAAGATGCCAAGGTGTGAGGCGATATGGTGACGTGTGTCATGATTTCAGACTTTACAAAAACTCACATGTTGAGACGTACAAATGCACATTTAAAACTCATTCCGGCCCTCCCGTGTGGAAATTTACTCAGTATGGAGTGTCTATTGCTCGTAACCCCCTTTTTTATCTCACACATATCTCACGCCTTGCATCCCTCGCCGTGTTTGTGTAATCGTATAATTTGCTGTCAAACCACCTCATGTTTCACCAGTATGGTTCGCCGAGAGATGTTGTAGGCTGTTTAATTTAATAGGTGTGATCCCAAGCTAGTATTTCTCTGGGGGGTTGATGATACCTAGGAAATGGGAGTTCAACTCCAATTTATCAGTCTTACACTCAATATATGTGTATCACTAGGATCTATCACTCAAGTCCAAGCTCTCCAACTACATCCTTCACGTAAGAATTCTCAGCCTTACCCCAGTCCACAGTCAATAATTTCGTCTTCTCCGCGTTCTTATCATCATCCAGTAAACCCCATAGCTCGTCGACAACTAAGCTTCTCGCCCTAGGCCACGGATGTGCCATAAGGGCGCTGAGCCTCTTCTTTGCCTCAACAACGCCTTCGCGCCTTTTCGTTGCCATTTCCCCCGCTACTTGATCCTCCATGTCCACAGCCGCAATGGCGCCGTAGACCCTGATGCAAGCCTCGAGCTTACGCACGTTTCCGGTCTTGTACGCCGCCTTCTGTACTAGCACGCACAAGTGCCTCAGGTTGATCTCGGGACATTGCTGCAGCAGACCGGCGTGGAATAAGTACGCCACGACCTCCAGCGTAGGAATCACGACTCGGTCCTGGCCCTGGTACAGCTTGAGGTTGCGAACGAGCGCCGCACATAATCGCTTTAGATTCTCAGATGACTCTTCGCAAAAGTCGGCGAGCGCGGCTCTGCTGACTATTACCAAGTCTTCGTTACCCGTGTCGGCTGAAGTTACCAGGCCCGCCAATAACATTGACATGCAATCCTCTTCGCTAAGCGTCCACGCCTTTGCTATATTCTGGTCCAGCCGCTTCGCATCACAAAGACGGAGCAGAAAATCGAAGTAGTCTTTTGAAGAGGAAGACAACCCGGAAAATGCCTTGGCGTGCCTGTGTGAAGATTAGTAAGAATGGCAACGTCATCGTAGCAAAACGTGTACGAACCTCGAGTCTAGGAGCGTAGCCAATACAGAGTGCGCCTCAGTACGAACTCGATCCAATTTCTCAGAAGCCAACCGAAGTATGCGTGGGAAGAGGATCGCAATAATCTGCTCCTCATCTGTCTTCGCGTCCCATAGAGTTTTAGTTGCTTTGATAGCCTCTAGTCGCACATGAGAACCAATATCACCACGCGTGTTTGTAGTGTAATCATCAAGACCTCCCGAAATGATATCTAAAAAATCTAACGCCCTATCTTTGAGAATTGATCTATCAATTAGGCTCTGAAGTATCGCGACTCGAGTTTCGATTCTGTTGTCCGAATTCCATCGTTCTGCGAGAACATTTCCTACTAGAACACCCTCTGATTCGTCCTTTCGGTACTGTTGAAGTTGGTACGCACGGGATAGGGCATGGAAGAACCCGTCACCATACTTGGTGCGTGCTGTTGCTGGGTGGCGCACTTTATTGGCCCATGTTTCAATGATCTGCCTGTGGCGTTGTCGGTTGGCAAAGAGGAGAAGGATCAACGCCGCTTTCGATGAGGCTTTCACTACTTCGCTTTCGCTCCTGTCAAGCCATATATTCAGGTTGTCCTGCAAAATAGCCAACACCTCGTCAAGCTGCTCCAGACGATCCACCTGCAATTTGCCTAACAACTCTAACATGGATCCCAAAGCCGTTGAGTTAGCTTCATCGACAATAGAGGGGCCGGACTTCAAGTTTTCGATTCGAGACTCCGTCAGTGATCCTTGTGTAGCATCCAACAAAAGGGCCGGAGCTGCAGATACCACCAACCTAGCGGTAGCCTCTGCAACTAGTTCTGGTTTTCTGTAGGTAGTAGTCTTGGAATCCTGTAGGATTTCCTTTAGAGCAGTACGTATTTCAGCTGTTCGTATCTCTTGAAGGAATTCAGAGTACGTGTCTCCCGCGAGCAAGGGAAGCAGGTCGAGAACGGCCGCAAGGCTCAAGAGGAGTCCGTGCCGCTCTTCTACTTGTCTCACTTGGAGGCCTCGGAGCCGAGTGAGGAGCATGTCGACAGATTCCTTAAACCGTTTCATAGGGTTGGAGGCTTCAACTCTGATAACTTCTACAGTCAGACTCCCAAAGGAAGAGGCTGCTACTCTTCGGGATTCTGCATCCATATCCCCAATGCCTCGCCATCCGAGAGTCGCTTCTAGAAATGCGTGTCCATAATGCGGCGATAAACTGGTTGCCTGTAAAGCCACCTCATGTATCGCTCTAGAACGCAGGGCGACGGAGTGGTAATCGACTGTTTGCACGACAGAAATACCCTTGTCTACGGTGTCGGGGTGTCGACCGATTAATTCCTGGAGAGCAGCGGACGCGCCACGCCTGATATTTCCGGCGGGATCAAGCGAAGCAGTCACAACTAATTCAGTCGCAATTACTTGTAGTATCGATGCTGCAGGATCGTGTCCTCTGGCGACTAGGACGGATTTCGTCTGTACCTGAAGCAACTCGGAAGTACTATATCGGCGGGCAAGGGCCCAAATGCCAAAGCAAGACGCATCTCTGACGTTGCTTCCTATGGAACCTCCTGTTGGGTTTCTCTTCTCGAAGGAAAGTCCCATTAGCAGAGCATGGATGATATCGGATAAGTTCTCGGCTGGGGGTGATCTTCGGTATAGAAGGTGAGAGAGAGTAAGCATCAAGCCATGCCACTCCAACGGATCAACCATCGTAATGTCCTTAGTCGGAGGTGCAGATGGGTTCGACTTATTCTTTACCCAAAGAACATTCTGATTGAGCGCTCCCAGAACAGCCTCGATGACTTCGGACGCCATTTCAGGTTCCAACTTAAGCGTAATAATGCTGAGGGCTTTGCTAGCGGCAAGCCGTACGGGTGTATCATTATCTGCCACTCGTTCAAGTAGATAGCTGATCGATATCTCTACCATTTCGGTATCAGAAGCAGTCTGTTGCCGCTTCCGCAATACTAGAGTGACTACCGAACGGATGACTTTTATCAGCATCTTCCGTGCGAGCGCAGAGCCTTTGATAATGTCGAAGGCAGCATTTTCTTCCGTGTCGATAGACTGTGTAGCCTTGAAAATTGCCGATAGATGCGGATCCATGATGGACGTATCCGCTGAAGCACTGAGAATCCCAGCTAGGAACGACAGAGTACCGATGTAATAGTACGGAGACTCAGCTGGTGCATCTTTTGACGGATTCAAAGTCGACAGAGCCCATTTGACAAGAGCATTTAATATACCTAATTCCTGCATGTCTTTTCGCATCGCGACACGGACTAAGAGGGCTTTTGCCCCATCCCTTTCCTTTCCCGGAGATGCAAGATACTTGATTGCCAGGGGGAGCACTCGTAAAGTAATACCCGGAACACGAGACGGCCACTCAAATCCAGGTACGATAGATCGATCGAGATCATCGGCGTCTCCAGAAGAAATAGTCGAAAGATCAAAAGGGGCGAGAAACAGCTGAGATAACCACAGCAGTATGATATATCTCTCATGCCAGGTCCATGTATTGGCCGAATCGGCTTCGCGCTCCGAGTCTTCGATGGCGAGTAGGAGGAGTTCTAGATATCTCGTCTCTACATTCAGAAACCTAACAATAACCTTTTCTCCTCGGATCTTGCAGAATGAATAGAGGATCTGGCACACAGCATTTGAAAGAGGGAGTAGAAGCTGTGATCGTGTTGATAAAGACCTGTAATTGCGACGGTCTTGCAAACACCCTAAATATGCCTCTGCCAAAGTTGGCAACCATTTAGGAAGATGTGGATCAAGCAGCTGTGGTAATTCTTGAAATGGTTCCAAGACCTTGATATAAAGTATGAGTTTTTTTTTGGAGTCTGGTCGCTATATAATGAGGATATACTCACTTGAGACGTCAATCTTGCAGTTTCCCTGTTACGCACACGCCTTCGAAGTTGACCATTCGGCTTCGTTAAGAATGATGCGAGAGAGCGGTCGAAATCAGCGACTAAGTCAGACGAATATTTTTGGAGATATACATCTCGATCTTGCTCAGGAGCATCCATATCCTCGATAAATATTGAATTAGTTAAATGCTATGTGACAGGAAGGAGAAGGTTAGCATCAGGGGAATATCTGGCTTTCCGCTGATTTTCGTAGCAGATTCGTTCACGATGTTACAACGACCGCAAGAATGAGGACACAAGATAGTTATCGAAGGTTTTTTTGAGCATTCAAGTATGTAGCCCATGGAATATGTTCTTCTCATGTGTTGGTAATCAAACAGGCCCCAAGTTTTGCGATAGAGATGCTTAATGGACGGTGCATGTAGATGCATGTACATATGGGACGGCGGACGATAGTACCGAATCCGCTAACCCGCCAATTCATTTTATGTACTGCGATATATACGGTATAAATGCATAGTACCTTGAGTAATTATTATTGTATTTTTAAGTTTATAAGGATTATAACGTTAAAGAACGTTAAAAAACGTTATAAATTATAACGTGTTATAACGTATATTTTTTTTATTATAACGTTTTAAATTTTATTTAAATAATTAATTTTTAAATTAATTTTTAAATTAATTTAAAAATTAATTAAATAATTAATTAAATAATTAATTAAATAATTAATTAAATAATTAATTAAATAATTAATTAAATAATTAATTAAATAATTAATTAAATAATTAATTAAA